GGGGCGGTCATGATTCCCTGAAATGACTAATAATAAGATTGGATATCATATCATGGTTGTAAAAATTCAAATAAAGCACAAGCATTCTTGTCCTCTCCCTTCGTTGATACAGTACTAGTGCCAACTTTGCTTTTCTAGCTACAATTTCATTATCCACATATTAAAAATTTGATAACCTGTGTGATATCTTATTCAATTGTTTTTATTTATTACTCTTTTTTTTTATTTTTCTTATATATACACATCTTAAAATTATACTATAAGAATTAGTCCAATTTTTGTGTTCAAAGAATATTTTTCTTTTAGCTAATTTAACTTTGTTTCCCCCACACAAAAGATGCCTTCTTTTTTCTTATAAAATAATGCCTACGGAATTAGATTAATGCGTCTACTCCTAACTTTGTTGAATGTTTAGGTGACTTTACCTCTGTCATCTCTGTGTCCCTCCCTTCATTTATTTCTGTGGGTTTTCCTCTTAATTTTCTGTTTTCTGCTTTCTCTGAACCCGGAGAATATATAACTGAATTAGTACTTCCACTAGAAGGCATTAGAGGTCTTTGGTAAATACAAGTTTGAATAATAGCATGGAAATCAATCTCCACCTAATAACTTAATATAGTTTGAATTGAACATGCATTACTAATTACACAATTAATCTGAATTATACCCCACTTGCCTAACGTAACTCATAAATTTTATTTGATTCTTTACGCTTTCTCTACTAAAAAAGAAAATTTCTAAAGCCATTTGGCACACAAGTTTTAAGAAATCAATGAAACAGGCCATACCAGCACTTTTATGTATCTTCCCTTTGGTAATAAAACATTTTAAAATGAATTTATAAAACATTAACCTTGGAATAAAATTCCCCGCGTTGATTAATGGATGTAAGGATCGCACATGATGAGATGATCACTGGTTCTCATTGCAGTCAAAGAAGAGTTGTGTACAGCCCCTCCATCAACTCTACGATTATTCTGTTCACACACAATATGTGTGGAAAATGGCATAAGGGGTGGTAAAAATTAAACCATGCTACATATCTTTATCCTTATTAATTATCTAGGCATGCAACTATGCCTAAGAAGTACTAAAAAAATGCTTATAATAATACTTGAAGCACTTCTTTTAAACATGTAAAGTTGGACCGCGTACTTTGTACGTATAGATTTATCACAAAGGGAGAAAGGGAAGATTTAGAAGCAAAGAAAATTCGAAATAAAGTTTTGTGGGGTTCCTTTTCAGCTTTACTTAGTATAGTATATGTATTTATGGTTAGTATATGTGCATTTTTGTTTATCTTTATGGAGTGGCAGCTAGCCATAACCGTGAGTGGTGAAGGCTGAGATCTTCCATGAAGGGACCCCACAACTCTTCTTGCTTGCTCTCCCAAGAGAGTGCCATCAAGCTGTCTAACTTTATGAGATCTTAATTCTTAAGGGATCCTGAAAGGAAGGCACAGTTTGTACAATTAGCTATGTCTCCTACACTTTAACTTCATCATATACATGCCACCATATCTTTACTCTTCATTTTCTCTCTTTTTCTATTCATCATTCATAAAGCTCTTTCTTCCTTCTAATCATTAATCATATTGTTTGTTGCACCGTTTATTAATCTCTCTCTTGTGAAAAGGGAAAAGCCCGATACTATTAGCCGTACAATTATGTATTATAATGCTTCCAATATGCAACTTGCCATCTCGTAATCTTCCACCAATAATTGATATCATCCAAGACCATTATAATCTATTTTTCAATATCAAGTGATCTGCATTAACAATCTGTCAACAATCCCTATATTATAAGTTAGTGACTTTTTAGCTAACTTTGAACTTGATTTAATTGTCGTAATTAACATAAATACGTATAACTTTTCATTTTCATGTTTTATTTGGTCTTTATTGTATATTTAGTTGCTCAGTCTTCAGTACTTATTCAAAGAATAAGTAATAAACAATTCATTCCTCACTAACCTGTATTATTTTATTGCTGATTACAAGTATCTTTAATTCTTCCCAGTTTAGCTTTTAATTTTGCCAAAATTTCCTGTTGTTATGAAAAGGACTTCTTTAATAATAAGTGGACTATTAAAAACAAAACATTAAGATTGCATTTGAATCAGGGGTGAAATAAAGAGAAAATAATTGAAATAAAAAGGTAAGAAATGAAATAAAAAAATATTTTGATGTTTGGGAATAATTGAAATAAAAGAGAAGAAAATAAACGAAAAATTTAATTATACTAATTTAAATGAGTAAAAAAATAATTAAATTATATTAAAAATGATCATACAAATTATAAAAAATTAAAAAAATAATTTATTTATTAATATATGTTTTACTAATAAAATATTTTAATTTTTTATGATATAGATATTCTTTAATAATTTAATTGTTAATAAAAATAGAAAAACTAAAACCCTCTCTCTCCTTTTTCACCTAAACAAAATATGTTATTTATTTCTCTCACTTTTTTTTTCCCTCTCTCTTCCCTTTTCATTTAAACAAAATATGTTATTTAGTTTTCTTATTTACTTTTCTTTCTTATATTTTTAAGCTTATCCAAACACAATATAAGAGTAAACCACAAAAAAAAAAAAAAAAATTAACAATAAATATATTAATTATTTTTACTTTCTTATCCTTTTTAAATAGTCAAGTTGTGTGGTCAAGTATCAAATATAAGAATTTTTTTAAACAAATATTTGAACTATAATGTATCACCAAGTTATAAGATATTTTAAGCTCAATTTTTATTTAACAAAAATAAGGACGATAATAGTAACTACTAGGAATAACAATATCAGTACTACTGTCTTAAGATGCCAAGTTGGCTGGAGTCATTGAGCTCTTCCATCCATACTAAAAGGTATGAATAAATTTAGATATTTTCAGAACACTTATATTGAAACTCCTAATAGTTAGCCATTTTATGATGAATGACATTTGCAAAATCAATCGATTTAAAGCCCTTTTTGTATTATCTATAGAACGATAAATAGAAAAAAAAAATTACAAGAAATTATTGTAAAGTTACATTAAAAATCATGATATAATATTTTAGTCAAATGTTAGCCATTTTACTATGGATGACATATGAATCAAATGATTTGAGTCCCCCTTTTTTCTTATATTAGTTAAAGGATGATAAATAGAAATATTTTATTATAATGAATTGTATAGTTACATTAAAAGTTACCATTAAATATATTAGTAATATTCTTTTACTAATATTTACTATTTAACTTCTATAGATAATATTTGATTCTTATGATATTATTGGATCAACATAATATTTAAAAATAAAATATTAAAAAAATGATTTTATATATTTTTGCTATAATATGATAAAGATATTTTTTTAAACTAATATTCAAACAAAACAATATTTTATTGTTATCTATATAAAATATTTTGCTATAATAGTTTCAAAATATACCATATAAAATCATTGTGTATTATTTTATAATTATATCTATTTCCAATCAATTATCATTTTATTGTTTTAAATTAATATAAATTTTATATACATATTATGATCAATTTTTTCTATCGAAACAAAATTTTCAAAGTAATATTTATTTTATAATATAAATAGATAATTAATAAATGAAAACATTTATATTGTATTTTATATCAATTGGCATTATTCTTATTGATATAAATAAAATGAATTTCAACAAGTTACGCACAACATGAGAAAGAAAGCTAATATATACCAAATTCATGAGAATTGTCATTCTTGAAGAGAAAATTCAGAAAATAGAATGACAGCTTTGTGTTAAATGCAAACACAATGCCCACTGTTCTCTCAAGTCCCACTTGGCCTTTGATCCTCGTCAATTTACCTGCTTATTCACTCAAATAATTAACAAAATAATTTTAAATATGTATTTTTTCATATATAAATTATATATTAAATAATACATATTCACAAAAATTGACACACATTTTTCAAGGCACAATTAAACATTGGAATTACATTAATCAAAAGGAAAAAAAATGATATATAAACACCTTCCATTCCCAAATTAAAGTTTTGACAAATATTCCATGCCACCGCGACACGTTTAATAAAAAAAAATTGTTAATTTCAACTGAGTTTAAACATTCATAAATAATTTTTTTTATAAAAAATACATAATTATTATATTAAAGTTATAAAAATATAATAAATATTTTTTTAATAAAATTTTACTATTATTAATGACTTATTTTCATCCTTTAGAGTTAAAATTAAAGAAACTCATAAAAAAGACATATATTATAAGTTTATACTATGTTATAAAAAGAATATTGATTATTATGTTTTATAAATAAAATAAGAAAGAATATTAATAAAAGTAATTATTTTTGAAAATAAGTCAATTGACATTATAGATAGCGAGTGTATGATCAAATTGATCATATCATGTATGAATAAGGTTCAAGTCTACCGGTATAAATTATCAATATCTCAGAAAAACAAAGAACAATTTCCAAAAACATTAACTAATCTTGTTTGACTAACTGACCGAACAAGAAACAAAATCCCCAATTATTGTGAAGTTTAGATGCAATTACAGTGTCACTTTTCCCAGAAAGAGACTAAAGAGAATTGGATTTTGTCCTAATCCTTCTAAAATGGAAGATCAACCCATCTCATAAGTTAGAGAAGTTACATAAAACTAACCAAATATTATTAATTGATAAAATTAATTTGGAAATTTGATTATTTGTGGTAGGAACAAGAAACCAAATATTAATATTAGTAGAAAAATGGAATGCCCCATCTTATGGGGTGAGTCTAAATCAGAAGCCAGAGGAAGCTTCGTTTCTTTTGTGTCTGCCATGTCTCTCTTTTTCTTCAGGATTTCGTTATTAACATATGATTTATTATGATAAATTACTTTATTTTAAATAAGTTAACAGACAAAATTTTATTTGTAAAAACATAATATTTTAATTTCATAAAATTATTAATCGCGTGAATTACTGAGACAAATTCGTTAATAGTTAATAAAACGATGCGAACATCATCATGAATTCATTTTTATGAGATTTGCATAGAAAATTATAGACTCACATCAGATGCACTTTTATTTTATTTCCCTACCGACCATATTCGGTTTTTTCGTGGACCGCATTTTCCTTCACCATTCCCATTCTTGCTCTTCTCTTCTTCCTTCACCTTCTAACCCAACCACTTTTCCCATTTCTTCGATTTTGCTTCCTTAATTCCATCGAACGCTGTCATGGAGGAAGTTAACGGTACATACCTCGTTGCCCATTTCATTTTCGTTTTTGGGTCTCTGATTTTATTTCAAGTACATAATTGACTTTCCCAGATTCCCAGGTTTTTTTTTTTTTTTCTTCCGGTTTGGGGGTGTGGGTGGATTTGTACGATTATGGGGTTTTCTCGCTTACCCTTTTCATTGTTTTGTTTGCACTTTGCAATAATTTCAAAGCGCGAGCCGTGATGAGTCTAGAAAACGTTATCTGTTTTTGGAATTGTTGTTCAATACAAGCATGCAACATGTTGGGTTGTATATAGGCATTTGCAAATTTTAGGACGTTAATTAAACGCAAAACTCTTCTGGGACTTGTTTTGGAAGTAATGAAGTACATAAAGCCACCAGAAAAATATGGACTTTTAGAGACTGACTGTGTTTCATATGCATCCTTGAAATTCCCTATCCAACTGAACAACAGAATAAAATGTTCAATTTACTTCTTTGTGTTAAATTATGTTTTCTGTCTCCTTGATTATTTCAGTTGTAGAAACTAAGGATGGAACTGTTTCAGTAGCTTCTGCGTTTGCTGGTCACCAGGAAGGTAATGCTTCTGCATAGTTCAGCTTTCTTGTTGCACTTATTTTTTTGTTTTTTGGTTAGTTGTCCATGGCTGATTTACTGATACATTTAGATTTGAGGCCTTCTCTTATTTCATGAGACAGGTTTATTTATTTTAGAGTCTTATTCTTGTCATATCATTTTATTTAATAGAAAGAAACTTAAATTTATGATTCATATAAGTAAACATCGATTGAGCTTGATGAGCCAATGATATATCCAATCTTTCAAAGCAACATATATGTAATTCAGTATATGATTTTTTATTTTTGAAATGAAGAAAAGCCATTTGGAGTTTTTGTCATACCTACTATTGTAATGGCCTCTTATTGCCTTTCTTCTGGTGTGGTCATTGCTTAATTAGCTGTGCAGGATAGAGACCATAAATTTTTAAGAAAAGCAGTTGAGGAAGCATATAAAGGGGTAGATTGTGGACATGGAGGCCCTTTTGGTGCTGTTATAGTTCGTAATGATGAAATAGTTGCTAGTTGTCACAACATGGTTCTGAGTAACACGGACCCAACTGCTCATGCAGAGGTGACAGCAATAAGAGAGGTTAGATTACGGACAACCAAATGATTTTGTTATACACCATGAAAGTGCATTTGTTTTTCTGACTGAAACAACATCCATTCATCATTGCACATGATGGATTTGCCCTTCCCATTTGATAATTGATTCTTGATTAATTTTATTTATACACTCTTTTAACTAATTGTTATCATTTTGTTTTCTAAAATGCCAATTTGTTTGTCTCTTGAATAGGTCACTTTTAAAACAAGTGTTGACTTATATAATGAGTGTATTAAGAAGAGTGTGTTGCCATTTATCTCTTCTTTGTAAATGCTTTGCTTAATTCTTGTTAATGTTAGGAAGGGGAAAGCATAGTCCACATATATGGAATCGTTTGTCCAGGTTTTCCAAAGAATTCTATGCAGAGAGATCCAGTTCGTAGGTGGGTAGTCAATATTGACTTAAAACATCAACTGATTAAGAACTTACAAGCTTTGATCTGACATTATTAAAAGGAAAATCATCAACATAACAGACAAGGCTTCCATAGTTTTAGGCCTTTAGCTCATAGGGACCAACTTTTAAGCCACTCGTTAAGATCATCCTTATGGACAACATGCCTGTATGTAAAACAGTCAATTTGGATTTGATATCGGTCAAATAAGGATTTTGGACTTATGTTTAGTTCCATATGTTCAAGTTGGATTTTATAAGCTCCTAACATACAAAAAAACTAAAAATTGATTGTATTACTGTGCCCTAATTTTTATGCTTTAGGTGTATAAACTTTATGCAATGTTAAACAAAAAGTGATCAATGCAGTGTTTTCGTTTTACAGGCTTGTAAGAGGCTTAAGCAGATAGAGCTTTCAGATTGTGAAATATATGCTTCTTGTGAACCTTGCCCCATGTGCTTTGGTGCAATCCACCTTTCTCGAATCAAGGTTAGGGTGGCCTGCTTTTCCTAGGTGTTTCTTTTATACCAGCTTTATCCTGTTTTGAGCTAACTTATTACTATATTCTTTTCAAACAGAGGTTGGTATATGGAGCTAAGGCTGAGGCAGCAATTGCTATTGGGTTTGATGATTTTATTGCAGACGCATTGCGAGGTACTGGATTCTATCAGAAAGCACAGCTGGAGATTAAAAGAGCTGATGGTAACGAGGCCATCATTGCCGAAGAAGTTTTTGAGAAAACAAAGGAAAAATTCCAAATGTACTAGATTTGTCATTTTTTTCATGCCTGATGACAATCAGCTATTCAGGATTGGCTTCATTTAACGCATTGAAATTGTTGATAGTGGATTCAGTTTATTTGAGAATAACAAGTTATATGCTAGAGTTTGAATTGCATCAGATAATGACCATCTGATTGTCATCCGGTTCTAATATACATCTTCACACAGGAGGATATCTATAATACATTCTATCACTGTTTTATTATGTCATTGCTGCTGATGTCGACATCAAAATTTTTAGCTTTCCTGAAGCTACATTTTCATGATGTGACATGCCTAAATAGCATAAGTTTAGGGGTTTCTAAATGCAACCATAACCAAAGTCTTATCCTACAGGATGAAATTAGCTAAAATGTGTGTTGGGTAAGTTCTCATTTACCAGAAAGGATGAGCAGAATAAAGTGGGTGGTTTGTGTACTCCCAAGATCTAATATTATGAATGGAATTCTGCTTCCAATGACAGTGTTTCTGGAGTACAGAATATAAAAACGTCTAATCAAGGCAGAAACTTGGATCCCTTTGAGTGTGTGCACATTGAAGTTGCATCGTTTATGTTTAACTGCATCATTAGTTTGGGCTCATATTGTTCCTACTCATGATTTTTATGTCATTTTTTTACAATTTTTTTCTCTATATATCTTTCTGTCACATCACTGATCTTATCTCACTCCTTTCTCTGTGTGGAGCAGAATTACTCCTTTGTCTCCACTTGTAATGGTGAATATGCTACACAGCACAGCTTGACGATTTAATATCATTATTTGTTCGGGGGGTTAAATAGTTTCTTTATTTTGTTCTTTGGGGGGTTTTAATTTTAGGTTCTACAACATGTGGAGCAACACGTGCTTTCACAATCAGCTATATACCATACTGTAAATGAAACAGGCCAGACGTGTTTTTTTTTTTTAACTACTATTACTATTATTATTTTAACAAGGTTAAATTCATCTGTTAGTTATTATAATTTTTAGTTCAATTCTTAATAATTAACATTGTTATATGACATGAGATTTTTATATAATTTGATAACTTATCGTTTTTTCTCCTTTATGTTTTTTCATAATTATTTTTCATATGTTATTTTTAAAATTCATAAATCATATTATTATTAGGTGATATATTTAAAGTTAAATTATTGTTAGAACATTTAAATTTTATATATTTATCGAAATAAATTTAAATTAAAAATTATTTTTTTGATTTATTGTAATAAAATATTTATATAATGTTGATATAAAAACTTGAATTCATGCTGGAAGAAGTTAAACTTCAAATCTAAAATTTTTGTATAAGAATTTTTTTAAGATTTTATAAGTAATTTAATTTTTTTTGTCTTTCTGGCTGTTTTTTAATTTACCGTATTTTAGTTTTACATATTAAATATATGAGCATAAATTGAAAGACATGTGAATATTTTAATGTTAAATTATTTATCACCTAACAATAATAGGATTTAAGAATTTATTAATAGGATTTAATAATTATAAAAAAGGAAAAATAGATGTATAAACTAAAAATGTCTTGTCATTAATATTTAATAGAGATATAATGATAAATATTTAATTAAAATATTTTAAAATTGTAAAAAGTTATTTAAAAATTTTTAAACTTGGAAGACTTAACTAAAAATATATAAAAAAAAAACTACACGACATATTAATTTAACCTTTAACTATTGATGGTAGGGAGAGAATAAAGGAACAGTCTAACAGATAAAGATGACCTTGTGTTCTTACCAGTCACCACGTTGTACACTTCCGGTGTGCCCATTTCATTTCACAACTTTAGGACCAAATTCTGAGTACTCTCCTACATCCAATTTCTTTGCACTTAACATTGCTTTTAAATTTTTTTCAATAATCTTAAATAGAGAATGTTGAATTCTATGTTTAGTACAATTTTTTCTATAAAGCTAATGATTTTAGCAATGGTTTTTTAATTATATTTAACACCAAACGATTTTCATAATAGATAAAATAATTTTAGTTTCTCATGAATGTGAGAAATTTTGTCATATTCAACATTTTCAATAACCTTTTAAGTATTAAGTATGAAACATATAATTGCACAAAATTAAAAATAAAATACTCACCTAACCTCCCCTTAGATATTTCTCTCTCCACATTCTTACTTTTATTCTGCTTGACTTAAAATTATTAATACGTTGTTAATCATTAAATGGCATGAATATTTTTATTAGATGTTGTCAATAATTAATAAGATGAAGATTAATATGATTGATTTTTGAACAAGTATTGTTTAGTTTTGGCATTTGACTGGGTCAAGTTTTTGGGCGTGGCATTCTAAAACTTGAATTGGTCTTTGTGTGAAGTTGGGCAACGCCGCTTTCCTTTACCACCTTATTCTCTTTTCTTGCAATTGCATGTGACTTTGAAGCAAGTCTTGTTTTCTTGTCCTTTTCATTAGTAAACACTCTGTTGAAATACCAAACCAATGCACCGTATCATAAGATCAATCACTTGCCTAATTAATCACACTCCTCATTCGTCTACGTACATTTCTTCTAAGGTTTAATTGGTCTCTCCATTCAAATGAAGTGCAAAGGTAATAATAAGCACACGATTTTCCCCTTGGCGTGTGTTGTAGTTCATTGCTGAACAAAAGTGATTAAATAATTCAGAATATTAATATGTCGGTAGTCAAAATTTTCATCAAACCCGCGGTAGACGCGCTTGGAAAGATTTTCCAAGTCTTCTCATAGGACATGATGAATCAGATTGTATGATCGATCTTCAACTTGAACGTTACCCTCATCCACATGCATGTTGGAACTGTAGATACTATTAAAATGATAAAAAAGCAAAAACCCATAGTAGATATTTCAAGTTTGAACAGTATTTTGGAAGGAAGTTTCAAGGTTACTTGCTTTCCTATCCAATAATATATACACTAACAACTTGGAGTTTGTTAAGCTCATTCATTGAACGTCACAGATGGAGTTGGTATATGGTCTATTTGTTGATTCTCTGTCAAAATCTTGCCGGAGAAATTAGTATATATACGACAACTCAGTATAAATATGTCTTTATGAAATCAACATATCTAAAATGTTTTTATTCTATTTTGAGTTACATTTGACATTCATTCGCTAAACTTGAAGAAACTCGCAAAACTCTCAAAAATAAATTAAATTTTGTCAAACTTAGAAATCATTTTTATTTTTTTAAAACATTTTTTGTTCTAACCTACTACAATTTGTTGCATGCAACAGGTGCTTTACTTGGATAGTTCGATTTACCAACTCTATAAATTAATGTCATGTTATCAACAATTGTTACTAAAGATTTTTAAAAAGTATAAAACTTTATGAGAATAATAAATAATATTTTTAAAGAATAAAAAACAAAGACTCTTTTGAAGCAAACCAAAAGTTCAAGTTTTTTTTAATGTTAACCTTAAAAGATTTATTTGTCTGAAGTTATACTTGTAAAGAAAAAACCTTGTTTGGAGAGTTATACCAACTTTAAACATCTCTTCACTTCAAAAGTGAATAATTTTCAACTTTCGGCCAAAGAATATTTAGTGCACACACAAAAAAAAGAGGTTATGCTTATCAAGTTAGTTGACATTTATTTATCTGCCTACATGACATTCAAATCGAGTCTCACGACCATATGCTGACCCCAGACACTAATTGCGAGCCATATCTTTGGTTGAATAAACAAAGACAATGAAAAATGAAAGATGACATCTTTGGAGAAATTAAGATGACATTAACTGCATAAAACAATGGAAATATATCTTTTGATAATCATACATATATAATACAAAGTAGGTGAAGGCCACAATCCCATTTAATGCCTCAAACACATCCCTTTGATGTAAGTATATATGTGTGTGTATCTGTTGTCTAATTGCATTTTTTTTCAATGTTAGGGATATGATAAGATCGGTACCTTAAGATCCGGTAATTGTGGATTATAATAGTAAGAATTAAGAAACAATTATTCTTTAGAGTTTTGGCTATCAAGCACAGGGCAACGAGAAGCCAGAGTCATGCAGCATTGTCCTCTACACCTTTCTTGTCCTTTTTCCCTGGATGAAGGGAAACCAAAGTCATATAGAATCCCCTTTGAAGCTTCTATGGTTGACTTATTAAAAGATGCATTGATTTTTCAGATAAATCTAAATACATCTAATGTATGACTCAACCGGTCAATAAAATAGGTCTCTCATAATGAATACAAATTACTGGAACATGTTTTAAATCTTGGACATAATAAGATCTCGAGGCATTTCCTCTTTCATAATTAGAAATTGAAGAACACTTGTGTTCTCTAGCTAGATATTAGTGTAAAATGAGAATTTCTTATCAAACTGTTATCTGTACAAGGAAATCGTCAAACCATCAACAAATAATAATAATAATAATAATAATAATAATAATAAAAGAATACCATGCTATTTGTGATCACACAAAAAGAAAAAAAGTAAATAGTCTTTTAGTCTAGTGACGCTACGTTTTTTTTGGAAAACATTTATTAGTGTAATTATTCTTGCTTAGCCCTACCTCATCTCTTCAGCAAGTCTTAAGGCCTACTTTTGTACACCCAAAAGCAAATCTCTCTACATTAATTATAACCTCATTTAAGAGAGTACATTTGATTATCTTTAAGCAAAAAAATATCCTAGAAAACTTTTATGTGTTTCCCTGCTAGCTTCTCCTCATCTAGTCTCTATCTTTTCTCCCCACCACTTAATTAAACAGTATTTTTTATATTTTATGTGGAAATGTTCTTGATAACAAGCGGACTTATGCTTAAATAGACAAGTAGAAACGTAGACTTAACAAAGACTTCTGAGTACTGAAGAGGGAGCCTTTATATTAGGAAGGTTGCATCATATATATATATATATATATATATATATATGGTTTTGCTTCAGAAGTTAGATAGCAAGTAATCTGAAGTGAGACTGGAAGTGAAACCATAACAACCCGAGAAAAGCGGGTATATATTATCTTATATCTCCATTTCAGTAGCCGTGACTGGCATAAAGATTGTATAAATGGAAGGCAAAGTTGCATTGAAAAAATTGCTGCAAGTTCAGAAAAGGCTATGTGATAATAGTACAGATGCACTGAACGGGACTGAGGACCCATCCATTAAAAATACTGTAAGTTTCCATCCATGTTGTGTTTGTGAATCATTTATATATATGGAGCAGATTCTGTCAGAATTTCAAATATATATATATATATATATATATATATATATATGTGTGTGTGTGTGTGTGTGTGTGTACCAAAAAGATTGTTGCAGATAGATATCTTTATAAGCTTGTCGGTACTTTCATCTACCATGTTTTTAAATTGTTTAATGATCTTTGCTAACTCATATGAACGGGAGAATTTTGCAGTTAGGATCTAATTTTCTCAGTTTGAGCATGAGTAACACGGAGCCTTTCCAAAATCAGGAGCAGCAGACACAGAATCAAGTGGGTAATCTATGACAAGTTAAACTAGGCTACACGTGCATTTGTTATTTTAAATCTGCATAAATTAATTTTGATTGATGTATCTTGTGTTGGTTGTGAGGATTTTAGTTGGGCTTGCTGCGAATTAAGCTAGAGGAGGTGGAGAAGGAGAATCAGAATTTAAAATCTATGCTAAATCAGATCACTGAACACTACGCAGTTCTTCAGAATCAGTTAGTGTTGGCGATGCAGAAGAAAAAACTATCTAATAATGAGGACATGCAGGCAAGTTTGACTTTAAAATTCGTTTTCTATGTGTTTTTTTAATGATTAAAAATTCATTATTTTTCTGTATTGCACTTAGTAAGAATACTACATCAGAATATTAGTGTTAACTTGGTCAACCTTTTCAATACCTGCAATACTAAAACTAGCAGCAAATGTAGAAAAAGTATAATTTATTTTTAAGTAATGTCGCATGGATTTTGCTAGATCATCAATCTAAAGTAGAAGGGTTTACCTTATTATGTTGTTCTCTTTTTGGTTTGAACAAAGTAATTAAATGAATAAACCACGTGTTCGTATGTTTAGAAGGACAAGAAGCAAGATGAAATGGAGAAACCAGCGTTAGCCCCGGGGCAGTTCCTAAATACCGGTAACCATTCTCCTTCAGAAGGCAGAACAACAGAAATATTTACTTATGTTGAAAATATTGAGAAGAACATAAGCAGAAACCTGACTTATACTTACAATATGTTGAAGGTAGCATCAATAACCAAATAACATCACAAGAAGAAAAAATCGTAGTAGAACAAGCCTTTGAGACTTCTTGCAGGAAAACTAGAGTGTCCATAAGGGCACGATCAGATTTGCCTTCGGTATGGATTTCAATCTTATTTTGTAGATTTTTCTTTTATATAGTGGATTGGCAATAATTTAATTTAGATCATAACATCTATCATTTTATGCATTTATTTACTTGATTTCACTCTAAAGTGAAAATATATGTATAATAAGAAAGTAAAGGTGTATCCAGTATCCACCCTTACCTAAAATAAAGTTTAGTTCACTTCAAATATCAAAGGACAAATGCACCCCTCTTCACTTTACAGGAACTAAATTTAAATCTATATATAAAAGTTGAAATATGAATTATGATATCGATGTTTATTTCTAATCAATTAACAAATTCTTATCATGTCAACATTTTGTCATTAATGTCACATTTTGATTCAATCCTTCATTTTCTCTCTAGTAATCCATGCACGTCTGCTTTAGTTAACCCTTGTTCTTTCTTAACCTTCTCATTTTTCTTTAATTATAGTGTTTTAGTCACTCAATTGAAGGAATGGTGACCGCTTAATTTTTCATTAGTCACTCAAAATTAATAAGATGGCCAACAATCATGTTCCCTTCTTTCATCTCGCACCTTTTGGAAGTGAAAATCTAATTACTCTATTTGTTAGTATGCAGGTTTATATCTAATTACATATTATAATATGAATTGAGAGTGATTTTTGAAATCTCGTTATCTTAAATTCATATTACTTATTAATAGAAATTATGTTAGATTAGGTTGTTGATTATAATATTAAAAAAATTAAGCACTTTCGCAATGCACGAGCCCATGTGTAGAATGAAATGTGAAATTGAAGAAAACTAAATATTTATGCACTGCCATTTTATTCTCAAGATGAGTGATGGGTGTCAATGGAGAAAATATGGACAAAAGATAGCAAAGGGTAACCCTTGGCCCCGTGCCTACTATCGTTGCAACATGGGAACAGCATGCCCAGTTCGCAAGCAGGTTCGTGGAGAATTTATTTATTTATTTATTTCATGGAGTGAGCATCATACACATGTTTTCATGGCATCATTTAACTTTGCTTTCCTCATTATTAGATGCATTAATAATTAACTTCTGTTTATTGACATATATTTGATGTTGGAGACGCGAATCCTAAGTTTAATCAATTCTTCACTCATCATTATCTACGCTTTATTTTACTTTGTGTTTTCAGATATAGTTAATATATAGTAGTGTTAAATAAGTTAGCTTATTTCACATCACTTAGCTTATCTCACATTTCTTTTCTTTTCTTTTTTTAATTTATTTCTTTGTTTATTATAAAAAGTATTGTGAGAATATGAAGTGTGAATAACATTATTCTTAAATTTGCTTAAATTCATCACTTCTTGTTTAGATTATTTCTGCCAATTGATTACCAGTGTGCTTGTTTGAAATTTTAAAACATTTCAAAGGGAATACTATCTGACTAGGGGGAAAAGGCATAATTAAAAGAATGTGCAGAAGTGATTTAAAAGAATGTAAATTTTCAAAAAATTTAAAATAGAAATGAGATGAGTTTTTCTTTAAGAGAGAATAAATTAAAAGATTAAGCTACTCTCAAACAATGTATTTTAATTTAATTCAAAAGAGTAGTACAGTTAAGGTTTGGGAGAGAAAAATAATTTTAGTGAAAGAGAAACTTGAAAGGAATCAATTTGAATTATTGTAAATATTATATTTTGGAAGAAAAAAAAATCAACATAAAAAAATTAAAAGTAATCAATATTAAATTATTACTCTTAAATGAGTAATCATTTTATTGCATAGGGGTGAATTGGAAATGAATCATCCGTCCTTGATCATTGACAATCCTTGTCTTCCTTTGCACTTAATAACCATTCTAATTTTTGTCTGTGTGATATTTTGAAAAAAATTGACATTCATGCTTGCCTTTTCATAATTTTGTGGTAAACTCTTCTATGATGATATATGGCTTGAAAGTGTCTTGCAGAGTTTACTTAACATATGCTATTTTCATTGTAACAGGTTCAAAGGTGTGCTGTGGATGAGACTGTTCTCATTACAACCTATGAGGGGAATCATAATCATTCACTCCCACCAGAAGCAAGATCCATAGCAAGCACAACATCTGCAGCATTGGACATGTTCCTTTCTGGCTCTGCCACAAGTTCAAATGGCAGCACTCTATCAAATTCAGATCTTTTTTCTTCACTATCTAGTTCTACCTCCACTGGCTTGGCTACCTTCTATCCATCTGCATCATGTCCTACTGTAACATTGGACTTAACTGAACCCTCTAATAACAACTTGAAATTTCCAAGGGCTATTACTTCAAACCATTGGCAACCTTTTCCTCTCTCATATCGAGGATACGCTCAACAATCTGCGCTTCCAACCTCAGAGAAAAGCCTTAACTTGGTGGATGTTGTCAGTGCTGCTATAAGCAAGGATCCTTCTATTAAAGCAGCATTAGATGCAGCTATTTCCTCACTCACTGGAGGCACTCAGAACTCCAATAATTACTACCAACTTAGTAGGAGTGATCATGACCCCTCTTCTAAGGAGTCTGAAGTAATAAAGCATCAACCCTGCACTACAGATGAATTAATTTAGAGTTGAAAATAATTGTCAAGAGATTAATAAATTAAACATCATGTCAACTAGTTTGACTTGATTGCCAGCAGAGGAGAAAAATACGTTTTTTATACAGTAGGTTTAATGAGAAAATTCATGTTAATAATAATATATGAGTTGGTACTTGAGTTCATAAGGATAATATTATGAGAATTCTGCGTTTGATAACCTCTTCTTTTCCCATGTAACTAGGCTCACAGGTCATAAATATTTTTTTTAATAATATGGTATGCACATAACAGGGAAGGTACAAGCATTGAGAAATATTCAGAAACTGACTTCTTTCAGACAATTTGGTGACGAATGAAATAAAATGAGCACCAGAAACTTAAATGAAATAGAATGAACAGGTTAGTATTCTTACGTGTTAGATATATGATGCAACAAATAGTGTATAAACATACAAGCTGTGACGACCATGAAAGCCTACAAATTTGCAGAAAATGACCCTGACTATGAATGAAAAACTTGAATTAAATGAACAAGAGAAAAATTCTGAACAACAACCACAATAATATTTTCACACTAGGAACCGTCAGTCACATGAATCATTATATTATGTTCAAAATCATTGCTAATTTTTGAATGAGTTAATTTAATTCTAATTCTACTTTAATATTGTCTTTAAGAATATTTGTTGATCTATCTTTATCTCCATTAGTCGTTTTATTTGTTTTCTTTTCATGTATCAAAAACATTTTAAGCCTTAAGCACGATTTGCTGGATCAAGGGTCCAACTTCTCATTCTCAGTTTTCATCAGGGGTCCAACTTAAACTCGGAAAATAGGCAAATATTACGACAAAATCATTTCTAACTCGTGGCTGTTCGTCATTTCCAAATTTCCTTCCCTTTTCAAATTAATTTCATTCATGCTGTTGTTTGTTTATACTGTTATATAATTTGTGTCTAGCAGCGCACACGCACAAACAAGCATATTGGCAAACTTGCTCCTTGCTTATCATCCATTGAATGAGTTTCTGTTGCATGTTAGAAGCCAATACATCATGTTGCTTTTCTTTTTCACTAGTTTGACCCTCTTGGCACATGGACAATCTCTTTGCTGTGCTACTATATGCTGTCCAGTGCAGAATCATCATCATGAACATAACATTATAAATGGAATGTTTTGGAAACGCATAAAGTATGAAAGACAAGCAATACTCAGATCCAAAATTAAGTTAACAAAATTCAAGCTCAGAACTGAGACTGAATAAGTGTTTTAGAAACATCACTTGCTAAATAAATCATTACTTTTATTACAAAAAATGCATGCATGTAATAGTACTAATATGCCCCTAAGCTAACTGAAATGCAAACTAAAACCAAAAGAAATGGAAACAACAAATTGTACATAATCAACAGAAAAAATGAGAAAGGAATTGAATTTCTTTTCCAATACCAAATCTCAAGACATCAAGTGTATATAGTCTTTTTCACTTATATGTTACTCAACTTGCTGGTTCCTACTTAAACATGAGACTTCTTTACACATTTGTGATTCCAACAACATAAGGATAACTAAGGTATGAATGGAAGTGGAGTGGGCCAGCATGGGAGATCAAGTGAAATTGTTTGCAAGGATTGAAACCCATGAATCCCATACCCAACAGTGTCAAACTGGTTAGTCTTCAAGTTACCAACAAATATGCGGTGAACATACTGAAAGAACACAACATCTCCATGATATGGATGAAAAGCTCGCACTTGCACCCCTCTACCAAGAAGCTCAACAGCTTGAACCGGCCCCAACTCGGGCCTCACACAATTCCCCATCTCCTGGCGAGGAATGTAAGTTTTGTGCACCAAACGCCACCCACTCTCTTCTTTCAAATCCCACACACACACGCACGCACTGAAAGACACATTGGGTACTACACTCTCAACAATAGACACACCACAAATTCTAATGTTTCCGCAACACACCCCAACATGACACCTAAGAGGAACGTTTCTTTGATATGACATTACAGGATAATCAACAGTGTCGGATTTCCCATCATTGCTAAAAGGGTCATACACTAGAAGACTCGTTTTCCCCATGAAATACAACCTTCCTTTGTGTGCAACCGCTGGCACCCAAACGTTAGTTTGAGTGAAACCACTGGGACAAGACACGATCTTTGTACTCCATTGCCCTGTCTCGGACGAGAAAACCACCACTTCAAACTCATACTTTGTTACACCATAAAGAAAATCATTCGCTGTTCCATCGAAGCAAGGAATACGCACTACCCTGAACCTAGGACTGGCACGGTTGACATTGACCTTGACCCTGTCTCCCTCCACACGATAATAAGGTTCGCATAAGAACCCTTCAAGCACGCGATCTCGACGATTTTGACCAGTAAATGGGGGAAGAGGAGGGAGGTGGACATAGTCCTTGGTGATGGGGTTGCAGACATAGTAGATTCTGTCTTGTTCTGATTTCTTGCAGAGAAGCAAACCATTGGAACAACCTAGGATCCTCGTACTAGGAGGGTCTTCTTTTGTTACATCGTAAGGATCGAACTGTGGGCCCAGGTATAATTGGTTTTGGGTTTGAAGATTAGAGAGATGAATGGTGGGTAAGAACAAGATTAGGAAAATACCCCTTGAGACAAAATTGAAGTAATATTGTTTCTCGTGATCCTCTTCCTTCATTTGTTGGAGGAGGGTATGATGGTGATCGATGAATCTCTCGATAAAGTTGGCTTGTGAGATGAAAGATAAGAAACGCTTTGAGATGGATTTGCATCTCACAGCCACCTTGCAAGGAACGCGGCTCCATATCTCAACCAATATATCATCTGATAAATTGTCCATGTTCATTTGATCTTCACAATCCTCTTAAGCCACCAAACTAATTGCTTATGCAAATGCTTCCCAAAATCTTGTGATGTAAATCTATGAAAACTAGTTCATGTTTGACTAGATAACGGTTAGTTGTGTGCAACTCCATCTTCAACAACAAATGACGAAGTCCACGGATTGAGGAACACGGCGATAAAAATATAACACCCCTTTACTTTTTACTATTTACTCTTTTTTACACTTTTTTGTTAGTTTGATAATTTTTTTTCTTATTTTAAATTTAAAAATGAATTAGCAAAAATAATCATATAAAGATTATTATTGTTATTCTAGGGGGAATATATGTACTTTAAGAGAAATTAAATTGTTTTCTTTGTTAAAAAATATTTATTTTATCTAATTTTGGTTGGAAATCTAAATCCAATTTAAAATGATCTAAATTAAAATAGTTATAGTTATTATTTATTTGAGATAAATTTGAAATAAAATATTTAATAACTTGCTAAAATCATAAAACATCACTTAATATAAAAAAAAAATTATTTAAGCAATGTATATTTATCCCTGTCTATAATTATACAGTCAGTGTATCAAATTCGGGCAATAAAATATCAATTTTGTTAAAGTCTTTCAGGCAAGCATTTAAAAATAATAATTTTTTGCTAAAAATATTTATTATATAAAAGATATTATTCTTTTTTTAAGAGGAAAATAATCAAATATATTATCTTTAGTTGCTTTAAATAAACACTAAAATGTTTATAATAATATTTTTTTAATAAAACATCTAATCATCATTTAATTATGTGATTTATATGAACTTTTTTTAAAAAAAATTAGGATAAAAAATATTCTTTAACGTTAATAATGTAAGTTTTATTATTAAAAATAAGATAATTTTAAAAAATAATTTTTTTAAATATAATATATAATCATAAAAGTAAATTATTTGAATAAAAACACACTAGCTATTTTATGATTTGACAGGTGTCTTAAATTTTAAAATAATTTAAAAAATATTAACAATTTAAAATTTAAATTAAATATAAAAAGTATTATATATTAGAGAAATCTTATAGTGTGACGAGGAAGAGAGTTAACTTCTAAAAAGATTGTCATTTAAAATAATTTATAAGAATAGAGAAATCTTATAGTGTGACGAGGAAGAGAGTTAACTTGTAAATAGATTGTCATTTAAAATAATTTATAAGAATATTTTCATTTTAGAGCGTCATTTGATCATAAAATAATCAGCTTTTTATATATTCAATTTAGAAATTGAGTTACCAATATATTAAAAATATCTTTTATTAATTTTCTAGATTTGTGTGATGTTTTTATATTTAATTTTTAAAAAATATTTTCAAATATTATCATCAAAACTTAGATTAAAAAATTTCAACAAAGGCTTGCTAAAGTTAAATATAATTAACCAAAAAATATAAATTTAGTGAATCGTTAATAAAATTGAAAGAAATTGAATATGATAGATATTGTGGATATGATACCACAAAGGAGAAGTTAAAAAGGAAAATGAGATATGATTAGTTAAAACAGAGTATAAAAAGGCACGTAAATAGAGAATATTGGAGAAGAGAAAAAGATGGAAGATTTGTCAAACGATTTACTGATTGAAACATGGAGTCGGCTTCCATGGAAGATGGCAGCGAGATGCAAATCCATCTCAAAGCGATTCTCAGCGTTGTTCTCGCAAAGAGACTTCATTGAACGATCCATCGTTCACCACCACACTCTCTTCGAAAACATGAACGAAGAGGAACACGAGAAACAGTATCACTTAAATCGCGTGGCCAGGCGCGTGCTCATGCTCACCTTCTGCCCCACCCTTCATCTTTGCAATCCTCAGAACCAGAACCAGAACCAATTGTCTCTGAGTTTCATGGGCCTAGAATTCGATCAGGAACTAACAGACCCGTTCGGCCCATATGCATGCATAGTGGGCTTCTCGAATGGCCTTCTTCTCTGCAAAAGGTCCAAACTTGAAAGAGATTACTTCGTGTGCAACCCGGTGACGAAGGAGTGGGTTCAACTCCCTCCGCTGCCGCCACTCCCACAGCACGGTGAAACTCGACGCGCCTGTGAAGGGTTTGTTTGCGAACCTTATTACAGCGTCGAAGAAAACAGAGTGAGTTTCAACCGTCACAGGTTCAGAGCAGTGCTTTTGGTTTCTCCGCCAAACTTCGATGTGACGATGACAAAGGTGAAATTCGGAGCAGCCATTTTCTCGTCCGAAACGTGGGAATGGAAAACAAAGTTGGTTTCATGGGACGAGCGTTTCGCGCCAGTTTTGTACGGTGATGTAGGAGTTGAATACGAAGGGAGGTTGTTTTTCAGGGAGAAGTTGAGTCTTGTGGTGTATGATCCTTTCGTGGAGGACGATGTATGCTATCCGATTCGTTATCCTTCGGGCTTGTTGGCTCGACGAGGTTTTGCTATCCGACGTGGGATACACGTGGGGGTGTCCTGTGGTGCCCTCAGAATCTTTCATGGGTTTTTTGTGGGCTTTGGGCCCGCTGGGTGTGCCGGTGTTGTATTGACTCTGTGGGAACTTGAAGAGGAATGTGGTTGGCGTTTGTTGTACGACACTTACCTCCCTCTGAAGGAGTATGATGGGCCCATACCCATTGGTGGGTTTTATTTTGCTAACGTTGACTATCCAATTACTGTTCTAGCTTTTCATCCCCATCATGGAGATGTTGTGTTCTTCCCATATATTGATCAAGTTTATGTTTTTAACTTTAAGACCGACACTTTTGGCCCATCTGGATATAGAGTTGATCAGTTCCCCGTACCCTTCGAAATTATTTCATTTCCCTTGCCGTTCTGCCCAACTCCACTTCCTTCCATGCCCTTCAATCATATTCATTAGATACTTTTTTCTTTTTTCTTTTCTGGTTTTGCTTCAGCTGATACATTTGGAAAATAAGGGATATTCCTTTGCCAGTTCTTAGGTCCTGTTCGCTATGCCCAAATGTTATTGTTACTTTATTTTTTTTAATAATTTGAAACTTTGATTGGAGATTCCTTGGTGCATGTTGTTTTAACACTATAGTTAGCGCGTTTAGAAGTATATATGTTAAGAAACTGTTAAACCTAGATATTTAAAGCAAAAATTTTAACTTAACTTTGAAGTGAATGTGGATCTAAAGCATGTTTAATATACATGCTTAATTTTATTAGCTTTTTTAATTATTAAACTTGGATGAACGACATATATATTATTCTAGATAGATGTGACAAATATTCTGTAGAATTTAAAATGTCAGTTAGTTGTATGCATGGCTACTCTATTAGTCATTAAGTTGTTAATATTTTTAATTATTTTACTGTCTAATTATAAATTTTTAACGTGAATAAAATTTATTAATATATAAAGATTTAATATAAACAACTAATATAAATATTTAATTGTATTAATATTTTTAAAGTATAATATAACTTTATATTGTATAATAACTTTTTATTAGTCTAAATGACTTGTTAAAAAAAATAATGGAAGGAAATACTTGACAAGATTTGAATGGATTTATCAGAGAACAAAGAATAATGCGTGAAGGAGAGAAAGTTGTACAATTGAATAAATTCATCACAATTAATTAATCGACCAAATTAAACAATATTATTCAAAGTCCACAGATGGAATTGGTGTAGGCCAGCATGGGAGGTCAAGAGAAATTATTTGCAAGGCCTGAAATCCATGAATTCCATATCCCACAGTCTCAAAATGTTTAGTCTTCAAGTTACCAACAAATATGCGGTGAGCATATTGAAAGAACACAACATCTCCATCATAAGGATGAAAAGCTCGCACTCTACATCCCATACCAATGACATCATAAGTTGCTGCACCAACTCTTAGATCGGGTCTTATACAACTTCCCACATTTTGGTGAGGAAGGTTAATCATATGAACCAAACGCCATCTACAATCTTGTTCCAGTTCCCACACACCAACACTTAGTGTTATAGTAGAGATACTAGATATTCTAATTTTTCCGCAACATACTCCAACATGACCACAATAAGGATATACGTTGGATTATGACATAAATGACAAGGGTAATCAATGGTATAGCATTCCTCATCATTGTTGAAAGGATCATACACCATAAGACTTTTTCGCCCCATGAAGTATAGTTTCCCTTCAAGTGCAACCGCGGGAAGCAAAAGGGTAGCTTGCATGAAACCCTTTGGGCACGACACAAGCTTTGTGCTCCATTGCCCTGTCTCTGACGAGAAAACCACTACTTTAATTTCGAACTTTGTAATACCTCTAAGAAACTCACTCAGTGTTCCTTCAAAGAGAGGAATACGAACCACCCTGAACCTATGACGGTTGAAAGTGATTTTGTTTTCTTCGACGTTGTAATAAGGTTCACAAACAAACCCCTCAGACATACGGTCACGCTTGTTGTGGCCAGTGAGTGGTGGAGGAGGGAGAGGGAGTTTGGTCCATTTTTTAGTGACGGGGTTGCACACAAAGTAGACTCTCCCACATACGGTTTTTTTGCATAGAAGCAAACCGTTGGAACAGGCCGTTATTCTTGAATAACGAACACTTTTTTTCCTTTTGGTTACATCATCAAGTTCGGGGTTGAATTTTGGGTTGATAAAAGTTAAGGACAATTGGTTTTTGTCATGGTTTTGAGGATTAAAAAGATGAATGTTGGGTGAAAACATGATAAGGAGTTTAAGCATAGAGACATGATTGAAGTACCACTCTTTCTCGTGATCCTCTTCCTTCATTTGTTGGAGGAGGGTGTGGTGGTGATAGATGGATCGCTTCATGAACTCGGCTCTTGAGATCAAAGCTAAGAAGCGCTTCGATATGGACTTGCATCTCACTGCCATCTTGCATGGAACACGGCTCCATATCTCCACCAATATATCGTCAGATAAATTGTCCATGTTGATATTGGATCGGAACAATGCTCCAAACCCAGCAAAATCAAACAAAATGCAACCAGTTTTGCTATTCAGATGCTTAGGTGTTGGTTTTTATACAATTTAAATATCAAGAATCTGTGAGCTAGTTCATGTATGACCAATTCGTGAAGGGTGAACAATCACCTATGATCTAAGTAATACTTGTCAATGAACTATGAGCTGGGAACTAGTCCAATGTTTGACTGGTATCTGAACTACGAAAGCCAAATTTATTGAAAGAATATACACGTTTTAACCATGTGCAAAAGACAAATTTGAAGTACAATTTATTAATTATTAATAGTGTTATTTATCAATTTAAATTTGAGTTTTATGTCAACAATATATAATGATATCAAATAAATATTATAATTTTGATTGATAAACAACATTTAATAAAATTATTAAACAAAACAACTCTTCATAGAATAATTTGATTCTGGCTCACTGAAAAATAGTATTTCCTAAGTTGGTCGCAGAAGTTGCCACATATAGCATGTTACAGATGGTTGGTAACATCATAGCTCCTACCACTTTTAATAAATTTACTAAAATATTTTTTTTGTTTTTTAATATATTAGCATATTAGTGAAATAATTTTACTTAAGGCACGATGTTTTTTTGTTTAATTATATCATTATTTTGTTCACTTTTTAATTCCTTGTCAACCTTACGATTATATGGTAATACAAATGATCAATACATTAAAATAATCTGGATTTTTTAAAAATCTACCATACACCTTTTTTATTTAACTATATATAATAATGTTTTTTTTTATTTTCAGTAATTATGAAAAGTAAGCGTGTGAGAATAAATTTTCTAAACACTACTTTTGAGTCGGTTCAAAGTATCCCCGTGAAACCGTAACGTGCAAACCGAGCGACCGACGAGGCCTGAGAACTTTTTATTTGTCATACCACATTAACTCCTTTAGTTGAGCCAATATTGTAAAAGCTTCCGTGATAGGCTTATTTATTTTTTCAATGTTCTTTTAAAAAATAAATTCTTAAAAGAATATTTTTTAAAAATAAATTTTCTGTCTGAAGTCTATTTTATCACGTCAAGACCTGTTTCGCATATTATATAGATAAAATATATATTTTTATTTTATTTTTTAAATGTTATTTTGTCTTTAGTAGAGACGAAACTATCAAATTGCGTCATGTGTGAACATTTGATGTGTTTCACCTACTGCAAAGATGAAATTTAATAATTAGTGTCATGTGTCATGATCTGGATCAATTTATAAAAATAGTTAAAAAAAAGAAAAAATTTATATTTTAATATTTAATTAAAATTTATTAAAAATAAAATTATAAAATTTAAGAATAAAAAATTATATAATTTTTAATTAACTTAATTAACAACTACAAATATATTAAAAATATATATTAAAATTACACTTATATATTATAAGATGCAAAAAAGAATACCTACTAATAAAATTATAAATTTATAATTTTTTTTATTTAAACTAGTTTGTAAATTAAGTGTGATATTTAAAAATTTTAATAATTTATATAATAAATATTTTTTTTTTTTATAATTTTTTATAGATATTTAAACTAAGATTAACAAATTCTTAATATTATATTTTTTTGATATTTTTATAATTATTAATTAATTTAATTAAAAATTATCTAAATTTTAATAATTTATTTTTAAATTAAATATTATGATTTTTTATTTTAATATATTTTAATTAAATATTATATTTTTTCAACACATTTTCATTAAATTTCAATGCTGCTCTTATAAATTTATAATTTTATTAGTATGTATTTTTTTGCATCATACATTATAATATATTTATAGTTGTTAATTAAGTTAACTAAAAATTATATAATTTTTTATTCTTAAATTTTTATAATTTTTTATTTTTAATAAATTTTAATTAAATATTAAAATATAAATTTTTTATTTTTTTAACTACTTTCGTAAATTGATCTAAATCATGATACATGGATTGAGTTTCATCTGTAAATTGATCTAGATCATAATACATGAATTGAGTTTTATCTCGAGTTTTATCTCTACAACAGACAAAATATTGAGTTTTATCTCTACAACAGACAAAATTCACTAAATGTTAATACATAGCGCACTTTGATAGTTTTTTCTTTACTAAAGACAAAATAATATTTAAAAAATAAAATAAAAATATATTTTATCTAATATGCGAAACAGGTGAAAAAAAACTCAAACAGAAAATTTGTATTTAAAAAACATTATTTTAAAAATTTATTTTTTAAATAACATTAAAAAAATAAATAAGCCCCGTGATAGAGGAGAAAGGTTAAGATTTCGATAGTTTGATATCAAGTAGTTCTAACTACTTATACTGCAATATGCATTTTTTTTAATATAATATGAATGACTAAATTATATAATTTCATATCACAATTTTCTTTCATTAAGAAGTCTAGATGGGAAAGGATGTAGGACCGCTTCTTTCACTTGAAAATGTTTGCAACTCACTTCTAGATCTTATAATCACACTATTTTAATTTATGAAAATTTCACTTTTAATTTTTAAATATACAAACAATTATAATTTATAAAATCATATATTAAAATAAAAAATTCATAAAATCATCGATTAAATGATCAAAAATTTAAAGAATGAAGATAAATATTTACTTATGTGGAAGCAAAGCCTCTAACGTTCACAAAATTCCTGTCTTCTAATGATAGAAGATTGGGGAATATAACAAGTATTCCCATTTGAATCCAATTGCAAAGGCAATGGGCCTCTTCATGATAGACAAGTTTCTAACTTTTGGAGTCTTGAAGAAAGTCATTTTCAAGTCAAACTGGGAAGGATACTTGAACCAGCCAACTCAACCACGTTTCTTCGCAGAAGGGTCCAGTATCATCCAGATGCAAGATTATCAGAATTGGCAATAGGAACATGATAATGTACTAGATTCTCCTCAGTCTCCTACATCAGATGCCCTTTCTGCCAGGTGAATGCAATTGCAAGTTTTATACTCGAGGAATAGATGAAAATTCATCTTATTTGACAAAATAGACGATCCTAATACTATATCAATTGCCAATAACAATAAACACGTTTTTATGAGAAATATTAGATTGAAAATGGATGTACTAGTTCAAAACACTTGTAAATGACTTATTTAGCCCCTTCATAACCATTTCATGAAGGGGACGAGCGATAAAAGAGCTTACATATATCACACTAAAGTTTCACACACCAAGTTTTAATAAAGAGCTGCAAACCGCAAGCTCAAGGTACATCAGACACGACAGATGGAGAGACACTTAGAAGCCACCACGAAGGCGAAGGACAAGATGGAGGGTGGATTCCTTCTGAATATTATAATCTGCCAACGTACGACCATCTTCCAATTGCTTGCCAGCAAAAATAAGTCGTTGCTGGTCGGGGGGAATACCCTCCTTGTCCTGAATCTTTGCTTTCACATTATCAATCGTATCAGAGCTTTCCACCTCAAGGGTAATAGTTTTCCCTGTCAGAGTCTTCACAAAAATTTGCATCCCGCCACGAAGCCTCAATACCAAGTGCAGAGTGGATTCCTTCTGGATATTATAATCAGCAAGAGTACGCCCATCTTCCAGCTGCTTCCCAGCAAAGATAAGCCTCTGCTGGTCCGGTGGGATACCCTCCTTGTCCTGTATCTTGGCCTTCACATTATCAATGGTATCAGAACTTTCAACCTCCAACGTTATGGTCTTTCCCGTCAAAGTCTTCACAAAAATTTGCATGCCACCGCGAAGCCGCAAAACCAAATGCAAAGTTGACTCCTTCTGGATGTTGTAATCCGCAAGGGTTCTTCCATCTTCAAGCTGCTTCCCGGCAAAGATAAGCCTCTGCTGGTCTGGAGGGATGCCTTCCTTGTCCTGAATCTTGGTTTTCACATTATCAATTGTGTCCGAACTCTCCACCTCCAAAGTAATGGTCTTTCCCGTTAAAGTCTTGACGAAAATTTGCATGCCACCCCTCAAACGAAGCACTAAGTGAAGAGTGGACTCCTTCTGAATATTGTAATCAGCGAGGGTTCTTCCATCCTCAAGCTGCTTACCAGCAAAAATCAACCTCTGCTGATCTGGAGGGATACCCTCTTTGTCCTGGATCTTGGCCTTGACATTGTCAATGGTGTCAGACGATTCTACCTCTAGGGTTATGGTTTTCCCTGTCAAGGTCTTGACGAAGATTTGCATGCCACCCCTGAGACGGAGCACAAGGTGTAGCGTGGACTCCTTTTGGATGTTGTAATCCGCAAGAGTGCGACCATCCTCAAGTTGTTTACCCGCAAAGATAAGCCTTTGCTGGTCCGGTGGGATACCTTCCTTGTCTTGGATCTTGGCTTTCACGTTGTCAATGGTATCCGAACTTTCTACCTCGAGGGTAATGGTCTTGCCGGTCAAAGTTTTCACGAAGATCTGCATCTGTTCAATCCAAAACTAAACCATCAGAAACAGACACATATGTAGGGACTCTAATCAAATCACAAACCCTAATACCTCATAAAAAGGGGGAAATGGAATGAAATAAAAAAAAAAAACTAATTGAAATTTTCAGAAATAATTCTACGTCTAAAGAGAGAGAATGAATTCGAAAATGAAAAAGATGAGGAAAACAGAGGGCGTAGGTACCTTAAAAGGGAAAGTTTCAGAAAAGGGACTACGAAATTAGGGTTGTGCAAATGCTGAGATGAAATAAGCGATGAAGAAAAGTGGGAGAGAAGGGTGGAATTTATAGCTTGGTTGCGGTGACTGAATGACAAAAATACCCATGAATGGACGAACGAGGGTTAGCCACGTGTGTGGTGAGGTGACGGACACGAAAAGATAAGCATCGCTTATGCGCAACGGATTACGTTTCTCTAATGTTCTGGCAGATTCTGTATTATCATCCACTCTTAATTAAACACTTGTTTTAACGTGTTTAACGCTTCGTTTCATATAAAACAATTCAAAAGTAATTTTGTTATATTTTTTCATATTTTATTTTATACAAATAAAAATAATTATGCGATATATCATATTTTTTTCACATAGATGATAAAATTTTCACTAATATGAAATGATGAAAACTTTTATTTTGTTAAAAATATTTTTCAACCAAAAGTAAATAGTTATTAGATTAAAGTTATAAAAATATAATAAATATTTTTTTCTAATAAAATTTTATTATTATTAACTATTTATCTTTAATCTTAAGAATTAACATTAATAAAACTCAATAAAAAATAATCAAGTAATGTTAGAAATTTTTAAAATATTTATTAATTATTTATTACATATATTAAAAAAACCAATTAAATGCTAAATAACAAATCTTTACACAAAAAAAATATATAATGTTTAGTATAGGCTTTTTGTTTTTTCATACAAAATAAGCATTAAGCAGACTTGAATTGAATGTTATGCATTGCCCATAAATTCGAAGTTGTGTTGGTTCTCATTGACAATGGCGGATGAGGTTGTGTTGTTGGATTTCGATCTCAGCATGTTTGGCATAAGAGTTAGGATTGCATTGGCAGAGAAAGGGGTCAAATATGAGTACAAGGAAGAGGATCTGGTGAACACTAAGAGTGCATTGCTTCTTCAAATGAATCCAATTCACAAGAAAATCCCTGTCCTTGTCCACAATGGGAAACCCATTTGTGAGTCCCTCATTATTGTTCAGTATATTGATGAAGTCTGGAAGGATAAATCTCCTTTGCTGCCCACTGATCCATATCAGAGAGCTCAGGCAAGGTTCTGGGCTGATTTTGTTGATAACAAGGTAAATTCAATTCAATTTTTTAGCTCCCAGTTCACCAATTTTAATTTTTACTAATTTTCCATCAGTTTTTTATCAACTTAATTAAACTATACTATTTGAGTCTGAGAGTAGTTTACTCTATTAAATTTGAATCAAAGAGAGATCTTATTCTAATTTGGGATATATATAATTAACAAGCTCAAACATGAGAAGCTTCTTGTGAGTTGATTTAATAAGGAAAATGGTAACAGCAGTACAAGTGTTATATATATGCTGACATGCAGGTGCATCAAGTTGCAAAGAAGATATGGACTGGGAAGGTAGATGAACATGAGAAAGAAAAGAAGGAATTAATAGAGAATTTGAAGCAACTGGAGGAAGTTCTTGGGGACAAACCATACTTTGGGGGTGACACATTTGGGTTTCTTGATGTTGCTTTCATTCCTTTTTATAAATGGTTTTCTACTTATGAGAAAGTAGGCAAATTGAAGCTGGACTCTCCTAAACTCATTGCTTGGGGTATCAGATGTTTGCAGAGGGAAAGCGTGTCCAAATTCCTTTGATGAAAAGGATGTTTATGAATTTGTTCTGAGCTACAGGCAAAAAATTGGAGTGGACTGAGACAAAAAGAAATTAATAATAATAAAATTTTAATATATCAGCCAAATAAATGAATGTACGTGGAAAAGAAATTATGTAATAAAATGTTGTGAATTTGAGCACAAAAATCGTTGGTCAAGAATCAAGATCCAAAGTCTGTAAATATCATAAAATAAAATGTAAATGACATTGACTATAAACAATTCCTCAAAGTCGCTTCCGTTTATAATTTTAGTGCACATATTTTGAGTGCTTTCCTTCTCATATATCAGATTATTTATTTTGTCTCGGTGTCATTGCCCACAGAACCAATTGAAAGAATGCAGAAAAATGCCAACTTTAGTAGGAAACCATCCTTATTACATCTGAGACATCATAAGTTTTATTAGGTGAAAATTAAGCACTGGTACAAAAAAATTAATGCAGAAAAAACTAAACGAGCTTGCATGTATAAGCACATTAAATCTTAGCGTTCCAACACATAAAAAGTTCTATGAAATGCATGAAGTATGGCACATCTAATGTGGCCTTTTATTAGTGAAAGACAAAGCAAATGATCAACCAAAAATTAATAACCAGTGTGATCATAGACCTTCTCATTCAACACCAAGCTTCTTTCTCATATCCGAAATGAGGTCATAGACCTTCTGCTGATCAGGAAGAGACATGGAAACGCTTTCAATTTGCATGCACCTCTTGGCCCATGCAATTATCTTGGGGCACTCACCCTATATATTGAGGCTGCCAAACGTCTCACAAGCTTGAAACCAACTGTAGCAAGGAACAAGTGCCACATCCACCATTGCTGTTCAATACATTGACGAAGTTTGGAAGGACAAATCTCATTTGCTACCTTCGGATCCTTACTTGAGGCACAGGCCAGATTCTGGGCTGACTTTGTTGACAAGAAGGTGACTTTCTATACATCAATGTATTGAACAGCAATGTATTCACAAACTGGTTTGGCATTGCGGATGAGAACAGGGACTCGCTGGTAAACTGGGTTCATTTGAAGGAGGAGAGAGCTCCTGTTGTTGGTCAAGTCCTCTTCTTTGTACTCGTACTTTATACCCTTTTCAGCAAGTGCAATTCGGACCCTCATCCCAAACGGGCTTGGCCAGTAATCCAGCAGAACCAAATCATCCCCCATTGCTAAGTTTGTGTAAGGTCACAGAAAAGATTGTTAAATAGTGGAGAGGGACTTGGAAATTATTCGAACAAGGGTTGGTTCGTAGCTCGTTATTTAATAGAGAAAGTTGGTATTGGTAGATGAAATTGTAAGTCAAGGAAAGCGAGGCAAGTTTGACTTGGCCAGTGAATGTTAAGATTATATATTACATTTACGTGAATTCATGTAATGAAGTGGTCACGATATTATATGAAGAATAATATTATTCATATAAATTTCTATACATTTATTTATTTTTATATTTTTCTATCTTTTTCTATCATATCAATTATCTTCTTTCATACTTTCTCTCTTTTTTTTTCTTTTATCTCTATATAAATTATTGTAGATATATAATGTGTAAATAACAATTTTCTTAGTTAAAGACCTTATATAAAAGGATTTATGATTAATTCAATTTTAGTTGTATTTTATACACATCCTAAAAATATTTAAAAGGTAAAAAAATAGATAAAATATATTTTCAGAAGTTGTTTAGGAAGCATTTTCTTGTTAACAAAAAAAATCTTAAATAAATTATTCTGAGTGTTTGACATGATGAAAGCAAGGTGTAATCAAATAAATCCTTTCGAAACCAACAAAGATTCATGTTGATATAGCAGTCAAACCGTATTCTTTTTTCATTTTTTTGAAAAGAACATAAAACAGTTACCATTTATGATGATTTGTTTTCTCAATGCCAATGCTTTAACAAGTGCTGTATTTCATTTGATACAAATTTTATTGGCTTATGTAGAAGCAAGAAACCCCATATCAAACAAAAATAGTTTTATTATTTTCTATTTACATTATACATATATTTTAATAAGAAAAAAGGAGAGAATTATTTTCATTGTCTTTCTTTTAGCACAAGTTAATTATGTAGAAGAAAATAAACAAATTTAAGTGTTGTATTACACAAATGCACCAGTGGTCTAGTGGTAGAATAGTACCCTGCCACGGTACAGACCCGGGTTCGATTCCCGGCTGGTGCATGGGTCTTTTGCCGGGCATTGCCTTTAATCTTTTGCCACTTCTGCTTTTGTGGGCATTTGTACGGTCAATACATCATTGCCTTATTACAAAGTCACCAATCATTCATAAAAATATACCAATCAAAATTAACAAGAGCCCCCCCCCCCCAATGGGGGACAGAAATTCCGATGGATCATGTAAATCTTTATTTATTTATTTTTTTTTCCATGCACGACAGTTTAGCATAGTAATGACACCAAAATATGATTACGCAGCTTTAGCAACTTCTATAATCAGATTGCTATTGTCATAGGCCCCACAAGAAAAATCTCCAACCACCACACCAAGACTGTCATATGCCATATATGATAAAATAATAATAATGCGGCGGCGCTTTCATTTCTTGCAGTGAAAACGGGCTTCGACATAATTGACAGTTATCCAATAACGGTATAGTAACCATACGGAATTATTCATCACCGAGGGAACCCTCTAGAGGAGATACATCCAGAACAACAAAACCGCCTTAGCAGACAGTAGAGCAGCCTTTTTAACTTTAGAATATAAGAAAAAGCAATATTAAATGTCTTGTGAAATGTTTTAGAACCAAATATGGATTGAAACAACTAACGGTATAGAAAGGAATAAATGAAACTTGGAGAAGACAGGACAAAGCCAATACACTAACATGGTTGATGATACGCCCTACACAGAAGCAAATGAAGTTGATAATATATAGACCTGCCAATAAACCCTGCGTGGAAAGGGAACATAAGTTTGGTCAGTAACAACCAAAATATAAACACATTTGAAGCAAATAAAAACTCAAATCAACCACAATCAGAGCTACCAGGCTGGTGTGACTGGTCCAACTTCAATATCCTGATATCCAAAATCCCAGTATCTTATCAAAATGCAGAGCTAAAAATGGTAAAGATCCTTCCCTTGTAATCTCAGCAAATTCCTGGAGAATGGGAAGTAACCAGCCAACAGTACAACCAAAGTACAAACCTATTTGAATCATATAAAAATCAACCACCATAATGATTATAAAGTGAAAGAATCAATATTGACTTGATATTTGATGATGACGCGCCCAAATTTTAAATTATTTGAGTTGAAAAAGCCAGACGTGTGTCCTCAGCCATAAGGGATAATGGAGGCGTTCCTGGACATTTTCTAAACAGAAACTTTGCGTGTGTGTGTTATAAAAACAGAAGCTTCCGACCAACAATGTTTAGTTTGTACATGTATAACCCTGATGGAAAAACTTTAGATTAAACAACGTGCTAATCCAGACATACCTATTTTCATGTAGGTGTTAGATAGCAAACAATATTCTCTACTCAAATCTCATTTTAAAAATAAGTTTGCATCAGATCATTGGGTAACTTACAGACAAGTTGCATTATTTGGAAAATTAGATCCAAATATTTAAGCTTTCAGTGTCAAACACAACTTTGAAGCTCTCTATGGGAGTATGGGTGACATGATACCATACTCCTCCTTTTGAGAGTTGAGACTAATCCTCATTAACCTATCATCACAAGTTGTAAAATCCAAGGATCCAAATCAAGCTCAGACACATCACAAACCAGAAAATCTGAAACCCATTTGTACAAGTCATCCAGTTCGAGTTCAACATCTTGAAGACAATTTCAATAGAAGGCAATATAGAAGAGAGTATGGTGAATGATTGATACAGTTTCAGCTCTACAAATGAAAAAATTACTTCTATAAAGCATACAACAATATTATGATTTAATAGTTCATATTTATTTTATTGAGTTCAAAATCATTTTATAATTCGTTTTTTAAGTCAAAAGAGAGCTGGTCAACAAAGGCAGAAAAAAACAGCCTTACTCTTATCATCTCAATTGGTAACAGAAGAAAAATACAAAAAGGTTTCAAGTTAAGGGCTCAAGCAAACACTTAAAACTTTGTGTCAAGTTCATTCTAGCACCACAGTGCATTTGCTGAAAGGAAGAAAGTACTTCTATTCATAAAACTTGCCTTGGGAAGCCAAATTGGAGTGTTTAAAATCCGATACAGACAGGCACTTAACCAAGCAGAATCAAGTAACCAATATTAGAGATAAACGGGAAAAGCTGATAACTGATATTGAATTAATTGAGCCAGAATTAAGTTAATGCAGGCACAGAACTACAACATAGAAGACTAACGTGCCTTTCATATATAAATCCAACTATGTCTGGGTGAGAATAGTTTACCAATTTCTAAATAAGAATAATTTACCACCCTTCCCTTTATTTTTTTAACTTTCTGATAGCATTAGTGCTTAGCAGCATATAATGTTACTGATTTGGTACTCAGTGAAAAATATTCCAGTTGTGTCGTAACCAGGTGTTGCACGGATTTTATGATATAATTATTCATAATTTTATGCAGGTGAATTACCTGCCTTAGATTTGTAAAGTTACACACTCTATCTCTCCTTGCAGTAAAACTAGAAATTTTAGAGATTACACTCTTGATGTTGGAGATTTTGGAATCAAATGCCGTCTCTGATTTTCTCAACTATAAAGATCCAATCTTTGCTTCGTGTTACCTGGATTGCATGCAACATAGAAAAATAAATTAGAAAGTTTAATTGAAATGACTGGTTAAAGAATGCCTGCTGTATTAGTATACTAAGATGGAAAATTTGCATAATCCAACCCAACAATTAGAAGGATATTATTGAATTTAGGTTTCAAGCCTAACTCATCCTCAAAAGTTAAGTCAATTGTTTTAGTTTTTATAAACTCTTATTGCACCATCTATAGTCAATGTGGGACTTCAGATATAAATAATCAAGTAAGTAGTTGAAGATTTTTGATCAAGATATTTAGTGATTTCTTCATAACAATTCTTAGAATGTCAACCTCATTTTATGAAGGACTATTAATCAGGTTTGTTTCAAGATATCTAAAAAGTTCAACAAATTTAATATGTTGTATTATGTATTATTATACATATCATATCGTCATGTGATGTTTAACATTCCTTTACCTAGTGTTTGGATAAAGCATTTTAGAATTTCAAAAACTTTAAAATGAAAGAAATCTAATTACATCAATTTAATTCATTTCAATGGTAAAATAATTTGTTTGGATTTCCATTTGAGAGATTAAAATTTTTAAATTTTTTTCATATTATTATCATTAAAATTTGAAATAAAGCCCTTCACTGATGGAACAGAGATGCATCAGTTGGCTATTGCTTCTTGGCATGGAATCGTGTTGAGTTCACCTTGAGCTGTTAGGCTTGGGTGTTAAGATATCTCTTTTATTGAGAATCACCATGGGCATAACCAAAATCCAAAAACATCATTTATTAGATTAAAAAAAAAGGTACAAGGAGATACTGAAAGCAAGAATGAAGAAAAACTAGCAGAACATTAACAACTGAAAGTGATTGCAGAATGAAAGGAAACATGAACTGCACTGAAAGCTGAGAAATTTTCTGGAGGAAAGGTTGTGCTTTGTTGACAGAGGAAGAAAAGGATTGCTAGCTAACATAGCACTGTGTCCTTTATAGCAGGAGAGACAGATCTTGGGAATATTAACATTCCATCTAATGACATAGAGTTTCAAATTCCCTGTTTTAAAGAATAAAATACTTTGCTAAAATATCTCAGAATTTTAAAAATTCTTACCCTAAAGGCCCAAACAAGGCATTTTATTGTAAAGAATTTTAATTCTTCTCTAAAATTGTCCACACCTTCCAAACACACTTTTAGATTGAGTTTATCTTTCACAATTTTATTCATTCAAAGGTGAGACTTAACGCAATTGGTAAGGTTGTTACCTTGTGACCTAGAAGTCACAGGTTCAAATCCTAGAAGCAACCTCTCCATTTTTGGGGATAAGGCTGTGAACATATCCGCTCCCCAGACCCCAACAAGTGGAAGCTTCATGGAACTGGGTTTATATCCAGTTGCCTGATGTTCCTTGGCTTGTCTTTCAAGAAAGACTTAGCCTTTATCTCTTCTTTTAAAAGTTTTATGCAAATGCAACTTTGTTAGTTTGATTTTGTGAATCAACAAAAGACAGGCCATTACAAAATATTTACATCTAAAAGGAAATGGTTAAGGGTAGTAGTATTATCACAGTTCAAATGTCATCAATAAATTAACTCAAATATCAAAATTAATCCAGTTTTCTATCATTGCTTTATCAGCCATGATGGCATACATCTTCCAGTTGTACTTTTAAGACAATTAGTTATCACTAACCAGCCTCTACACAATCTGTTTGAATTCCCATTATTGAATGCTGCAAATCATGCAGAAAGCCCACAAATATGAATGCAACAAAAAATATTTTGTATAGAAAAAATGCGTGCTTTCTTATGTCAATCAATTGTGATGATGATCATCAAGGTTGTTAGAAAGTTTATGTAAACTCAATGTAGTGTCCGTAAACTCAAGTCATAATCGTGAATCATAAACTTGTACGCGTTTATCTCATCCAAAAATATTTAAAAAGTTATACTAATAAAATAAAACACAATAATAAAGTTAAAATCATACTTAAATAACCAAATCATAAAATGATAATGTGATTTTGGGGTCTTATTTGTAAATGTAGTGTTTCACAACTTGCAAAGAAGGAAGAAAAGTTCTCATTCAACATAAATTTGATCATGAAACTTATCGACATTGACTAGAAAAAGACTTTATTTTGACGAGCCACAGCGAGAAGCTTAATGAAATAAAGTAAAAAGAGTTGATGAAAGTCATAAGCTATTTTCAGAAACTCAGCGTAAGCTTTACCAAATGCCCCCAAAACCTAATATAGAAAAGCTACTATGCATGGGTACTCCTAGAAGTTGTTGTACCCATACCAGGTACAAATTCAGTAACAGCACTTATTATTGGGTATACATGGCTACCCCACCCAATACTCACATATTTATTGAGTATGGTCTCCCAAGGTCATCAATCAATGATGTCATCATAAACCAGACAAAAAGCAAGTCTTTAACTCTTACATTATAACACTAAAAACCTCAGTAACCAAAAAGAAGAAGAAAAGAAGAGAGCACAGAAATTCCAAAATCAAGTACATTGAGGAAAAGAACAGAAAATAATATATCCTCATCTATGCAATGATAATTTAAAGCAAAGAATAACTGTGCTGAAAATTTTACCTGCAACTAGCGGAGGTTTATAAGCTGGAGGTAACTAGAAACAGAATTATTGGTGAAGGAGATTTCTAAACATATAGATAAACCAGGATAAACATCTAGAGAACATCCATTCCATACATCACAAGGCTCGTATGCGTCACACAATTCACTAATGAAAATGATAAATCTGTGCATCACATTCACAAGTATCTTACATAACATGGCATGCAATGGCTGCATTTGTATGAGGAAAAACAGAAAAATAAAAGTGCCTGACATTTCAATATTTGAATGATGCAATCAGCCTAACCAACTAGTCCTATTCAAATTAAAAAATCTGCAACAATCAGCACTAGGCCAGCCACAAGAAGAACAGAAAATCCATAACATTGCAACCAAAACAACATTCCAAATCTTATGGCAGGGTTTAATGGCAATGGATTGGACAAAGTACGCTAGCTTGGGGCATGGCGGCGAGCATTTCGACCAGAACTCCCCCTCTGCTCCGTCATAGCCCCTTCCTCCATCGCCACAATAGCCTCAAAGTTTTCCACCGCCTCTTTGGCTCTCCTCTTCGCCACGACGGCTTCCCTCGCCCGTCGCTCGGCCTCGAAACGAGCCGCTGCCGCCGCCCTGCTCATCGACAAGGCAGCAATCTGAGCGGCGGCAACGAGCACCTTGCCGGACTCAACATCGCAGGCACCAGTTTCCCGATCGGGAGGCTTGAAGAATGTGATGTTAGGGTCGACGCACGTGGGGCACAGGAAAGCAGGTGCGGCAGCAGCAGAATCGTCGGTGGAGGGGAGCGCACAGGATCGGTGAGCGATAGACGGACATCGAACGCACATGAGGCGAAGGTTAGGTCGAAGAGAATCATCAAAGAGTTCGAAGCAGATAGGGCAGAACGTGCCAGGGTGCTGTCTGAGGACGCAGTTTGTGCAGTAGCTATGGGTTTTGGAACGGTAGCGAACGTTATGGATGATGACGGAGAGCGTTTGGCTGGCGCCGCAGAGAACGCAGTTGGACGCCGAAGATTGTTGTCGTTTCATCGGAGGGTTATCGACGGTGGATAGAGCCTCCGTACGTGGCGAGTTCCAACGGTAACCCTAGAAATCAAAGACTAAAGAGTGCGAAATAGGATTAGGAAAATGGTGGGAACTACTAATTCTTTGTGCTCTCACCAACGGTTCTCTTTTCACTCCGTGTTACTATTTATTAAGTCTATATCTCTATCTCTGTTTAAGTGATTTTTACCGTTTTCGTTTGTTTCTATCTATCCACTTTCAAATATCAAATTTCACATTTTTAATTATTTTACTTTTAAATAAACAAATCAATATAACCAAAATATCTTTAAGAATACACAAATAAACAGAATGTATAACTAAAATATTTTCTGTGCCTGTGATATTTCTTTTTAGTGTATCTGAAAAAACCAATTCTGTTTTAATGCTGCATGCATCAAAATTATTCCTTTAAATATTTAGCACAATTAACGACTATAATATTTGTAGAACCAAAAAATATATATAAATTTTTTGGGATTAAAAAATTACTAATGATTCAATATTTATCATCAAATTATATAAACCCATAAAGTGAATTCAATAAATGACTTTATTTATTTTATCAATTTATAAATATTGTTATCTCTTTCATTGAATCATTTCATTCAGGTATTATCTTCATTATATATTTTTCATAAATCAATTAAAAATTTATTTTGAAATAAATTATATTATTATTTTATAAAAGAACGATCATTATATTTATGTTTGTGTTGAGTGATCTGTATTAATAAAAAAATTAACTATTTTGCTTTTTTAAAGTACAATCTAAAAATATTTACAAAAATAATTAAATCCAGCTTTTATGTAATAAATTAAATGTTACATAAAAGTTACTTTAATTGATTAAATAAATATTTTTTATGCTAATCAAAAAATTTATTACAACCCACCAATTAAACATACAATTATAAAAATGGGCCTTTTATTATATTTCATAAGATTATGACTATATTTGAAAAAAAAATTACTTATTTTTATCGTGTTATTATATATATATACATTCGTTAATTAAAATATATAATTTTAATCATATTTAATTTATTTTAACCTTAAATATAAATAATCTCGTGTATAGCACGAGTAAGCTAACTAATCTAAAAAGTAACATATGTCATATAAATCTAAGAGATATTGAGAGTATTTTTAATTTTGTTGTTTTATTCATAGCAAGCTGAATAGTTTATTATGTATTAAGTATTATTTTGATTATTATGTTTTTTAATGATATTTTTAAAATTTATTTTAAATTTAATTCTTAAATATTGATACATTATATCGAACTAAAAATATTTTGTAGTTAAACTGAAATTTAAAATTACAAGTAATGTTAATTCATTTTAAAATTTAAGATACCATGTTAATGAAGACATGACTTACCTTGATTTAATAATTTATTTTCATGATATTTTCTTAACTTGAAGAATGTTGTCTCTTTGTTTTGTTTTTATTTAACATATCAAAATATTTATTACTAATAGTAAAAACATTTCATAATTTGTTTAATTTAAATCTAAAAACATCTATAGATTACCCAAACAACTTTCTATAAGTATACAGATTATATATCCACAACCACAGAAAATTTTGTACTTCACTTGTGACTACTCCAAAATAACACCTCTAGCCTCTGAAATAAAGCTCTCTTATGGCAGCACCAAGTTTTCTTTTTGTTATTAACCATTGTGATGATAGGGATAAAGAATGTAGAAGCAACTTGGTAGTGACGTAGCATTGAAAGTAGCGTTGGATTATGCATTTTATAGTAAAAAATACTAATAATATAATCTCCAATGCACTCTCTTTAACATATTTTTATTATTTCTTACTTTTATTTTGTGTCAATGTCTTGCTATTTAACCCTTTTTTTTTTCTTATAGGTTATGGGCATTGTGTGAATTCACTTTATTAGTATGGCTTCTTTTTAGTAAATGAATGGTTTTCCTCTTTACAATTACATTTAATTTGCATTTAATTAAAAAACATATTTTTTTTGGTCATTTGGATTATTAGCACATTATAAAGATTAACCGGTAGCTATTTGATTTCTTATGATTTAAGTACTCGTGGAAGAGAAAAAATAACAAATAATAGATTTTTAAAGAACAACTAGAATATGACTTTATAAAATCGTCATATCTTCTTAAATTTTATCTAATTAAGAAGAAATTTGATTTTAACTCACTCTCAAAAATTAATAAAAAATTATCCAAATATCTGTGAAAAGCAATTTGACTTTGTTTCTATTTCACACAAAATATATAAATATATCATAAAAATTAACTATTTCATTTCTTATGATCTTAACATTGAAGAGAAAAAGAACCTAAATTTTTTAAAAACAATTGGAATGTAATATTATAAGTTCAGCTTAAGTGGGAAGAGCATGATATAATTTAACTTGTTAATAAAACCTGAATCTTTTGTTCCTAAAATTAATATTTACTATTCGAATTTTGAATTTTGTTAGTCTGGTCATGTGCATGACATACCTTAATAACAACAGTATAATATCTATTTATTATTAAGAAAAACATGTTCTATTGCACACATTTTTTGTTCTGTTGTTCATTCATGCTATAATACTGTTTTGATGTAGATACGTTGTAAACATGGCTAATCAGATTCTTTAAGAATTATTTGAATATAAATTTTAAAGGAAAATAAGAGGAGAACAAATTATTATTATTTTATTTAGAAATATTATAATTTATATTTTTATATAAATATAGAAAAATAAATTAATTTAATATAATATTTATTTATTATTATAAAGAATATATAATTTTATTAATTTTAAAATAAAAATTGTCATTTATTTTCTTCCTTTCTCGCTCCTAAAGTGAGAGAGTGAGAGAGTGAAAGAATGAAAAGAAAATATTTACTGTTAATTTTATTTTCATAATAAAACATAAAAACACGGCCCTAATTGAAAACCGAAGAAAAAAATGTTAAAAGTTCGGAGGGAGGGGTTTTGAATTTCAATGTTGAATGTTTTTGAAAGGAAGAAGAGAAGCATGGAAGTAGAAGACTGGGATTTGAGCGCAGAGGATCTCGATTCTCTCGAAAGAGACGCTTTCCAGAAGATTGCTCAACTACGCCACCCTTCTTCTCCGCATCAACACCATTCTGCAACCAACCAGTTCCCACCAAAACCCCTTTCCGGTTCACGTCCTCAAACTGTAAAGTTATTATCTTTTTCTCATTCGTTGTTTTCCCTATTACTTAAGGTTCACGGGTTTTCCATTTTTTGTCGTTATAGGGTTATGAAAATAATTTGTTTTTGTTTCCTTAGTTAAATGTTCATGCCTATGTCCCATTTAGAGTGAAACAACTAAAAATAGAAGCACACAATCTGTTTGATACTGTAATAATGTAACGATGACTAGTGCTCTGCTATATTGTCAACATTTTTGGGCGGGAGCATTGCTATTTGCTCAGTGTCATTGTTTTTATTATTTCTATTCAGGTTGGTGCTGTGTCGCAAGGAGCAAGAGTATTGCCCACGTCATTGAAGTCAGGGACAAACAACGGTATGGATTTGTTCTCCACCACTTAGTTGTAATATTCTATCTTTCTATATCTTTTTATTTGAATTTGTTTCTACATCAATGATTATGGATAAATTATAATAGCTATGAAGTCATAGACTATATCGTTTGTATTTGCTTGCGGTAATGTTTTTTCTGGTTTTGATCTATTGATATTTATTTTGTTTATCTGAGATACGTAGCAGATGAACATTCAAAAGACCTCCCAAAGATTTCGGTCAAATTTTTTCTTCATTCCACTGGAAATGTTGCAGCAAAGTTTCCATATGACCAGGTTTTCTTGGCTAATAACTACTTGCAGAGTATTGATTTTTATTCGATTTTGAATCATCCATATAAAAGTGTCAGTGTACTGTAGAGCTTCCAGGCTAATGCTTTGGACCTTGTTTTGCAACAGGGAGTAGTTGCTGCTTTTCGAAAAATCCCTAAATCTTCTTGGAATGCAAAAGAACGGTATGTTTCTCCTCCCTTCTTCCAATTTGTGTGTGTGCCATTTTGAGTGCATGTTAGTTCTCTGGATTGGCTACTTTGTTGCCTTAGCCTTGTGTGAAAACTATGAGTCTGCAGGTTATGGATGTTCCCGCTATCTTCCTTGTCAGAAGCAGAAAAAGTTCTTGGAGAAATATCTGGTTATAATGTTCAGGTGACAACATCTTCCTTTTTTTTTTTTCATTTTATTTAGGTTGTGTTTGGATGAGGTAATTAAAAATTTCAGAGAATTTAAAATTTTAAGAAATTTAAATCCCATCATTTAAATTTGTATTATTTTATAATATTTTGTTTGGATAGAATGATTGAATTTTCTTCATTTTAAATTTTTTTGTTTGGATAAAGTAATTAAGTTACATTCTTAAAATAAATTATCACTATATTTGACGAAATTAATTAAAAATATAAAATTTAAATGATTAAATTAACCGTAACTAAATAAAAATATGAATGAAACACACAATAAATGAAAACAAAAAATCAAAATTCTCACTTTTTTGTTAGGATTTAAAATTCTTTGATTTTAGTTTATTAAAAATCCCTGCTAAAATATCTGGAATTTTAAATTCTTTAAAATATAATATCCAAACAACAAATTTTAACCCATAAAATGGTAATTCTTTCAAAAGATGAATGACTGACTTGAAATATCTCATCCTAACACATTCTTATAATTGGAAAATTGGTGTACATTACTATTTATCAGACAAATAGCTGCACAGAAACTGGAAGGGTTGGTCGGTGAACCTTTCACTGTTTGTTCTGGGAAAACTATTTGAATGTGTTGGATTCCATTACAAAGTAGTTTCCATGGCTGGGATTTGCTGTGTTGAGACCCCTTGTGAAGATCTTTTGTATCTTTGAGATTGTTCAACCACTGCATGTGGTTGATGATTGTATAAGCTAGTGAGTTTCATGGAGGTTTGTTTGTTCGTTGTTTTTTCAACTAATAGGTTGTTTTATGTGGTTGTTCTGAATTATTTGGTTGGAGAGAAACACTAGTGTTCATGAGTTTCAAATCTTTACATTGGAGATCAAAGGAAATCCATGATGTATATTATTGCCCTGAATTCTACTTTAGTTTTGGGTTGCCTCCTTTCTAATTTTAATTTTTGTTTCTTAAATACTTTTTTTTTTCTTTTGTCTCTTGCCTTTATCAAGTTTCTTTTTCGTTTACTACCCTGTTCTCACTGTTTATGCACCATTGGATGTTCTAAACTTGTAATGGGATAGATTATTAAAGAGTAAAGCATCATATGTGGATAATATTATCAGGAGGTATGAATGACTGAATGTGGGATCTGAGGTCATGAATTCAGTTAATGTTTTATTCATCAAGCATTAAAAATCTGTTATCCTAGAGAACGGATGCATGCCAGGTTTTGTGCTTAAGTTTGTGGTTTTCTTTTTCTGAGATTATTTTGTTCCTTGTTTTCTACATTTTATAGCTTCTTCCTTCATTTCTTTGTATTATTTTACAGGTGGAAAGATTTGATCCCTTAGTGCAACGTGCCATTACTGCTGCATCTGCAGTTCCCGATCTTCGAGGTATACGCTGTGTGTTTCTTTATCAAGTTTTTTGTTCTCACCTTTCTAGATCTTCAAAGGCTTTAGGAATATATTTGTGTTTTCTTTTTTGCAAAAAATCTGAAGTTTCTATGTTTGGCTGCTTTACTGAAAGATCGGTATGACAAGATCCCTAGCTATGTTGAATCAAAGCTTATGCCATTTCAGCGAGAGGGTGTTAGGTATGTAGTGACCTGCTCACTTTTTTTTTCTCACCAGTCTCATAAATATGGATCAGTTATTGTTTTTTGTCTTTCACATCTTTTGTTTTTCCTTCTCTTATCTGTCCTTCTACCACACTTTGATTGTAGTTATTATTTATTTGTTTTCAGGTTTATATTGCAGCATGGAGGACGTGCTCTTTTAGCAGATGAGATGGGACTTGGGAAAACCTTGCAGGCAATACACAGTCTTAAATTGACTCATTTCCATACATTGACTGTGCACCATGCATACTAAAGTTTTAAATCATTACTTTGTGTAGACTGTAGATACATGTACACATTACCTCTATGTTTTTAATCAGAAGCTTTTACTTTGGTTCCTCTCCTTTCTTTGTTTTCTCTCTTCCTCTATTTGGGAAGAAAAGTGGTAAATATTTAATCTATTGGACTACCATATTACTTAAGTGTTCTATGTATAATTTTTCTTGGCTTTTGCAGGCCATTGCTGTAGCTGCATGCGTTCAGGACTCGTGGCCTGTTCTCATACTTGCACCATCTTCATTACGCTTACAATGGGCTTCTGTAAGGATTTTATTTCTACATTTTTCATCATTTAATAAAATACATCTGGTAACATTTGTGCTTTTTGTTTTGCTTTAATTTTAGATGATTCAACAATGGCTGAATATTCCTTCTTCAGATATACTTGTATGTTATTCATGATTCCTTTATCAAATATTATATATTGTCTATTCCCTTTCAATAAGTATAAAAACGTTAGAAGTTTTTTTTATTTTATTTGTTCCTTTAAGTTTTCCTTCTGATAAAGGATATAATTCATTTCATATTATGAATTTTCTTCTACTAACTACTTATCTTGAGTAGATTGTCTTACCTCAAAGTGGTGGATCAAATAGAGGAGGTTTTAATATAGTATCTTCAAGTGCCAAAAGAAGCATTCATCTGGATGGACTATTCAACATTATTTCATATGATTTGGTGCCAAAGCTACAGAATATGCTTTTGGCATCTGACTTTAAGGTTAGCAGTTAGCACTGTCCTGGTATCTTATTTTTCGGACTTTCATTGTGCTTCCTAAGTCCTAATCTTAACAATCAATATGTCAGTATTTGCCTTTAACCATTCTCAAAGGCAGAGTGAGTACAATGGATGGAGGAAGTCAATTTATATCTTATATTGTGATCAAAGTGCTGAAATACATGTAGTTTGATCACTTGATGAAGTACTTTGTGTTTGTAAACTGTAAGGTTCATTATGATCAGCAGCACTGTATGCTAGGCTGGTAATAACTGTGTTCTTTTGAAAAATGTGTTGTGAAAATGCTATAAAGATTAGAGATGATATATTTACTATTCCCCCCCTTCTTTTGAGTCTTTTAGCTGTGAATTCTAGTAGTCATTACTTATTAAATGGAAATTGCTTTCATTATCACTCAAACCAAAGTTAACTGATGAAGATTGCAATTTTTTTCACATGATATCATTAGTTTAAGGTTGCATGAGAATTTCAGAATATATCGCAGATATAACATCTATTATGATTTATGATCCAAATGTGAAAGCTAAGATATGAACTAATTCTTTCTTTTGTTCCAATTATGGTCTTTTCCCCTTTTATATGCTTTTTAAAAAATAAAGATGCTTTAAGCTAGTGGTCAAGTTATACTTATTTTTGACATTTTAGCTTTTATTCTTCTTCTTAGTATTGGGTTATCTATTGTATAATCAGAGCTTTTCCAGAAGCACTGACTGGGCATATATTTAATTATTTACCTGTATGCATGGTAAACATAGTTCCTGCTATAGCTGGTAAGTCACACTCTTAGCCGTGAACTGTTTTATTTATGCAGGTTGTGATTGCTGATGAATCACATTTTCTGAAAAATGCTCAGGCAAAGAGGACAACTGCTTCTCTTCCTGTTATTAAGGTATTCCCTCTTGAAAGCCATGATCGCATGCTTACTTCTGTTTTGCTACACTTACATCTAAAGAAGCTTGGTTTAACAAACATTGAAAACATACAAGGAAAAGTTAAAAGATGAAGAGGCAGAATTAAAAGGAAAGTTAAACAAAAAAGATAAGGAAGAAAAAAAAAACAGTACATGATCTATGCAGAGCATTTGCTGAAAGTTCAATACTCCCCAAAAGGATGTCTGGGGTCATATGTGAAACATTTAACTTGTGTTCTAGCTTCAATATTGCAGTATAGACTGCCTGCTTCAGAATATTTTCACTTTATTAAATTCTCCCATTATTTCTTTCAATTGTTGACAATGTCAGAAAGCTCAATATGCATTATTGCTTAGTGGAACTCCTGCTTTATCCCGACCAATTGAACTGTTCAAGCAGGTAGCTTCTTCATGTTTATTCAGGTGCCATACCTGATTACTGTTTGACATTATTGGGACCTGCATTTTGATAATATGTTTCAAATTGTGCTCTAGCTGGAAGCTTTGTATCCTGATGTATATAGGAATGTTCATGAATATGGCAACCGATATTGCAAGGGTGTAAGTCATCTCTTCTTTGTTAAAGATATGATTTTCTTAATTAGTCAGTTTTCCTTTTGCTGTTAATGGATGAGTATTCCAGCCTGTCATTATCACATGAATTTTCCAGGGGATTTTTGGAATTTATCAAGGTGCTAGTAACCATGAAGAATTGCACAACTTGATGAAGGCAACAGTGATGATTCGCAGGCTTAAAAAGGATGTTCTTTCTCAACTTCCTGTAAAGCGCAGGCAACAAGTGTGTACATTCATCACCATTTGTTCTCTGCAATCTATTTGATGTTGTGCACACTCTTGACACACTGTTAAATTCAATGTATTTATGTACACAAGTTGTTGATGGGACTTCAGAATTAATTATTATGTTTGTTTTGTAATTGTTTATTAGGTCTTCCTAGACTTGTCTGACAAGGACTTGAAGCAAATTAATGCTTTATTCCGTGAGGTAATTCAACATATCTATTGGACATCTTGAGATAAGTACAGCAACATTCAGTTTTATTTAGTTATATATGACAAGTTAGTTGTGAGATGCAATTACTACATGTCTTGGCAATATGCTTTTAGCTTATTTTTGGCATATAAAAATTTGAGTGATATATATATATGTGTGTGTGTATGTATATAGGACCGTTGAATTTCAATTCAAATAAGTAATTGACTTCCTTTGGCTGGTCTGTTTGATGGTTATTGTTATTGTGAACAATGTTATCAATGGCAAATGGCGAATGGTGGATGGCGGCTCATGGCGGAAACCCAAAAAATTGCGATAAAGTTATGGTGGCTGCCATGGCGGGTTATGGCGGATATAATAAAATATATAAAAAAATACTATAGGTCACAGAAAATGATAGCCATGACATGGCAATACTATGTGTTTGGGAATCTTCCTCATCTTCACTTTCATCATAGCTTATACTTTCAAAGGTTCTCACATTTGGCATTTCAAAGTTGTTTTGACTCTTTTTATTCTTTTTATATGCCTCAATCTCTTTTCTAATTTCTTCAAGACACTTGGTGCAAGTTTTCACGTTACCTTTCTTTCCAATCAAATGTTGTTTCCCTCTAGTTATTCCAGCACTTATAACTTTTCCACAAAAATTACATACAATGTTGTTTGTATCACCCTCTTTTAATGAATGAGCATATTTCTATCTTGGGTCAGATCGATTAGAAGCTCTTGATGATGAAGATTCTTGTTGAGCCATGTTAAGAGAAGCTGAAATAAAAATAATTTTTTTTTATAGGAAAAACAGAGAAAAACCAAATATGTGGAAGAGGAAAAAATTGAAAGATAGAAAGGATAAAATTGAAATTAGGAAAATAAAGAACAAACTGCAAGAGAGGGGGAAAAAAAAATGGCTACCGAAAAATATGGGATCGCCGAAGATGGAGGTCAGGTCGCCGCAGATGGAGATGTCGTCAGAGATGGAGAACAGAGTGGCGGCCGCAAGCAGAACAAGTAAAAAGTCAAAGAAACAGAGATCGAAGTACGTCGGAGAACAGAGAAACGAACAGAGATGAGATTGGAGACGAGAGGGATTAGAAGAGAGAGAGAGAGATCTGAGATGAGGGTCGGCTTTGAATGTCGAAGAAGAGGACTAACCTTATTTCTGCGCGGGTCACTGTTGGGCCGGGTTGGGTTTGGGCCCAAACCGTCGAATCTGCCATTTTTGAAGGGTTTCCGCCATGGCCGCCATTACCGCCATGAGGGTAACGACCGCCATGGCACCGCCATCTGAATTCGCCATTTAACGGAGGTGGTTTAACAGCAGTCTTCAGAACTGCCATGGCGAACCGCCATAGCTGCCATTTGATAACACTGATTGTGAGTACTTTTTTTAACTTGATTTTGCTAATAAAATAAATTGTAGTCTGGCCTTTAGGGAATACAGAGAAAGTTGATTTCTCTTTTTTACTCATCAAATTGGTTTGGAAATGGAATTTGTTCTGGAATTTTTATCTAGAACTGTGGCAGTAATTTTTTTAATCCAAAAATAGGTTATTTTACTTGGAAACAGTGATATTTGTGATTTGCTGTTGGAGGTGGTAAATATTGTCATTATTGATTCTTGCTTTTGCAGTTGGAGATGGTAAAAGCCAAAATTAAGGCATCTAAATCAAAGGAGGAAGCTGAATCACTCAAGTTTACTCAAAAGAATTTGATTAACAAGGTATGGATGGAAGGAGCTCTTAACAAAATTTTGGGTTGCACAATATGTTTAAGAAATTGTAACTAGATCCTAGAACTAAAAACTAGGTTTTTAGTTTGCTTACTACAATGCATGCTCACACTTCCTCTGTATATGAGCAGTTTAAATTATTATGATTGCCTGTGATTAAACACTGAATCTTGATTCATTCAATGCCAGATATATACTGATTCTGCAGAAGCCAAGATTCCATCTGTTCTTGACTATGTTGGAACTGTAATTGAGGTACTCTTCTGCTATACTCTAAAGCAATTGAAGATTTACTTTTTAGTTTCGACTGTTGCAACTGTATGTGCTCAGATTGCTTAGATTTGTTTTCAGCTCTGTATCATCTCATTTTTGTGGCTGTAGCATGTGTTGAGTGTTGGAAAGTTTTGTGATGATAAAGCTTGCTTCCATGAGACAAAAATAGAGAACCTTTACTATGGTTAAAGTCCAGAGCACTGAAAGTTGCTTCTCTTCAAATATATTTTCACACCATAGATTTTGGTTCTCAGGTGTAATGTTGCAGAAAAAGGCAATGACACTTTCGTGTGCCTGCCACTATAACCATTGGTGTTATGGGTTGGCTGATATAATTGGTAACCCAAACATAGATTAGCTGTATGTCAGATTAAGGGTGCACTTTTGATAAATGAATTAGGCCCAATTTAGGCAAATTTTTAGATAAGTACTTATAGAAGAAGAGAAGCAATATGAAAAATGAATATTTTTTTTTTCATAAGTTACAAATTTTCTAGCTTATACTCTTTAAATTTTAGAGAAGTTAAATGAAAGAGTTTATAAAAAAATACATAAGCACAAGTTGATTTTAACTTTTGAAAGAAGTTTGATTCATTTTATTATTTAATGTTTGACTTAAATAACTTAAGTTTATCCAAACTAGACTTTAATTAAACACTTTTTTAATAAGTGCTTATATGTGACCTTATGCTACAACATGCGCTTAAATTCAATAAGCTATTTGTGTTAGGATGCACACTTTGCAAAGTGCTTACACAAATCAAGGCGATTGGATACATCATTACACAAGCATTTATCACAATTTCAAAAAAGGTTTTTTACATGGTGAGGAGACCTGCAATCAAGACATACTTGGAAAAATAGAAAAAAGGTGTTTTTTGTGTAGAATACGAGACTCAAAGATGGGGTAAAATTGGGTTGGTGAACAGACTGCATGAGGTGATTTTTACGAGCTTATCTGAGTAACTTGTGAAAATAAGATAAAAGCAGCTCACTGGAGGCTCCCAAGTTATTTCTGTAAGCTTACCCAAACACTTGACTAAGTGTTTATGTCATAAGATAAGGTCGAATAAGCTGTAGATAATCTTCTTCCATAAGCCATGTAAATATGAACAGATAGTTGTTGAGTTGATTGGTTTATCTCGTGCTTCACTCCAAATCAAACAAGTTTAGCAAATCATTATGTATTCTTAATTAAATAGGACAGCATCTTCAATGTTGTCATCTTGCATCTTTCTGGTGATTTAATTTGGGATGTTGACCTTCATTTCATGTGGTAATGCTATGTTTCATTATTGTTGCAGGCAGGTTGTAAATTTCTTATATTTGCACACCATCAGCCAATGATAGATTCAATACACGAGTTTCTTCTTGTAAGGCCACTTAAATTTTTCACATCTTATCATGGAATGATAGACCCTTACAACAACTGTTAAAAATTTCCAGAAGAAAAAAGTGGGTTGCATCCGGATTGATGGAAGTACACCTGCTACATCAAGGCAACAATTGGTTACTGAGTTTCAGGAAAAGGATGCTATCAAAGCAGCAGTGGTATGGTTGTAACATATATCCTTGTAATTATTTTTGTTTTCTCTATTGGGCTGTTTAGACAATGATAATTCTGATATAAAATATGGTTCAATTTTGAGATAATTATTTCCCGTTCACATGTTGTCTTGCAGCTATCTATTAAAGCTGGAGGTGTTGGGTTAACTTTAACTGCTGCCAGCACAGTCATCTTTGCAGAATTGTCTTGGACTCCTGGTGACTTAATTCAGGCTGAAGATCGTGTTCATAGAATTGGCCAGGTATTCTCAAACTTGGGTGTTGTTAAGTAGAAGTAAAAGAGAGAGAAAATCCCCTCGCAGTTCAGAAATCAGCAAAAACAGTACAAGAGTATTAGCATAGTAACACCGAGAAATTGTGGTGATCTCTAGAGAAAATTGTGATAAAATATATCTGTGAAGAAAAAGATCTTCCATTGCTTAGCTTATTTTGATCTTTTTTGTAGTAAAGGATAATCTATGCTATGATGATTTTGACACGTTACTTCTTGTTTTAGGTGTCTTCGGTAAATATATACTACTTGCTAGCAAATGACACAGTTGATGACATCATATGGTAGGTTTTTGTATTTTTTCTGCAGTTAACTTAGGCTTGGTGGTTGGTATTGACTTCTCATGTCTTAGATGCATTGATAATCTCAAATTTTTCACTTATTAGGGACGTAGTGCAAAGCAAACTGGAAAATTTGGGGCAGGTAGATCTCTCTTTTTCTAATGCAAAATTAGAGTAATTGTATATACAATTTCAATATAGTGAAATGACATGAAGGTCCAATTCTGCTTTATATTTCTACCCTTGAGAGAAGATTTATACTCACTTTTTAATCATATGAATTGATGTTTTTAAGAAGCATTCTGAATTTAAGTTAATGACACAGATGTTAGATGGCCATGAGAACACCTTAGAGGTCTCAGCTAATTTGCCGGGGAATAGCCCTGCAAAGCAGAAAACTCTTGACCAGTTTGTTAGAAGATGTAATAACATGGATGGGTTGGAACATCAGTCCAACCCCAAACGACCGCGACACTGACCCAAAAGTTCGTGAAAGAGTAAGTAAATCCACTCCTGCATATACATGCATGACTGTTGATAGTGTAATTGGAATTGGGTCTTAAAATGCTGGAGCATGTTGATCTCTACTTGGAGAACATGTAGAATGTTGCAGAAATATCGTTGTCCAAATGTTCGGCATTAATAATTCTTTGAAATTTTAACGGCAGGTGTTTCAAATTGGAGAATAACCGTGTGTTGGCACTCTTTTGTTCATCTCACTAGAAGGGCTTTTTAAGCATGGGGGTGTAGTTAAAATCTAATGACCAAAAGTCGTATAAAATACCGTCTTAGTTCAACTGACAACTCTAAACTATGCAGCTGGTGCCAAAGGAACTCGTTAATTTTGTGGAGTATATTATGTATGGGATGAAAATGGTGATCAGTCTCCCAACAGTTTATTGGTTTCAGATCCCTTGGTCACTCACCCCAAACTTTTTTACCCCATCAGTTGTTAGTGGGATTTGTACAGAGTACATTATCATATGAATGTAACCTGTAAATTGCTTTACTCAATGCAAAGCTTTATTTTGTTGCCTAATATGCTGTTTTGATTTTCTACTTTTAAAAGCAGTGGAACATGTGTTTGGTTAAAGCGCTTTACAAGCCCTGCAAACGCAACATTTTTAGGTTGTAGATTAACAACATTGAAATTGATCAAGTCAACTAAATGAACTGAGTTGAAGGAATCCCCCAAGACACTTGATGCTAAACTGTACCATCAGATAACCCAAGAACTAATGCCACCCAAATATTGTATAAGATAATAATGAGTGACACAAACGAATGACATACAAATTTCAATATTAAATATATATTATTAGTTTTAACCATTAAATATATAAGATAACAACTAATGAAAAATGTTAACCTGAATTTTTAACAAAAAGAAAATATTATAATTTAAAAATATTAAATATATTTTTTTTCAATATGCTTAAACTCGGCTGGGGCGAGCATAAGAAATCCATTACTAGTTTATATACAATCTGAACAATTCAGAAACCAGAATTGACAATGGTGTTTCCTCCATTGCTACTGGCTACGTATATACAATTATAACACCAGCCATTTCCATATTCCATAACGTGTGCATCAAGTAGCTGCACCTGCAAAACCCATATCTCCGTGACTGTCCCCTAAAAATCTGGCCACAATAGCATCCACATCATCTATACCAACCCCAATGCAAAGAGGGTTAGCTGGAATCTTGACAGAATCATTAAGTCCCTCAGCAAGGCTATGATCAACAGAGTTCTGAATTCTCACATTAGGAGCACTTTTGCACTTGCCCATACACTTACATCCAACAACAGCACCACCTTCAACGCCCACCACCTTCTCAAACTCTTGCAACAATGCAGCAGCCCCTGATCTTTTGCACTTGTTACCCATGCAGACCTCAATCTTCTTCTGAGGAGCAGTGGTAACTACAGCACTTTCATTCCTAAAGCCAACACTTATGCCACCAACAGAGGTATCATTCTTAGAGCACAATTCCATGGCACGATGATGTGCACTTGTATCGTCAACAATGGTGGTCTGGGGCAGTGAAAGCATGGTAGGTGGCTGCAACTGCAATTCATCTACTGGTGCAGGGGCAACAACAACATCAACACCAGCTCTGAAGGTTTTCATGTCAACCACCTTATCACAATCACTGTCACTTGATTCAGACGATGAAGATGAAGATTCACAATTCATTTTTGATGCTTTGGCTTTGGCCTTTTTCTCTTGCTTCCTTTTCTTCTTCATTTCCTTCTCCTTTGCTCTTACTAGTTCCAACTCTCTCAACAATACCTCACCAACATCCTGCATGCAGTTAAACATCAAACTTGCTTCATTTTTCCTTCTTGGCAAAAAAATAAATTTATTATTGTTATTATACGTAAATATTAACCAATGTTCACATTGGTTTATGGTTAAGAAATTAAAAATAATTTTATTAAAATATAATTAATATAATTTTCAATATTTGTTTATTTATCAATCAATTCTTTTACAGATAATAATAATAATAATAATAATAATAATAATAATAATAATAGTAATAGTGTGAAAAATAAAAAAGAACTTTAATTCCGGGAGAGCAAGCAAGGTGTAATTCATAATTCTGAACAGAAACCAGGGTAGAAAAAAAGAAAAAAGAAATTGTACCGAGGTGGGGTTTGTCTTAAGATCATGGAACAAGGCACGTTTCTCAGGATCCAAAGCAAACCCTAATTTGGAAAGATTCTTCAGCAATTTCAACTTCTTCTTCGCGGTGAGAAGAGGGGTTCCCTTTTTGTCATCCTGGTAATACTGGAGATGGCCCTCGTCACAGAAACCCGAACCCGACGCCATTCTCACCCTGGTCCTACCCCAAGCTCGAGGAACCGCGCCACGGGAGAGGGCCCCGTTGCCGGAAACATAGGTTACCTGACGGAGAACGGTGCCTGAGATCTCCATGCGCGACGGCGACGATCAAAGTCCTTCAAAGATGAAACAAACCCTGATCTTTTCCTTCTCTTTTTCTTCTATTGGTTACTATTTCTCATTCTTAATCAATCATTTTTTTTATTTATAAATTTAAACTTTGGCTTGCGTGGCAGTTTTTGATTGGATATTGATGACATGGCATACAATTTTGTTTTGCGCCTGGCCCGCGCGTGAGCGTTTCAGTTTGCCACGCTTTGCCTTCTTCGAACGTACGAATTAGTTTGATGTCGATCGTTGGATTCATCGTCCGAGGGAAACGCGAGCTGAGTTGCGCGACACGTGTCGTGGATTTGTTGACGTGTCATCGTACAAATGACACGTGTAAAACGGTGCGTTTAAAATCCTGAAAGGTCTATGGTGTCACCAGCCTCCTCTTACTGTTAGATATTGTAATATCTAATTAAATAAGTTACAAATTCCAATGTAATCGGATAAGTTTAATTTAATGTTGTTTAGATTGAATCATATTTTAGTTTTGATTTTGTTTTACAAACTCTAAATATAATCAAAATTAAATAGTTCGTTCTGACAGTTCTACATGAAAGAAAGATAAAAAGAGAAGGAAAAAAAAGGAGAGAAACAGATAAATAAAGAGATATATTTTTTAATTGAATTAATTTTTAAAATTAAATTTGAAAAGTTCTTCAACTCAACAAAAAATTATCTTTTTAGTTATCTATTTTCCCATTTGATTCGTACAGTTTGCATTGAGTTTTATTGATTTATAAATACTGATTTCATCGCTCATTAGACAAACTAATAAATAAAAAAACTGTTTTTTTTTTCTTGATTAGTAATAACCTAAGCAAAAATTTATGTATTAGAAAGCCAATATAATGTTAATTTCACACTTTGATCTGAAAATTTCTCACCCAAGTATCATCACCGTCATTGTCATCAATTGTCCATCAACGTTTATTAATCTCTCTCCTTTCGTTTATGGTATGGGGTTAAAAATGAAGGTAAAACATTCATGGATCAGATTTATTTATCATTGTACTGAAAAATCATCCACAAAAATCAACATTGTTAACAACTTATCCTTAATGTAGCATAATATTTTCACAATCGTGTATGAAAAGAATAAAGATTATTTATCATGAAATGTCGGGAAACAAGATTAGTTTTCCAATCAATATTGAATAAAGAACCATATTTCCCAAGCTCTACACATTGAACATGACTAATAAATTATTAAATTAACTTAGTAAACATTAATCATTTGCACTTACACACGGCAAAGCTGCTTCTTCAAGATCTTTTGATACAGCACTAGCGAGAACTACCTAAAAAATTCACTAATGAAATTAAATAACTCAAACCAAAGATCCTATTCCTAGGTTGTGACATATTGAGAGATGCTAGTTCATTAGCCATTTGATCCTACTATTAAGTATTTCTTTCTTCAGAATCCCATGATGTTCTTCCATATTTCTTCTGAGGGGTTCATAGTGTTCTTGCAAGCATTAACCACTGAAGATAGGAAAAAGAATAATGAATGTTTAATAGCCATTTTTTCTAACCATTAGCAATAGCATAACAAATCAGCGACTTCTCATGATGTTGGTATGCCAGCCAAGAGTTCTCGAGATCCTGCTAGGTGTCCTGGTACACGTTGCCTTATCTCTTCAAAAGCACACAAAGTTTCTGAGTCCAAACCTCCAGCAAACTACAAAAAACATGCCAACATAAGTGTGATAGTGTAATAAAAATGATAAAATTAGTAGTGCATTCAGTTTATCTACCAGAAAACGAGGTATCTTGCTTCTTCATGCAAACAATTTGCTAAAGCTAATCGAATAGTGTATATTTGTGAACAGGTAACTTTTGTCTCATGCAATGCTAGGTGTCATTTTATAACATGTAAAGAAACTTGTTCCTGGGCATCATGAACGTTCAGAACCATTTTAGCGATTTGGCAATGTTTGAAACAGCAATCTGGTTTTAGTGACAGGATTAGTTCTTCTGATGGTACTCATTGGGAGAGTTTAAACCTTCAATTTAGGATATGTTCTAGTGACACATTTCTGAACATTTGCCAAGTTACAGATTTACAGCCCTCAAAGCTTGAGGAAAATTGAAACTGATGATAAAAACATCTGCAGAAAGTAGCCAAAAAATCACCTGATGAGCCCGATATGCAAAATGCACGCCCTGAAGCAGAAGAGAATCTTGAATAGATTCTCTGTCCGAGTTCTGAAGTGATTCAAGCTCCATTGTCACTCTTTTCATGTACATCTTCACCAGAGTCATTGAAGCTTGCTTTATCTGCATGGATGGTATGTTATGAACACAAGTTTTACCATGTAAATTTAGCATGAGTGTGGATGCACTTTCCTAATAATTCACAAAGATAACAACGGAAGGAAAAATGCCTTCTAAGAGAAGAAATTAAAAAGAAAAAGTTCAGGCATGTTTTTCAGGAATTTTTACTGGTATTTATATAAATACGAACAACTTGTGATAAGAAAAGCCTAGATTGTGATCATTGGAAATTTATGGCCGTCTCCTGCGGTTATTGGTGATCAATGAGAATATAATACTTATGTTTGAATGTGAAATGGCTTTTTATCTGTAAAGAGGAATCATGCAGGATGTGACTAGAGAGTAACACATGCATCCTTCATTGGATTTGTTACATGTAGCTTAGTGTTTCATTTACATTAAGTAAAATCAAGACTAAAAACAATATATGGTGGAGAGGTGGGATTAAATGTAAAAAGATTGATGCCCAACTGTGCCTTATATAAAGCAGTTTGCCTCAAGAGCTAAATCTATTTACACAAACTAGCTTAAACAAATGCTATATCATTAAAATAAAATTTGAATGCTGTTCGTTATTCTCATTTCATAGCTCTATACCATGTTTAGTCAATGTTCTCATTTCAGAGTAGAAGCATAAAAAAGGATACCTTGCTCATTATTCCAGAATCAAGCATCCATGCAGTTGGAATGTTGTACACATGATATGATTGTGTGACTGAATTTCGTAGCTTGATTAGTCTCTGTATGCTCCGCTCAGACCTATCATAATGAGACAAGATGAAGGACAGAGTTAGCATCCCCAACCTTTAAATTGCCAAATCAGTAATGAATAAATAGGAACATTATCTTGATATCAATATATCTAACTTGTCTAATAGCGTGGCCATCTTTTTTAAGGCAGATCCACATGGAATGTTAGGGTCATCCTTGTAGCAGGAAATCTCCTGTTCTAACATTTTAATCTCATGATACTCAACTGCAGCCTCTCGCATTGCATCAGCTTTCTTCTCAGGCCACTTAAAATGCTTCAAGACAGCACGCTCATCAGCCTGCAGAATACAAAATTTGGAGATACAAAGAAACCATGTGTTATTGTTATTTATGTTGTACCACCTGCCCACAACATCACATAACACTTGCATATTTTCATGAATCTTTTAGTTATGTCTCATTTCGTCTCGGACATTTACACTTGATATCTTAACCTCTGCACAATCACCTTTCCTTGAAGGGATTACTTCATTTATGAAGGTTAAAACTAATAAACCAGTCAAACTCAAATGAATAGGAAAGTATATATATTTTTCTTGGGAACAGGAGGGGAGATGACAAAAAATGCTAAAGCAGCAAGCCTATCTTTCAGCGTCCAGATAAAAAAAGCAAACAGTATCATAATGGAATCATATTATATGTCTTAAAGGATAAAGAATTAACATATATTGGCTGATCAAGCGGTAGGCATTGGCCCACTAGATATATAATTTGTTTAGAAACTTACCAGTGATGACAGTTCGCCATCAAGCCAATCAACAAACTTTAGGACCTCTTCAATATCTGTGAAGGCTGCATCTACTACCTTTTTTATAAGGTCATTAATGAACTCTCCTTTTGTTTCAATGTCTGCCCTTATCTGGAAAGGATGGTCAGTTGTTACTCACTCATTAATTAATAGTACTAATTTTAAAGTTGAAAACATATTGAATTCAATGCTTACTGCTAAAAGATGGGCTGAACGGTTTTGAATTTCTCCTACAATGCTACTATGTGCACTAATAGCTACTGGTCTCTGATGATTCATTAATCCTTTTGAGACTTTCTTCCCATCTTGATTCTTTAGGGAGTGAAATAGTTCAACAATTGCAGGGGCCTTTTGGGTGTTTGCTAATCTTGCTAAAGGCCGAGACGGAATTGGTGGTGGCGGAGGTGGAGGTGGCTTCAGACATGTGCTGGATGGAGATTTTCTTCCTATGCTTGTAGTTTCAGAAATTGCATGACTTGGTGTTGGAGCTGAGATTGATGCTTTAGTGAAAATTACTTCAGAATTAGCTTCCTTTTTTACTCTAGACCGTTCCAATTTGTCAGCAATGAGTTTCTGTATGTCTTTAAATTTGGGACGCTGGTGTTCTCCAAATGGCTCCTTCTTCATCCAAGAAAAAAAAATCAAAATCAGATTCATCTCCAAGCAGTGGGTGACAGATAAACTTTTATGCATAAAGAAGATATATGAACTCGTTTTCGTACCGCAATGTAAGTTAAGATTAACAACTCACAACATGGAAAATCCAATCAAACAGTGATTGTGACTCCAATAAATGAATTAACCGCATTTTGAATTATAAACAGAAAAAGAAAATAACACTTATAAACTTAGGAAGGGCATTCAAAGTTAGAAAACATTTCAATGTTTTCTGAGACAAAATATAAATATAACAAATTCATTAAAACTCTCACCTTTCCACTGCTGCCAGTGGTTGCTATCTTAGCTTCAGCAACAGCAAGATCCTGAGTTAGCTTTCTGTTCTGAGACTCAAGCTCCACGCTCAAGCTCTTGACTTTATCCAATTCAGCCTTCAAGGCCAGCACCTCAGACTCCAAATTCTTTATCAAATCCTCACTCACCTCAAGCTTCTCTTGTAACTCCTTCTTCCCATCATGGTCATCATCATCTTCACTCTTCCTCAAACCAAGATCTCCAACCCTTCTCCGTGGCCTAGAAACGACAACAACCTTAGCCTCTTCAGCTTCCCTACCCTTTTGAGACCCCACAACCTCTTCATTCAATTTAGGCTTGTTCAACACAACACCCCTTTTGGTCCTTGAAACGTTCTTCAACTGTGGAGGCACAGACCTAGCTCTTGTTGATGAAATGGACACCACAACCTCTGGTGGTGACTTTGGAGCCTTAGAAGAAGCTCTGAGGCGTGGCGGTTGTTGACTCTGCAGGGACTTGTTGTCACCATGCTGCTTCAACTCAGCTCTTGCACTGGCTGGTGGTGGCGGTGGAGGTGGCGTTTTTTGCTTCATGGGTCTCTCAAAAAGCGTCTGAAAGATGAGAAAAAGACCAAAGAATGACAGAGGAAAAGTTTGTGAAATGTGAAACGGGGTTGTTTGTACGTGGGAGGTGGTTGTACGAGGAAGCTGCCACCTGCCACACAGATAAAAGACAGAAACTTTATGCGACACCCGTGTGTTATGGAGGGTGAGACAATCAGGAACAATTCCGGGTCGCCATAGATGTTCACCTTCAACCCAAGTAACACACGAGTATCATCACGTAGTCAAAGAATTCAACAATTTATAGTAATTTTTCATTAATAAATATTATTAATGTGTTTTAATTTTATTATAATCTCTCATTTATTAATTTCATAATTACTACCTTTAAAAAAACTCTTGTTTCAATTGCAAACTGAGAATTATGAATTGAGGACTCTCATTCATTTTAAGTTGGCCACCCTACAGAAAGTCAGAAAGTGACGCAGAGTGAACAGGCACCGAGTCTATGACCCATAATGTATAGTTGGATGTTGCAACAAAACAGGGTAGAAAATTACACTTTTCTTTTCTCCTATGCTACATGGCACATGATCCCATTCCTAATTTTATTATACTTATAATTTTATTATTTATTTATTTGGAAAGCTAATCACAAGTCCTGTGCTCACGTGATTAACAATGCCACTGATTTCTCTTTCTTTTACAGTGTCAAGAATGAGATTAAACTCAGGAATAGGTTCTGTCTACAACAAAAGTTATTATTTAGTTTTGAGGAATATGTATATATAGAATTTTGCTAATGTTAGTTTTTCTCCAAAACAAAAAAAATTTCCCTGTATATACCTACCAAGAAAATCCAGCTTGTACATATTTTTTCTGCTTTTATTCTTTTACTGAATTTTGCTTTTGTTTTATTATTTGTCCTGTAGTGTAAGACAGCAATTAGCAGTTGTAAATAGGTTCCAACGGGTCACACAGAGGATAAAGACAACAACTTAATTAAATAAAGTGATGTTGATAGCCATACAAGGACTTATCTGCGAGGTAGCGTTATTTTAATGTCAACATATAACAAAAGATTCAGTTATTAAACCCTCAATATGGAAATTATATGCTAAATTTATCATTGCATATTATTAGTGTTTGGAGCTTCATCATTATTAAATCAAATACACGCATATATCATTTCAAGAATAGTTATATTTACATAAATAAAACCTTTATAGATTGGTTGTTAATTTTCTAAGGGGGACTACTGTTAAACCAAGTATAATTGATTTCAAGACATTTTGATGACATAGCTTTTATCTTGCATTGTAGCTTTAAGAACAAGTATAAACAGCCTCATTGAGTGCTTGCCTAGAACATTGTTTATGCACCATCAATGCATTTCCAAATAACTTCATCACTTACAAGCATAACATGTTAAGAAAAGTTATTAAAAATAGTTAATATATTAATTTTTTAAAAAATAATTACATCATGATAAGTTTATCCTTAAGGAAAGTTAATTTTTTGTTATTATTAATGGTTAACAAGATTGAAAAGGTTCAATGATAAAAATAAATATTTCTAAAAAATTATAAAAGTTATATAGTAAAGACTAGCAAAATCTATAAAAAAAAATATTTATTTTGATGATAAATAATTATCTAAAAATTTATCCAGTCATGATCTCTCATGTAAGCCTAGAAATGTTCTTTCAGGTTATGGATCCCTGAGTCTCAAGTGTCAAAATCAAATTAATAGAGCTCGGCTTCTGTCGTATTCTTTTCATCATCTTGAATGGGTAATTTACTATTTCTACTTTCTAGGGATCATGGACCACCCATTGAAGCCAAGGACATTACAAAACGTATACACGAGGGAATCAAAAGTAACCAAAGCAAAAGCTAAGATATTGAGAATTTTTGTCACATATATTTTTTTTTCTTTTTTATATTTAAGTAAAGGGTTTGTCATATATTTTCAAAGTGCACCACTTTAAAAGGAAAAATCCACTCACAAAAAGATGCACCTAAACTTAATGAATATTCAAAGTTTTTCTTTACCTTGGGAGTGGTAATAATAGTTTAATATATTTTTGTGAGATATTTTAATCGAATATGTCTACAGAAGAATGTCATTAACATATTTTACTACATTCCTTTTTAGATAATTTTTTTTATCATTAGATAAAGTTTATATAAACTCTATTAAAGAACCCCTCCTTTTTTTGTCCCTTCAAATCTTATATATGGACTCAAGTTTTAATATAAAAAAAGGAAGATATGGTTTATTCACAATTGTTAAATTACGTTACATCTTTAATAACACTTTGGAAAAAAAAGTAAATATTATAAATTCAATTATTGAATTATTTGCTGGTTTGTATATTTAATTTTAAATAAATTAGATTTATAAATATATAATTTAATAGTAAATATTTATTATATTTTAAATAGTACATTACACTTTTTTTAAAACGACGTTTTAAAATTATTAATTAACTTTTAAATTATATAAAAAGTATAGACAATATATTTTATGAGAATTTTAAAATGTACAATTTTATACTGTCTTTTCCATAAAAAAGGCAAAACCTTAGACGTTATCATCTAATATAATTATTCCTGTTAAAATGTGTTTATTTTTAACCTTTCTGATATTTATTTTTTAGATTCGTTTGCGTTAAATAATGCATTGCTAATATTTGTTTTCCTTGCACATTGCTCAATTATGATTGCTTTTAAAAGAAAAAGATAGGTAATCTCAATATTTTGCATCAAAAGACACAAAACAAAGTGGGTATCATGACCCATAGTTCACCATTTTCCTTACTAAAAGCAGAAAAAAAAAAGGTTTCTTTATTGGTTTTAACAATAAAGGTTAGTTTCAATCTTAGATGTGTTCTAGACTTTGATGAAAAAGTTTCATTATTAAGGGTTGAACTTATAAATACGTAGTTGATAATTAATGCCAAATTAAAGCATCTATAATTATATCTTAGAGTATAATCAGAGATGGTTTTGTTCAGTGGATTATACTATCCTTTTGGCATTGCCTTTGAGGGAGGAACAAATATATCACTTCTTACGAAGTTAGACATGCATGGAAGTGTCAATGTATATTGGTTAAAACATAGGAGCAATGCATGTAGTTTATGGATCTCACAATATGATTAACAATATATATTAAGAAATATATGATTGTATTTATAAATAATTTATCCTTCATTATTTGTTTTTTAAAATTATTTATATTTAATTTTTAATTAATATTTATATTAGTTTGTCATCGTCATAGTATTTTTTAGTGTTTGATCTTTTAAAAATTATATTTAAAAATCATAATTATAATTCAATTTAAATATAATATTATACTTAATTTATAATATAATATTTAAAATGAATAAACAAAAGCATTTAAAATGATTTGTTTAATTAATCCTAGCCAAAGCTAAACAATTAACCAAATACCTGCCAAATTGTATATTTCACACTAATGTTGCAGCTTCAAGCCTTGGTAGCCCATGAATCACCAGAATAACCCCTTCCCAATTCGTGACGACTAAATCTCCTCGATGCCATCATCTAGAAAGAAATTTCAAGATATATTAGTTAAATGTATGAAAATGGATAACTGTATATGAATGACTCATACACAAAAGCACAACCAGTGCAAGAATGCACCTTGGCTCTCAGCAAATTAGTCCCACACCGTTCACCGACGAGACCAGGAGGGTGCTTGCTTGTCCTATATATAGGTTTCTTCGTGGCCGTTGATCTTCGAAAATGATGAAGAGGTTCAAATGCGAAATGCGAAACGCGAAGCAGAGATAAAGACTATGGAGGGGTTGAGTACAAAGGTAATTGGGGATTTCCCTTTGAAGGAATAATTGAAATATATAGGAAGAAAAATTCTAAGCTTGTGTTGGTTTGTTGCGACTTAACGTCATATGAGGTGTCTTTGTTCATGCTGTTGTTATTTAAATAATGGGGATATATAATCTTTATCTTTGAAATCCCTTGTCTTTTGTAACTTGGCTCTTTAATTCACGTGCTTAAATTCTCATACCCTTTTGCAATAGATGTTTCAACACAAATTAACCCTTTAATTTCTGGTTGGTACGTCGGTCTAATTAGATGTATCTTAAGAAGGTAGACACCGCTGAGGTCCTTATCGAACTAATTTTTAATTTCTTTAACAACTTTTGAGTATATTCCTTTTGTTATTAGTTTTCTTTGTCTCTTTCCAACACCTAATGGTCTGAATATAATTACACTTTCAAGTTTCAAATCATTCATCTTTAATGGGGGTTGTAAGTATAATAACGAAAACTACTTCGGCATCATTTGATTACTATGATGTTTGTATTTGTAATGTTGTATGCATCTCGTTGGATGCTTGCGATGTTGGTGCCCGTGATTAGTTGCAAGTGTAAGTGTATAGTTAAATATAGGCATCAAAATTTTGTACTAAGGTTTGGAACTTGTAGTTCCTCACTTGAAAGTCATTCACTTTATAGTATTTTTCATTCTACACTCTTTATGTTAAATTGCTCTTTCTTGAGGAATAGAGTTGCCATTTTGTTGGGAGATTATCTTTTAACATGTTGGTACTACCTCAAGCAAAAGCTAAGGCCATCAACCTTTGATATACATGGCAGGTGAACACAAAGCTAAATGCGTGCATTCGAAAATTTTCCAATTTTATTAATTTCATTTTATGAAGATCTACTTTATTTGGAAATAAAGCGAGCCGTGTGCCGTGATGAACATAACATGACATAAAGGTAAGATAATTTCAATAAACATAAAAAAATTGACACCGTATATGACACAATGTATACTTATTTATTTACTTTTTTTAATTTGTATATATAGATAATAAAAATAAAATTTGAAATTAAACTTAGTAATTTTTTGCTGTCTAGTTTTATATTTTCAAAACATTTTCCTAAAGATAAAGAAAAGAAGTTGCACACTAGCGTTGGGCCCGCAAAGCATTTTCTCATGCAAAATGTAGATTTGAAGCTAAGCACTTGACCTGATCAAGACTCTAGCAGACCCGCTATGTTCATGGGGTTGAATTGATTTGATGCATTAACACAGGGACCCATGTCAATTTCTATTTATTCTTGTTTGCAAAATAATGCTGTTATTTCAAAATAAATAAATACGTGGATCAACGGATAAATATCTTAATAAATGTAATTAAATTAAATATTTAAAGAACTTTACTACCCATAAAGACTTCAACAAATTGTCTCTAATATCCGTAGTTTAGAGAGAAAAAAAACTCATTTGTGGACTGAAATTTCATAAAAACGTGTGTTTCATTTGTTATTAACTTAACGGGACTCGATGAATGTTCTAATGAAAAATGGATTACCATATTGTCAGGACTAAGGACTCGGTCCAAACATAATTTGGATTTATGAAATTAAGCCTAGCGAATTCAGGTGCTACATTGCTTTCATTTATGTCAATTCGCATAAAACAACAATAATTATTAACACATGTAAACTTTTCTATATTTAAAAATTCAAAACCAAATATAAAATAAGTGTAACGATAAATAAGAAATGACGGAATGCAATAAGTATTTATATTTTAAAAAAAGGGTGCACTAATTATAATATTTATTTCATTCCTCAAGTTATGGTTAAAGTAAAAAATTGTTGTCTGCAGCTTTAAGGAAAGGATACTGATAAGCAAGTTTGAAGGGTGAATCATGAGAGAAGTGATCAGGTGCTTTTGCACCACTAACCCACTATAATGACAGCAAATAACAAGTTAACAAACACTGTCTTAGTGGAATCCTTAACACATCCAAAAAGAGTGGTTGTGAAGTTTGACGAAGGTTTGTGGTGGTGGGATTGAAGGGTGATAGCAACAATGAAAAAGGTTTTTCCTTTCTCCATCGTGCATGGTCAGTTTTTCCATTGTGTCATTTGGATTTTCTTCGTTCGAAAGAACGGTAGAATGAGTAATACTATTTCACGTATATTTCTCAAAATCAATACTTACATTAAGGAAATTAAATGAGAGATGAGTGTAAGATAAAACAGATAATGCAATGAAGAGAACTAATATATATATATATATATATATATATATATATATATATATATATATATATATATATTTGTAAAAGTAATATAGTTCAACCCTTACTTTGACTTATCTATTTTTAAACATAATTAAGACTTTAACCTATTTAGTTGATTTTGCAATAAGGTTTTAAATAGGTTTATCAATCTTTTTTTAAAATAAGTTAATGGGGGTAAGCCTTTATTTTTTTCAACGAGAGCTTAATAAATAAGAGAATATTTAGAAAGAATTATTTGAACTTCTGAAAAGGATATATGATATTTTTTTAATCAAATTATTTATCTAAATGCGTCCAATAACAACAATGATATATTATTTATATTAACTTTAAATATGCTAGTTTGTAAAGTTTGAAGATATTTTTTAGATGATCTAAATTATGATTTTTTTGGTAAAACAATTGTTTTGAATATTATTGACGTTATACATTTAATGAATAAGTTTAGACTTGATCAAACTTCTCAGAATAATCATAAACCCTTAATTAAACTACTTAATGTACATTTATCTTTAATTAAAACTTATATTTCGTTTAATATGTACTTATCAACAGGAATAATTTCTTTTACGTTAAAGTTTTATATGATAAGTTTATGTGTAAGTTTTGTATTTATCTCTCTTTGAATAAATATTAATCAAACGAGAAATTGGTAATTGATCCAAAAAAGGTAAATTACAACTCAAGTAACTGTTAATGCATAACCCGAATAAACTTAACTGTGTTGTTTATCAACACACCACATGCTCATGTATGTTACATAAATATTTGGCCTTCACAAACCTTGTATATGTATATTTTACGCACCAATTTCTCTTTAATAATGGCTAACGGGAAAAGAGACATACGTTCTGGAAGTTCAACAGCGGAAAATGTTCCCTCAATCTCACTGTCCTTTAGCGTATCACCATAATTAATGTTACATATTAAGCTCATAATCTCCAAATAAAACACCTGATTATTTTTTTTTTCGTAATTGTAATTTCATTTCAGTATACTACTTTTTCACTTAACTATGATTTTAGACGTTTGTGGGAATTAATATGTAACCATGAGATCCATTAAAAATGGGTAGTCAAGTCTTTTTAGAAAATTACATTACGTAGATAGCAGAAAAGATGCCCAAAGAAACCATCAGATCATACAACGGGTGCATGGAGATGAAAGGCCAAAAGGGTCTAAGATGAAGCAGCAGTCGTGTGCAGTGCTACCAAGGAAGCATATGTACCCCCTTTATTTAGCAAAGTGTCATGCTTTCCTTTCTCTGCAATGACTCCATTTTGAATCACTGCAATTGAATCTGCATCTCTTATGGTGGATAACCTGTGTGCCACCACAATGGTGGTTCTGTCCACCCTCACATGGTCAAGTGCATCCTGAACCACTCTTTCAGACTCAGCATCAAGTGCACTTGTGGCTTCATCTAGCAGTAATATTTTTGGACTCTTCACTATGGCTCTTGCAATTGCCACCCTCTGCTTCTGCCCTCCAGATAGTTGAATCCCTCTCTCCCCTACGACTGTATCGTAACCCTGTGTGTGTTGGTTATCCAGAATTCAAAATCTTACTCATATGGTGCTTTGTGTTTAGATTTAGATAGCTAGTTACTCAAAATTTTGCAATATTGAATACTGTGCGGACTTTACCTGCTGCAAACTGCTAATAAACCCGTGAGCATTAGCCAATTCTGCTGCAGCTATAATTTCAGCCTCAGTTGCATTTCCACCTTTTCCATATGCAATATTGGCTCGGATGGTGTCATTAAACAACATAGGCTCTTGGTTTACAAGCCCCATTTGCTGCCTAAACCACTTAAGTTGTAGCTTTTGGATTTCTGTTCCATCCAGTGTAATCTCACCTGAATCTGGATCATAAAATCTTTGCAACAATGAGATCACTGTTGACTTTCCGCTTCCACTTTCACCTACTAGAGCAACTGTCTGATTACCGTCAGGATAATCAAACTCTTAGATTCTCCCTTAATGGGTTGCCTGAAGGAAATATGCATCAAATTAAACCAATGTATCAGTTGGTAAGTTACCTCTCCTGCGTGAATGGTCAAGGAAAGAGCTTTGAATATATGAACATTAGGCCTGGTTGGATACTTGAAAGTGACATGGTGAAACTCAATATCTCCCTTCGCATCTTGCAATACGACCCCGGACTCGTCACTGGGGTCTATTCTTGATTTCTGGTGAAGAATAGCAAATATAGAACTAACACAACTTTTTGCTTTACTCGCACCTGGGCCCATGAAGGCAGATTGAGATATTGCTATAGCTGCCATTGTGAGAGCAAAGAATACCTGAAAATTCAGATATGAAATGTTCAATGCGATGATCTTAGCTCTTAATTTACCTTTGTCATCTTTTTTTTTTTAAACCTTTATCTATATGAGAAATTAGCTTATGCTTTATGTCAATAACAACTGAAATAAATGAAAAGCTTTACATCTGACATGATAACAAAGGATAATATCTTACACGGAAAACATCTGAGGTTGATGTTTTTCCATTCTCAACTAGACGTGCTCCAGCATATAAACTGCATGCATATACAGAGAACACAAAAAAGAGCGATATCCCAAAATCTGTTCCGCTGACTAACCCTTGCCTTATACCTGCCTGGGTTGGTCCTACACATTTCTTCTGGTATAGCTCTATCACCTTTTCCTCAGCACAGAAAGCTGCGACTGTTCTGATATTCTCTACTGCGTCATTTGCTATTTGACTTGCTTCCTCATATAGTTTCTGTGGAACATTTAGAACACAGTAACATTGGTCAAATGGATATTAGTACTAATTAAATATAGAGACAAAAATGTATTGAGACCACAATTGAAACACTGTTCATTCATCCTCGTAAAGTACTTTATCCTCATGGAGTATATGCTAAAATAGTAATACTACATAAACTACTTCAATACATATAAAAACTCATCATGTCCATTAGATTTACCTTTGAATCTAAGCATGGTAAAACCAAATTTGTTTTTGCAAAATCCACATGCAATTAAGTGGCTTTTCTCAATGGTTGTCTTTCTTGTCTTGCTAGGGGTTGTTCATTTACTATTTTTCATACAGAAAAGGTCATATAAATTTGATCTGTTTACTTCATCCGTTCAGGTTATATTTAGATCCAACTTTATCTGCACCCTTTTCCCACTACCTCTGAAGTTTAGAGATTTTCACAGGTTCATACTAGTAGTTGGTAGTTTGATATCAGTTAGTTACAAACCTTTGCATCTGTGCTGAATCCTTTCATAGACCTGAGTTGCGCATATCCATTTAATAATAGTAGAGGTAGCAAAACAAGAATTACGAGAGAAAGCTGCCAGTTTGCCTCAAAGGCAATTACCAAGGCTGTTATTGCTGTGGCAATGTCTTGAACCAACAAACCAAGTGCATCCCCGACCAAAGTCCTAATAGAAGATGCATCAGTTGACAGCCTTGCTCCAAGTGCTCCACTTGAATGCTCAGCTTTGTCAAACCAGCCTACTTCCATGTGAATTATTTTCTCAAAACACATTAGCCGGATCCTTCTTATCAACTTTGAACCAGCTAAAGCAAAAAAGTAGGACCTTAATGGATGAAATATGAAGCCAGCTGCACTAAGGGCAACAAATATTAATGCCCAAAACTTTGAGTCTTTACGGAGTTCATCTGCAGGCTCAAAGAGAGTATTTATCATGCCAGAGACAAGAAGACCCAAAATGGGTAGTATTGCCCCAGTGACTGAAGCTGCTAGAGTCCCTAGGACTAACACTGGGATTTCAGGCTTGTTAAGACCAGCAAGGCGAAGGAATGAGACTTTTGGAGGAGGTGATTGTGATACTGCTGGAGGAAGAACTTCAGACCCTCCTTCAAATGTTTTCAAAAGTCCAACTGTAGTAGGCCTAGCATTTGATTTTCTGCGTGAGTGATGACTGTTGTTTCCGATTTCAGATGATACCTGGCTTAAAGATTCAAGAAAAGAAAATTGTTGGCTTGATTGGCGTTCAGAATCTACAGCGCTTTCTAGCCTTGCCGTGTCATTTGTACCATATGACTCCTTGGTAGTTTCTTGCAATCTAATGAGCTGGCTATAAGCTCCATCAGGATCTTTAATGAGCTCAGAATGTGTACCTAATCAGTTGAAAGAAATAAGTATGCAATATGTGAAGGGAAAATAATGGTGTGTGTAGAGAGAGTTGGAAACAAATTGGCATGATGAGTTTCATTTATGTAGCAACATAGTATATCTACCATTTTCTACTACTTTTCCTTGATGAATAACGGCAATGATATCAGCATTCATGATTGTGTTTAGGCGGTGAGCTACAATGACGGTTGTTCTGTTTATCATAATTTTGTCTAGTGTCTCTTGCACCACCCTCTCAGACTCAGCATCAAGTGCACTTGTAGCTTCATCAAGGAGTAGAATTCTTGGATCTTTTAGAATTGCTCTTGCTATGGCAATTCTTTGTTTTTGACCCCCAGAAAGCTGAGTACCATGCTCCCCAACAATCGTGTCAAGTCCCTAAATTCATAATAAATATCTAAATGTCTTCGTATTGTGACATTTGAAATTGAAACTCTTGAAAAAGCAAAAGAGCATTGCAAATTTCAAAAGATGAAATTATGATCTCACATGTGGAAATTTATCTATGAATATAGCTGCATTAGCAAGTTCAGATGCAGCTCTGATTTCTTCATCTGTTGCCTCATCCTTACCATAAGCAATATTTTCTTTAACGCTGCAATTAAAGAGAACTGGTTCCTGGCTGACAAGGCCTATTTTCTGTCTGATCCATTTCAATTGGAAGTCTATAAGGTTGATACCATCAATGAGAACTTCACCAGCTTGGGTATCATAAAATCTCTCTATCAAGCTGATAACTGTAGATTTCCCACTCCCACTTTTCCCAACCAAAGCTGCAGTAGTGCCACTTGATATTGAAATAGAAAATCCATTCAATATCAATTCTTCTGGTCTTGAAGGATAACTGAAAAAAACCTCTCTAAATTCTATATCTCCAGAAATATCATCTAGTTGTCGACCAGCAGTTTCATATGCATCAATATCTGGTTGCCTCTCTATTGTTTCAAACATTTTAAAGGCTGCAGCCTGTCCTGCAGCAAATGCGGTTAAACATCCAGATGCATGCCCCAAAGACCTGGAAAATAAAATTAACCTGAGAATTTGTAGCATGTTTTCTAGGCATGCTTGGGAAAGAGGTTTTAGATGTGATTGATGCATTCATTCCATAGTATAGATGTCAAACTAGAAACTAACTTACATGGAACCAATGAATACTGCAAAAAATACACCCATGACTTGGCCTCCTGTGTAACCTTTCTCAAGTACCATCTTCCCTCCAAACCACATAGCCAATGCATAACTACTGTTAACAAATAACCGAATTAAACCAAGGCCTAAACCAGCAGCCACTCCATCTTGCAATGCAGTCCTGTAAGCTTTGGTCAAGGATTGATTGTATTGAGCTATAGCTTGATTCTCACCAGTAAATGATGCAACCTGCATTGGAGGAAGGTAAATCTTTTATATACTGTTCTCTAACAGGACGTATAAGAAAAACACATGGCAAGTTCAGTATGAAGATTGGCATATACAGTTCGAATTGAACCAATTGTCTGCTTCACTACAGTTGCTGATTCAGAATAAGCTGCTTGTGCACGGTATGCCAACTTTGTAAAAACAAAGCTCGTTATGGAACCAGTGAGGACAAGTGGCGGAACAGAAGATAGAAGTACAAGGGTTAGAAGCCAACCCTTTTCAAATGCTATGACTATACCTCCTAAAAAACATGCTACTTGCTGTATGCATTTTCCTACCTGAGATATCACAACAAAGGAAAAAGAAAAAGTTATATTCAAAGTTTGGTTTATCATAGTGTGATGAAATGGTGATGATTTGGAACTTGTAGAGTGTCCATTAATACCTTCTCTCCCATGGATTCTTGAATAAGAACTGTGTCCCCTGACATCCTTTCAACAACCTCACCACTATCTGTTACCTTGTCAAAGAAGCTGATATCTTGCCTCAAAATTGCTTTGAGATATAAGCCTCTTATTCTTGAAGCTTGTCTCTCCCCAGTGGCCACCCAACAAGCCACCTCTGGAATGGTGCATGCATGAATAATTCTTGTTATTGATATATTAAGCTAAATTATATTTCTAGCTATACAATATGCATAATGAGAAGAGAATCTGATATGCTTACGCAGAAAAGCTGCAAGAAAGGCACCTGCTCCTATGACTGCAAACTTCAAAGACACCTAAGCATGACACAAACCATAATGGGTTATGACATAAAAATGATGAGAATTTAAAATCCTGACTGTTTTCTTAAAACTTGAACTTAGTTCTTATGCAATTAAGCTACTTTCATAACCTTAACCTTGTTGAACAGAAAATAGCATGGTGGAATGAATCACTGACACTAAGGCATGCTTTGTTGCAAAAAGTAGGCTGTTGGAAAATGATGATAAAGAAAATTAGAATAAAAATTACTCGTCCTTTGGTTGGTTCAACAAATATATTGAAGAATTCAAGGTGGAGTACTGCACAACACGTCTTCACTCCCCCATGCAAATGTTTTACGATTCATTTAACAGCATGATAGTAAAGCAAATTTTGTATTTGTATTCCACCCTCTTTTATTCAACAAGGAGGAGAAAATCATAATTCAAAAGCATTATATCTCACTCTATTTTCATCTCTTCCCTTCCAAGACAACTTAATTTATACATCCCTATAGATATTTTGCATCATTGATTCAGAATAATAGGGTGCTAGTCATTACCTTGGAAATTTCATGAACAATTTGTTTAGTGTTAACATCTCCTCTAAAAGCATCAATTGCATCTCCCAAAATTATATACATTAAAATCTTTGACATTCCAGTCCCAAGAGCACTTATTGTCCCAACAAACATGAGAAGATGATCCCAAGAGTCAGCAAATGAGAAAAGCTTGTAGAAGGGTACTGTCTTAATGCTTTCATTCTTTTCCTTGTTCTTCTTAGAATCAGGCTGCCTTGCCATTTCTTGGTTATTTTCTCACTGAAGAGAGTTATGATTCTTTAGACGTAGAAGACTACAAAAGCCATGCAAATTGGCTGACTTAACCAAAATCAACAAAAGAGAGGAATGAAGATTAAAGAGTGACAGAGAATAAATATATTTAACCGTAGTTGGAAAGAGAAATAACTATGATGCTAGGTACACGTGCAAAACCAAAATGAGTGATCAAAGCATATTGAGAATTAGAACATATACTAATGAAAAGCATATGTCTTTCTTTCTCATGTTCTTGTTTTTATTTTCTAAAATAAGTAAAAGCCTATAATGAACAATTTTGCAAACTTAGGTAGAATCGAAGTTGTTCCCGCCTTCTCAAAATGATGGAAAACTAACAGTCTAACACTAAGAAGCAACAGCAAAATGAATGAAAACTAGACGGTTGATGGAAACCAGTTGGCAGTAGCTTAGTATTGCAAGCTTACATGGGTTATATCTTATATATATCTTTAATCACAAGTAAAGCAAAAGAACAATAAAGAAAGAGATGCGCATTACCAAAGGCAACAATTTATGTAGGTTTAAACTTTAAAACCACCAATGAACAAGCGCTGTTTGAACCATTAACATTGTGTTAAAATATATAATATGGACATTTATGAAGTTGTTTAAATTTACTCCTTTAAGATATTATGCTACTTTTTTTTCCCTTAAGTACACTTATATTCAAGAATATTTCCTCTAATAGTTTTCACTATTTATTAATGGTCTCGGGGGGTAGTGAAGCGGGAGTGTACTACTGGGCAATGTTGTCTTTACAAGTAATTCAATATGGTTAATTAGTATAATGTTGAATTCAATAATTGAAACTATAAATTCTGTAATTAAAAAGGTCAGTTATTTAAGATGAATTATTTAGAAGATGCTCGAGTCTAAACGAACATATATTTTTATTAAATATAAAACTAATGTTTATTACCCAAAAACTTTAATAACTTCTTATCCTTGGACCACTAACTATTGGTAATGGTAATGCTTACTTTTGCTTTTGATCTTCAAGACATATCCAGGATACAATATCCCACTATGACATAATTTAAATAAGGAAATTTTTATTGTTTACCTATGAATATCTATAAAATACCTAATGTTTCATTTGAGATGTGAAGCATGAGAAACCTGAGGTGCTTAAACCACTAACTCGCTATAATGACATAAAGAATATAAAGTAAACTTGGTTTCTTAATGTTTCATTTTAGAAGATAATACACAGATTAAGAAATGTAATTAATATCTTTAGTAATATTAAATTTATTTTTAACTTCTTAATGTGACTTTCACTATTATTTTTATCATTTATAATAAGAGTAAAAAATAATTAAGAAATAAGTAAAGGCATAGGGACATAATTATAAAAGATAATAGTTAATTTTGTTTTCAACTTATAAATGGACAGATAAATAAAAATAATTTCTTTAAAAATAGACAAATAATAGAATAAAAGAATAAGGATATAACAAAATAATCTTATAGTGGGATCTTTAACACACTTGCAACAAAAAGTTGTAAAATTTGAGAGAAGTTTATGGTGATGGGGTTGGGAAGTGATGAACAGTGAAAAAGCATACCCATTATGGATATTCAGATACTTTCACAGTTTTATGTTTCTCTGGAATCCACATGAGTGCTCATATGATTGAATTTCTATCTTTTCTTAAGACAAGACTTTGAACAAAGATGAAAGGGTATGTCTTCAATCCATATCCAGTAGCCCAATTAAACCATTTTTATTTTTCTCGAGTTAAGAGAAAAGAAGAAGGATGCGTCATGCGATTTGAAAACACTAAATAAAGTGGCCTTTATGTCACCCTCTCTTCCCATTAATTCATACTAACCAGTAGGGAATTAGAAGAACAACTGACTATTAATTTAAAATTAAGATATTATATTAATATTATATATTTTATAAAGTATAACTTAATTTTAGTTTACATTTTATTAATTTTATAATTAATTTTATTATATTTTGTTTATAAATAAGTTAAATCAATCTTATTTCAATATATATTCTCATATTTTAATTGAGGTTGAGTTCAAATTTATTTTTAAATATTCATATTTTTAATTCTTTGATGAATGTGTTAGAGTGTTAGTTAACATTTACTTTATTTTAAAATTATCTTTTTGTATAACATAATATTTAATTTTTTGGTAGATTTTAGAGAGTGAAAAAATTGAAATTACAAGTTTACGAAGAAGTTATTTTCTAATTTTGTTACGTTGAATTGAAATTATTTAAATTGTTTTAGTTGTTTCAAACACTTTATGTATACAATATTGGTGTGTAATTAATTACTTTATTTTGAAGTTTGATTTGAATTTAATTACATAATTTGTTTAGAATATTCATAATCTAGATATAAAATAATATGTAAGTGTAAGTAGAGTATGAATGGTCCTGGTATAGGTTTTCATTTCAAGTATTCATAGAGAGAGGATAAATATTGCTACCCCGAATATGAATTCAGATATAAATAATTGTTTAATTTGATTTAGTATAATATAGTATTTATTATTAATAATTATAATATTTACGTTTTAAAAATATATAAAATTTATTATATTTAAAAATAGTCATACAATATATTTATAATTATTTATTAAAAATTTATTTAAAGTGAAAAAAAAAAAGGTGTGGTTGCTGAAATCAAGGATTCCTCTGACTGGACTAAGTCTAGCAGAAGTTAATCTCTGACGGTTTAAAGGATTTGGAATTTTGGAAGAAAACCCTAAATTTGTAGTCATATCGTGATTCGTGTTAGGGCTTCCTCTGATTATTTAGGATGTGGAACAAACACCATTTTATTTGGCAGTTGTAAAAATTAGGTTTTTTTTTTTAAAATTAATGATAATAAATGTTAGGATTGTGAACCTAAAGTGAAGCTAAAGACTCCTTGAAATAATGACAGTTATATTTTAGGAATGGAATATAATTTATAAGAGTCCAATTTTACTGGTCTAGGCAGATAATATATTCTTCTTCTTTGATGAACTTTTTCCAAACTGATATTCGATTTGCTTTACCAAAATGATCCTTGATTTGTGGCTAACTCGAACAGACACATGCTATTGGACATGCACAGTGTACTTGGATGCTTCTGTGAGATCTTCAGAGGTAATTAATGTCACAAGGTAAGTATTACTTTCCATTTTTATTGATTTGTAAATTGTAATTTCATTTCAGCATACTGCTTAACATCATGTGAAACCTTCAGATTCATTAGAAATGGGTAATCAAATATTTAGAAAGTTTCGTTACAAAGCAATAATGCCTTAAAAAAGAGATTAAGAAACCATCACATGATACAATAGATGCATGGAGATGAAAGGGCCTAAGATGAAGAAGCAGTCATGTGTAGTGCTACCAAGGACGCATATGCACCCCCTTTATTGAGCAAAGTGTCATGCTTTCCTTTCTCTGCAATGACTCCATTTTGAATCACTGCAATTGAATCTGCATCTCTTATGGTGGATAACCTGTGTGCCACCACAATGGTGGTTCTGTCCACCCTCACATGGTCAAGTGCATCCTGAACCACTCTTTCAGACTCAGCATCAAGTGCACTTGTGGCTTCATCTAGCAGTAATATTTTCGGACTCTTCACAATGGCTCTTGCAATTGCCACCCTCTGCTTCTGCCCTCCAGATAGTTGAGTCCCTCTCTCCCCTACGACTGTATCGTAACCCTGTGCGCGTTCGTTATCTAGAATTAAGAACCTTATTCATATGGTGCTTCGTGTTTAGATTTAGAAGCTAGTAACCCAAAATTTTGCAATATTGAATACTGTGTGGAGTTTACCTGCTGCAAACTGCTAATAAACTTGTGAGCATTAGCCAACTCTGCTGCAGCTATAATTTCAGCCTCAGTTGCATTTCCACCTTTTCCATATGCAATATTGGCTCGGATGGTGTCATTAAACAACATAGGCTCTTGGCTTACAAGCCCCATTTGCTGCCTAAACCACTTGAGTTGTAGCTTTTGGATTTCTGTTCCATCCAGTGTGATCTCACCTGAATCTGGATCATAAAATCTTTGCAACAATGAGATCACTGTTGACTTTCCGCTTCCACTTTCTCCAACTAGAGCAACTGTCTGATTACCGTCAGGATAATCAAACTCTTAGATTCTCCCTTAATGGGTTCTCTGAAGGAAATATGCATCAAATTAAACCAATGTATCAGTTGGTAAGTTACCTCTCCTGCGTGAATGGTCAAGGAAAGATCTTTGAATATATGAACATTGGGCCTGGTTGGATACTTGAAAGTGACATGGTGGAACTCAATATTCCCTTTCACATCTTGTAATGTCATTCCAGACTCATCACTGGGGTCTATTTTCGATTTTTTATCAAGAATTTCAAATATAGAAGTGGCAGAACTTTTTGCTCTACTTGCAGCTGGGGACATGAAGCCAGATTGTGACATTGCTACAGCTGCCATTGTGAGAGTAAAAAATACCTGAAAATTAGGAAATGAAATATTCAATGCTAAAAGGAATGTGATGAACTTAGCTCTTACAGTATTTGTATTGTGCTATTTATAAAAGGAAAAAAATTAATTTATTCGAGACACTAGCTTGTGCTTTGTCACTAACAAAGTGACAAAGATAGGATTGAACTTACACGGAAAACCTCCGAAATAGACATTTTGCCTTTCTCAACAAGTCGGGCTCCAGCATAAAAACTGCATGCATAGACAGAGAACAGGAAGAAGATTGATAACCCAAAACCAATTCCGCTGACTAAACCTTGCCTTATACCTGTCTGGATTGGTCCTACACATTTCTTCTGATATAATTCCATCACCTTCTCTTCAGCACAGAAAGCAGCAACTGTTCGGATATTCCCTACTGCATCATTTGCTACATGGCTTGCTTCCTCATATAGTTTCTATGGAGCATATAGAGCACAATAACTTTGGTCAAATGGATATTAGTGTTAATTACAAGCAGAAATAAACATTTACTGATTAAATACAAAGAAAGATTTATGGAAAGTTGAGATCATGATTGAAACACAGTTGATTCATCCTCATAAAGTAGTTTATCCTGTTAAAAAGTAATGCAGCATAAACAAAATTGATACATACAAAAACTTATCCTTTCTATTGGAGTCTCACCTTTGGATCTGGCCCAATAAAAATATACATGCAATCAAATGGATTTTGATAATCTTTGTTTGATTACCTGTATTTAGGTAATATTTACATCCAAAGTTTCCAATCGCCCGTTTCACACTAAGTCTGAAATTTGATAACTTCATAAAGTTCATGCTAGTAGTCAATAGTTTCAGTAAGGGACAAACCTTTGCATCTGCGCTAAATCCTTGCATGGATCTCATTTGCACATGTCCATTTACTAAAACCAAAGGTACCAACACTAGAACAATGAGAGAAAGCTGCCAGTTTGCCTCAAAGGCAATTGCCAAGGCTGTAATTGCTGTAGCAATGTCTTGAACCATCAGACCAAGTGCATCCCCAACCAAAGTTCGAATAGAAGCCGCGTCAATTGACAGCCTTGCGCCAAGTGCTCCACTTGAATGCTCAGCTTTATCAAACCATCCTATTTCCATGTGAATGATTTTCTCAAAACACATTAGCCGGATCCTTTTTATCAACTTAGAACCAGCAACAGCAAAAAAGTAAGACCTCAATGGTTGAAATATGAAGGAACCCACACCAAGGGCAACAAATATTAATGCCCAGAACTTTGAGTCTTTACGGATTTCATCTGCAGGCTCAAAGAAAGTATGTATCATATTGGAGAGAAGGAGCCCCACAGTAGGTAGTGTTGCCCCAGTTACTGCTGCTGCTAGAGTCCCTAAGATTAACACTGGGATTTCAGGCTTGTTAAGACGCGCAAGGCGGAGAAATGAAACTTCTTGAGGTTTATGTAATGCTGCTGAAGGAAGGACTTCATGTCCTCCTTCTGACGTTTCCAAGAGACCTTGAGGGGCAGGCATAGTACTTGACATTCTGAATGAGTGACGACTGCTGTTTCCTGCTCCAGATGATCCCCGGCTTAAGGATTGAGGGAAAGAAAACCGTTGGCTTGATTGTTGTTCAGAATCTACAAAACTTTCTGGCCTGCCTGAGTCCTTTGCAACTTGCTGGTCTGATTCCCTTCTAATTTCTTGCAATTTAATGAGCTGGCTAAAAGCTCCATCAGGTTCTTTGGTGAGGTCAGCATGTGTACCTAATTAGTTGAAAGAGATAAGAATGCTGCAATGTACATTTCAAAGTGAAATTAAGACATGCGTGAGTGTGTGGGGAGAGAACGATTTGAGAGGAGATTGTTAAATTGAGTTTCATATCTGTGGCAAGTGGCAACATAGTATGTAAACCTTTTTCTACTACTTTTCCTTGATGAATAACTGCAATAATATCAGCATTCCTTATTGTGCTTAGGCGGTGGGCTACAATGACAGTTGTTCGGTTTATCATAACCCTGTCTAATGTCTCTTGCACCACTTTCTCTGATTCTGCATCAAGAGCACTTGTAGCTTCATCAAGGAGGAGAATTCTTGGGTCCTTCAGAATTGCTCTTGCTATAGCTATTCTTTGCTTTTGACCTCCAGAGAGCTGAGTTCCATGTTCGCCAACCATCGTGTCAAGTCCCTAATTTCATAATTTTACAAAAGTCATGAGGTAAAATGACCTTTTACTGAACACACATACACAAATTGCAAATTTTAAAAGTTGAATGATGAATTGTGAGCTCACATGGGGAAATTTATCTATGAATTTAGCAGCATTAGCAAGTTCAGCTGCAGTGCTGATTTCTTCATCAGTTGCACCATCCTTGCCATAGGCGATATTCTCTTTAATGCTACAAGTAAAGAGAACTGGTTCCTGGCTGACCAGGCCTATTTTCTGTCTGATCCATTTCAATTGAAATTCTCTGAGGTTGATACCATCAATGAGAACTTCACCAGCTTGTGGATCATAAAATCTCTCGATTAAACTAATAACTGTTGATTTCCCACTCCCACTTTGACCTACCAAAGCTGCAGTAGTGCCACTTGATATTGAAATTGAAAATCCATTAAATATCTGTTCATCAGGTCTTGAAGGATAACTAAAGCAAACCTCCCTAAGTTCTATATTTCCAGAAATATCATGTAGCTGTTGTCCTGCAGTGTTATAAGCATCAATATCTGGCTGTCTCTGTATCGTTTCAAACATTTTAAAGGCTGCAGCTTGTCCTGCAGCAAATGCAGTTAAGCTTGGAGATGCCTGCCCCAGAGAACTGGAAAATAACATTGGCCAGGAAATGTGTATCAAATTTTCTCACCATTCTTGGGAGAGAGATTGTAAGATATGGATTAATGCATCCACAATATAGATAGTAAATCAGAAACTAACTTACATGGAACCACTCAATAATGCAAAAAATACACTTATGACTTGTCCTCCTGTATAACCTTTTTCTACTACCATCTTCCCTCCAAACCATACAGCCAAGCCATAACTGCAGTAAACAAGTAAACGAACTGTACCGAAGCCTAAACCACCAGCCACACCCTCTTGCACTCCAGTTCTGTAAGCTTTAGTTAAGTATTGATTATATTGAGCTATAGCTTGCTTCTCGCCCGTAAATGATGCAACCTGCATCGGAGGAATATTTATCTTTTATATACTACTCTCTAGCAACATGAACAAGAAAAACAATGAAAGTTCATTCTAAAGATTGGCATACAGTTCGAATTGAACCAATTGTCCTCTCCACTACTGTTGCTGCTTCAGAATAAGCTGCTTGTCCACGGGATGCCATCTTTGCAAAAGCAAAGCTCATTACAGAACCAGAAAGGACAAGAAGCGGAACAGAAGATAGAAGAACAAGGGTAAGAAGCCAACCCTTGATGAATGCTATGACTATAGATCCTAAGAAACATGCCAAATACTGTATGAATTTTCCTACCTGAGATATAACCCAAAAGGAGAATTAAAAAGTTAATTTAAGGTTTAGTTTATCATAGTTTGATGAAATGGTAATGATTGGGACTTGGAAAGTGTCCTTTGACTATTAATACCTTCTCCCCCATGGCTTCTTGAATAAGAACTGTGTCACCTGACATCCTTCCAACAACCTCACCACTGTTCGTTTCCTTGTCAAAGAAACTGATATCTTGCCTCAAAATTGCTTTAAGATATAAGCCTCGTATTCTTGCAGCTTGTCTCTCCCCAGTGATCACCCAGCAAGCCAACTCTGGAAGATTACACGTATGTGTAACTCTTGTATTGTTATTGTTATATTAAGCAAAATTACATTCCTAGTTATATAGTAAGCATAATCAGCAGAGAATTTGGCATGCTTACGCAAAAATGCTGCAAGAAAGGCACCCGCACCTATGCATGCAAACTTCAGAGATACCTGAGCATGAAACAAAGCTTGATGGGTTATGAAAATGTGGAGAATTTCAAATCCAATTAGTTCGTTTCTAACTTCGTTCTTGTGGAATCAGATACACAGAGGCTTATTACACAATAGATTCACTGACACTAACAAAAAATGTGAGACAATTAAAAGTGGAGTAATGTACATCTCATTTTCAGCAAACCATGCAAGTGCTTATGCTTCCTCTCACAGCATGAAAGTAAAATTATTTTGCACGTTTTCACTCTCTATTAAACAACGTGAGTGGACAAAAGAAAAAAGAAAACTTCAAACCATTCCATGTCACACTATTATCATATCTTCCTCCCTGTAGATATTTCTCAAAATAGACTACTAATGAAGAGGTGCTAGACAATTACCTTGGAAACTTCATGAACTACTTGTTTATTGTCAACATTTCCTCCAAAAGCATCAATTGCATCTCCAATGATTATACTCATTAGAGGCATGCTTATTCCGTTCCCAACAGCGCTAATTGCTCCAAGAAACATCAGTAGATGATCCCAAGAGTCTGCAAAGGAGAAAAGCTTGTAATAGGGTACTGTTTTGTTTCCTTCATCCTTCACCTTGTTGTTCTTGGAATCCTTTTGCCTTCCAGCCATTTATTCGGTACTTTCAGGACCTAGAACCGGTTAATGACTAGTTGATCCTGTCATCTGAGTTGAAGTAATATCTGCATCCAAGCAGCTGCAGGAAAATCTATGCTGGTTAAAACTTACAAGAACCAACAAAATAAAATAAATAAAATCTGCTGAAGAAGGATCACTGGCTTGAGTTAGCAACTCTCATTATCAATCATTACCACTTAGATGTTAAAAACTAAAATAGCTATGTAAAATGGAAAGTAGTTGACTTAACCAAACTCAACAATAGAGAAGACCGAAGAATGTGACAGAAAAAACATAGCAGGGAAACAAGGATAGGCCAGAGACAAAACTTAGATGCAAGGTATACATGCAAAACCAACATGAGTGATCAAAGCACATTCAAAACATAACCATATATTAAAAATTAAAACAAACCTTTATGTGTAGTTGTCATTGTTATTTTCTAATAAAAGTAAAAATAAAAAACAAACCTTTATGCAAACTTGAGGTACAAGTGCTCTTCTCTCCTCAGAATGATGGCAAACTAGCACTAAAAATGACAGAAGAATGAAGGAAAACTATGAGATTGAGGAAAACCAGTTGGCAGTAGTAGCATAGCATTGCAAGCTAACTCTGGTTATCTTTACATCACGAGATAAAGCAAAAGAACAGAACAGAATTAGATGCCCATTACCAAAGCTAATGATTTATCAACGGTTTAAATTCATCAGAACCACAAGAATTCTTTGATATATATATATGAAAGGTTTATATCTATTTCGGAGTATTGCATTTATTAATAACATAAAAAAATATTACACGCGGAGACAATAATCGTCATAGAATTAAGTTTAAGAACATGAATAATGTTAAAAGAAGCTATTAAGAATAAAATAAGTATTTTTCTAGATAATAATTTATATATGATGCTAATAAATACTACAATTTTTAATAAAATTTACTATTTATTTATTAGATTTTCTAACCTCAACACTTGGATTGATTTTATATACTTAAAAATATTAATTTTTAATTAAAGTATAATATTTATTATACTTATATATTCTCAAGATAATAAATGTTTGTAATAAAAATTTATTATTTTTAGTTACTTATTTTCAGTTTTAAGGTTAATATTTTTTTATTTATTTTTTATCAACTATCATATTACACGTATTAAAAAAAACACTAAACCCATGTTTGTTTAGGTGGTAAAGAACTTGATTTCCACAAAATAAATAAATAGACTTGTGTCCCCCTATACGAGTTCACTTCCTCAAATCGGATTATTTGTGATCTAATGTATACCTTTCAAATGCCAAGTATTTTTAAAAATATTTAACTCAAAGTAAAATATTTAATATATGATTTTTTTAAAATTATTTTTATTTAGTATTATTAAAATAAATTCTAAGAATATATTCTTCTTCATTATCGAGTGAAATTCATATAACTCATACTATGAGTCTTAACTCTTAGTCTCTTATGTAACAAGTTGTAATTTTTATTTTAGAACTCAGAGAGTTGGAATAGATAAAGAGCGGTATACTGAAAAGAGAATATTGGTAACAATCTTTTATTATTAAATTTTAAATGTTAATTTTTGTTTTTAAGGTTATAGTTAAAGAAAAAAATGTTAAAAAATATATTATTTAATATTAATAATTCATTTTTATTATGCTTTTAATATTTTTATTTTTATCAATTCTTTAACAATGACTCTCAAGACCATGGTTAATAAAATTTATTAGCATTTTACTATGTGAAATCTATTCGCCTGCATTCTCCTTAAATGTTATGGATCTTGTAAAGTTACTAATTGAAAAAATTAATAAATAGTAAATTTTAATTAAAAAGTAGGAAATAAGTGCATTGTTGCATGTCTTAATAATAACAATAAATCTTGATTAATGATCTATATAATCTATACGCAAAATTATATAGATCATTAATTTTTGTTTTCTCTTCTTCAACTAAAAATATTCTATACGCAAGATTAGACCAGAGAAAAAGTTAATCTTGATTAATGATTCTTGAAAATGAAATGAAGTAGTCTTTGACCTATTTTGCTAAGAAGTTCGTGCTAGCACAAGATTAAATTGAAAACTCAGATTGTTCGTATTTTTTGCTTGAAAATTTGTTCTTCTTTCCCTTCTGAAACCTATATAATACATTATACCTATACCTAAGCAGAATCTCTAGATTATTGCAGTTTAACCTCTATTGCCTCGATGCCCATTTATTTATGATAAAGTTAATATAATTGAATAAAGTCCTACGAAAGGACAAAAGCATTATTGGTTTAACAACCCAAAAAATTAATATCTAGTTTCATTGTTTTTATTTTCGTCCTTTGCTATTTATTTGACTCAAGAAGCTTGGGGACCGCATGATGTTCGCTAAATAGAATTTATCTTTATGATGTCTTATTCCAAATATCATTTTTTAATCATAAGGGCACCTATTTTCCTAATCATACACGGCTACATCCATGTATATAAATACAGATTCATATTTATAACGTACCATCTTTTTCATAAAATAATATAACATCTATGTCTAGTATCTTTAAAGGGTAGAAAAGTAGCATGCAGTGACATGAGAAGAGTTGTAGATTGTCTCCAGTGGGTTGTCCTTATACCATTTGCCTGGGAACTTGGATACAGCCATGATTTGTAGAAGGTAATTTACAGATGTCCCACTTTAATGCTGTGTTGACTTGCTCATAAATTGTATTGGCATTTCACAAGGTATTGATTGAAATTAAAAACAACATATATGTTATTTTAGCATTAGTGTATTCAATATTAATTCAAGAAACTTGAAGTATTGGATAAGATAATATAGCATTGATCCTCGTGTCTACTTTTATAAAAATATTTATATTCAATTTCATATATACTCGTGTGAACTTTAATTTTCATATATATATCTTATGTGTATTTGCATATTCATATTTACACTTATTATCTATGTTTGTTTTAGAAAAAAAAAATACCTATAAAAAAATACTTATTTAACTTTAAAATACACCACATTTTTTTAATTTTTAAATTTAAAATTAAAAAAAAATAATTAAAATAATATTATATATATATAGAAAAAGGAGTAAATTTAAAAATTCTTATATTGAATTTGAACCTTTCATTTAACTTACATTGAAGTAATAAATTATAACTCGTTAGATTTAGATATAAGTTAAATGAAAGACTCCTATCGAGTATAAAATTTTTTAGACTTACACTAATATAAAAAAATCCTTCTTCATATGTACTTATACGTGTGTATGAGAAAATATAAGACATGATAGATACTTAAGTACTTACCTAGACTCATCTTTATTAAAATTTGTGGATATTTTCACATTTTCATAACTGTTCTCATTTAATGGATAAATATTTTACATGCTGTGAGTAAATTTTGCAAGAACCTTTTATATACTTTGCCCGTTACTATCCTTTGTTCATTGCATTCACGTGTATGAGGACTTGTATACTAACTTGACCATGTGTAAAATTTCTCTGGGCCAAATGGCAGCTACAAACCCTGAGCGTTATTAGTCTCAAACCTCAATAAGAGCTTTGTTATGTCTCCATAAGTATTAAATGAAAATGTTCATTTATTATTATGTCAAAAACATAAAACATATTAAATACTTTCTTCATTTACTAATTATGAGGATTTATAGGAAAAAAAGGGTAGGAGGATTTAGAATTATTCATCCCTTAAACTTAAAGGCAAAATGATTTCATGATCAGATTGTTTAATTAGAAAATTAATAGATCATTATAAATGAAGCGTGGTCCCAATTGAAGCTAAACAAGTAATCAAATTTAATTTTGATCTCTGTATGTACGGTGTGATTTTCTCATAATTCAAATAAAAAGCAACATCATCTTCTGTCTAATATGTTGTGATAAAAATAACATGCTTAGGTATCATCTCCAACCACTTCAGCATTGTTTTTGTTGTCTTCATCTATTTGGTACTTACCAGTTACAGCTAAGGACTAAGTGCGTGTCTGGTTAGGCATATACTAACTTGAAACGTGCATTTCCTTAACACCATTGGTGTAGAAAATGATGCCAATGAGAATGATATATAAGAATCATTTCCTGAATCAGAAAGAAATTAAACAAAGGAAACATTTTCATGGCACTGTACTAATTCTTTCAAGAAAAAATATTACATTGTACACATAAATAATAATGCCTGCAGAGTACAGAATACAGATATAGACTGGTATTTAAACCTGACTAATCGTTAAGAAGGACAAAATTACTGGCATATGATTTAACTAAGATAAAAGCAGAGGTCTAAGATGTAGAAGCACTTGAATGCAATGCTACTAAGGAAGCATAATCACCTCCCTCACTGAGTAATGTTTCGTGCTTTCCCTTTTCTGCTATGATTCCATTTTTAACAACTGCAATTAAATCTGCACCCTTAATAGTGGATAACCTATGAGCCACTACTATTGTGGTTCGGTTCACCATAACACGGTCTAGTGCATCCTGAACCAATTTTTCAGACTCAGCATCAAGTGCACTGGTAGCTTCATCTAGTAGTAATATTTTTGGATTCTTCATTATAGCTCGTGCAATTGCCACACGCTGCTTCTGTCCTCCAGAAAGTTGAATCCCTCTCTCCCCTACAGTTGTGTCATAACCCTGCATATACAATACATTGTTCTCAATGATTCAGATCTATGTTCATATGGTGTCTAAATAACTTGTAGTAATTCAGAATTTTTAAGATACTATTTTTGCACTAATTTTCAAGAGAGATTGAGTTAAAAGGACACTATGAAATTTACCTTATGTAAACTACTAATGAAGTTGTGAGCATTTGCTAGTTCTGCTGCCGCTATAATTTCTGCCTCTGTTGCATCTCCACCCTTTCCATATGCAATATTTGCCCTTATGGTGTCATTAAACAGCACAGGCTCTTGGCTTACCAGACCCATCTGTTGCCTTAGCCATTTAATTTGCATCCTTTGGATTTCCTTACCATCTAGTGTAATATGACCTGAGTCTGGGTCATAAAATCTTTGTAATAATGAGATAATTGTTGATTTTCCACTTCCACTTTCTCCAACCAGTGCAACTGTCTGTTTTTCAATCATGATAATAATCTATTAGTTTCTTACTTAGGAATAATAATTTAGAATAGTCTAGAGGAAAATATGTACAAATTAGAAAATAACCTTGCCACTATGAATGGTCAAGCTAAGATCTCTGAATATTTGAACATCAGCTCTGGTGGGATACTTGAAACTGACATGGTTAAATTCAATCTCTCCCTTAACTTCTTCCAATGTCATTCCAGAGTCATCACTTGGATCTATTTGTGACTTTCGATCAAGAATAGCAAATATGGAAGCAGCAGCACTCTTTGAATTCGTTGAATCAGGGATCAAAGATCCAGATTGAGAGATTCCAAAAGCTGCCATGCTGAGAACAAAAAAGACCTGCAATGCAAGAAAAATAGAGGAAACCTCATGCACAAACACCCTATCTCAATGCATAATAAATAACTCAGCAATAACTGTGACAAGGAGAAGAAAAGTGATGGAATTTTTGACATGGTGAATGACTTAGGAGAGTTAGTTACACGAAAAACATCTGAGAATGTTGTTTTGCCATCCGCTACAAGTTGAGCTCCAGCATAAAAACCAATTGCATAAACTGCATACAGCATGAAGAATGAGGCTCCATAGCCAATCCCACTTATTATCCCTCTCCTTATGCCTGTCTTAATTGGTCCATCACATTTTTTCTGATATAATTCCATAACCTTCTCTTCAGCACAGAAAGAAGCAACAGTTCTTATACTCCCTACAGCATCATTTGCCACTTGACTTGCTTCCTCATACAATTTCTGTTGGGAAAATAGAATATCAATACTCATAAGATATAGCTAAGTCAAAAAAACACATTCAGATCACATGCTTGTCACACTGATGAGCATGATCCATGCTCATAAAGTAATTTTTTATTTCTTCTCAGGATGGTGCCAAAAATGTAGAACTAGAATGAAATGCACAAGGAAATGAATCTAAATCACTCCACTTCCCCTGAAGTCAAGTACAAACCTTTGCATCTGCGCTGAATCCTTTCAAAAACTTGAATTGCACATATCCATTTAGTACTAATAGAGGTGCCAAAGCAAACATACCAAGAGCAAGCTGCCAGCTTGCTTTCAAAGCAATTACCATGGCAGCTATTGCCGTAGCAATATTTTGAACCAGCAAACCAAGTGCATCCCCAACCAAAGCTCGAACGGAAGCTGCATCAGTAGAGAGCCTTGCTCCAATAGCTCCACTTGAATGCTCAGCTTCATCAAACCAACTTACTTCCATGTGAACCACTTTCTTGAAACACATTTTCCGGATCCTTTTGATCAACTTACCACCAGCAACACCAAAAAGGTAGAATCTACAAGGAGGCAAGAGAAATGATACCACACCAAGTGCAACAAATTTTAATGCCCAATCTTTTGAATCTTTACGAAGTTCATGAGCTGGCTCATAGAAAATACTTATCATTTTAGAAAGAAAGATTGCAACAATAGGTAATAATACCCCATTTATTGCTGCAGCTATAGTCCCTAACAGTAATACTGGAATCTCAGGCTTGTTTAAATATGCCAGGCGAAATAGTGGTACATCCGGCAGTGAAGAATCTGTTGAAGGAGGAGCATGAGGTCCTCCCCCTGCAGCCGTTGTTGGCACACCATTTGATGCTGAGAATGAGTGACGGCCACTGCTTCCAACTCCTGATGACCTTTGGCTTATAGATTGTAAGAAAGATCTCTGACTTGACTGTCTTCCAGAATGCACTATACTTTCTAGCTTGTCTATATCATTTGTAGCATTCTCCTCTGACCCTTTAATTTCTTGCAGTCTAATGAGCTGGCTATAGGCTCCTTCAGGATCCTTGGTGAGCTCAGCATGTGAACCTGATCAATTGAAAAACATAATAATGTTAGAAGCTATATAAACATTCAAGAGTTTTGATTCATGGAAAAATTAGATTTCTATTACATCATGTTATGTCTACCTCTTTCAGCTATTTTTCCTTGATGAATAACAGCAATGATATCAGCATTCCTTATAGTACTTAAGCGGTGGGCTACAATGACGGTTGTTCGGTTTATCATTATTCTATCCAAAGCCTCTTGCACAATTCTCTCAGATTCAGCATCAAGGGCACTTGTAGCTTCATCCAGAAGTAGGATTCTTGGGTCTTTCAAAATTGCTCTTGCTATTGCAACTCTTTGTTTTTGACCCCCAGAGAGTTGAGTTCCATGCTCACCAACCATTGTGTCTAGTCCCTAATTTCATAAATTATACAAAATTAATGATGTAGTTACCTTTCAATAAAAAGATAGCAGTAATAAATTTTCATTTGTCTTGTATACTATACAAATAAAGATGATCCAGATAAAGTAAGAGAACATTTCAAACTGTTCAGCAGGAATTCACAATGAAGTTTCTACATTAAACGGGGATTTGAGAGCACACATGAGGCAATTTATCTATAAATTTTGCAGCATTAGCTAGTTCTGCGGCAGCTCTGATTTCTTCATCAGTTGCACCATCCTTGCCATAGGCAATATTCTCTTTAATGCTACAAGTAAAGAGAACCGGTTCTTGGCTAACTAGGCCTATTTTCTGTCTGATCCATTTCAGTTGAAATTCTTTCAGGTTGATACCATCAATGAGAACTTCACCTGACTGTGGATCATAAAATCTCTCTATCAAACTAACAACTGTTGATTTCCCACTTCCACTCTCTCCTACCAAAGCTGCAGTGGTGCCACTTGGTATTGAAAGAGAAAATCCATTGAATATCAACTCATCTGGTCTTGTAGGATAACTAAAGCAAACCTCCCTAAGTTCTATATCTCCACAAATGTCATTGAGCTTTCGACCAGTAGTGTCATAAGCATCAATTTCTGGCTTCCTCTTAATTGTTTCGAACATCTTAAAGGCTGCAGCCTGTCCTGCAGCAAATGCACTCAAGCATGGAGATGCCTGCCCAAGAGACCTGGGATTGGAAATATACAGATAATTTAGTATCTATTCTTATCTTCTGAGTTCTTGGATGGTGGGAGGGAATCAGTTTTAGAAATTAAAGTCTCATATTGAAAAAGAGGAACAGACACACAACTTACGTGGAGCCACTCAATACAGCAATAATTACTGTCACAACATCACCTCCAGTATATCCTTTCTCTATTATCAATTTTGCACCAAACCACACAGCTAAACCATAACAGCAGTCAAAGACACAAAAGAGAGTACCAAACCCAAAACCAGAGGCTAGTGCCTCTTGCACTCCTGTCTTGTAAGCTTTGATTAAGGAGTGATCATATTTAGCTATAGCTTGCTTCTCCCCTGTGAATGATGCAACCTGAATTGGATAAATGGAAGTAGTCATTGCATACTTTTGCAATTGCATTATTAATAAGAAAAGGCCAAGATTTCTTTTTTGTCAGTGTGCATACAGTTCGGATAGAACCAATTGTCTGCTCAACTACATTAGCTGCTGTAGAATAAGCTGCTTGTCCCCTGGATGATGCTTTTGCAATAATCAGGCTTATCGTAGCACCAGACAAGACAAGAGGCGGAATGCAAGATAGCATGACAACAGTTAGAAGCCATCCCTTGATGAATGCTACTGCAAAACCTCCAAAGAAAGTTGCTACGAACTGTATTAACTGTCCCACCTGAAATGAAAGGGAGGAAAAAACAATAAAGAAACAAAATTGACCTTAAACTAAGGGTGCATTTGGGAACACAACTTAATTAAAAGCTTATTCAATAACCTCTTTGTATACGAAGTTTTATGTTATAAATTTAACCATGAAACTTAGTGGAATGAGCTGAAAAGAGCTTATTCTGATAAGCTATACTGGGAAGCTTATTGAAATAAGTTGAGAAGAGCTTATGTGAACTATAAAGTTATTTCCATAAGCTCTTCCAAACATACCCTAAATGGTGATGATATAAGACTTGTACAGAGGTTCATTAATACCTTCTCACCCATGGCATCTTGAATAAGAACAGTGTCACCTGACATCCTTCCAATAACCTCTCCTGTATTAGTCTCTTTATCAAAGAAGCTGACATCTTGCCTCAAAATTGTTTGAAGGTATAACCCTCTAATTCTTGCAGCCTGTCTTTCCCCAGTGATCATCCAGCAAGTCAACTCTGGTACACAGCACACATGGTTTCTTTTTGAGTCATGATGAACCAAACAAATTAGTTAGATTGTAAGAACAGATATTTTGATATACTTACGCAGAAGTGATGCAACAAAGGTACCCGCAGCCAAGTACACAAATTTCAGAGAAACCTGAACACAGTTATGGATTAGAGGGTTATGCCTTAGATATTTCACCATTATGAATTAGTAATAATAATAGGGACTAGTGAGGAATTACCTTGGAAACTTCATGAACAACTTTGTTGGAGTTTGTTGATCCACCAAATGCATTGATCATATTTCCAAATATTAAAGTCATTAAGGGCACTGAGATTCCATTCCCAATAGCACCCACAGTCCCCACTAACATCAACAAATGATCCAAAGGATCAGCAAATGAGAAAAGCTTGTATAACGGTACTGTTTTGGCAGTTTCATCTTTGGCCTTGCTCTTTGAATCTTGGTTGCTGTTAGAATCTCCATTCAAGCTTATATCATCTCCCATTTTCTTGAATGAAGACTTTACACACCCCTCTACTACTTAGTAATCACTCTATGCAGGAAATGCATTACAGGTTCAAGTCATGTGTCTAACACACAACAATAGTGCTCTCCAAAGTTAATGGTTCAGAGAAAATCATGAGCCAACTTTGACAAAATTTATTTAAGCAGAAGAAAAACAGCTTAAAATGGCAACTACTTAACAACAATAAAAAACTAAGTCAAGTTGTTGAGCGAGTCAAAGTTACAAGTGCCATAGTTAAAGCTATGCTTTACTAATAAAGCCAACAAGAAGGATCAGAAAGAAAGAAAACCATAAGACAAAGATGAACCTTTAAACCAAAAGCTGAAGCAATTTCTACTGCAACAGAATATGGACCACTAGCCGTAGCAATCCAATTAATGGAACATGTTAATGAAGAAAACATGCATGGTTCTTAGTAACTTGAATAGTTCGTATTTCACACTGTACACCATTATTAAATCAAATATTTAAATAAGTAAAGTGGAAATTCGAACCAGCAAATTTCTTATCCCGCAAGTTATTTAAATCCCACTCCAAAATTATATTTTATTTTAGCCGTCTTCTAGTCCAAAGCATTTGATTTATTTGGGTTAAAATTATGATTATTTAATTAAAAATCAAGTAAACTACTCATCATCAATCATCGACCTTATGAAACATTTTTTAATCATTTTCTTTAGATATAAATCACTGTCAAATTGTAATTTGAAAAGGTCAAATGTTAAAGTTTGGTTAAAGAATTAAAAATAAAAAATAACTAAAAAAGTGTTAGTAATATATTTTTTAATGTTTTTCAAAAAATTCTTTAAAAGAATTTTGTTGGTAAAAAGGTTTGACTCAACAGAACGTTTATTAAAAAAAAACTACTTTTTTTTTCCTTATTGTTGGCAAATTGAGATAGAGAAGAAATATTATAATAAAATCATTAAAATAAGCTCCGAACAAGTTATGTTCTTCCATGATAAACTTTGTAATGAGACGATGGTGTATGATCAATAAATCTTTAATGATGTATTTACTCTATAAAGGAGTAAATTGCAAAGGACAAGCAGTAACCAGTTAAACCCATATAAAATCGGTCAAATTATAACTTTTTTTTATTTTAAAATACATAATATGGTTATTTTATGTTTGTTTAAAATATAATTTATCTTAATTTTTTTGGTATTTAGTATTATCTATTTATTACTTAATATAATATATGCTATTATAAATATATATATATATATATATAATTATTATAATTTAATTACGGATGAATTATTGAAAGGTGAATTGGTACCTTTATCAATTTAATAACTGATCCAATTTCTATAACATTTAAAAAAAAAGGTGACGTGCTTGAAAATTGGTCTTTACCATGTATGATAAAAAGACAATAATCTAAGTCTAAACTATACGTTTGTCTTTTCACTTAGCATTTAAGTATATTATAATACGTTTTGTGATGGAGAGTTAATCACTTAATTGTGTATTCATAGGATAGCTTTGACCACCCACCAATTAAAGAGATATTATATATTTTCTTTATAGATTCTTAAATCTGAAAAGAAAAAAACATTAGACAACTCTAAATATATAATTTAACTCTCTGTATTTTTTTTTCTTTTATTTCATTTCCATTCCAAAAATAATGTAAAATACTGAGATTTTAATAAAGATAACTATGCAACGCATTTCATTTTCTTTTATTTTAATTTAATCAATGATTTTAAGTTTGAGTTTTTAAAATGTAATTGCATTAAAACTCAGTAAGAGAAGATTTTTTTTTTCTAATTAAAGTGAGAATTATATAAAACTACAGCAAGAGTTTATTCAAATTTTCATATTAAGTCATATTTTTTATAGTTTCAGGAAAAATAAATTATAAAATATAATATTTTGTTTGTAATGGTTATATGTTATTATAGAGGAGAAATTTAATGTTAAAACATTTCATAATAAATTGATTTTTTTTATGATAATATTTTTATCATCAATAATTAATAGTATATTTTATTAAATAAAAATAAATTAAGTAGATATATAATTTTTTAAAATTAAAAATTAAATTATTTAAATTAATTCATATAATTTTTAATGATATAATATATTATTATATATATTTTTAAGTTATTTAACATATATCAGCTAGTTGCGGAGTTAGTTTGTTAAACAGTTTAATTTCATAAATTATTTATATAATTATAAGATTTTAGCTACAAGTCAATTAAAAATTACAACCTCACAATTTTTACTTTGTGTTATCAAACATAACTTAAGTGAATTTAAAGCAAAACCTAATATTTTGTTAATTCTGTTTGTTTTTTTTTTCAATTTATGTGTAAATTAGTAACCGATTCTTGTGAAAGATCTTCAAGTCAAAAAATGATAGAAACAAGAATGAAAAAAAGAAAAGAAACAAAGTAAACAATATTTTGACACAGTTTCTTTGTAGAGAAACAGATTGCTAAGTAATATTTGAAACAAGAAAAAATTATGAAAAACTAGAATATGTGACTAAGATGAAGAGGCACTTGTGTGCAACGCCACTAATGAAGCATAGTTACCTCCTTTTTTAAGTAAAGCTTGATGCTTTCCTTGCTCGGCTATAACACCATTTTTAACTACAGCAATTAAATCTGCACCCTTAATTGTGGATAATCTATGGGCCACTACTATTGTGGTTCGGTCCACCATAACACGGTCTAGTGCATCTTGAACCACTTTTTCGGACTCAGCATCAAGTGCACTTGTTGCTTCATCTAGTAGCAATATCTTTGGATTCTTCACTATGGCTCTTGCAATTGCCACCCTTTGCTTCTGCCCCCCAGATAATTGAACTCCTCTCTCCCCTACTAACGTGTCATAACCCTGCATATATCATATATTTTCTGAATATTTCTCATTTTGTGTTTCAAATATTTTTTATGGTAAATCAAGAACATGCAATATGGTTCTTTTACTTTATTTTGTGTAATTTTATATTAGTTAATTACTAAATAAGCATATAATATTAAAAAAATATATGTAACTATTTCAAATTTGACACCAATTTAATCACAGTTGATCTAATGAATTGAATGATTTTTACTGGTTGACTGATCCGATTTTAAAAACATTGGTTGTACTAGTCTTATAAATTGAGTTAATAGGACACTGCAATTTACCTTCTGCAAACTACTAATGAACTTGTGTGCATTTGCCAGTTCTGCTGCAGCTATAATTTCTGCCTCTGTTGCATCTCCACCCTTTCCATATGCAATATTGGCCCTTATTGTGTTATTAAACAGTACAGGCTCTTGACTTACCAGACCCATTTGTTGCCTTAGCCATTTAAGTTGGATCCTTTGGATTTCTTTACCATCTAGTGTAATTTGACCTGAGTCTGGATCATAAAATCTTTGTAATAATGAGATCACTGTTGATTTTCCACTTCCACTTTCTCCAACCAGTGCAACTGTCTGTTTTTATCATTATAATCAATTTGTTAATTTCTTACTAGGAAGAACAATTTGGATTAGTCCACTGATAACTAGACAAAATGTACAAAATGAAAATTACCTTGCCACTACGAATGGTTAAGCTAAGATCTCTGAATATTTGAACATCGGGTCTGGTAGGATACTTGAAACTGACATGTTTAAGTTCAATCTCTCCCTTCACTTCTTCCCATGTCATTCCAGAATCATCACTTGGGTCTATGTGTGATTTTCGGTCAAGAATAGCAAATATGGAAGCAGCTGCACCTTTTGCTTTAGTTGAATCAGGCACCAAAGAGCCAGATTGAGAGATTCCTATAGCTGCCATACTGAGAGCAAAAAAGACCTGAAAATCAAGAAACAAAATAATAAATGCTAGAAAAATGGTGATTAATTAATAACTCAGCAGTAAATGAGCCAATGGGAAGAGAAAAATGATAGAATCTTTTACTTGGTGAACAAGTTATGAGTAACTTACGCGGAAAACATCTGAGAATGTTGATTTTCCATCCTCTACAAGTCGAGCTCCAGCGTAAAAGCTGCATGCATAAACTGCATACAGCACAAAGAATGATGATCCAAAACCAATTCCACTAATTATCCCCCGCCTTATGCCTGTCTTAATTGGTCCTTCACATTTTTCCTGGTATAATTCCATCACCTTCTCTTCAGCACAGAAAGAGGCAACTGTTCTAATACTCCCTACAGCATCATTTGCCACTTGACTTGCTTCTTCATACAGTTTCTGTTAGGCAAATAGAATATCAGTATTCATAACACATAGTTAAGGAAAAATTGCATCCTGAGCTAGTGCTAGAAACATGTTCATCCTTGCTCATAAAGTAATGTTTTCTCTATTGTTAGTATGATGCCACAAATGTGCTAAGAAATGGATCTAATTACTTATATTCAGACTTATTATATCACTCAACCTCCTCTCAGGTTGAGAACACATATTCTCATACTATTCATTCACAATATTAATGGTGTTGCTTAGTGGAAGTCAAGGGCAAGAACAAACCTTTGCATCTGCACTGAATCCTTTCAAGAACTTGAGTTGCACATATCCATTTAATCCTAGCAGAGGCACCAAAGCAAGGATTATAAGAGCCAGCTGCCAGCTTGATTCAAAAGCAATTACCAAGCCAGCTATTGCTGTAGCAATATTTTGAACAAGCAAACCAAGTGCATCCCCAACCAAAGTGCGAACAGAAGCTGCATCAGTAGAAAGCCTTGCTCCAATTGCTCCACTTGAATTCCCAGATTCATCAAACCAACTTACTTCCATGTGAATCACTTTCTCAAAGCACATTTTCCGGATCCTTTTGATCAACTTACCACCAGCAACACCAAAAAGGTAGAATCTGCTTGGAAAAACCAGAAATGATACTACACCAAGCGCAACAAATACCAATGCCCAAACTTTTGAATCTTTGCGAAGTTCGTGAGCTGGCTCATAGAAAATACTTATCATTTTGGAAAGCAAGAGCCCAAAAACAGGTAATATTACTCCATTTACCACTGCAGCTATAGTCCCCAGGAGTAACACTGGAGTCTCTGGCTTATTTAAATAAGCCAAGCGATAAAGTGGCACTTCTGGTGGTGAAGGAGCAGTTGAAGAAGGATCTTGAGGTTCTGCACTTGCAGGTTCTATGAAGCCAACACTTGTTGGCACACCAAATGATGCTGATAATGAATGGCGACCACTGTTTCCAACTCCCAATGATTCTTGGCTTATAGATCGTAAGAAAGAAGATCTTTGACTTGATAGTCTTCCCGAATGCGCTGTGCTACTCTCTGGCTTGTCTCCGTCAACTACATTCTGTTCTGACCCTTTAATTTCTTGTAGTCTGATGAGCTGGCTATAGGCTCCTTCAGGATTCTTGGTGAGATCATCATATGACCCTGATCAATTGAAAAGTATGATAATGCAATGAGGTATATAATATGAACATATAGGTTTTATAAGTCTTCTTAAATTTTAACTTGTGGAGAAGACAGAATTCTATGATTGTATAATATGTTTACCTCTTTCAATTATTTTTCCCTGATGAATAACAGCAATGGTATCAGCATTCCGTATAGTACTTAAGCGGTGGGCTACAATGACGGTTGTTCGGTTTATCATTATTCTATCCAAAGCCTCTTGCACAATTCTCTCAGATTCAGCATCAAGGGCACTTGAAGCTTCATCCAGAAGTAGGATTCTTGGGTCTTTCAAAATTGCTCTTGCTATTGCAACTCTTTGTTTTTGACCCCCAGAGAGTTGAGTTCCATGCTCACCAACCATTGTGTCTAGTCCCTAATTTCATAAATTATACAAAATTAATGATGTAGTTACCTTTCAATAAAAAGATAGCAGTAATAAATTTTCATTTGTCTTGTATACTATACAAATAAAGATGATCCTGATAAAGTAAGAGAACATTTCAAACTGTTAAGCAGGAATTTACTATGCAGTTTCTACATTCAAACGGGGATTGGTAGCACACCTGAGGTAGTTTATCTATAAATTTGGCAGCATTAGCTAATTCTGCTGCAGCTCTGATTTCTTCATCAGTTGCACCATCCTTGCCATAGGCGATATTCTCTTTAATGCTACAAGTAAAGAGAACTGGTTCCTGACTAACTAGGCCTATTTTCTGTCTAATCCATTTCAGTTGAAATTCTTTGAGGTTGATACCGTCAATGAGAACTTCACCTGACTGTGGATCATAAAATCTCTCTATCAAACTAACAACTGTTGATTTCCCACTCCCACTTTGTCCTACCAAAGCTACAGTGGTGCCACTTGGTATTGAAAGAGAAAATCCATTGAATATCAACTCATCTGGTCTTGTAGGATAACTAAAGCAAACCTCCTTGAGTTCTATATCTCCACGAATGTCATCAAGCTTCCGGCCGGTAGTGTCATAAACATCAATCTCTGGCTTCCTTTCAATAGTTTCAAACATTTTAAAGGCTGCAGCTTGTCCTGCAGCAAAAGCACTCAAGCTTGGAGATGCCTGCCCAAGAGACCTGGGATTGGAAATATAGTTAGGCAGCAGTATATAATTCATGTCAATCTCTTTTAAGTTCTTGGATAGGGAGAGAGAATAAAGTTTAGAAATTATATGCTGATATTAAGAAAGAAGAAAAGACACACAACTTACATGGAGCCAGTCAATACAGCAAAAATTATTGTCACAACCTCTCCTCCCGTATATCCTTTCTCTATTATCATTTTTGCACCATACCATACAGCTAAACCATAACTGCAGATAATAACAAAATAGAGTGCACCAAATCCCAAACCAGAAGCTAGTGCCTCTTCCACTCCAGTCTTGTAAGCCTTGATTAAAGAGTGATCATATTTAGCTATTGCTTGCTTCTCTCCAGTGAATGATGCAACCTGCATAGGGAAATGAAGGGGTCATTTTTATATATTCTGCTTCTACCCAAAAAAAAAAAAAGAAGCCAGGAGTTGGATTTTAGCAGTGTGCATACAGTTCGGATCGAACCAAGTGTCTGCTCTACTACACTTGCAGCTGTAGAATATGCAGCTTGTCCCCTTGATGATGCTTTTGTAATAATCAGGCTCATCATAGCCCCAGACAAAACAAGAAGTGGAAGACAAGATAGCATCACAACAGTTAGAAGCCATCCCCTAATGAATGCTATGATAAAGCCTCCAAAGAAAGATGCCATTAGCTGTATGAACTGTCCCACCTGGAATGAAAGAGAGAAAAAAACAACCACAAAAACAAACAAAGGTTTGCCTTAAACTCTTTTCTTTTTTGGGAAATTACAGGAAAATGAAATGAAAATGATTTTTAGACTTTTATGGTGGTTCATTAATACCTTCTCACCCATGGCATCTTGAATAAGAACAGTGTCACCTGACATCCTTCCAACAACCTCTCCTGTATTAGTCTCTTTATCAAAGAAGCTGACATCTTGCCTCAAAATTGTTTGAAGGTATAACCCTCTAATTTTTGCAGCCTGTCTTTCCCCAGTGATCATCCAACAAGTCATCTCTGGTACACAGCACACATGGTTTCTTTTTGAGTCATGATGAACCAAACAAATTAGTTAGATTGTAAGAACAGATAATTTGATATACTTACGCAGAAGTGATGCAACAAAGGTACCCGCAGCCAAGTACACAAAATTCAGAGACACCTGAACACAGTAATTCATAGTGAAATGTTAAGACAGTTAAGTTCACTTTAAAGTTGAACTAAAAAATTCTTAGTGTGTTTGGATTCACGTTTGATCTGCCACAGATCCACATTTACTTCGACGTTACCAGTTATAGCTTCTATGTTAACATGACTTTTAAGCATATTCAAATTTAGTTTTCAAACATGCTATTAGTAAACATGTATACCAGAAGAAAACCCTCCTCTAAAGCTTCACCAACTTCCCCTTAGATATTTCACAAACATGGATTAGTAATAGTAGAAGGGATTAATGAGGAAATACCTTGGAGACTTCATCCACAACTTCTTTGGTGCTTGTGGATCCTCCAAATGCATTGATCATATTTCCAAATATCAAAGTCATTAAGGGCATGGAGATTCCATTCCCGATAGCCCCCACAGTCCCCACAAACATCAACAAATGATCTAAAGGATCAGCAAATGAGAAAAGCTTGTATAAGGGTACTGTTTTGGCGGCGGCTTCTTTGGCCTCACTCTTCTTTGAATCTTGCATGCTATCAGGATCTCCATTCAAACTTATATCCCCTGCCATTTTCTTAGATGGAAACTTCTTTTGCTTACAAACCCCTCTACCAATGACTGTAAACAGAAAACAGCTGCAAGAAATGCATTACAGGTTCATGTCAGAGTAACATAAAGGAAGATAGTGCTTCTCAAACTGTAACTTCATATCTTTTTCCTGGTTTGTTGTGTCTGCATGTGCATTGAATTTGTGAATAAAAGATGATGACTTCGTGTCATTTTTTCCAAAGGGAAACTTTGAAAATATTGTTTTCACTTTTCAGCATAAGATAATGGCAACAAGTTCTACATCAAACTGATCATAATGCATTCAAAGCAGAAGAGGAAATGAACCTTTTACAACCAAAAGCTGAAGCAATTTCTTGAAAATGAAGAACTAGCCGTAGCAATCAACAGAGGAACGAATGAAAAAAAATTTCAGCTGGAAAGTCTAACCAAGTTGCCAATTAATGTAAATAGATTAGTGAAGGGAACATGTCTAGTCCTTGGCTACTTATATAGTTCAACTAGTTCATACTAATATACATTGGTCAAATATTTTAATATTAAACTAGTTGGAAAAGTTTGAATCTTGAAATTTCTTTGCCTCCAAGGTAGTTAAGTAATTCTAATCCGATTTTTCTTCTGGCTGTTTAGTCCCCAATTAATAAAAGTAATTGATCATGTTTCGGAATTATGATTATTTGATTAATAAAAGTAATAACTATCATCAGCATCTAGAGTACATTTTTTTTTCTTGATTTTCTTACGGTGGATACATTTCACTATCACAGTCAAATTAGGACCTTTTTCCCAAAAAAAATAAAATAAAAATCAAAGTCAATATTATTTTAAACAACTACTTAAAACCTTTGACTTCTTCCTTAAGTTGGATAATTGAGATAAAGAAAGAGGGGAGAAATATACCCATACAATAGTCAAAAAAATATCTATAATGTGCATATGATGTTTAACTCTTTAAATTTTTGTGAATAATACTGCTTAAATAACATGCATTTTAGGAATCATGAATATTTATAAAATTATAAATATGTTTTAGAATTTTAAGTAAATTATATTCTCCTCCCTTAAAAGTTGTATATTTGTCCTTAAACAAATACTTTTGGAGTTTCAAAAAAAAAAAAAATCCTACCAAAAGACTTTCTCATTAATTCTTTCAAACAAATTAATATTTTCATTTATTTCATTATTTTTATATAAGTTTTTTAGTTTCTTTATTTTTTGTTCAATACTCAACTTTATTATCAAATAATAATTTATTAAAAAATATATTTCTATAATAATAACGCATATTAAATGTTCCCTAACTATATAAAAGTGACTCATTATTGGATAGAAAAAATGGAAAAGAAAAACATAATATATTTGAATAAAAATATACATGATGTGACAAGTTTTTAAATGAGGACGATGTAGGGTAAAGGGGCAGTGACGGAGAAATTCCCACCAACCCTCGTTCACAAAAATGCATTACGTGATACCCAAACATTCTACTTTTCTTTTTCTCCAAGCCTCGTTTTTTTTTTTTTTTTTTTTTACTTTTATCTGTTATATTCTTATTCTTTTGTAGAATATAATATATAAAAGTATAAAGAATAATTTTAAATTCTCTATCCCTTTTAAAAAATATATAATTAAATAAAAATATCAAATATATTATATATTTTAAATTAAACAAAAACATCATTTAAAGTTGAATTTGTACTATTAATAGGACAGTGTTACATTGACTTCATATGCTTCCGAATTGAAAATTCAAGAATGAAAGCTGGTGGCAATTACGAGGAAGGTTCGTGGTTATAAGGAAGAAGAAGAAGAAAAACAACTCAACTTTATTGGTAACATGTGAATCCATTACAACACCTTGTTATCAGAAAAGTCAGAACTACTGTAACTATTTATCTATTTTTGGGTAATTTTCATGTGACTCTTTGTTGTCAATTTAATGTCATTTTCCTTCTTCGTTATGTTGCTCAAATTTTGATTTGCTAAACCTTACGTAATACCCACACATTCATAATTATGCAAATTTCATTTACGTGTAAGTAATTGGAGAAATAAAATTTAAAGTATTATTTTAAAGATAAAATATTCTCATATGAGTATAAATTTAAAAAAATTTATACTTAATTTTATTTTTTATTTAATTTATATTTAATCTGTTATAATTTATTATTTTATTAATTATTAAATATTAATTAAATAAAAAATTCAGATTAAATATAAATTTTTTTAATTTATGTTAGTATATGAATATTTTTATTATTATTTTATCAGTGTTATTAGTGAGCAACTTAATTATAATTAATGTATTGATAATATATTTGAAGTAATGACTTAGTGACATGACGCGTACATTTAATTATGTAGCATTATTCCGTACTTTGGAATCCGTCGTTACGCTGTTGCTTTTCAAACCCCGTTTTGTCTTTATGCACAAAAACTAGACCTCAGCATCATTTTAATTTGTTAATTATAATTAAAGCAATAAAAGGAGGGTTAGTGGCTTTCGGATGATACTTCTTCCAATTTTTTTATAAGAAATAAAATAAAATATTTTTTTAATTTTTATTATAAAAATAAATAATAAATTTAAATAATATTAATTATTAAATTTCTTTTATACACTTCTTTTATTAATATCATTAATTATAATATTTAATATCATAGGTATTTTTGAAATAAAATTTATATTTATAAAAAATATAAATAATTTAATTACTTTTTTTACCATAAAGATTTAATCTTTTGTTTCTTATAAAAAGGACCAAAAATAATATTAACTAATTAATTGTTAGAGACTTTACAAAAATTATTAAAAGTTTTGTTAATTTTAATTTTTTGTGGTTGAATTTAAGTATTTATAAATAAAAAAATTATAAAAAAATATAATTATTATATTAAAGTTATAAAAATATAATAAATATTTTTTAATAAAATTTTATTATTATTAACTGTTTATTTTCAGTTTTAAAGATTAAAGTTGATAAAAACTTAATTATTTATTAGTATATTATTTTTCTAAAACATAAGTAAATAGAATCAACAAAAGGTGCGATCAGCAGCGTATACTAGGGAGTGCATTCATTTAACACAATGAAGGAAATATGTACACCATTATTTGAAATATAGTTCATATATAAGTGTTCTTGGAATGTTAATTAAGCCTATATTTGGTAAAGATAATTTTTTGTTTGTTTAAGAGTTTCTAACTTATTGATTTGATTTGAATGATAAATTTTTAGAATTATTTAAAAATTAAAATAAAAAGTTGCTTATAATTTTTGAACCTAACTTTTAAAAATTTATTTAAAGTGATATTTTTTGTTATTATTTAAAATAATATTTATTTTTTAAAAATTAATTATTAATATTTTTTATTATTTGTTTAAAAAAAACTGTTATATAATTAAAATTTGATATACATTTGTTAATTCTTTTTTTTACATTCTAGTAATTTTTTTCTTTGTTATTTTTTATTTCTTTTATCTAAATGTATTTTATATTAATATATATATATATATATATATATATGATTTAAAACATTTCATGTTCAAATATATACAAAGAGGAATTTTATTTTTTATATAATTATTTAATTAATTAATCATAAATAAATAAAATAAATGATAATTAATTTTAATATCATGTTATATAATTTTACATATCTTTTTAAGTTATTTAATATAAATTAAATTATTATATAACTAATTTATTAAATAATTTAAATTTTATAAATTACTTATATAATTATAAATTTTCAGCTAATTTTATAATTATAAGTTAAAATTTCATAATTTTTAGTTTATTTTTAGCAAATATAACTTAAATAGCTCGTAAATTAATTATTTAATTTATTAAATTTAAAATAAGCAATTTAAAGTCAATATTAATAAATTTTTTATTTTATTTTTATTTAAATCATAAGCATTTTTAATAAAAATAATTTTGTTTAAAATAATAACGTTCATGTTACATGGAAAATAGCTTAAATTATAAAAAAAAAATATAAACCACAACTTTTAATATTGAATTTAAGCAATTAATAATAGCAATGACTTATTATGACATGTTTATTAAATTTTTATAATTTTAATATAATAAATGTTTTTACAAACAAAAATTTACCCATTAAATACTTAAATTTAAATCTTGAAATTTTCATAAATAAAATAAAAATATTAATAATATATTCTTTAAAACACACTTGTAATATTCATTAATCAATTTTTAAAAAGTTAAAATAATCTTATAAAGTTAATCAAATTTTTAGTTAAATACTTTAATATTGTTAAATAGAGTAATCATATAAAATATGTTAAAAATGTGTCAGTAATATTTACCATAAAAATAAATAATTAGTACTTGAATTAATAATTTATTAATTAAAAGCCCTATTTTGACAAGCTAATAATAATAATAATAACATTAAGCATACAACTTACAACTTTGGAGTTACAGTTGCACTATAATTATCTCTCTTTTTTATTTTGTCTATGTGTGCTAAGAAATATATATTAAAAAGTTAAAAATAGAAAATTTTCATTAAAAAATTTAAATATTTATTAGTTTAAATGGACAAATATTACACTATAAATGCTTTCACCAAATATTAATTTAGAAAATAATGATACTTTCACACACTTCTATACTCATCACCTAATTTTAATTGGCAAAAAAAAATTATTTACTCGGTGTGAATTGGATTTAACCTTTTTTTTAGCATTAAATTTGTGTTTAATTAGATACAATAAAAATTAAGAGTGTGTTTAAACTAACTTGAAAAATCAATAAATAAAAATTTAACATGAAAATTACAAAACTAACATGAATAACATAAATGAATGCGGACATATTGTGTAGTACCAAACACACACATGATTGTCAATTTAAAACGGACATGGGACACAGTATATAAAGTGTCTTTAGATATAATTTGTATTTTTTTTATATTTATTAATTTGTATTTTAAAGAGTAAATTTTAAAATAAATTATTTTAATAAATTTATATATAATTTGTATAGTTAGCTCGTTTGGTTAAAATACAAAACATAATTTACATAATATCCAAAGTAAAATTCTTCGTTCAGTATAAATATGCCTCCAAAAAAATTATAAAAGTTAGTTAAATCTGTTATCATAAAAACATGCAAAACATGAGTTATTCTGAAAATAGCATTAATGTAATTTAAACTGAAAAAGACAAACAAATATTGGTTTTTCTATATTTTGGGAAACACATTCTAAGGCTTTGGGCTTAACCCAATCACAAACAAATTCAAATCCAAATACTCTGAAAAAAGATTCTCTGTGCTCTCTCTTCTATCCACAATCCAACTTCACTCTCCACTCCAACTGTTTCCCAACACACACTCATTTTTCCACCGCCACCATCGGTTCATGTATACGGCGGAGCTATTCGGCGTCTTCGCCATGCTCGGCGGCGATGCTACGCTGGCAATAGCCGCTGCCACCAACAACAAGTGCTCAAAAAACGCAGCTTTCACGATACCCACTTCCCATAAAGCCGTGAATGTGAAGTGGTGTAAGGCTTTGACACCTTGTCGTTGCACCGTTGACTCAACGTCCGTCGGCGGCGACGTTTTCTCGGTGACGCCGTCAAGCAAGTCTGACGTGGACTACCTTGGGCAGAGCACCAAAGGTGATTTGAACGTCAAGTTGGAGCATCTTGAGGCTTTTGGTAAATTTTGAAACTTTTCGAAATTCCCATCATTTCCAACCCTTTTGTTGTTCATTTTCGTTGTTTGTGCTTTTGGGTGTGTTTTACTTAGTTTTAACAAAGGGGTGTTTCCGAATGTGAAATTTTCGTTGAGTCCTGCTGGGCCCACCTTTTCGTTTTGCTTATAGAGTAGGTTATTGAATCAGCTTGGACCTGTAATACATTTCTTTTGTTACTACCAAGTACCAAGTGTTGTACGATGAGTTATTAATGTTGTTTGGATATTTACAAAACATCAGGCATTGTTATATTGAACATGGTTTCATAAATTTGTGCTAAAAACAAGGTGAATATTGGTCAACTACGTTGTAGGAATTGATGGTAATGCCTCTTTAGAAGGTCCAATTGAGGAAGTGGCCAGGGCAGAGGCTAGAGAAGCAGAAGGTTTGCTGAAGGACTTGGGCATTCCGGTGCAGTGGACCTACTCCTTTTGCTTGCTGTTTTATATTGTTTGATGAAAGAATCTGTGGTCTACTTCCCTGTGTTGTATGTTGTTAGTTGATGAATGAACATGTTATCGGTATATCTGGTGGTATTTGTATTCTACCCCTTGCGCCTGTATTCATATATGCGTTATTGTCAAATACTCTTCTCAATGCTGGTGTGGATGGATAACGGAGATTACATATACATCAAGTTGTGTTTTTGTGAAGCTGTATGCTACATATTTAAGCTGTCTCAGAGTGACAAGTTGTGGGACAAATTATTTTATCTTCCCCTTAGGTTTACCAACTCTATCTGTCTATGCAAATATCCTGACCATTTTTTAGAAATTGCACAGGCCTCTTCTATTTTTAATATCTCTTGTGGTCCTTTGTATACGATGAACACTAGGAGGTGTTTGCATAAGTTTCACAAATGTTTTGAAAGCTTATACTTGTTATGATTTACTGATATTATCATTTAATTATATTGTTTATCATTGAAATCCCCAGCTGATAAATATTTTCTTTTTGTCATGGAGTGCCGGCCTTGCTTGTGAACATTTTATATCATTATCAACCGTACTCACTGCTATCTAACATACTACTTCCTTCATTGAATTATTGTTTATGATTGGTACCCTTATTTTGTCTTTTCCTACTTTTTTCCTTTCTATTTGGACTCTGACTGGGATTTAGTTTCATGTTCTGTAAGTAAATGTCACTGTTTTGTGTCCTCATGTAGAGCCCTTCTTCATCCAGAAATTCACCTCGTGGAATATTCTGCAGTCGTACATTGAATCTGCGGTCAATCAGCGCCATTGGATATGACATGGATTACACCTTGATCCATTATAATGTGATGGTACACCTCTATTCAACTGCTAATTACTAAGTCTGCAGATAACTTCCTTTGTTCATTTTTCAATTATATTGTATACATTGATAAACAAAAATTTATGCACTTCAAGATCTTTGTATTTTAGCATCAAGTAATGTAATACTAACTCTTATTGAGTCAATAAAAGTGTCAATTTTCGATAATATTTTATAATTTTAAGTCATGCTATGATATTTGTTAGGTCTTACTCTCATGTTTTACCCCATGGGTAAAAATAAAGTGTTTCCCCCTTACTCTGCTTGAAGTTTTTTATTGTGTTAAAGTCATTACCACAGTGCTACAGATCATTAGCACATGGGTTACTTATTGAGGTAAATGGATTTTTCTGAAATTGACACGAGCTCTTGCAGGCTTGGGAAGGGCGGGCTTATGACTACTGTATGGAAAACCTTAGGAATATGGGTTTCCCTGTTGATGGACTTGCATTTGATCCTGACCTGGTAACATGTTCTCTCTGGCACACTGAAGGCAAATGGCAATTCATATTATATCTTTCTGTTGAAGTGATCTTTGTATTCCATTATAAATTGTTCAGGTAATTAGAGGCCTTGTCATAGACAAAGAGAGAGGCAATTTGGTTAAAGCTGATCGATTTGGTTACATTAAAAGAGCCATGCATGGCACCAAAATGTTATCTACTCGAGCTGTGAGGTAACTGTCTGGCCTGGTGATTTTCATTTCTGATAAAGGAAATCCATGCGGGCTTTTTGCTCACTCGTTATATCAACATACTCGGCAGTAACTTATAAACAATTTCATGGCTTTAGGCTACTGATAGAATGTGCCCAGGATAAATAAATATGATGTTCTACATTTAGTTATTGATGAGCTGTGCAAGTTAACAACTGATTCAAATAGCCAGACCCATGCAGTCAAGGTTTCATCTTAGGTTTCTGTTGAGTACCCAAGTCCATCTTCTGAAATAATTCTAATTTGTGCATCATAGGTTTTCACATGAATCATCTACTAGTCATCAATTAACTGCTTTGCAGCACAGCCTTCACATTGCTATATGTATATACTGTTACATTCACACATGCCACACATTAATAACTTAGTAGATGCCATTTATCAAAAACTGGAGTAATAGTTTCTGTAGTGCTACTTAATTTTATATGCAATGGAAGTGAGATGTATGGGAGAGAACTGGTGGATCTGCGAAAGGAGAGTCACTGGGAGTTTCTCAATACACTGTTCTCTGTGTCTGAAGCCGTGGCCTACATGCAGGTATGTTGCAATTGCTGTTGAAAACCCCTAAAGTTTTGGTTGCAGAGACATGTTCTGCTATAATGTTTGTTTTACAGAACATATGGCTTCCTTTTTATCTTCTCAATGGGTCCTGAGGTTTGTCGTGTCTTAAATTTGAACTTTCTTTCAGATGGTTGACAGATTGGATGATGGGACTATACCAGCAGATCTTGGCCCCCTTGATTATAAAGGGCTTTATAAGGTAATATGCTGTAAATGTTTTATGAATGCTATATTTTGTTAGGGAGCTTCTGTTTCTTTACTGTTGCCACAACTTTCAGGCTGTTGGTAAAGCACTCTTCTGGGCACATGTAGAAGGTCGCCTTAAGGTTAACTTATTCATGCTGTTGTCTTTGGCCACTAAGAAATTTTAGTGTTGTCATTCAGAACAAATCATACAAATGACATATGAAATTTATGCAGAGTGAGATCATGTCTAAGCCTGAACAGTTTGTGGAGCCTGATCCAGAATTACCTTTGGCACTTTTGGATCAAAAGGAGGTATTATCTCTAACATGTTATTTTTTGCATAGCATGTGAAGCCCTTCTACTCCTTAGTCCTTACTGAGCTGTCTTTATGAAACAGGCTGGCAAAAAACTTCTGCTTATTACCAACTCAGATTATCATTACACAGACAAAATGATGCGGCATTCTTTTAATAGATTCCTTCCCAATGATATGGGTTGGCGAGATCTATTTGACATTGTAAGTTTACGTAAATTATTTCTTCCATATTTTATTCTTTTGACATTAGAGGAATGAAATACTATATACCCCCATTGTTATCTTGCATTAAATTAACAACCTTATCTTATTATGAAATAAACTTTGCAATAAATAAATGGATGTGACTCTTGTTCTTGGATAGGTAATTGTCTCAGCAAGAAAACCAGAGTTCTTTCAAATGTCACACCCCATGTATGAAGTGGTTACAGGCGAGGGTCTGATGCGTCCATGCTTCAAGGCTCAAACTGGTAACTAGGACACCCTTTGTTCCTTATTTTATGAATTGTTTGCTTTTTCACAAAGTGTAAGATTCCTATTTTTTAATAAAGAATGCTACATCCCTTGCAAAAAAAAATAAAATTATTTTATAGTTTAATGTGTATACGAAGACTGTCATTTTGAATACTGTCCCCAATATTTTTTTGAATTACAGGATAAGGACAGCTGGGTTTCAAAATGAGAAATATGTTTTTCAAAATACATTTTGAGACTTCCAAATATGGGATTGAGTCATAGAAATTGAGACGGTTGGACTTTCTAGTTTCTATTCCTTGAACAAAATTTAAAATGTATTTGTATTTTGGTATTTCTTTATCATTTACATCTGTTTTGATAGCTTGGGTCTGCTGCTACCTTCTTTATAGAATAAGAAATGGTGGATAAATCACAGATTGCTACTTATCATATCCACCAATACAAAGAAGAAAAGCACCAATGACAGTTTTATGATGTGCTGAAATTTACCAAGCACTTAATTTTCCACATTTTAGGGTTCTGATTCTGAAATAATGATTGCATTGCCTCTTATTGTTTCTGCCATGATTATATATAGCTGAAAGGCAAATTACCTGACCCTTTTCTCTAAAACTTCTTCTTTTAATATTGCTCAACCAAACACCATGTTAGTTTTCAATTTCACTGAGGATAATTGAGCTGCTAATTTTACTAGTTGTGATCATGGTACTTACTTTACCATCTTCTGCAGGTGGTTTGTACTCAGGGGGAAGTGCACAGATGGTTGAAAATTCCCTAGGTATCCATGGAGATGAGATATTGTATGTTGGTGACCATATTTACACTGATGTCAGTCAATCCAAAGTCCATTTGCGATGGCGAACAGCATTGATTTGTCGAGAACTGGAAGATGAGGTTAGTACAATCAGTTTATGTTTGACTCGTTTCTGAGTTAAAAAAAAGCTCTTGAACTTCATTTTTTTACTCGTGAAATATGCAAATGATGACTGCTTGGTAGCTTGAAGCTAAGATATAGTTAATGGCTTTCAGTAATTTTTTCTGTTGAACTTTATGTACTAAATAGTGCAAATATGGTGTCTTGACTGGATCCAACTATGAAATGTTCTTTTGCTTTGTAAATGTTAAAATTGCAGTACAGTGCCTTGATTGGTGGCCGAACTTATAGAGAATCATTGGTGGAGCTTATAAATCAAAAGGAGGTCGTAGGGGACCTCTTTAACCAACTTCGGCTGGCTCTGCAGAGACGCAGTAATGATCGTCCTGCTCAAGTAAGTTTTGATTCTATAATCATATTATATATTACATTATTTTATTTGTACTAATACCACTACCTCTTACCATTGTTGGAATAATGAAAGCATTAGGCAACAAATTTTCTTTTGCATTCTTATTGATACTCTTGTGGTCAACCTTTTGCTGCTGCTGCTAATAATTTGTTGCCTTCTTTGGTTCCCTTTGACCTCCCTAATCTAAATATATGATCATTCAATGCATACTTGATCTCCCCATCATATAGCTTGTGACATTATTAACCTAATTAGTAGCTCTCCCCTTCCTTATCTTGAAGCCTATTAAGTTTCAACTAAGCTTCTCGTGCCCAAACTGCTCAAAACATTTACATCTTGTCCCTCGGTTAATCTTATCTGATTGCTTGATTTTCAATTTGGAGGTTTCAAGCATACCTTTTTCTTATAATTTCTTAAAGCTTTGGTCTATTACGTTAGTGCTGATTGTCAGATTTTCCATGCACTCAAAAGACCCTTGCAGCAACTAATATGAATGATGAAGACCTCACTGAAAGCATGCAGAAGCTACTTATTGTTATGCAAAGACTAGATGACAAAATTGCTCCTATGCTAGAGGCAGATGGGGAGCTCTTCAATTCAAGGTAAGCTCAAAGGATAGCCTTTTCGATTCAGAAGCTCCCAAATTGTGCTCAACCTGTACATGATTTATTGATTTCTGCCACACGACTAAATATGTAAACCTGGTTTTCTGCTTCTATAATGTTGCAAAGAAATGGAGATATCTTTTTTTTTTTTTTCATATCTATTTGGGTTAGGGGAGAATATTCCTGCTAGATATGCATTTGCTATTAACTTGATGTGTATGCCTACATTAGGTGGGGTTTCCTATCTCGTGCTGGACTGTGGGATAAAAGCCACTTGATGAGACAAATTGAGAAGTATGTGCTTTCTTCTTGATGCCCTGAATTTCTTTTTTATCATACTTCTCTTTCGATATTGAATCATTTAAACTTATTATCACAGATATGCTGATATTTACACGTCTAGGGTGTCAAATTTTTTATATTATACACCCTTCATGTATTTCCGCTCTCAGGAACAGGTATTCATATAACCTTTTTTCTTATCATACTGCATTAGGTTATTGTTTGGACTATGAACTTATGATATATTTCTGTGTTCTGTAGAATCTTGCTCACGACTCATACACACATTATTGTGCACAACTGTATAACGAGTATTCTTCCTAGAGGAAAATGGAGAATAAGTTGAAGAAATAAGAGACTCCTGTTGACATTATAAGCAGATGTTCATTGTGATAGTATATAATGCTCTGCAATGATGATACGTTGTATTATTTGAACTGATATGGAGTCCATGAAGGAACCTGTTAGCATTTTTCCTTTGAGCAAGTGGTGTTTGACCCCTGGTTATTGAACAGAGTCTCAAACAAAGGGGGGGCAATGCTAGGGGTTTTGTTTCCAACTTGCTAGGAAATTGGCATGACCGAATTCTAATTCAGCAGCATACATGATGTAACCAGATTGACAATATGCCAAAACGTGGGAAATCACTATTCAAAAGTGTGTCCTGTTTTTCATTTAAAGAATTGTATTTCTACTATCATGAGAGATGTTTATGCAGTTCCTTCTATCATTTATCTGTTCTTCCCCTTGGGAGTATGAATGATTAAACTTTAGGACTGGCAATAATTCAGAAAATTTTAATGTTCTTTGCTTCTTAATTTACTGTTTCTGTTGCCTTTGAATTGCCATTTTTTTAAAGAATGTTGAACAAAATTAATGTATTTAGAACAAAACCACGGGAATGACCAGAACTGACAACGGCACTGCACCTTTCAACGGCGAAAAAGGAAAAAAAAAAATCTGATTTCAAATGGTAGAAATATATAATTATATATAAAGAAAGAAAAAGGCTTCAACTACTGGTTTCAAAACTCATACTCCTGGTGACAATTCCTACGACTACCCTCCTTGGCTGTTTTTTCTTTCTCCAGCCATCCACTGAATTACTGCAAATTTGAAGCTTTCAAGGTATTGATTGCCAGGATTACTTGGTCCTTAACATTTCCAAAGCAAATTCAATCCTAAACTTTACAATCATTGATCTATTAGCAAATGCTTAGTAGTATCTGAAGGACAATTATGCACCCTTCTCATAATTTTCTATTAACAAGACCTAATCAATTTTGTTCCTGACATTGGTACACATCAATCAATTTGATCCCTAATGATGGAGGTCAAAATGACTTAAAGAGTTGTTAAAGTTAAGAACTAAATTAACTAGTTTGATAATATTAGAAACCAGATTGATTGGTGTAGCAATCTCATGAAATAAATTGATAGACGATTATCAAAGTGATGGACTGTTTTCTTATATATATATATATATATATATATATATATATATCGTTGCTGAACTGCATATTTGCATTAAACAAATAGAGAACTTCAATCAAATTACATCTTTGAAACAAGCTTTAAAACAAAATTTATATTTTAGGCTCCAGGAATTTGAAGATCAAGAATCATGAAGCACAAATATCAGATAAATGTAAGAAATAAAAATAAGAAAAACCAATCCTAAGATATTTCGACTGTCTGTTTTGCTGCCTATTATAATCAAGTGAATGGAACCTTGCATTTTCTTATGGTATGATGCCTACCAAAACTATTTGCAGGGCAACCCTGTGGAGGCAATAGGTGACTTTCATCATAGTTGATAGAAACAAGACAAAGGCCATGAGGAGGGGCAGATAAGGAGTACTTTGCAAGCTCCGTGCGATCTCGACTTGCCAAAATATGTGGAACAATGTCAGGTGGGATAGCTTCCTTACCAATTTGAAGCAACAAAGCCACCTGGAAAAGCAAATAGATATGTTCATTGCTAAAGTGGAACAACTCAACTATACAGTAATTTTGCAACCACAGAATAATCTTTTAGATCATTCAGGAACAAGTAAAACTATCTACCATATTTCGGACTTGTCTATATAAGAAACCTGAGCCTTCAACTTCTAGTTGCAAAAGAGCTCCCTATACAAGGATATTGAAGCAATCACTAATCAGTCTTATAAGCTTTAAAAGTCTTAACAGACCAATAAGAAGATACAAACAGGATAAATACAGTGCAAACACTTATAATGATGTGAGTGGAAGAAACCTTGACTTAGAACTAGTTACGTACCATTTCTTTCACATCAAATCGGAGTATATGCTTCACTGGATCTATTACGCGATCATTGCGGGATGCATTGGCAAAAGCAGAGAAATCATGCTTCCCGACAAAATATTTTGCAGCTTCTCTCATAATGGCGCTATTGAGTTTATACACACTATGGTAAGCAAAATGTCGCTGGAATGGATCCATGATGGTATCATTGTATATCTTGTAATGGTAAATCTTACTTTTGGCAGAAAATCGAGCATGGAATTTAGCTGATGCAGGGCTGATCTCTCTAACTCGGATATCAGAAGGAAGAATACCATTCAAAGCTGCATGAAGTTCTTCCAGTGTATCATAGTTAAAAGGTGTAACAAAATGAGCAACCTGCAGACATTGTAAGTTTTAAATTTCCAATTGTTGTCACTGTTTAAAGAAACATTAAAGAAACAAAATCATACCTGACCCCAAGCATGGACTCCTGTATCAGTCCTACTTGCACCAACCAAACAGAGATCCTTCCTTTGAAGTTTTGTGGCTTGTATCAAAGCTTTCTCAACAGTGCATTGCACAGTAGGGGGAGATAGCTGATATTGCCAACCTGAAATATGATCATCATTCAAGATAAGGGAGGAATGGAATTCAATTGTTCAATTATCATACTCTACTTTTGCTCATTAATTCTGGAAAGTGCACCTTTCTAATAGCCTTAAGAATAGGATTGGTATCCTCCTAAAGTACAAGTCAATTCCCATGCCCATTCTCGCCCCAGAAATAAATAACGACCCATGTCAAAATGTTTGAGAAAGTTTAAGACTTTATGGGTGAAATTGAATGCCCAGAACGTGAAAATGAAGAGAGAAAGAAACCTGCGTAATGGGTTCCATCGTAAGCCAAAAGCAAGCGCCATTTATACCCATCTCGAATGGGCTTCACCCCATTTTCCACCTCCACAGGAACAGCAGAATTCAACTAAAATCCACCAAAAAATAGTGTTATTAATTATAAGATAAAGAGGTAACAACACAAAGAAAGGAAAAACGGATAGAGGAATACAAAAAGGAGAGAACATGGAGATGAAGATAGAACAACCAGTGCTCCTACTGCATAACTCATCTCACAAAATCAACGCCTCTTTCTTCTTTATCCATTTTAGTTTTGTAAATATGACTTCTCGCTGAACTAAATATTTTTGTTCCTCTTGGAATTTTTCAATTTCACTTTTTATTTTTTTTAAATAAGTCTTTAATAAGAAATTAATAACATATTTCTTTATTGTTTTTGTTAATTTTCTGTTAATTACCTTTTCATTTTAGTTTCCTATTCATTGAATGCTTTGGCGATAATCTCTAGTCAAGAATATATTAGATCAAAGTTATCTACTAAATAAATTAAATCAATTTTTTAAAAATCTTATAAATTAAAAAGGTCAAAGTTCACACATTTTAAACAAAATTAAACTTAATAAAGTAAATATTATAATAATAATGATAAATAATAATATGAAAATTTGTATCACTATTTGTTATTATTGTAGTAAATATACAGTATTATATTATTATATAATTATAATCTTATTTAAATATTTAAGTTGTTGAGTTATGCGTGAGTTTATGTTTATTAGCTTATATAATGGTAATATTTTACTTATTTAAAAAATATTACTATAAAATAATTATTTAAATAAGTTTACAAATTAAGTTAGACTTTTAAAAAATTTAAAATGTATATTAAAAAATAAACTATATAAGTTAAATGCAGTAACTTTGAACTTTATATTCGGAAATTAAATTATGTTTAGACCTACATAGATTAGCCTATCTTTACAGTTTACACTTATATAAATGATCAAATACAAAAATAAAAAAATAAAAAAATTACAAAGAACTAATTAAAGGACATTTGGGTATCAAGAGATATTTTATGAATTACTCATTTAAAAACAAATTAAAACTAATATACGAAAAAAACAATGTGATTTTAGTGTGAGCTTTTAATACTTAGAGGCGATAGTAATATGCAAATATATGTATTTTAAGAAATTGCTTGCACAAAAAACAATAATTTAAAATTATTGATCTTTAATATTAATGCACGCAGGTGATCTGATTAAAAAAAAATGTAAACTGGTGAAAAAAAAACCCTATAATTAGCATAAGATAAATACTAACTATTATCATAAGAGTATTATGTTTAAAAATGATAAATAAAAAATATAAATATTATTAATGTACTTTTAATACTGAAATTTCAATTACAATATATTCATAGTGTATTTTTATACTATCATTTACTTATAAATTGCTTTATTAATTAAAATAATTTACTTTTTAATAGTTGATTAAAAATGTATATCTCTTATTTATTTTATCAATTAATATTTCAAAACTCACAGCCCATCAAAATTTAATCCCTCCTAATAAAAAATTAGTTACAATTTTCTTGACCTGTAGTTTTAGAACTAGTTCTAATACAAAACCATAACTATTAATATAAATATTGTTATACCTTTACCAAAATATCATCATCAATTAGTAAATGTTAATACTTAAATGAGATAAATGTTAGGTAAAGAAAAAAGATGGAACAAGATACATATAGTTGTTTAGTGAGGATATACCAATTGACTGTTCCTTAAAATTTTCAAATAACAAAGTTTGGAAGCTAAAATAAAAATTAAAAAAATGTAGGGAATAATAATAAAAATATTTTGTTAAAAAAAAAACTATATCAAGATGTATATTAAAATATAATTTAAAAAATATATTTGATAATTCTCAAATAACACGCCTTTAAAATATTTAATAACAACACCCAGGTTACAAAAGATTGAATCCGAAATCATTTGTGACAAAATAAATTTTAAAAATCATGATATTTCTTTAAAATGTCTGACATACAAAAAATAATATATTTATCACAAATTAATTATAGTTTGGACCGTTGAATTTAAAAGTAATCCCGCAGAGCCATTTTGAAGGAAAGAGCTTCCATAATTTCAGAAAAATAAAAAATAATAATGTTTTTTTAATGGGATTTTTTTTTTAAAACAATATTAGAATAAAGTACAAATTTTAGAAAATTCTCAAAATATTTTTAAATAAATAAGACTCACGAAAAATTATTTTAAACACAAATATTTTTACATACATACGTGTTTGTGAGATAGATAATCACCACATCACAAAAATTTCATATATAATAAGAGGTGAAATGTTAATAAATGTAAATTTAATAATATTTAAAATATTATTTTGATAATGTAAATATTGTATTATAATAAATTAAACCTATTTTAAATATTTTACTCAAATAAATTAAAATAAATGCAATGCCATTTTAAAAATAATTATTTAGTCAAACAGGTAATCAAAGCAATTAAATATTGATTTAATTTAACATAAAATATAAGTGGGAGAAAGACAAGAGCTGCTTAAAGAGGAAAAGGGAAATAGATGTTTAGGAGAGGATAAAAAAGAAGTGTAGTGGTGTTTTTTGGAAATCAAAAGGTTGAAAGTGAAGTGACATCCACAAAACGTCGTCGTATAGGGAGGTTTCAGAAATTTGGGATTCAACACAACAGAAAACAGCTCTCTCCCTCCGATTGGTTCTTCGTCATCCTCTCTCCAAACAGAAATTTGGGATTCAACACCAACAATTACAGCTTCTTCGCTGTTTTTCATTCCTCCTTTTAGGTTACCTTTCAATCTTCTTCTTGCTCTTCCTTAGGGTTTCGTCATTCTTTTCCTTCAATTACATTTTTGCCATCCCCCTTTCCGTGATAATATTAATTATTTTGTTTTTCCCTTAATCATGAGTTTCACTTGTGGACATTTTTTTTTGAGGGCGGGGAGGGGGAGGGGGAGGGGGGCGCGGGTTGTTCGTTAAAGGTTGAATTTTTATCTCAATTCTCCATCTCTGATTGTGTTTTGTTTGTTGTATGTGTATTTTGCTTCTGAAATTTGATACCCAACAAGACTTGGATTTTGGGTAGTGGAATTTACTTGTTGGGCCTTTGCAATGAAGAGTTCAGAATGCTAAATGCGATCCATTTCATCGTTTATTTTCTACCGATACTTGACTTGAGTTCTTGCAGTTGTATTTTATCACTGGTACTTTTTCTGTTTTCAAGATAAATAAATATTATATATTTGATACTGGTTAGGCCATGGCTACGAGGAAAGTCATAGCTATATGTCAATCAGGAGGTGAGTTTGTGACCAATAAGGATGGATCATTGTCATATAATGGTGGAGATGCCTATGCAATTGACATCGATCAGCAGACAAAGTTGAGCGATTTTAAGTCAGAGATAGCAGAAATGTTCAACTGCAATGTAAGTACGGTGATTATCAAGTACTTCCTTCCTGGCAACAAGAAAACGCTTATTACAGTGTCAAAAGACAAGGATTTGCAACGCATGGTCAGTTTCCTAGGGGATGCTAACACGGTTGATGTGTTTGTTATGTCAGAGGAAGGAGCAGCGAGAAATAATACATCCAACATGCCTGGTAGTAGGTAGTTAGTTATTCACAAGTTTTGTTGATTTAGTATTCCTTTGTTCATCTCACATAGACTTCCATAGATACTGATAGACATTTATTATTTATGTAGTTTAATTTGGCCAATTAATGCAGAAATTTCTGCTTGGATATGATGATAAAGAGTTGTACATATTCTTTTTTAATACCACATTTCTAGAATCTCAGGTTGACCCAAAAATGAATGGTCATAGGTTGTGCTAGATTCATATGCATTTGATTGTGTATTGTTTTGAAAATCTTACAGAATGCTTGTTATTGCAGGTCAAGCAGGACAACTGTGTCAGAAGCCATTGTTCCTGTTGTTACTCCTGTTGATGTCATCGTTGACGCTGTCCAATCCATAGATCAAGTTGAGGTAGATGGAGCTAATGGAGCCCTTGCGCCTTCTACTTTTTCTGGGACCGTTGTTGACAAAAATTGTAAAGCTGCACAACAGTGGGAAAATACCATTACTGGTGTGGGCCAAAGGTTTAATAGTTTTAGTGAATTTCGAGATGCTTTGCATAAATTCTCTATTGCTCATGGGTTTGCTTACAAATATAAGAAAAATGATAGTCACCGTGTAACAGTCAAATGTAAATCTCAAGGTTGTCCTTGGAGAATATATGCATCAAGGTTGTCAACCACTCAATTGATTTGTATTAAGAAAATGCATTATAATCATATTTGTGAAGGATCTGTCGTTAAAGCTGGTTATCGAGCAACTAGGGGTTGGGTGGGAAGTATTATAAAAGAGAAATTGAAGGATTCACCCAATTACAAGCCAAAGGATATTGCTGATGACATAAAACGGGAGTATGGGATTCAGTTAAACTATTCTCAAGCATGGCGTGCAAAAGAAATTGCAAGAGAGCAACTTCAAGGCTCCTATAAAGAGGCATATACCCAGTTACCATTCTTCTGTGAGAAGATAAAAGAGACCAATCCAGGAAGTTTTGCCGCATTCACGACAAAAGAGGACTCAAGTTTCCATCGTCTCTTTGTATCATTTCATGCATCAATATCCGGTTTTCAGCTAGGCTGTCGTCCCCTCATTTTCCTTGACAGAACACCTTTAAACTCAAAGTACCAAGGGGAGTTATTGGCTGCAACTGCTGTGGATGGAAATGACAGCATTTTTCCTGTAGCCTTTGCTGTTGTAGATGCCGAGACTGAAGATAACTGGTATTGGTTTCTGCAGGAACTGAAATTAGCAATATCGACTTCTGAGCATATCACGTTTGTTGCAGATTTTCAGAGTGGTTTAAAGAAGTCATTGTCTGAGATATTTGAAAAATGCTACCACAGCTATTGTTTACGCCACCTTGCTGAGAAATTGAACAAAGACTTGAAGGGACAATTTTCTCATGAGGCCAGACGTTTCATGATTAATGATTTTTATGCTGCTGCTTATGCACCCAAATTGGAGACTTTTGAACGTTGTATTGAGAACATAAAAGGTATTTCTCCTGAAGCCTATGATTGGGTCATACAAAGTGAGCCAGAGCACTGGGCGAATGCATTCTTTAATGGAGCAAGATATAATCTTCTGTTATCAAATTTTGGACACCAATTCTACAGTTGGGTGTCAGAGGCACACGAATTGCCAATTACTCAAATGATTGACACATTACGAGGTAAGATGATGGAAGCTATTTACACACGAAGGGTGGAATCTAATCAATGGGTGACAAAGTTGACACCATCCAAGGAGGAAATGCTCCAAAAGGAAACATCAGTTTCTAGTTCCCTTCAAGTTTTGCTCTCACAAGGTAGTACATTTGAGGTTCGTGGAGAATCTGTTGATATTGTTGATATTGATAACTGGGATTGTAGTTGCAAGGGATGGCAACTTACTGGCATACCTTGTTCCCATGCCATCGCTGTCTTGGAATGTGTTGGTAGCAGCCCTTATGATTATTGTTCGAGATACTTCACAGTTGAGAATTATCGATTAACATATGCAGAATCCATTCACCCTGTGCCAAATGTTGACAGACCAGTCCAGAGTGAATTGTCTCTAGCAGTGACTGTAACCCCTCCGCCAACTAAACGCCCTCCAGGTCGGCCAAAAATGAAGCAGGTTGAATCAATAGACATAATTAAACGTCAGCTTCAGTGCAGTAAGTGCAAGGGACTTGGCCACAATAGGAAGACATGCAAACTTTCATAGTAGTATTACAGCATAGTAAGCAGTTCTCTCTCTCTCTGTTTGCATGCACTTGGGCCCTTGTATACAATGTATCTGCATGCTTTTCTTTCTAAGCTTTACATTATAGCAAGTTTGCTGCTTCCTAAAGTATTGCATCTGTCTGAAATGTTTAACCATGCACATCGAAGCTTATACTGGTTATTTGGAGTATGATTATTTTTACCAGTACAATGACCCAAGATGTCTGTAAAATTTGTGACGCAGGGACTATTTTTGAAGCAAAATGCATATCTTTGTTTGGAGCTATTTCCAACAATGGTAGAGAATTGAGATACATTTTAGTGGCTGAATTGGATTTGGTTCGATTCGAATCTCCAAAATTCTTGTGCTGACTATCTAGAGATTATCTGATTGTGATAGTAGTCAGTTTTTGTCTTGTTTTGCTCTATCCAATGTTATCTGCCAGAGAACAGTTTACTTCCATCTCGTGGAGTACATATATTTTGTATAATGTTAGTGTTAAGATAGAAGGGAAACAGAGAGTTATCAGTGTAGTAGGCTTTCATTGTAGCCATTTTCTCTTCAATTTAAATTTATAATTTTTCTCTCTCCATTCATTTTCTTTCCTCTCAATCAAACAAGAGATTATAGTAAGCTAGAGAGAAGTTGAAACAATTGATTTATATTCAAAATCGTTGCTAAAATGTAGTCTGAGACGTTTTCATTGGACCAGCCTATGTCAAGCGATATGAAGAAACTTTTATGTATTGAGTTTTTTTTTTCTGAATTCGATTTTTATGTATGAAGAAACTTTAGAAACAGAAATTATACCACTACATATTAATCGGAAAATAACCTATTTGTCATATGCATTTGTAAAATTTTATTTATTAATTGGAGAAGCAAGAAAAGGTCATTGCACCTAAAATCAATTATGGTGCCTCAAAAAATGTTGAGAAATAATATTGTAAAACATAGCCAATAACGTTAACTCGATAAGCAGAGCATTGGATGCTTAATTTTTTCGTGTCAAATGAAATTCTAATTCTTTCACGGTTAAAGAAGACTGTAACAAGATTAATGCAATTTGCAAAATTCTCATGACCCGAAAATATTCACGAAAGATTGATTATGATATTATTGTAATGTGCTGTTTCCCTATTCTTGGAACTAGACTTGTTAGGATTTAGGAGAGGCTCGCATACCTGAGTGAGATAAAAAAAATCTTCATTAGGTGGCTCAATATTTCTATACTTACCTTACACTATCTTTAAATCATGTTATTCAATTACATTTTATCACTTTTTGTCTGATTATTTTTCTCCCAAAATATATACCCCCAACAAAATGTGAACAAATCATCTTCAATAAAATATAGTTGTAGGGATACAACCTCGCCATAATCAGGATAGCACGGTTGCACTTGCATATAATCCAATGGCGGTGCCACATAGATAATCATAAAAATATAAGTAAAAGGAATATTCGAGACTACAAGAAGAGGCCAGAAAAGAACTAGTTCCAATCTACTATCTTTTCACTCGGTGCATCCATGTTCCATCCAAACATAGACACGCGCCAACATGGAAAGTGCAGCATAAGAATTTAATCAAATGATGGCATGCATTTTGACACCTTTCATTCTGTAACTGACACGTAAATTTTGACATCAGGGTAACCAAGCCACGTTGCATGACTCACACAGCCCGTGACCCATGTTCATCAACTCACTCCCTTATAAACCTCTCCATTCTAAACCTCCCTCCACGACTACCTGCACTTCCCTAGTTATCTAACTTCCATTCAGAACAGAAAGGCACTAACTTTTTGATTTTGTTCCAACATATATACATTGGTGCAAACATATGTGATTATGGCTTTGAGGGTGGTTTTGGTTTTGGCGATGGTGGCAGTTGCTCTGCATTGTAACTGTGCTAGTGTCGGGCACATGCCTTCAAACATAAATGAAGGTCACGATTTTCAGGAGGTTAAAGACAAGACGACCCAAACTGCTAACAAAGCAGGGGAAACAGCAAAAGAGGGTAAAGAAGCCTCAGAATCATGGACTGAATGGGCTAAAGACAAACTCAGTGAAGGACTCCGGTTTAAACATGATCAAGAACCCAAGGACACCACTACTAAGAAAGTTTCTGACTGTGCCTCAGACGCTGCACAAAAAACCAAGGATTATGCCAGTGACACTGCACAGAAATCCAAGGACTACGTTGGTGACACGGCACAAAAGACCAAGAATTATGCCGATGATGCTGCCCAGAAAACCAAGGACGCGGCTCAGAAGACCAAAGACTATGTAGGTGATGCTGCTCAGAAAACCAAAGATTCTGCTGCTCAGAAGGCGAAAGATTATGCCAGTGATGCTGCTCAGAAAGCGAAAGAATATGCGGGTGATGCTACCCAGAAGACCAGAGAATATGCGGGTGATGCTGCCCAGAAGACCAGAGAATATGCGGGTGATGCTGCCCAGAAGGCCAGAGATTATGCTGGTGATGCTGCCCAGAAGACCAAAGAATATGGTGGTGATGCTGCCCAGAAGGCCGGAGATTATGCTGGTGATGCTACTCAGAAGACCAAAGATTATGCCAGTAGTAGTGCTCAGAAGGGCAAAGATTATGCCGGCGATTCGGCTCAGAAAAGCAAAGATTATGCCAGTGATGCAGCACAGGATGCCAAAGAGTATGCCAATGATGCAGCACAGAAGACCAAAGACTATGCTGGTAATGCTGCTCAGAAGACCAAAGAGGCATCTGATTATGGCAGTGACACTGCTCAGAGGACCAAAGATTATGCCACTGATGCTACCCAGAGAACCAAAGGGGCTTCTGATTATGCCAGTGACACTGCTCAGAAGACCAAAGACTATGCTGGTGACAAAGCTCAGAGAACCAAAGAAAAGGTCCAAGACATTGCTTCTGGTTGGTAAAAACTGACTTCATTTTTATTAAAAACATTTCTGTTTTTATAGACCAAAACCATTTTGACACACTTAACGTTTATTCCTGCATTGAAAAGTTTCACACAGCAAAACACTAGAATAATATGTACAAGATTAGGCTCTTCATTCCACAAAGATAGATTAACGTGCCCTTTATCTCAACATGATATTATTTTTGGTACACTTATTTTTATAATAATTCAATGACACTTATGGTAAAGCTAGTTCAATTTGTCCTTATGTGATGATCAGAGGCTGGTCAATACAGTGCGGAGAAGGCAAGGGAAATGAAAGACATTGCAGCAGAGAAGGCTAGTGACATAGCAAATGCAGCCAAGGAAAGCATAGCCTCTAACTACGAGGCTGCAAAGCAAAAATCACAAGAAGTCAAAGACAAATTAGGTGGAAAACACCGGGATGCTGAGCTTTGAGATGCTCCCTCACCAATTCACCAATCAACAATCGTCATGCACCTCTTAATTATGCCACAAGAGTTATCCAATTCTGCCATAAATAATCTTTTTTGTATATATGGGTGGTGTGTCTCTTTTTGTAGTCTCTAGAGTTTGGTCTGAAATATTTGCAACTACATGGCCCAAGATGGAATGCTTTGTTATTTATATCAAATACATGATCATGTTTTCTTTAACATTTGCTTCAGAATTAATGGATGCAAACCCTCAACGTGTCATTTCTTTGAATATTTTTCATATATTAAAAAGAGTGTGTTGCAATATTTAACAGCTGAATGGGTAGTAAATGTCTAAATTGGAGACATTGCATATCATGTTAGCTTATATATTGAACGCTTTAATTAACCTCCTTCAAAATTGTTTTTTTCATCTGTTAGAAGACTCCTGAAGTGTCATCACACTCGCACAAATTAGTTGTTTTTGATAGAATTAATTTTGACAAAACATGTTATATATTTTTATACAGACTTAAATTATTAAGTGTAGGTTTATTTATTATTATATGATCAATATAACTAAAATTGGTCGAAGACGATAAAAATATATATATTATCCTGTTTAGACAGTTAAGAAAATAACTATTTTCATAATTAAAATTAATGAGGTCAATTGTAATTTTTTATATTATTGCATATCATGCTGTACTCGTTGAACGTTGAACTCGTTAAAAACCTCTAATAAATTGATAATTGTGTTTGTTGTGAATTGCTGAGATTGATGACAGAGAATACTTATGAATTTATCAATTGGATAAATCAACAAAATTATTAACATAAAAGAAAAAAACTCTTGGTTTTTTCCCCAAAAACCAAAGAGTTTCTGTCAAAAAGGGCAATGTACTTTTGGATGCATCCCAGTGAATGATGACCCAATAAGGAATGGAAATGTTTGCTCAAGCAGATTCTGAAACCTGCAAGTGTAGTGTACCATAAGAGGCAACCCTGTTATTGAATAAGTTCCAATTATAAACTTATTCAATTGGTTGGGATATTTGCACTTAAGAAGGGGAGAGGGAGATCTCACGAAGTACGTTATGTTGTGTTGTCACTATCAATATATGAAGTCAAATAAATATACGATCTTACAGATTTTCAACACATGGATAAGTCAAGACCTTGAGAAACATGTGGTTTCACAAATACACACGCCACCAACACCCACAAATAATTCACTAATTTAATAATATATGAGAAAAATTAATGGAATCATGTTATTACATGTTATTATATTATATATATATATATATATATATATTTTTTTAAATTAACAGCTATAAATTTTTTAATATTTTAAAGATCAGTATTAACATTTTTTTAGCTTGTGAAAGAGGATATCAAATCTTCTTAATTACAAGAGATACCGTAAATTTTTCATAAATAATTAATACTATTTAAATTTTATTTAAAATTTGATTTTTGGAGAAAAAAAAAAATTATTTGACTCGATTTCTTGTTTGAGAATTTTTAATTAAAAAAAAGGTCTAAGATACTTTTAATATCGTGTGTTTCTAAATTTTCTTAATTTAAATTTTTTTGTTAACACATTATTTTTCTCTCTTTTCTAACCTTTTAAACTTTTCCCTTTTCCTTTGGGCAAGATAAACACACACTGTTTGCTGGGGAGCATCACGTGTATAAGATGGTAAGTGCAAACTATTAAGCATTAACTAACAAACATGTGCGTAGTTGGTGACGAAACAGGACAACTACTATCTATAATAATAAAGGTTGGTGTGGGAGCATAAAAGCAGAAAAACTAATTTGATTTTGTGTTTCGTTTTTATTTCATAAAACATAAAAGTAGAAAAATTAATCATATATGCATTTTTGTTGAAAAACCATATTTTGTGTCTCTTTTTTAGGGAGAGGATATGAGAATGCAAGTTGTGGTCGACCTTTGTTTGAAGCGATGTCTTTTTTCGAATGATTCTATATGCCAATCATATATTCCATATGCCAATTATAAAGGCATTGAAAAATTAATCAATCAATGCAAAATTTTTCTATACTGATTCTATATGCCAATTAATCTCAAGAAGAAGACAAATTCTAGGGATGACAATGGGTAGGGTATGGGTAGGGTACTACAGTACCCATCTCCATACCCGCGTTTTAAAAAAATACCCGTACCCGGACCTATACCTGCGTGGGTATGAACATTAATCCCCGTACCCGTACCCTCTGGGTACCCGCATACCCGTCTTGTACCCATTACCCGCGCTTGTTTGAGAAAAAAATGTTTATAAAGAAAAAAATGTTTATATAATTTCACATAAGTAGCATAATAATACAAAAATTCAATATGTAGTTGTCGAACAAGGTACAAATATAGATAAAAAACAAATATTCAAATATCATAAATGTTAAATGTATCTTAATATAATAATTTTCTAGACTAAAATTCTTAGAAACAATAAGCAAAACTAAACACACAAGTTATTTGTCAGTGATAATCCTATCTTGTGTGAGATTTGATTGATTGGTAATGTCAGAACGACAACGAAATATATCTGTACAATGGTTGTCCCTTCGTGTGGGATCACTTAGTAACCTCTTGTGACGGCATTAAAAACTAACTCTAATGAATAACATTTTATAGTTATTAAGTTTTAGTGAGACAGACATTGATAATGTGAATAGAGTTAGAGTAGAGAAGTTCAATACTAACGATAGAAAGTTGATACATAAAATATTTTTTTTAACTTTTGAATTTGAAAGTGTAAGAAAAATAATAGATTTAATTAAAATAATAAATATAATATATATATATATATATATATTAATACCAGTATTTTTTAACTCATATACTATACGAAAGTATTTTATCAAAAATATAAATTTTTAAAAAATTATTTTAGTGAATTAAATATTTATAATATATATAAATTTTAAAAAAATTTGAATAAAAGATAAATAGTTATAATAAAATTTTATAATAAAGAAATATACGTGTATATTAAAAAAAATTATACTTTTTTATCTTAAAAAAATTAACAAATAAAAATTAACAATAATTTTTTTATATTTATATCTTTTCAAAAACTTCTTTGAATGTGAATAAATAGTAAGAATAATATTATTTAGATTCAATAGATTATAGTTGTGCTTGTAATACATATGTTGCATAAAAAAATATTATTTTAAATTAAAATATAAAAATAAAATTTAAATATTATTAATAAATAATAAGTTTACGGTAATAGTAGGTGATTGTAAAATTTATAATATATTTATTATTTATCATTCACTTTATGATTTAATCATCAATATGATTTTATTAATAAAAATATTTGTGTAAAAAATATTTTATGTGTGTCATATATAAATAATATTTTAAAAAAAGTCAATCTCATATTAACTATGTAATAATTAAATTGTGTTAGCCTAATTAAATGATATAAAATAGTAAATAAATTTTTTTATTAAAAATATAAACCAAAATAAATTTTTTGGTTTACTTTATTATTAAATATATTTTTATATTAATCTTATATAACTTCACATAAGTAATATAATAATACAAAAATTCAATTCATAATTATAGAATAAAGTTTAAGCATATATATATATATGCGGGTATGGAGCAGGGTGGGTACTTAGATACCCATACCTGCACCCATCCCCATTAAAATTTGCGGATTTTTACCCACACCCATACCCGTACCCGTATAGCGGGTAAATACCCTACCCATTGTGGGTAAATTTTGCGGGTGCTCATCGGGTACGGTACTTTACCCATTGACATCCCTACAAATTACATACTAATCAAACGTTAAAATGATAAGTACTGTACAAATTCATTCGAAAATTTTTGTAATTTTAAAATTAACCATTTTTTCTGATTAAGGGAAAATGGGAAAAAATCTTCATGCTTTATTATTATTATTATTGTTTTTATCTTTATAAACAACTATAAAAATGTATCTTATTTTCAATTCTTCCGAAATTCGACGAAGAAATGATAAAAATAACTATATTTATGCATTCATAAAAAGAAAACACATAACAATGCTATTTTTATAATTATTAAATAATACTGTTTAAATATAAGTATGTGCGCTATAATATTAATTTTCTTTCACCAAATTGTTGCATGATGTTTTTTTAATATTATCATGCTATAATATTACGTGATATTTTTTTAAAAATATGTATGCAACAACTTTAAATTAATTATTTCAAAATTTTATTTTTTATTATATAAATTTAAACTTTTCATGCTTTTTACCGTTCATTTTTTATAAATTGTTACAGTTATTTTTCTATTTCTTTTGTACAAATAGTAATTAAAGGTACATTGATTTTTTTATAAACTATGAAAAATATATTTTGTTACATATTATTGTTATTTATTTATAAGTTCTGCTAACTTCTATTTTTCCAAATACAATACTTAAAATTATCTTTTAATATTTTATTATACAAAATTAAATTAGTAAAATAATAAAAAAATTTACAGTAAATACATGAAAATACTCATTACCATTCATAATAATTATTATACTAAGCACACTAAATAATTAACTATTATTATGTCGGAATTTTTATAATAATAATCCATGTTCTAATGAAACCATACAAGCTCCTCGAAAGCCGATTCCATTAACATAATCCAGCCAAAAGAAAAGACAAAGACCTTCTGATTCGTATTACTAAACTACGCATTATGTAAAATTAATTAAAGAATATATTTAATTTTTTATTATTAATGGGAGTTACTTGAGGTGGTATGTATTTATTTTTATTTAAAACAGTTTTAATTTAATTAGTATATATTATTAAAAATTTAATTTATTAAATTGTGTTTTTGAACTAGATTAAAATTATCGCATATTAAAGAAAAAATAAAACGAAACTTTACTCTAAAGTTATCAAGTTGTTTGCGAGAGTGCATGTGCTGATGTGCATTTCTGCAATGCCATCATCCTACCTGGCTACTAATGATTGAGGATTATAATAATAATAATAACAATAATAATAATAATAATATCTACGCCTAACATAAAATTTATTTTTCTAAAGTTATGATGCAATAATCCATGTTTTTAAAATTTGTTTGAGTAATATTTCATTTAACTTAGCGCTTTTCATTTTTATATGTTTTATTGTGTTTTCACTTTTACTATTAGGCTTTTGCATATATTTTTAATAATTTAATTTTAATGTATGGCTAGTGCGTATAAATATTTTATATTATTAACTAGTTTAAATATAATTTTTTAACATATTTATTGTAAAAATTAATCATGATCTCTAATATGATAACATTATAATATAAAAAGAAAATATATTAACAATATATTTTAATCAGTTTTATTATTTAAATACATAAAAAATTTATATGTGTTAGATGTGTATAAAATAAATAACAAAAAAAGAAAATTATAATTTTAAACATGAAATTTCATTAACATCAATTATGAGGAATTAATCTTAAGTGTATAATGAAAAATCATCTTTAAACTTATAATAAAACAAATTAACGTGTTATATAAGTAAAAAAGTACTTATTGTGAATAATCATTATGGTTAACAGCCTTTTTATATAACATAATATTTTTTTCGTATATAAATTTTGACCAATAATTAGTAAGTAGTTTGATATATTTTAAGTAAAGTCTTAAATTTAAGTTTTTATATATACAAAAAAATTTTAATAAAAAATTCACTCATTAAATTCAAATACGCGACATATGTATTAAACTGGATGAAAAAAATAAAACTTTGATCAATTTTTTCTTAGTTTCATTTAAATAAAAATAAACGAAATATTAAAGTTAACCCTATGTTGAAGATTATTTATTGCAATTGTCTGTGTATATTTGCTGGGTATCTGTAACCAGTTTTTTGTAGGAAGATTTATAGCTAAACAATTCCAATGACTTAAAGGAGAATATGTTATTCGACATTAGGAAAGATCCAAATATTGGAAGAGTAAGAAATTTCGGTCCAACTGGAGAGGGTCCCATGAGAAGAATTTAGAAAGCACCTCAACAAAAGCCAAGATCGAAACCAGTAACAAAGACAAGCACAACTTTATATGTGTCCTTGTTGCTTAGAACTAAACAAGAGACCTCCAAATTATAATAAAGAAGAAATAATTTGGTTCACCACTTTTTCTTTTCTCTTTTTTTTCTTTTCCACAGCCCCACAACTCTCATTATCAGTAGTAAGGAATTCTTGCACGTTTTACTCTGTAATATTCTTGTAAACAATATAATAAAAAATATATGATGCTTTTATATTATAAATTAAGTTAATTGAAATATGAACAAATAGTTTTAATTTTTTTAGACGTTGAAATCAAAGTCCATTTATATGATTTTTTCATAGTTTATTAATGTTAAATAATTATTTGTATAGGAGTATTCAAAAGCAACAATGATTATTAAAAAAAATGGATAAACATATTTTAATTAAGTAGGCAAAAAAATATAAAAACATAAAAAATGGCTACAGCAGGGGACAATAATTTTACAAAGAAACATGAAATATATTACTATTCTTACATTATATTTTTTACGATGAAAAATTAAATGCTGAATTTTTAATATAAAGAAACAAGCTATGTGTTCTAACAAATTAAATTTTTTGATTAATGCTTGATAATATATGCTAATAATTTCCAAAATCATTAAAATAAACTGGTCAGTGTTTGATAAAATAATTTGATTAATGAAATATATTACTACTAGCACTGTTTTGTTTTCAAGTCTATATGATGCTTGTTGATATGAGTATTTATTAAAATAGACAACTTCATGGATATAACGTTGTCTTAAATTGTTTGTATTATTTAAAAATGCAGATAGTTGGTTTTTAAGGTATTTTATGTAATAAGTATTTAATATCATTTACTACTTCTCAAATAGTTATAAAAATAGTAATTGAATAAATTTCAGATTTTTTTAAGAGTTACTCTTTTTTTTTTTTTTTTCTATTTGAACTCCTTTAATATTAATTTCAGTGATTTCGTTTTTATTTATTTTTGTGTGTACCAAAAACCCTAAATGACTGTACCTTCAAAACGATTTGAGAGTGAATCGACAGCTTAACAAGAAGTTAGATTAAAAATAAGAAAGAAAACAAAAACAAATAAACTTTTTTAATATCATAGAAAACTAACGACGGATGAGAACTGCAAAAAACGTGGGCAAGTAGGGAATTCCCGAATTATCAAATGTATTTTGAGTAGTTTGAAAAGTAAATCATTAAAGTGTGCATCTCTTATTGTGACAACTGGAAAAACTTTTTTCTTAGAAAAAAAAACTTATATATTATTCAAAATATTTTATTATTTTCTTAAAATAAAATTAATAAATATATGCAGATAATCTATTAACAATTAATGCTCTTTATTTTACACATTAAAATAAGCAAAAAAAAAAAACTTTATATTGAAAATAATGGGGGATAATAATAAACTTTGGAAGCATTATAAGCAATTGACTGAAAACTCAAAGGCACAACCTCCAGTGTGTTCTCTAATCTTCATCCTTAGCCAATTTGAAAATTTCAATTCTTCCTTCTATTTTTCCGTATTTGGGTAATCACATGTTCTTCTTCTGTTACTTTTTTTCCCCCCGAACTGTTTCATCTACTGTGTGTCACACGTTATAAGCTTATATAAAAACGTAGCAACAGGATTGTCGTTTGTCATTACAGAAAGCTACAAGATTGGCTGGTTCCCTCTGATTCATTTGTTTTGGCGTGAAGAAGAAAAGTAAGAGAAGTTTGGGCAAAAGGGTGTTCGGCCATTTTTCCTGAAGAGAGGGAAAAAGAAGGAACAGAAAATGGTGCTTATAAGCCTTGGGATGAAGAATCAAAAGGAAGTAATGCGACTTGGGAAATATGAATTGGGTAGGACTCTTGGTGAAGGCAATTTTGGTAAAGTTAAGTTTGCTAGGAACACTGATTCTGGACAACCGTTTGCTGTTAAGATCATTGAGAAGAACAGGATCATTGATCTCAATATCACGAATCAGGTTTGATAAAATAATAGCCCTTTAATGTCTTGTTTTTCTTTCTTCTTCTCTCTCTCGTTTTCACAACTTGGAAAAGTTCACCTTTTTGGTTTCCTCATGAAGATTTCACTTTCCACTGAATAGCAGCAAGCAGTGTTTTTCTCTAAGTCCTCTGACATCTTGATCAGAAAAACTCATGTCCAATCAGTATCCATGCGTGTTTTTTTTAATCATTTGAAATATTGATTCTAACACAATGCTGGGTTCTTCTTATTTTCATGTTTTTAAGGCCTAAACGATCATTGATTGAACAATTTGTCTAAAACTGGTGAAAATTGCAGATAGAGAGGGAAATTGACACCTTAAAGCTCCTCAGGCATCCCAACGTTGTTAGATTGTATGAGGTAATGCCATGTTCTGTCTGATCTTATAATATATTCTACTGAAAAACACGTATCCCAATCCCGAGTTGTTTCGCACTTGCACATAATCTTTGTTTTTGAGTTACTTCTGGATCTCGCAGTCGCAGGTAACAAATATCAGCCACGATTTTAGATTTTTTAATATAAATCACAAGTGGGTAATGATCAGAGGTGAAAACAATATCACAAAGTTATGCTTTAGAACTCCCTTGTTGACACGACAATATCACGTCTCAAAAGAGAAAGAAAACTCCATAATAGAATATGTTATTGTTCGTGTAGGCCCCATTAAGTGGAAAATGAAGATGTAAAAGTTTTAAATAGAAAAAAGATAATGACAATTAATTAATTTAATTTTAAAATAAAACTAATTTAATCTTTTTTTGGAAAAACTCCTGGCATTAGAGTGATTAAAAACGTAAACTATTTATTATTTTATTTTTTTAAAATATAATTATTTAATGCAGTGCAGATTCAACGTCAAACCCTGCGTTATTATATACTTTATGTCTGCACAGTGTAATATATTCGATCCAATGTTTTATTCAGACGTCCACTTCGAATCCATTATTCTGTTCACCTGAGTTCATGGAGCGAGTTTGTTGGTCTTGAACCGAGTCAGAGAGCCAACTCAACACTGATTCTGACATCACAGTGATTAATTTAATGACACGGACGGTGGTTGGGCTACAAACTAAGACATTTATTTAATTTCATGGTGTTGATACGGTGGCATCGAACCCACGTGGGTGATTGATTCACATACTATGAAAAGGATATTAAATTATGGAGCAAAGTTACCAAGACCCATCAAATCAAACCACGTTAGGAATGCAGCGTTAGAGTTTAGCTTTTCAAACTTAAGAATGCACCTTTGGACTTTAATTTGTTAACTGATATATTAAAAATCATTATAGATATATGCTCATAATCATTTTAGTAATTTTTATTAATTCTTGCTTACATAATCATATTATCCAAAGAAGTCAAAGACTGAATGATTAACACATGGCACACATGCTTATTGTGAAAATGTCCGGAATTCATTGTTTAACGTATGATTAATGCTGCGAGGGCCCACCTTCGCGTTTTAGACTTATGTTTAATGCTTCCGTTGCTCAGAATGAAAATATGTAGTTATGGGGCCCTTTGCACATTAAAGTAGCCATTGCGTTTTATTTAATTTATTATTGGTAGAGTAATCTATTGCATCTGCAACTTACAAATGTAGGTTGCATTTATATCATTGATGTTTCTGGTTGTGATTAATAACTATGATTACGCAGGTTTTGGCTAGCAAAACAAAAATTTATATGGTGCTCGAGTACGTGAATGGAGGGGAATTATTTGATAAAATTGTAAGGATCGGTTACTTGGCAATGATTTTTAAGATCTATGATCAATGACATTTAATGAATTAATTGTGTATTCGTAGGCATCCAAGGGTAAACTTACCGAAGGTGAAGGTAAAAAAATGTTCCAACAATTGATTGATGGGGTGAGCTATTGCCACAATAAAGGTGTCTTCCACAGGGATCTCAAGGTTTTTTTTCTCGCCCTTCTTTAAAACTGATACAATAATTGTTGAGCTGAAGTTGAAATTGCACTACTATTTTATTCTATGTCTTGCATTTTGACACACAAGTTATGCTTTGTCCTTGCAGCTTGAGAATGTACTTGTGGATGACAAAGGGAACATAAAGATAACCGATTTTGGCCTCAGTGCCTTGCCCCAGCATCTTAGGGTAAGATATTATTTGAACCACAGCTTAATGTAAAGTATATCATTTTGGTTATTGGCTAATGGTTTATGTTAAATTTTCAGGCAGATGGATTGCTGCATACAACTTGTGGAAGTCCCAACTATGTTGCACCAGAGATTCTTGCTAATAGGGGCTATGATGGTGCAACATCAGATGCATGGTCATGTGGGGTTATATTGTATGTAATCCTAACAGGATACCTACCTTTTGATGATAGAAATCTTGCAGTTCTCTATCAAAAGGTATTCAGATGTTGCCTGCACCTTCTTCTTTTATATAGATTGTATACTAGATTTATAGATTGACTTTTCTAGCATGTGCAAAATTACATATAATAAAAAATACTAAATAATAATTTTTTATTAAAAATTGTAGCATTTATTTTAATCAATGCATTGAATTATATTGAATACTGTAATTTCTAATAAAAACTTAGCAAGTTTTTATTATATGCAACTTTGCAGATGTTAGGAAATACAAATTAGTTCTCTCTCATTTTTTTTTTCTGAGGAATAACAGATTTGTAAAGGAGATGTTCAAATACCAAAATGGCTATCACCTGATGCACAAAACATGATAAAGAGGATTCTTGATCCCAACCCGGAAACACGGATGACAATGGCTGGGATCAAAGATGATCCATGGTTCAAGCAGGGCTATATTCCAGCAAATCCTGAGGATGAGGAAGAGGATGTACATATTTACAATGGAGCCTTTTCCACCCATGAAGAGGTACACTTTTATGTTGTCATCTTTACTTGGGTCCCCTTTTCTTTTTCTTTTGTTGTAAACCAAAACTATTCTCTTGGTGATAGCCACTTGAAGCAGAACATAGAGATCCAGGATCACCAACCCTTATCAATGCATTTCAATTGATAGGGATGTCTTCATGTTTAGACCTCTCTGGCTTCTTTGAGAAAGAGGTAAGCGTGGAAATTAGTTGGCAGGAACTTTTTGTTGAGTGTATGTGTGAGTATATAGCATAGTTTCACCACCTCTTACGGAAATTTCACTCATTTTCACTTACAATGTGGTTTGAGTTACAGGATGTCTCTGAGAGAAAGATAAGATTTACATCAAATCTTTCAGTTAAAGATCTGATAGAGAAGATTGAGGACACAGCGACAGAAATGAAATTTAGAGTCCAGAAGAAAAATGGCAAAGTTAGTTCTTATTGTTTTTTGGTAAAAAATGCTTCTATTTCTGAAAAACTTAGCAAATAAACTAAATCTTAGTTTAGCTAAAAGTAAATATAACATGGATATTTTTTCAGTTGAAAGTAATACAAGATAACAAGGTGCACAAAACTCTTGGCCACCTCTCCGTGGTAGTAGAGGTAATCCATCTTTAGCTATGTTTATATCTTAATGTCTGCATAGTTTGTAACGTTAAGAAACTAACTTTACTTGAAATACAACAGGTGTTTGAAATTAGCCCTTCATTGTATGTAGTAGAATTAAGGAAGTCTTCTGGAGATGTTTCTGAATATAAACAGGTTTTTATATTCTCTTTGTCTTTGTATTTTGTATTCGTCTTTGAAAATCAGAAGCTGATGATTGTATATTTTTTTCATACGGTGCAGTTATGCAAGAAGTTATTGAATGATTTGGGTGTTCCCCCAACGCAAGCGCTAGTGAGCTCAGAAATAAATTAGAAGCCACATATATTGTATAAGTATAGCTGTGTAGGTTATTTTTTAGCTTGGGTCGGATATGTAGATGATCTAAAAAGCAATAGCAACAAAGTGCATTATAGTTAAAGAATAAGTAAATGCATATATATGTTAGAAAGATATAGCAACAGTTTTGAATTTAGCAATCCATTAAAGAAAAATATTAATTTCAATCCTTAAAATTAAGGATAAGCAATTCAAAGTGCTTAACTTCTATTTAAAAAAAATCATTTATTATCTTGAGTATTTGAAAGTGTAATAAATATTATAATTTTTAATAGAAGTTTACTCTTTGCAAGTGTTTAAATTTAGAATTTTGTCTTAAAGGACTCAAGTTAACAAAACTGATCCATTAAAAGCTTGTTTATTTCAATTTATTTTACTGCAGAATTTATCTTTCCCAAGCAATTTTTAATCAAAGCAACATTCTTTGGGTTCAAGCGAGTCTGGGCTGCATGAAGAATCCTTAGCAAACATGTTAAAAGTAGTTGAACCCCGAATGAAGAGATCACCGTATTAGGGAAGTTTCTCTGACCGACCATAAAATAAAAGTAGTTTTTAATAATAAAAAGAATTGCTCTTTACAAGTGTTTAAATTCAATGAGATTGTAAAATGGGCATAATTTTAATTAAACAATTAAGAACATGTCCATGCGTCACACACAGTGGAAAACAGATGCTGAAAATCAGCATTTTATCATTATTGAAAGAAAGGTGCCTATATAGGAACGTGCAATATTTACCGATATTAAGTTTGCTCATAGATTAGCACCCTAAACATGGGAATTGCGTCACCTGCAGACTTTCAAAATTGTACACATCCAAGTGGACTTGCATCAATCATTATGGGCAGATTCATATTGACCCGCCCCAAGTTCTCATTTTACCAACCATTCATGAAGTTTTCATGCTTGTCGTTCGTTCATCATTTAGACTTGATATTGCAAGAATAAAACTTCCATATTGGACAACGGATTTTTTTTTTTTTTCTCTCTTCTCTTTCGGATTTTAAAATAACATTGAAGTATAAATAACAGGTCAGGAAGAAAGTTTCTTAATCACTGGAATTTCACTATGCCATTAATTAATTTACATGGAAAATACATCACTTACATTTGGCTCTTGCTTAATGTCTTAAAGATCTTACCATAGGTGGAGTAAATTGGGTGTTTTGCTCGTTATTTGTTTCAATTAGATGCAACACTAGCTTGCAAGCCTGTTGCCAAACTCTTTATTATATACCTGAATTAAACCACTGTCATCTGCCATATGAAGCTTCTCATCCAAAATTTTCTTGTATTGATCATCTCGGACCTCTAAATTACGCACCAATTCAACCTACAAAATCAAATACCACTAAAGTTACAAACTGATGAGACGAGAGATTTTGCTAGCATTTATCATGATTTCCATAATAGGGCATCTACTAGCATCATATTGTAAAATTGACAGCAATTGACACCAATTTTGAAAGCTGGGATCTCCAATTGGTTTAAATTAACCATGAAAATGCAGTGAAGGTAAGCTTTGGCAATCTGATAGCGAGATCATTAAGAAACTATACATAACAAAACAAAGTTTCTGAAAAAGGCACCAAGATGCATGCACATAGCAACAAAGAACAAATCAAAGTATATTCTATCTGTGAAAAAATTTCAAATCACCTGTTTTTGGAACATATGGAATTCATCAGAGCTGAGGGAGCCATCACTGTTTGAGTCTAGGAGTTGCATCATGTCTCGAGCATCTTCTCCCGGTGCACCAAGCTCTTCCATCACCTCTGTTAGTTCTTCAATGCTAATTTTACCATCCCCATTCTTGTCAAGAAGGCGAAACACTCTATCCCTCTGGTCAATCTCAATTCCCTTATGATTTGTGCTTGGAAAATCTTTAAGGCGCAGAGCAGCCAGTTCAGCTGCAGCCAGCATGATGGTCTTCAAACGCTTTGCCTGAGCCTCAGCAACTTAAAAGTAAATACCAATTCCCTTCTTTGTATTCTCTCAAGAAAGATAAAAGACTACACATAAGTTCAATGTCTCCATGTATAATAGTTATAAATTTAGTTCTTAGATAAGTAAAGAAGGCACTGCTTCCAAATTTTCATTTCACACTACTTACATAGGCACATAGGGCAGGGTGGCCATCATTTACTACTGTGAATTGTTTTTTTTAATGAATGTTTATATATACATTTTTGAAAGAAGACACTAACCTCCTCTGGATCAGTAAGGCCAGCCTTGTATAATGAATGAGCTGCTGTTCCACCAACAGCTAACCTGTCCATTTCAGTTGTTCTTATCTGTATTTCCATCAGTGGTCTCGTCTTTCCATTTTCACTCACATCTACTGCCATATGCAAACTTTTGTATCCATTTGCTTTAGGCTTGGCAACATAATCCTTTGTCCTATAAGGGATTTCTTTCCACATAGATTTGATGATCTGATGAGTCCTATAGCATGCTCTCTCTCCAGCTTCCAATGAATTCTCCCCAGGCTTAGGATTTAATATCACTCTTAGCCCAAGCACATCATTTACATCCTCTGGCTTCCGACCATCTTTCAAGAGCTTCTTCATCGTGCTATAACGGCTTTTATAGCGACCTTTGATTGAGACATCATCCAACAGTTCAGCGAGCATGGGATCAGCCTTCAGTGTCTGAAGCAGTTCTTCCTTGTACAGGTCAATAAGAGATATGCCTCCTGTCTCATGACTTCGCAACCAAGTATCAACATAAAGATAAGAGTAAGGAAACAAATATTGGAACGATAGATCTTCCAATTCCAATGATAAGTAGGTAGTTCCCACAGCATGAGCAAGAGGGGCATGTATCTTCATAACTTCCAAAGAAATCATCTGCTGCTGATATCTTGGAAGATAATCAAGATGTCTCATCATGTCAAGCTTCAAAGCCAAGTCTAGAATCAAAGCCCTGATGTCATAGTAAGTGAGACAGTACTTTCTGAAAGCAGCAGCATTATCATCATCCAAAACATCTATTCTGGATGGAATGTTCTTCACACGCAAACTCTCATGTAGCAAATGAGCAGTGGCAGCACCTATCTGGTTCCGAATTTCATGTATGCTCAACACTCCAACCTCCAATACCTGCCTCAATATTCCAGCAGAAATAACTTCCGCATCCATCTGCATTCACATTTACTATAAAGAAACAATAAATAAAAAGGTAACAAAACATAATCTTGATTAAAAATCAACGCCAAAAGCATTTAAAAAATTGTATATAAATTCTGTCTTTTTTAAGTAGTGATCAGGTTAGGTGACAAATGCTTTACCTTTTTTAAAGAGGTTTTTCTCACTTAATTTTTATTAAAAATTACATTATTCAATGCAATGATATTATTTTCGATAAAATTTTACTATTTATGAATTTATTAAGTGGAAAGTTACACAAAAAATAGTTTAAAAATTAAAAAATTGAATAATGGACATTAAGATAGAAAGAGTACAAGAAGAGTGGATACTGGTTACTATTGACAAACCTGGAGATCAGCGAGGAGTATGGCGATGGATAAGGCTTTGGAAAGAGGGGAACGGCCATCGGGGGAAAGAGGGGAACTTTGCAATATGGGGATGGAGAGTTTGAGGCATTTGAAAAGAAGACGAGAAGAGCTAGTGGACAACACGTTCATCCTCTCCGTCAAATCATTGAAAGCACCCACAAGCTCCATCACCATCTTCCCTCCCCCAGACACCTCCACCGCGCACGCCCTCGTACACCACCACCGCACGCCGCCACCGGACCTCCGCCGCCGGAACAACACTAAATCAGTTGGAGGACACCAAACCGTGGGTTTCGATTTGGAGAGAGAATAGCGAACGGGTAAATCGGGACCCACCAACTGCAACACCTCCATTCAAACCCGGTTCTGGTTCTTTCTCTTTTCTACCACCACCGCTACACTAACAACATTAGTGGCTGGAACTCGCTCTGCTCCACTGGTCGAAAACATTTCCTTAAATTTTTTTTTTTTATTGGTTCCCTCGGCTCATGGTGGGCCATACCATTCCATATTCAACCACAATTTTCAGTGCCTTAATTTAAAAAAAATTAAATTGTGATTATGATTTTTTATTTTTTAATATTTTTTAAAAAATTATCATCACGCATTTAGATTTTTTTATATATAAAAATTTAAATTTAATACATTATTTAAGTGATACTAAACGCTTGTTACTCAAAAATATTTGTAATTATTTTATTTCTGAATTTAGGTTATCATATTATTTTAAACTTTCATATTTTTTATTTTTCTTAAAAATTATATATTTTTAAATATCATATTTTAAAAAAAATTATTTTTATCCGATAATTATTAAAAAATTTCTTCTATTCGCATAGATAATAATTTTTAAAAAAATATTTAACACTTAAATTTAAAAAAAAAAAAACAACTCCGGACTTGTTAATACTAAGAACATGCTTTTTTTTTTTTTTTTTTATTTTAAAATATAGAAACAAAAAACAAGATAAAGTGCAACACAGGGAAGGTACGAAACCTGACACAGGTACCAATGGCATGCATGTCGGTGACACATTACATGCCAATGCTCCGAGCAGTGGAGTCATGTTTGAGCATGGCCGAACTGAAGCAGCGCCATTCCCTTCTCCTTCGTTTGGGTCTATCTAACGATAACCATGCCATGTCTCGCGTTGTCACCTTCTGCTGTCTCTCCGAATATGGAGACTTAAACTACGCTCTCAAAGTTTTCGCTACCCTTCCTAACCCAGATACCTTTCTCTACAACACTCTCTTCAAAGCCTTTTATCTCTCCCAAATGCACGCAAATTCCATTTTTTTGTACTCCCACATGTTGGAACAATCCGTCATGCCAAATAGTTTTACTTTTCCGTCTGTTATAAGGGCTTGTGAAGTTGAGGAAGGAAAACAGATTCATGCCCATGTTGTTAAATTCGGGTTTGGTGCGGATATCTTTGCTCTTAACAATTTGGTAAACATGTACTTTGGTTTTCGTTGCTTGGAGGATGCTAGGAAGTTGTTTGATAAAATGCCTGTTCGAAATGTGGTGTCTTGGACCAGCGTCGTTTCTGGGTATTCTCAATGGGGGTTCGTGGATGAGGCTTTTCGTGTTTTTGAGCTCATGCCTTGGAAGAACTCTTTTTCTTGGAATGTTATGCTTGCGGGTTTTGTGCAAAGCAACCGATTTAAGGAGGCGTTTGATTTGTTTAATAGGATGCGGGTGGAGAAGGAGGAGTTGGATAAGTTTGTAGCTGCTACTATGCTTTCTGCTTGTACTGGACTTGGAGCTCTTGAGCAAGGGAAGTGGATACATGGATATGTTGAGAGGAGTGGGATTGAGTTGGATTCAAAGCTTGGTGCTACCATTGTTGATATGTATTGCAAGTGTGGTTGTTTGGAGAAGGCGTTTCAAGTGTTTCGTGGGTTGAAAGAAAGAGGAGTTTCTTGTTGGAATTGTATGATTGGAGGGCTTGCAATGCATGGGAAAGGAGAGGGTGCTATTAGGCTTTTTAGGGAGATGGAGGAAGCAGTGGTTGCACCTGACAGCATCACTTTTGTGAATGTGCTCACGGCATGTGCTCATTCCAGATTGATTGAGGAAGGACGTCATTACTTCGGTTATATGATTCGTGTTTATGGCATTGAGCCCACCAAGGAGCATTATGGTTGTATGGTTGATATGCTTGCAAGAGATGGAAGGTTGGAGGAAGCCAAAGAGATCATAAATGAGATGCCAATGAGTCCTGATGCCGGTGTGTTGGGTGCCCTTCTTGGAGCTTGCAGAATCCATGGGAGAATGGAGTTGGGGGAGGAGGTAGGCAAGAGAGTGATTGAATTAGACCCTGGAAATAGTGGGCGTTATGTGATACTAGCTAATATGTATGCCAGTTGTGGTAAATGGGAAGAAGTTGCTAGTGTGAGGAAATTGATGAATGATAGGGGAGTGAAGAAGGAACCGGGATTTTCCATGATTGAATTGGAGGGCACGGTGAATGAATTTGTTGCAGGAGGGAAGGATCACCCTCTGGCTGAGGCAATATATGCCAAAGTTGATGAGATGTTGGGATCGATTAGGTTGGTTGGTTTTGTTCCTGAAGCTGATGGTGGGTTGCATGATCTTGTTGAGGAGGAAAGGGAGAATCCCCTCTTATACCATAGTGAAAAACTTGCAATTGCTTATGGATTGTTGAAGACTAAACGAGGAGAGACCCTTCGTATAACCAAGAATCTGAGGGTTTGTAAAGATTGTCACCAAGCAAGTAAACTGGTCTCCAAGGTTTATGATTGTGATATAATAATAAGGGACAGGAACCGTTTCCACCATTTTAGTAAAGGAGAATGTTCTTGTAAAGACTACTGGTAACTACAATTGTAATCAGTTTCCAATTTTTTTTGTTTCTTTTTTATGTATAAATCCTGTATATCTCACCTGAATTCAAAAGCAGCAGCATGCTTAACATATGCCTATGTATCTAATCATCAGTTTTCATACTTTATATTTATGAGAATGCTACAAGTGAAGTTGCGTAAGCTTAAAATCTGTGTATTCCTACAACTCAAGTGTCACGCTCCAAAATTTGGTGAATTCGTGTGAAATGCCAAAACCTTTTTTTTCTTTCAAGACTCTAGAAGGTTGTTGGTAGCAACCAGGTTCCTTGTTTGGATCTTATATTCCTGCTAATTGCATACTTTGGACCATGCGTTGAGCATAACATTCCACTAGAGTGTACCTACGTTAGCCCAAGGATTAAAATGAGCTATGCTCTCCCACTCAATTCCTAATAGGACGAAGAGTGTGCTCAGCTCAAAGCCATTAATTGAATATTTAGGGAATCAATTAATCAGGTATATGAGGTTTGATGGGGCTAGAAATATTAATAAATTTTGAAATTCAACACATTAAACATAACATTTTTCACGGATCATGTTTTGGAGAAGCGGAATTCTTGTTTTGCTCATCCACGCAGAGCAAGAACATCAACTCATCCAGCCTGAATCACCCGAAATTTGTTGTTTCTTTTTAATTCACTCATTCATCAAAACTATCAGTGTTGCGCAGCAACAAGCTTTGAACTGGGTCGTGCATTTCTGATTTAAGCTTTGAATATGAACAAGACTTGGATGGGATAGATAGGTCTCTTTTAGTAGCCCAAGTGTTGAAGCACTCGTGACTAAGTCCCATATCGCTGAAGAGGAAATATCAATCACTTGGGTTTTTATTATAAAATGCACAAATCAACCTAAAAGAACTCATACCTTTCTCGGCCTTTTGGCTAAGATCAAGTGTAGTATCTGTTCTTATCAGTTTAATATCTGATACGTGGGCCAATGGTCCACATGATATTAAATTAATTTTTTGAAGGGGAGGGCCCAATACAGTAGCTTGCTGCTGGGGCTCTCAAGCGTCGCCTATGTCTTGCACTGCTGCATGGGCCAGGCGCACCCTACATTTCAGTCAAATAATTATGTAAACTCCGCATTGGGCTTCTGGATATGGGCTGGGTCTATATCGAATCCTTGAGTAGGTGGAAAATTTTGGAATTAAAGGCATGACTATTTTTAACCATCGGGAGGCAAAACTAAGCTTGAAACATAATTCAATTCCTTTCTAAATTGAAATGCCAAAACATAATATTCGGTTGTTCGAAACTATAGTTTCTCAAAATAAGGGGATTATGTTGAAATATATAAAAAGTTGTATGCCCCATTTAACGAATATATGCACATCATTGGGAGTGTACAATTTTAGTTCAGTATAAAAGAAATTAGACGATACTTGCCGTTTTTTAGAAAATATGGTTGGTGCTGATTTAGGTCTACCTGGTGCTATAACGTGACTATAATCAGTCATTTGTAAAGGAATTGGGAGAGCTGAAACCGAAATAACCCATAGGCAGTCTAAGCATTATTATTTAGTTCAAAATTGACCTGAATTAATTTTAGCAAAAATTAATTTAGAATTATTAAATGTGATAGAGATATGTCTAAATTAATCTGGATAGCACTTTTTTTTTTATTAAAATCAATTTACAAGGTGCATTGATGCACCAAATTTACCATTGATTGAGCCATGGGTATAATCTTTGAAATTAGAGGTGAAAGTGAAACCCCAGCTAAATAACTTGCTTTTGCATAATGTGAATGACAGAACACAAGACAAAAAGTAAAGGTAGGCAGACCCACACACAGCGCATTCCACTTCAATCATCAATTTCAACACCTCTTTTATTTTCCATTATTATTTATTGCATCATCATTTCATTCAGTACATTTACAACCAAATTACATTTCTTTTCAAATTACACACCAACCTCAACCGCGCCCATAATCATTATCAAATTTTTATCCTTTTCATCCTTACAGATATAGTTCTTCTAAAATAAAAAAACCTACTTTAGCTAATAATAAATTACGCTTATAATTAACAATTTAAATTGTAATAAAATATGAAGTCATTTATAAATAAAAAATCTCAATTATGACAAATTCAAATATAAAAATGATTTTGCATAGTTAGACTTTATAAATTTTAATTTCACAAATCTACATCCCTAATGGTTTCTAACATACATTGAAAAAAAGAAAAAAACTTGTCTTTTATTGTTTTTCCCTTTTTTATAAAAATTGCCTTTTATAGTTAGAAAGGAAAATTTACAGTAAGAAATAAGAAAAACGAACGGAGAAAACTTTTCCTCGTAGTGACGGGTTGGGCCATCTCATTTCTTGCTGTTTTAATTTTATTTATTTATTTATTGATCGCTGATATCGAAGAAAAACAGAATGGAATCAAAATATTATACACAAAGAATAAATAAAAAATAAATTATCTGACAGCGATTTTCTCTCTCTCTCTCTCTCTCTCTCTCTCTCTTCTCACTTCTCTCTTCTCTCTTCTCTCTTCTCGCTCACAGGTCCAACTTCCTCGTTGTGTTGTTGTGTTGAGTTGTGTTTGTTTGTGTTTGTGTTTGTGTTTGTTTATGTGTTGTGTTCTCTTTCTCATTATTCTTTTCCACGCATTGCAATTGCAAATTTTAAACTGATTCAGAATCTGTCACATTCTCTTTCTGCATTTTGGATCCCCTTCTGGGAAAACTCAATACTATGCACAATCGTTCTCTGTGAACGAGTTAGGGTTTCTCTCCGATATTCGATTCATCTTTTTTGGCCGGGATTTTGGGGGCTCCGGCACACATGGCCACCAACTTGCAGATGACCCCTCAGCTGGAGCAGATCCATGGTGAAATTCGCGACAATTTTCGAGCCCTCGCGTATGCATCGCCTTTACTCTTTTTAATTCTTTTTTTATTTCGTGTTTGTTTTGTGTTTTTCCTTGTGATTAATGCCGCTAATGAAGGAATTAATTTTAAAAAATTTGTAGTATGTTTGGGGTGTGATTAGTGATAATATTGTTAAGGCAAGAGATTGTGATTATGTAATTGTTGACATTAGTGGATTACGCTCTAAAATGTAAATTTCTTATAATTTATTGGGAGTAAGTTTAGTTTTGGTGTTGTTTGGTCTTTGGGTTTAGTGATATTTGAATGTTCAGGTGTTTTGGTGGTTTCTTAAGGAACGTAGTTGGGCTACATAACTATTGGAGGATAGTAATTGGCGAAATGAATGTGGCTGTGGTGGAAATAGGATGGAACTGGGACTCGGGAAAGGAAGGGGGTGGGGTTAGTTAAATTACAAGAACGCTTGTCTTTGGAGTCATTTGACATACACGGTCATGTTAATGTTGAATCCTGTGTATAGAAGCCCCCAGATTGTAAGCGTAGTTGGCTCAGAGTAAACCGTTGGTCGTTATTTGTTTGCATGCTATGATTGAAAGACAAAAATGTTGCTGGAGTTTATTAGGTCAAGATTGTACTGTTACCCCTGTTCTCAACCAAAGTATCTCTCTCTATTAGAATACATATTTGTCAGACCTCTAGCCCATGCTCCTGCACTAATCCAGCAATAGCATGTCCTTTCTCCACATATTGATCATAACTCAAATGCTTTTGTTGGAATAGTCACGCATATATTTTTCACTTTCAATAGCTACATAGGATCACAGGATGTCCATGAAGTGCATGTTTACGTCCAAATTAGTACAAGGGACTCATCAATATTATGCAGAAAAGTTTTCACCTGAACTGTCAAGGACAGTGAGAGTCTGTTGCTAGGAGAACTGCCTGTTTTTATTTATCAGTACACATATTTTGTGGTTACAAATTTTCATTTGTTATCTTATCTCGTGGAACTTTGAATATCACTGTTTCAGACCTGGGGTTGCCCTACTTCACGCATAAATGTTAGAATGTGAATGATCTTTAGCATGGTAATTAGTTATTTACTTTTTGACGAGGTCCACCTTTTGCATCCAGAAATGGCTTCCAAAAGCTGGATAAGATCAAAGATGCCAATAGACAAAGTAATCAGCTGGAAGAACTCACTGGGAAGATGCGAGAGTGCAAAAGGTAAGTTGTGCATGCTCTTGGAAACACTTGATGGAAATTGTAGCTCTCTGAATGAGAAAGAAAAAGAAGATTCTATTCAAAATATCACCTGTTTTGGTTTTCTTTTCCTCATAGGTTGGCATGGTGCAAATTCTGTTTGTTATTGCTAGTTATGATAATCAAGAGTTCTGCAATAGAATTTACATCTCATGCCAGCTTCTCAGGATTTGAATGATGATAATGTGCCAAACATGGAACCTTGTTGTATATTGGACATTTTTTAAAAACATTCAGTTACTTTATTGTGTCATACTAGTTGTGTGCTTCCCAGACTTCTTATTTGACTGGTAGAATTAATTTGCCCTTCTTCAATATGACAATGCTGGGAAAAAGTGAAATTTCTGGTGATTTTGACATATTTTGTAATTTTCGTTTGGAATTTGTTATTAGCATGTTTAGAATATGAAGTTTTATGTTGCTATTAACGGTTTCAGGTTGATAAAGGAGTTTGATCGTGAACTTAAAGATGAAGAGGGTAGGAATCCCCCAGAAGTGAATAAGCAACTCAATGATGAAAAACAATCAATGGTCGGTACCCAGTAGTCCAGTACACTTCCTTTTTTCTTGCTCATGTTGGAAATCTAGCATCTAACTCTTCAAAGTTTGGAAGGGGTGCGAGATCTTGTGTGTTTTGTGAATTGACATTCTAGATGATCCTGTTAAGAATATATGAAATGATGTGTAACAAATTTATAAATAATTTACGACCAATGTGAATTACTTTCTGGGCATTGTTGATGTTAGTGTATATGAAAAATATCTCAAAATATCAAAATTATGTCTTTAAGAGTATCTTAGATGATCACTTAGGATTAGTTTGCCTATTTGCTTGATTTCCATATTTCATGATTTGTTTTCTTATTTAATGAAGATTTCAAGTCCTGTATGCAGTATGTTTTTATATCACACTGTAACACATGAAAATGCTTGATATTATTATTCAAAGTTTCTATCTCCCAATTTCCTTCTTATATATTCTGACCCCCTGCCCCAATCTATTTTCAATATTCAAGTCATCAAATAAAGTGATTCCCACATAGAAAAGTTTGTGTCTAAGGGTTGTCCATATGTTTGTTGTAGATTGCATGTCCATGTACACAGAGCCAGCTCTTTATGTTAGCTAACATAATTTTTCTTGCAGATCAAGGAGCTTAACTCATATGTTGCTTTGAGAAAAACGTAAGTTCATTTTTATACATCTATTTGTCTTTAGCTTATAATTTAGTTCTTTGGAAGGTTATGGATAAAACAAATTATTAATACCGAGTTTCTTTATAGACTTATTCAACTTTCAAAATCATGAATTCTTGAAATGCTAAATTTAGTTTCCTTCTTGTATACTTTTTTACTGCTGAATATAAGTTTTTTCCTTTGGGCTATTTGAAAGGAGGATTTACACTGTCATTTTGTTGATAAACAGGTACATGAATACCATTGGTAATAAAAAACTTGAACTTTTTGACATGGGAGCAGGTGCTAGTGAACCTACAGCTGAAGACAATGTTCGGCTGGCATCAGGTAAGATGTCCGATGGAATTTGTAACTGACGCAAGGAGAGAATATGAATCCTTTGGTATATTAATTGAAATTAGTTTCACTGTATATTTATGTTTCTGTTGTAACCAGTTTCCATATAGAATCTTTGCATCGTGTTTGGGTGCTAATTTTACAGCCGCATAACTTATGCTTTAATGTTTAGTAAATAACATATTTATATCCCCGCTATAATATTCATTTGGTTTCTCTTATAGAAATGTCAAATCAAGAACTTATCAATACTGGGATGAAGACAATGGATGAAACTGATCAAGCTATTGAGAGATCTAAGCAGGTGAGTCACTTCAAACTTATGCTTCTGTTGCTCTTGGACCTGTGTTCTTACCATTGCCAAAATATAGGTTGTCCATCAAACAATTGAAGTTGGCACACAAACTGCTGCTACTTTGAAAGGCCAAGTAAGTTTAATTTGCATCGAGTATGCTAAACAATCGGAAGAGTTATTTATTACAAAATTGACCTCTGTTTCTGTTTATAATCATGCAGACTGACCAAATGGGTCGTATTGTTAACGAGCTTGATTCAATTCAGTTCTCAATTAAGAAAGCCTCCCAACTTGTTAAGGAGATTGGTAGACAGGTTGCTACTTTTCTATTGCTTCTATGCACATTTAACTTTCCTTCAAACCTGTGTCATGGAACTAAATTGTCTTTCCCCCTCTTATCAGGTAGCTACAGATAAGTGCATCATGCTTTTTCTGTTCCTTATTGTCTGTGGTGTAATTGCCATAATTGTCGTGAAGGTATTGTGTTCATTTCATCTTTTAATTTGCTGAATTTATTGTGGTTATTTTTTTGCTCTCAAGTAATATTACAAATTTTCAAAATTAAAGTTAATCCAATATGCTAGAATTTATTTTAAAGAATCATTTTTGCATAAGTATTTTAAATAAATTTTGTAAATCATTATACCTCACTGAAAAAGTGCTGTGAACTTATATTGCATGAATCCACACTCGTGATTACCTATAATGATTGTTACATTACTGTGCCAACAGATGTTCTGTTGTGCACTATCAAATGTTTCATATTTGTGTACAATGCTCACTGTACTTCTGTTTTAACTGGCAATATTTTTGCAGATTGTGAATCCTCACAACAAAGACATTAGGGACATTCCAGGATTGGCGCCTCCAGTTCCCACCAGGAGGCTTTTGTATGTAAGAACTGGGGATCAATTCGATTAATAATTCTTATATTTGAACAAGAGTTATGTCCATCCTAGTCCTGCCAACTTAATTCTTGGTTCTTATTGATGGGAAATTTAGAGGATTGTTGTCTGGAGGAGTTATTTTGGTTCTTCAATTAATTATCTATCTTACATATCCTGTTTGTGATTTTATGTAAATCACACGAGAGCCTTCTTCTTTTCTTTGAGTGTCATGTTTCTTTATGTAACATTCCAAAAGTGTAGGGCTAGAGAGAAAGTTATACTGTGAATTTCGTGGTGTATATGTCTAATTGAAAGGAGATTTATGCCCGTACCCCTTCTTAATTTTTGATATCTGTAATCCTACGCACATATTGAAACTGTCTGCTGGATTGGTTTTGTAAATTACATTTATTCAGTTGTGCTTGCAGATGTTCATATTTTCTTTACCCCGACCCTCATGTCCTAGAGAGTGTTGTTTGTGGCTAGTCTTATTCCAGTCTTGGATTGTCATGAATAGATCATATGCAGGTCCTAATATTTCCACGTTCTGTTTTCCTTTGTTATATTACAGTGTTATTTAAACAGTTTTTGAATGAGGAACAATGCAAAACTGAACCTTCTACTTTCAAAACTCTAAGAAGGTTTGTAAGTATTTATTTGCCAAATTTCTCGTTCGGAGTCATATGTCCTTGCAGCAAGAGACATTGCCAATTGGGGAAAAAGGATGCAGTATAACAGCCAATTTGGCCAAGCCAACGCATAAAATTGGGGATTCTTACTTACTTACTGCATTACCTTACTAAAGATATTATAGAGTAACACGAATTGTATTACTATATGTCATTAAAAGTAAAACCATTAACTATATTTAATGGGTTTTCAATTGCTCAGCTTAAAGTATTAAGGTAGCATTTAGTGTAGGAAATATTTCATTCTTAATCATTTTTCTATAAATGATTTTACGAATACGATTACGTTGCTTTTAACTTTTTTTTCCCCTCAACATTTACTGAAGTACAAAAAATTGAAAATTTCCTCTTCAAACTCTAATCGTAATGAAACCCTTCAAAATCTATAAACTTTTTACCAATTTTCTAAACTTTTAAAATCATTCGTATTTTAAATTCACAAGTTCCTATTTTTTAACATAAAATTAAGAGTTTTTAAGTTGACAAGATGATCACATTTATTTAATTTTTAAAATAAAGGAATGTGATTTGCTCAAAAAGAAGGTAACTGGCAAACAAGCAAAGTTAGCCAACTACTAAACCCGAACAAACGCGAAAGTTACAAACACGAAACTGCATAGCCATGCATTTGCGATAATGGGAGGGATTACCTAGAGTATACGCTTCGTTATAGATGTAAAAAATGTAGCTTCCTTGTTCTAATGAGATTGGTATCGTTCATTATACTTTTCGACAGAATACTGTAATACCATACTTTACAGCAAATGCCTACCAAATAACAATAAAAAAGGGATGATGCTATTTTCACCAAAGGAAATATTATAATGATAGAACTATTGTAAGAAAATAATGAAACAAAACGTGTGCTCACATTTTTTTCAAGCGTCTTTAAGCAAAACAAAATAATATAATAAATTTATATTAAAAATTATATCATTTAATGTTATTAATGCATTAAATCCAGTATTATCATATAATTTACAATAAAAGCTTATTATACATAGTTTCTTGTATGTTCTTGTGCATATGATGGCTCAAATCTAAAAAGATATATATTTTTTCTCAATATTTGAATTACTTTCAACTAATCAGGGTTGAGGTTGTCCCTGCGGATGGGGGAGCTATCTATCACTTTTTTTCCTTTCCTTTCTTTTTTTCTTTCTCATTCACAAGACCCTAAGATCTTGCTCAATGGAACCAACCACTTGGTCTAAGAGACATTGGTAGAGAGAGTTGCATTCAATTGTCCCCCAAATGTTGATAATAAATAAAGTTTTAGGAATTAAGAGGACAGTTGGTCCCCCAGTTTGGTCTTAAACCACATGAACGTAATTACAAAGAGCAAGCATGCATGATTTCACTATAAAGCATACCATTTAAAAAGAATAAGAGGAATATGATGCATTTGACCTGGCTTCCTCTTTGTTGTTCTCTTCCAAAAAGGGAAGATTTAAAATGAATCTTGTATTTGAGTTATCATTTTCCAGAGGAAAGGTTGCTCAGCTGCGTTCGTCCGATATGAGATAACCTTGATGAAGAAATTAGAGGTGCTTCTTCATCAATGTTCACATCAGAGGGTGAACCGTTACCTCCACTTCCCCCATTGTTACTACCATTATCTGGCACATAAATATCAGATGACTTCTTCTCGAATTTCCAGTCCTGTATGTTGGTTGATTTTGGTGAGACAAGATGAAGAAAGTTGAAATTATAATGACTGTGCTGAAATATGTGTAAGAATAGTCTAATGAATCATGAGATTTATCCCTTGTTACCATGTATAATAAGTTTACATTGTCTCAGATATAAATACTAATTAAGTCAAGAAGACACCTTAGAAATTCGTTCTGGAATAATTTCATTAGGTAATTGAGACGCTCGCACATCCTTAACCTTAATGTAATTGTACATCACAACTCCACATAAAGCTGCAGGTAAAATATGTAAAAGGATGAGGACAGGAGATTAAAAAATATTTGACCATTACAAACAAAACTTACCAATAGCATAGCCAATTATATTCAGCCAAGTTATTGTAGACTCTGGAAATATAATGGTTGAAAGGGCTATTAATATCCAGTCTTTAAGCACTCCAGCAACTCGGATGGTTACCGCACCCGTTCTGCCAATTACTAAGAAAATGGAAAAATTCAAGGCTAGAGCACATAGAGCGTTGGAAAAGAAGATCCAAAAATTGAATTGAATCTGTGACACTTCAATGATGGGCTTTTCCAGCAAGTACCAAGGCACAAAGAGAAACACAAAACTGCATAAAACAGAGTACAAAGAATGAGCAGATCGATCACACGGAATGTTGGATTTTTTGTTGATATTCAAGTATTGATACTGCCAATAACATCATTTTTTTTCTTTTTTTTATTTATAAGAAAGGCAATTAAATAGATATCATATAACTTGCACACTTACATGAAACTAAAAGTACAAGAATGACAGCATATTACATATTACTCACGTGCTCATGTTGCACAATTCGTTGCCAAAAAATCAGTACTATCAACATAACTATTTACTAAATCACATATAAAAATCGAAAAGTATATCAACATGGATAGAAGTTATTCCACAAGTCCTTAATGAAATTGTATGGTTAGCAGGAACAGAGCAGTCTGCCCAGGTAGGGTTAATATGGCCACTGAACAGGGTCAAAAACTAGTTGAAAACATCAATGGAACATACCTACATGGAGCTATATAATATAAGCTTGTAATAGGATTTAAACTCAAGCCTTTCTTTTGTAAAAGGACTTGGGTTAAGACCAATCTTAAAGCTTCAGCAAAGATGCCCGTGACCTGGTAAACTGTACCGACTACATTAAAATGAATTTCTCCATACGAGGAAATGACAACTCCAACACTGACCAGCACCATGTTGAAGAACACATCACACCTTGCTTTGTCAGTGCCACACATAACAGCCACGAGGAATGTTGCCACAGGCACTGAAACATCAAGTTTTGGAATTAAGAAAACACCATTGACATAGTGAGAAAAGCATGTGAAATTTGTTAAAAACATACTTAGAGCTTTGAGCATCTGGATAAAAGCTACAGAAATATGCAAATAAGCTGTGTTACCAAACCTGTAAAAACAAAAAACACAATTGTTTCTTCAGAAGTACTGATATTAAATGAGGTGTAAGCATGTGGATAGTGTGCATACAAAAGATCCACCAAAGTAACCATTCAATCATGTAAGCCATCATAATTTATTAGAAACATCATACTTTGAACGGATTAAAATGAAAGAGGATGAACAAATTCCAAACATGTGTAGCAGTGACAAAAAAGTAAAATCTAGTTTATGGCAATCATATTACTCAAGGCCACTGATAATCTATTCTAAGGAGTCTGGTAATGACCTTTCATTGGATATAGAATTGTAGCAATTTTAAGTACCAAATGACGGTCTTCACACTAAGATATGCCAGATTCTTTAAAACTAGTAAATCTATAAATTAGTCCTTAAGATTGCACGAGTTAAAAATATTTTAATCTGTGAGATTTTAAAAGCTCCACCTTCGTGCCTGGCTTTGCAAAACAACATTTACTTTAGTTCTTTTCAGAGCAAAACAGTAGTGAAAAGTAAAGTCAACAGCAACTAAAATGAATTATATTTTGCAAAGTATGGAACTTCAGAAAGGTTTTTAAAATTCATAGGGACTAAAATGTTACACCCATACAACCACAAAGACTAACTTGAGGGTTTCCCAAGGGTTTTCTGTTGAGAACATATAACTCCATGGCTACAGTACCATCTTAATAGCTTTAGTCAATGCAGGAGTGGCATCTCCAGACTAATGACTAATTAGAAAACTTTTATACCAAACTGAAAGCATCAGACATCAATCAAGTTTAAGCTGACTTGTACTCCATCCAAGTTCAAATTAGCACAAACAAGTTGAATGAACCACCAGACTAAGCTGAATTTTAGATGAATAAAAACATAATGATAGTTTTGAGACTTCACTAAATTTTAACATGCACTAGTCAAATCAAACACAGTTAGGAAACACAAACATGAGGGGCATCTCCCACTATCAAATCTGAGTATTATGTTTATCCCAACTCAGAACAAATTCAGTTTGCCCATGTTGCATTGCTTACCAAAGACTGGAAGCAAAGAAGGCACTTATTGGAATCACGCAAGTTGCGTATCTGCAATAGAAGGAAGTTTTTAATAAATAAGGCGTCATAGGAGAACAAAGCTCAAAAGTCTTAAACTCAAAAAAGATAAACTCACATTTCAAATGTCATTTTGACAGGAGATACAACCTGCAATTGAGATAAATTAAGGTAATAACAGTAAAATAATCAGACAACGAAAATGACCAAGAAAAGGTAGAAGGCAGTAAAAGCTACAGAGGACAGGTTGTGCAAATGGCATTAAGAACAACATCCAACTGAAAGTGAAAAACAAACATTTACACATAACACAAGTATGTAGGTGTATAAATAAGGTTTCGGAAATCACATCATTGGCAACCAGCCAGAAACAGGAAACTATAACTAATGGTAACTACTCTAATAAACTAAAACAAGACCAAAATCTACATTTCAATAAACAGCACAGTAACAAGCATTCACTCCACAAACTTAGCATATACTAAGTTGTCAAAATAAGAACTTAGTCACGTGCCAACATTCAGATTCAATTACGCATAAATCAGCAAAAGGAGCATTCTAAAGTACAACACAACACAATAGAATAACATACCTTAAAGACTCGAACAAGAAAAAATGCCACGGCCCCAGAAAAGCCCATATGAATCATAGTGAGTGTTATGGGAAGAGGAAAGTTGAAGTATTTTGGAGAGAGAACCCACTGCAAAATTCCCAAAAAAAAATAAAATTATACATTGGAAATGCTGCATCTACTAAAAGTAAAAACCCTAGAAATGGGGTTGCATTATAACCTTGTTGTACAAAATAACTCCAGAAGAAAGCAAGATATAGATGAACAAGTAGAAGTAAGTGAGGAAAAGCGTTCTGTTGATCATTTTGGCACAAAAATAGAAGAAGCTTCTGAAGAAACCAAAAATGGAACAAGCTCAACAACGAAGTTGTTCAACACCCATCTCATAAACTCAAGTAAAGTTCGTATCTTTGCAATTGGGGCATCGATTCAAAGATACCAAAATGCAGAAAATAGAAGTTGAAGCGATCGGTGCCTGTGAAGAGGAACAATGAACCCAAGATCCAGTGAGGTGAGTTTCAAATGCAAGAGAAAGCGCGTGAAGAGAAGAAGTGATAAATGAGAGGTTACTGTTGGCATGTGCGCGTGTATGATGCAGCTGCGGATAAGTAACTCCCCCTGCATATACATTACATTGGTACAATACGGTACAGTAGCCACTGTCTCTCACTTTATCACTAATTAGCTAATTAGTGCTTCAAGAATAATTAGTTAAGATAGTGGTTAAAAATTTTAATTTTTTTATAATTTATATTCTTATTAAAAAAATGATAATTTCCTTAGAATTAAATTATATTATGAGTTTATCAATTTGTGGGCATGTGAGATTTGGTGTTTGTCTCTTCAATTTGCTTTTATGTACATATTTTCTTATTTTTAACTGTTTGGAGCGTTGATCGAATTTATAATAAGATATAGTATGAATCTTTTAACCTAACACGATGATTATATATATTTCATTTCTAATAAATAGTACTTTGTTTTAACTTAATCTTAATTAATCGCTATCAGATGACAAACCCATTTATATGAAAGCTGTAAACGTTCCTAAAAATATATCAAACAGATTCAACTTGACCTTATCATTGGTTCACTGGTTAATAAACTAAATTGGGTTTGAGAAAAATGTTTTGACTTTTATGTTCAAAATTACTTGCTGGATACGTGATGGCAGATTAAGAAATTGGGGTCATGCATGCATGTGGTGCGCAGGTTAAGACATATCCGACATGAAGAGGATGAGATTATGCAACTTAATAAGGATTTGTCAAAGAAATAAATATGTTATGCAACATCGATCTTCATTCAAACGTCATTTACATGGTTTCTCAAAAACCATTTGAAAGAGAGGAAAATGCGAAAAAATCTTAACATTTATAACAATGAATTATGTAAAGGTTAATTGTATTCATATCTAAATCAAACAGACCCTCTACCAATTTTATGAACTTTATTTACACATTCTACTCGTCTATTCGACTTCACCACCTACCATGTTGAATAGATTTTTGCAACTTTTCTCTATGCATTTAATGGGGTGATTGGTTGTAATTGAACAGTCTCTTCAAAGAAGAACAAAAACTTGGGAATCCATGAACAAATAGAAGCTTGAAAGGAAACCAACAAAGACATGTATAAAGGTTAAAGGAGTTATCATGTGGAGCAAAGATTGCTAAAAGGAGTGATTATCCAAAACCCAAACCATATATTTGCTCAATTGCTAAAAGGAATAATATTAGTTTTGAAGGGTAGATTTAAATATTTAAAATAATAATTTTTATTAAAAAGTTATTAATTGTATTATTCAATGGAAAATTATTAACTTTAATAAATTAATATTAGTATTGAAATATGAATTTTTTGACCAAAAATGTTAACTATATAGATATCAATATGAGATAATCTTGAATATCATGGGAAAAACAAAAAAGAATGACCATGAAAGGGACAAACGAGAAATAAATAATGACTAAAAATACTATTAAGAAATGATTACACGTGTAATTCAAACCAAATGACAATTAAATTTGACTCTATTTTAGTTTTTGTATTGTTGTGTTTAATTACGCATATGCTCAGCCACCGCCAGTGGTTTAGATCGTCATATTGATGGTGTTGTCGGTGACGGTGTTGATGTACGTGTACGCATGGATCATGGATGCATGACATGGCATGGCATGGCATGGGACTTGGGAGAGGCAATGGAGGAGATGAATGTAAGGATATTAATAAAATAAAACATATAAAATAATAAAAAAAGTTAAATAGCAATATTTATACTTAAAATTTTAACTAAAAGTAATAAAAAATGGAAAAAAATTATTACAACAGAAACAAATTTCACACATTATTTTTGACAACTTTAAATAAAAATAATACATAATAAATTGTAAAATAATAATACAATAAAATAATTTATTCCTTAGATAGATCTGTAATACAAATAGAAATAGAAATATCCGTTAATTAATTCACCAGCTCATTAATCTATCAAAATATACTCAAATAATGGATATTGGGCTTGCTGCAGTACTTATCTTGTTATAGAGAGAGATTTTTTTTTATTTAAATTGATTGATCCAGCCCATTTATCTTATGGATCTGGACTAACGAAACTTTTGATAAATTAAAACTATTAACGTCAACTCTTAAAATTAATTCTAAACATTTATTACATATAAAAATATAAAGTATGATAATTATTTTTTTATGATGTTTTTTAATGTTTAAAATACATTTTAAAAAATCAATATTAACAAATATAATTGGTGGTCAAGAACTTGGCCACAGGATTGACCCAAAAAAAGGAACCTACCCATATAAATTCTTTGTCACCCTTATTTTTCATATTTCAAAGCTTAACGATGGAAGAAACAACTAACCTAGCTTGAATAAATTTTTGCATGATTATTAAACTTCTAAGATACTTTCAATATGCTTAATTTAATATCGGAATTGCATGATACCTATCAGACATATACAGATATTTTATTTGTAATTATTACTGCAATTTCATAGTGTGGATACTCCTCCAACTATAACCCCTTCAAGTTTATGCTTAAAATATTTTAGAGTAAACATGCATGTATTTTATTTCATGAGAGTTGACACTATCACATTTGTCTTAAAAAAAACATGTGACATTAATTTAACTCCTCAATCATGACAAGTAACATCAAATTCATCATCTTATACAAATCACAAGGTCAATGAGTTAAATGGATGTAATTTCTTATCATCGAGGAGCTAAATTAATACTATTTTTTTTATCATTAAGCATTACATTAATTTATTTAAGGGTCTAACTTGATGTCACTCTCCATTCTCTAAGAGTTAAGGCCATTTATTTTTCAGAGAACAAATTGCCGTCATCCTTTTTATATATTTATACATTTGACAGTAAAAGAACTTCTTAAGTTTTAGAAAAGATTAAGTGAAACAGTGGCGAATATGATTTCAGTTTTTGAAATAGACTTTGAAGCTTCATGGATGAGCAAGATACAAGTAGGCTTTAACAATTCAATTGGACGATTATCAATTTTACCGAACTTCCAAGATACTTCCAATCCGCAAATGCCCATTTTTAGGTGAGAGATTTAAGTCAACATCATGATTATTCATGACATATACTATTACTATCCTTAGGGTAAAATATTGATTAAGAAAACTATACATTAAACTACATAAAAATATCGGAGTTATGTATAAACCAGACAAATACCCGTGCAAAATTTATATAATATATATAATAACGATTACGTATAAAATGGATAGAGGAATGGATCTGTCTTGACACCACCATCTAAGCTAACTAAATTAAAAGTATAACATCAATGGACAAAGCAATTTCAACTACTAACACCACAATCCATAAGCAACAGCAGCAGCAAACCAAAATGAAGAATGTTGCGTGTGTGTTCACCCTAGCTAACAATAATATTTGGACATGTCTCAAATGGCACTGCCACATCTTAATTTTGATGTCCCACCAGCCAGAAATTCCAGCCTAATGGCTCAGATGATCAATTGAAGTGTCATGTGAATTGAATAGAGATCAAGGTACCAAATGATCTGTTCCTAGGAAAGCTTCCCTTGGCCTCACTTCCAACACCTAAGATTCTTGTTCATGGACTAATTAGAACAAATCATTTGCAAGTGTCCCATGATGGGAACTTTTTAATTGAAATGAAATCTATGCTGGTAGACCATGTAATATATCCAACAATGGTTGTTCTTTTTGTAATACTTTAGTCTACGTTTTGGGTTTTGTTGGGTTGGATTTGATTAAGGGGTTTGCTTTGAAGGTGCATGACAATGTATAATCTAATGTGGGAAACTTCCCCTTTTGTTATTTTGTTAAGCATGTGTAGTGTTTTTGGTTTGCAACTTTGTTAACTATAAATATATGTATACGAAGCATATTTAACTTTATGTTTTTGGGTCCCAATAGTGGATGGTATAATATAAATTTAGGACATGGAGGACCCCTACAAGAGGGTCACTACAAGCCAAGAATATAAATTTAAAGTTTATTTTGTTATTGCTTTTTTTTTTTTTATTTCTTTGTCATGGGGTAAAAGTGAAGGTGAGTTATGTGAATCAATTGCGTACTTTTCTCGCTATTTATTTTTCTATGTATCCAAGTACAAAGTTCAGTTCTTCCTTATGTATCTAACTTCTGACAAAATCTTAAGTCCTTCAAAGGTTGACTCTGATTTTTTACTTTATTGTAAAATATGTGCCAGCAATTGTCACTTGTCGGCAGAAGACGAAACCTTTGCATTTGTTTATGTGATTCCGAGGATATATGCTGCGACCAATGTCTCCTTATTTGCCTTACCCAATATGTAAATGAGACAAGAAAAACAATGATTTTCCTCTTGATAATATTTTGTAAAGCTTTGAAGTTTTTTCCATATTCATAATTATATGCAATGGTTAATTTAAATATCTGATATTTGAATTTAGTGTTTTTGGATGAAGGACTGTGTTAGAATTAGAAGAAACTAGACATGTGTATATATTTTTTAACCATCAAACTTTGAAAAGAATAGATGTAAAGGTCCTTCTAATAAAAAAAACAAAATTGAAAATATGGTTTAGTTTTTCACATTCTAAAATGCAATGTACATAAATATGTTGGTTATTTTATATGCACGTGCTTTTCTTTAATATCTATCTCATTCTTTATTACCATTACTTACATTTATCTTTAACTTGTACAATATCATATTCATATTTTATACATATGAAAATTATTTAAAAATTACTCCTTTTCGTGGTTTGACTTTCTTCAATGGTATTTTGAGGAATAGAGCAAAGTATTAAACGAAAAAGAGGAACAGTGGAAATAAAAATAGCATTATAGCCCAATTTGAATAATTTTAATAAATATTTGTAAGAACTAAAAATAAAAAATTAAAACGAGTCATACTTTTTTATATTTAAATTTTCTAAAACTTATAAGAAAAAAAATTATTATTTTTTAAATTTATCTAAAATGTTACCTAATCTAACCCTATACTTCAGTTTAATATTGAAAGAACTACTTACTTTTAAATAGTTGCAATCTACCAAGAGAGAGAACGCAAATACTTGGTGTAATTTATTAAAATTTAAAATATATTAAACAAGTACTTGAGCACGAAGTTTTGAACATTTTGAAAATCTATCATAGCATGTTTATTTTTATGTTTTTCAAATAAAAGTTAATATAATCAATGCTTAAAATTATACATAGCACTAGATACCAGACACGTTCGATGATAAGAGACAAATTTTATTTTAATTTCTCTAAAATTGATTCCAATGTCCTCACAAATAGGCTTTATGTGTCTGGTTGTATTTGTCACCAAACCCCTTTCCAATGAATTGAACACCTCGTTTTCCAAGTCCAAACTCCATTTGAAGGAGTAACTAATCACAGCCTTAGAAACTTACACCAAGTTAATTATATGTTTAAACAGTTTGAAAGACCTTAAAAGACAATATCTCTAATCCCAAAATTAACCCTTAACACTATGTAAAAGAAACTTCACTTATTAATTATTATATATATTTTTTCAAGAGCTAAGAACATTTTTACCACTCTTTTGAAGAAAGAGAGCAAACAACTGGTATAGAAAAACGAATGAAAATGGTTACCACGTACACACACACTCATACAATTTTCTAGAGTTTGAATTTACAAAAGAAATTCCCGTGCTGCCAATGATTTGATTTTGGGTTGAATAATTGCAATGATCCAGAGGCTGAGGACACGCTGTCAATCATATTGCGTGCATCCAAGTAACACAAAACTATTTAGCAGGGTTCCATCAGCATTAGGCAATGCAATTATGCAAGCATATGCTATGCGGTTCTTAATAAATCAATAAACACCCTTTTGTCTACCTAAGTTGCTTTTGGAATGTGTTTGGTCAAAGAACACTCTTGCTTTATTTCCTCTCAGCTTCCAAAGAAATAAATATTTTTCATCTGAATAAATAACTTGAAAATGTTTCACATCTTCTATATACATGTAGGTTTTGCTTTCTTACATTTGCTATATACCAAAAAGCAAAGAAAAAGAAACACAAACCAACAACTATACGAAGGGCTTGCTTGTTCATATTGTGCATTTGAAGTATTTTACTATAACATAAGAATATCCTTTTATATGATAATTAAACAGGACATTAACTGTATTAATGAGAAATGTCAAAGCAAAAAGAAAAAAAAAATCTTACACTAACGTAGAAAAATTTTCATTTTTTTTTCAATAATCTTAGAATTAAAGATGACAATAGGTAATAATTAATGAATATCTGCAAAATTTACCTGTTAAATAAGTACAAATATAGGTATAAGAAATTATATATAAAGTTTAACAAGGATGAGTACGGATATATGTAGTTAAGTATCCATATGTTCTCACATCGTTCCCATATATATATATATATATATATATATATATATATATATATATATATATATATATATATATATATATATAACGGAAAGATTTTCTTACACCTGTGTAAGTCTAATAACTCTTACATTAAATATCAGTCTTTTATTTAACTTAAATCTAATGGTCAGTGAGATAATAAATTATAACCAATTGGATTTAAGTTAAATGAAAGGTTGAGATTATGTGTAAGAGTTTTAGACTTATACTGGTGTAAAAAGATCCTGCTTCATATATATATATATATATATATATATATATATATATATTATCAATTAAATTTATTATTTTTCTTTCAGATTCAAAAATTAGAAAAAAAAAATATGTTATGTGCCTAGTTTTGATTTTTGTTGAGTACTTAAGTTTATTTGTTCTAACTTTACTCTCATTCTCAATTGTTACAGTGTTGACTATCCAATAACCAATTTCATTCCAAAGTAAGGAATAATCATTTACATCAAAAAATGTGGTCAATACAACTAAAACTACATTGATAATTAAAGTTAATTTGTGAGCAACTATAAATTCTTAAAGTTGTCACAAGAGGTCACTAGTGTGCAAATTCCACATGAGAAGTCACATATCATGTAGATCTATCTCATCGTCACCTAACTCAGTGCCATTACTGTTTAATAGAATTCGATGTGAGACAAAGTCATTATCAGTCAGTTCAATCTCATCATAGGTTAAGTGCGTTTACATCAAACACAAGTAATAAGAGACAAGGTCATTATCAGCCAGTTCAATCTCATCATTGATTGTCTGCGTTTATATCAAACACAGGTGACAAGAAATCTCTTAGTACAAATCAATTTGTTGTCAGTCAACTTTTTCTCATTGTCAGCCAGCTCAGCCTCCTTGTCATCAAGTTTTGTCTCTATACTAATTAGTGTTATTTATCTTCTTTCAATCACTCTTAGTCTCTCATTTTAATATCTTTTTACAATAAATAATTTCCTAAATTAGAAGATACTTGAAATATGGTTGGTTAGTCATGTGTTGTGACATTTTATATAAGTATTTTTTTATTTTTAAATGAAAATTAATATTAATTTTCATGCAAGTATAAAAATAAATATAAGTATTTTTTAAAAACACATGTATGAAATGGATACTATTCTATTCTACTCACTGTCATTCCTGCTTAGAATTCTTTCTTATTACGCTTACGCCACTACCATACTTTAGTATCAGCAATCTCTCGCTTTAATTAGCTTTATAGAATAAAAGTTGTGCTTTGACGGGGTTATTTTATTTACCCTCCCCTAACTTTGTCTCCTTTAATTTTCCTTTTGACTGGGCCCATTTAAATTGATGAAAGAAGCACCGCATGATTATTCAAGTATGAATCACACTTAAAACAAAATTATCAGAATGAACAAAATAAGTAATGTTCATAAGAGGCATGATTGCAGTATCTGTTCTGCAAGCAGCACATAATCATGCTGAGCAAGTCATACATCTTGCTAAGAGCAATATCAAAGGTACATGCGTTTTTTTTTATGACAAACAATATAATTGTAAATTGCAGATTTTAATTCATTCTCATGTCATGAGGGAATAGAATTCGATTCACAAAGTTAAAAAAAACAAAAAAAAGCAACTAAAAAGTCACATGAAGAGTAAAACAAATACACGGTAGTTAAATGAAATGAGGACCACTATATTTTTCAATCAATAATTCCTTCTATGTGGTATGTCGAATAAGTCACATAAATATGTCTAATAACATTAGTTTTTAAAGTTCAGTTTAAATATTTTAAAAAAATGAAAAATAAGAGTATAATAAATATTTTTTAAACTTTGTTACTATTTTTAATTATTTAAAGATACATAATTGAGCATGATATATAATAAGTCATTCTCTGTAAATAGAATGAAAACTTTATAATCACTGCATGAAAAGAATTACAAGTGACTGTAATGTGAAGCAATGCACCCCAAGGCGTTTGAAACAACTCATCTAGCTGAGTCAGATAGAAGATGGTTTGTCTTTATTGGGGTGGATGTGGCAGTGACTAGGGTTCATTTAAGCACAGCTTCCAAAAGTACTTAACCAGAATCAAATTTTTCTAAAAGAAATAACATGGGACCACAGAAGCCAAACACAGGAACTGGCTTGTGTGTCATCAGTATGTATGCAAGCTTAGACCTTTCAAACCAATCATTGCTCCATACAAAGTAGGGTGTAGCCTTACGAGTTAAAATTTTCCAAGGATGACACACATTTATTTGACTTCTAATGTGGGACTTCCTTCCCCTTTTCATCATCACTCATTCATATATTGCCATATTGCTATATGCTAATCACATTACAAGAAGTTTTATTTTATTTACAATAACTCTTTCACATCATACTGTGCAGGACCTTCATCCTTAAATGGGTATGTGATTACGTACTTCCTTCAGCAAATAGTTTAAATATTTCCATTTTGTGCCTATTTTTTGGAAGAAGAAGAGGGTTATATATAGAAACTAGAATTCACTCAAATGTGGTTGAAAATGAGAACATAGTTTTATTATTATTATTATTATTATTATTTTTCAATGAATTTATGTCCATATGACATGAAAGGATGATAACATGTTCCCACCAAGGGCATAGTTGGATAAGAATTTTTAGAATAGGGGTATTATGGGCTTTCAAAAAAAGGGTATGGTGTCCAGTCTGTTTCCTTGACTATCCAGCCTACTGAATGGGATAACACAGCCTCATTGAATATACAGATTAAAATGAAATTAGTAATTTACGCAATTCAAGGATATGGAAATTTGCAAAAACAATGACTTTGGGCTTATTCGGTGTGCAGTCTGTTCATAATTCATTTGACCTTTTCAGCCTTATTTTATTTTATTTTTTACAGATTTGCAGTCTAGCATTTCTCCAAGGTTACTTATCTAATGTAGCAACAATAATATTACTTATGCTGAGGGTCTAAAATTAATGTTTGACTAACAAAATGAAAAAAGAAGACAGGTAATACAGTATGTATATATTTACCAAACTGAAGTTAATTATTTATATGAAAATGGATGTGTATTTAATGTCAAATACCATTCAAGGATCTGTTTATCTGTCACCGTCTGAAGAAACCTTAGGAATAATGAAAATAATTAAAAAAGTGGAGAGGAAATAGAAAAGGGCAGGCACCCATAGGACTGAGAGAGAGAGAGAGAGAGAGAGAGATGGTGAAGAAATTTGAAGGAACAGCAAAGAAAGTTTCCATTTTGATGCTTGTTTTTTACTGTATGCAATGTGAGTCCATGTCACTTGCCAATGCCATCACCTACCACTGATAATTCCATGCCTTGTTATTAACCCCATCACACCATTTCCCTCTTCTCAGAGTTTCATGTGCCTCTTCTTCTCTTCTCCAATTCCCTCCAACAAGTGCCCCTCTTTCTGTTTGTAAAGTGAGTGTGAGGAGGGGGGAATGTGATGCTCTGAGAAGGTTCATTTTTGAGATTGAAAACACAAACCCATTGGCACTGTTGACCAAACCCAGAATCCAAAATCACGTTTTGACAATGGGGTTGAGCTGGGTATGTGCCAATGCGTTCACATACAAGAGAAATTTTAGTGCATAAGAGATCTAGTGTTTGAGTTGATTCAGGGTCTGAAAAGAGGCTGTGGAGAAATCTGTGAAGATTTAGGCTGTGGAAAGGTATTCACTCTCTCTCATTCACATGTGCTGTTTTCAAATGGCTCATTTGCTTGGTCATTGGTTTAGCAAAGTTGAGCATTTATTGGCCTCCTTTTTCCTGTGTACAAATTGAATGAAGTTATAGTTTTCCCTCTTATCTGGTAATCAAGTGCTACATAAATTTTATTCCCTTTTTTTTGTTTATTTTATGTTCTTCTGGACTCTTAAGATTTATATTTTCCAAAAATCTTGTAAGTCAACTTGTTGCAATTTTCCTTTACAGCTCTGGTTTATATTTTCTTGATTTGTCTGGGATATGAATACTGAGTTTTCCATATACACTTCAGTTTTCTTTCCTTTTTCACTTTCTCTAGACTATTAAGTTAGCAACGGGCCCATTTGCTTTTTGTATGAAAAGGATATTAAACAATTTATTTTCTTTCTGGAATTTTGAATGAATGGAATTGTGATTTTCTTTCTTATATCTTTAGTCTAACATTGGATATATTGGCAGCAGTGAAATGGCGTCTGATCTGAGTTCAGGGTTGTCTAAGAAAACATCTGTTTTTGGGTTGCAAGCATGGGAATTAATGGGGATAATAGTTGGCTTGTTCATTATAATCATTCTTGTGGTGCTATCAATATGTCTTACTTCGAGGAAGAAATCAAGAAGAGTAAATGGCATGCTTCCCCTTAGCCGTATGTTATCCGTTTCAGACGAGATCAAGGAGATTAGAGTTGATCAAGTTTCAGCAAATAATCATCCTCAGAATGGCGCTTTTATGAGTCTGTATGACAGGTTTAGTGACAGGGAGTCTGAAAAGGTTTTGATCCAAGCAAAGAATGGAGAAAATAGCAGTCAATCAGGCTCATTTGTTCATCTTAAGAAAGATGATGGTGGCTCTCAATCCGGTGAAGAAAGTGGTGCTAAGTCTGTTTCTACTTATTGGTCGTCTTCACATCCTATAACTGCTCCATCCCCCTTGTCTGGTCTGCCTGAATTCTCTCACCTTGGCTGGGGACACTGGTTTACATTAAGGGACCTAGAACTTGCAACAAACAGGTTTTCGAAAGACAATGTTATTGGTGAAGGAGGATATGGAGTTGTTTATCAAGGCCATCTAATCAATGGGAGTCCTGTGGCTGTTAAGAAGCTACTCAATAATCTGTAAGTTTTGGCATTTTGTTACATAGCAGCTTTTTTTTTTTTTAATTTCTGTTTTAAATTAGGTCTTTAATCTCTTGTTTCGTGTTTATTAGCATTTCTACATGCAGCCACTTTATCTAATACTGTTGATGCCTATCATGCAGTGGACAAGCTGAAAAGGAATTTAGGGTGGAAGTTGAGGCTATTGGTCATGTGCGGCACAAAAATTTGGTTCGACTTTTGGGCTATTGCATTGAAGGCACTCACAGGTAGCATATTGTTTTGTCATTTATTTGGGGTTAAACATCAAGATTTTCACTTATGTTTTCATTCTTTTTATTTTGGAGTTAGTGAAGGTTAATCATCATCAATTGCGTAAGTGTGTCTTTAACTGTGTCTACTTTCATCTTGATTTGGCCATTCGGTTGAAACAGCTCACAAAATCACTGTTTCAACTTCTATATTATCTTGTAAATCTATCAACTGCTGCAAATTGCATTGAGAAATTTTTTAGCCTTGAATTTCTTGGTAAATGATGTCCATGGTGTTATATTGTAGTTGCATTTTTGTGCTACTCTGAGTTGTATAATCTGGATTCTTGATCCTTACGGAACTCCCTGTTAATTTTAGGTTGTTGGTTTACGAATATGTTAACAATGGCAATTTAGAGCAATGGCTTCATGGAGCAATGCGGCAGTATGGTTTTCTTACATGGGATGCTCGGATTAAAATTCTTCTTGGAACAGCTAAAGCGTATGCTCATTTACTACATGTCCTAATTTTCTTTCTTTCCTTTTCTTAATTTCCTTCTTAGTTTTTGGTGTTTCCTTTTACTGATCTATGATTATATTTGCAGGCTGGCTTACTTGCATGAGGCAATTGAGCCAAAAGTTGTACATCGAGATATTAAATCCAGCAATATTCTAATTGATGACGATTTCAATGCCAAAATATCTGATTTTGGGTTGGCTAAGTTACTGGGTGCTGGAAAAAGTCATATTACAACTCGAGTTATGGGTACTTTTGGGTAAGCTGTTTGTCTTGATTTATGATTCAAAAGTAATTTTTCCTTTTTATTTCTCATTTCGAAAGGCACTGTGACTAATGCTGTTTTTCATTTATTTTTTTGTATATTTTATTTTATACTGCAAATTGAGAAGTTATGATGAAGTTAATCACTTAGGTTATTTTTCCTTGGTAATCTAATCATCAATTGCACAATGTGCAGACCACATTTAACAGAAGAATAAATTTAAATCCTCCAACCTTTTATGCTTATAAATCCTCCTAATTACTAAATGAAAAAATTATTAAATGTTTTTCATGTTTTCAAGATAATAAATAAAGGCATTTTTTCATTTAATACTAAAGCAAGAGGATTATTGGGAAAATTTGTTGGAGGATATAGCAAAGCTCCAAACAGAATATCAAGCGTTGCAATTTGCCTTAATAATTTTTGATTAACTGCTCATTCTAAATTTCAATTCTACCATAAAATTGCACAGTTGTGTGCACATTTAAAATTGACCGAGTTGGCTAACTACACTCCTTTTTCATGGTTCAATTGCATTTGTCAGATATGTGGCTCCAGAGTATGCCAATTCTGGCTTACTAAATGAGAAGAGTGATGTTTATAGCTTTGGGGTATTGCTCCTGGAAGCAATTACTGGAAGAGACCCAGTGGATTATAGCCGACCAGCAGCTGAGGTGTGTCATGGGTAACATGCAAAGAAATTGTTCAAGACTCTGATGTGCATGTTGTATTTATTATATCTGTTAGTGGGTAATTTGATGAGTTAGAGAACTTTTATTCCCCACTAATACATATCTTCACTTGAATTTTGAATGTGAAGAATGGCATACATTAGAAATTTCCATGGAGTAGTTAGCAACTTTCCTTAATAATATTGGATGGTGGTTGTAGGTAAATTTGGTTGATTGGCTCAAGATGATGGTAGGGAATAGGCGTGCAGAAGAGGTGGTGGATCCTAACATTGAGACCAGGCCATCAACAAGTGCCCTTAAACGAGCCCTTTTGACTGCTTTGAGGTGTGTTGATCCAGATGCTGAGAAAAGACCAAAGATGAGTCAAGTTGTTCGCATGCTCGAATCGGAGGAATATCCCATACCCCGAGAGGTTCGAGTTCTCATCTATTAAGTCACAAGAAGTTTCCAACTTTGTGTGGCAGTTTCTTTTTCTTTTTAATAATAAAACTTTATCTGATAATAAGATAAGACTTGATTGTTATTGTTGTTGTAATAAAACTTTATCTGGTTCCTTGTAACAACCATTAAATTCCTTATAATTTTAGTGAAGAAACTGTAATGGAAACATGTACTTTGAGACCACTTCATATTGAACTTTTTGGACTAAAACTTGGTGAAGTGTTTGAAACATGATACGTTTCTCAAATGAAATGGGTGATATTTCAGGATCGAAGACGGCGAAAGAGTCAGGCTGGAAATATGGAGCTGGAGGCCCAGAAGGAGACATCTGATACGGATAAGAGTGACAATCCAGATTCTAAGTCCCATGGCAGAAGGAACCAAAGAAAGTAGAGCCATGCTTCTCAAGCTAAAAGTACCAATTCCAGGATGAGATACACTCTTGAAGGGGTGATTTTTGCATTCTTTTGTGCTTCTGAGTTTGGATCACAGCTACATTTGACATCAAAGACATGGAAAAGGAAGGAGATACTTTGGAATGGTTTATATAATATACCTATTTGTTGTTATAGCATAGATGTAGATGTTAGGATGTAGATTATTGTGTATTAATATGGGATTAAACAAATCCCTTTCACTAGTGTGTACAGTTCATTGCTATTCATACATTCCCTTTGTCTTTTTGTTTGTTTCATCACTCATTAGGATCTTGGAGGAATTTGGTGTTTCCTTGTGTAAGATGATAAGAAAATTTTACCTAAGCGTGAAAGACACAGAAGATGTGCTTATTGTCTATAATTTGCAGTAAAGAATTTCTTCATTATTATGGCTCTCCACTATTTATTTGTTAAGACCACTTTTAATGCCACCTTAAGCAGCATAGCTAACCCCAAATTATAGGAAAATTTTAAAATTTTGATTGTGAATATGGAGAGAGAGGGAATGAAGAGAAAGAAGAAAAAGAGTTTTTAATTTTTAATTTGGGCTAATCCCTAAAACTCTCTTTATTTGGATCCTAATTTTTTTTTTAAAAATTCTTCAATTTATAACTTAAAAAATTATACATGACAGAGGAGTTTTGGAAAGTTTTTAAATAATGTTTAGAACACAGGAATTAGCTTTTTTTTTTTAAAAAAATTCTTGTAAAAAATAATGTTTAATAATATTGAAAGTCACGTCAATATCGGAAAGGAAAATGATTGTAGTTAACAGACCAGCGACTCACCATTGCAATTTTGTCATCAAGAGAATTTGCACCTGTAATGAATTCTGAGTTCTTGATTATAGCTTTTAATTTTAATTTTGTTGTAAATGTAGTTTGTTTTTTCTTTTTTTGGGTATATTTGTTTAGTTGTTCTTGTTGGAGATCACAATCTAGAACTGGATCCTTTGCAGTTTGAAAAACATATAACGCTGATGAGGCAAACATTTTGAATATTACTATATGGATTCAATTATTGCATTCATTGCATATAATAAAAAAAAAAAAAAGTGGAGAGTCCATGTTTTTTAATTGCAAAGAGCACATCTTCAAAGTTCAACGTCACTAACCAAATTTTCTGCAATTAGGATTGAAGGATTGGGAATTTGTTGGTTTTGGTAATAACAATTCAAGATTTTAGACATGACAATTCAAGATTTTAGACATGATATATCAGCTCTCACACTAAACTTCAATAACTAGTTTCATGTTGGGTGTAAAATCTAGGACTATTCATTGAACGAATAACTATTAACATATTTAGATTCATGTTTAAAAGCCTTTAAATTATGTTTACTTTAATGCTGTTAGTTTTAAATTTTGTGTTAAATTTTTATTATGGTATTTCAAACTTGTTTATAAATATACATTATGTCTATTTTGTTTTAAATTTTGATGGTTAGTTTTTTAGAGATATATGCATCCCCGAATCTAAAAAAAATTCACTATGTATGGACTTAATTAAAACTAGTAGCATTGCCAAAAATTGATTTGCATAAACAAGTAACCTTGGCAAGGTGTAGGCCTTTGTTTGAGTTATCTGGATTGTTTTCCCTTCATGGATATGTGCAGATGTAGAAGATAGATACCTTGTCATGGATTGAAAATCAGTTCTGTTGCAAATACTTCCTACACTAACATGAGTGTCCACTATAAAAGCCCAACAACAACCTACTAAACTTTCCTTTCTTCATTTAACACTAACATTTGGTAATTAACTTGATGTTTATTTAGTAATGTATCAATCAATTCTTCTGGAACAAAATAACATTCAAGTATGTAGTAAATATCGCATTGCACAAATCAACCAATGAAACAAAGTCTCCAATGCACGCATGCAAGCCTCACAAATTAAAACCACGAAATCAATTAACTAATCTATGTGTAGCAAAACATTCTAGTTGCTAATTATTCATAATCAAGACCTCAGAGGGGTCATTAATTCGTAAATTATCATGGACATTATGGAAACCACTGTTTTCTTAAATCTCCTTCTCTTGCAACAACTTCAGGTGCTTTTCCTGTTCCTCTTTGGTCATGAATGCCACAATGGGAAAGGACTTTCCAATTCCCATAGGGGTCTTAAAGAGAATCTTCTTTCCCTTAGGATCTTCAATACTCATCTCAGATATTGGCACCCAAAGCAGCATTTGTTTGCTCTTGATGCCTGTCATTTTCTTCATCTTAAACTTCTCTACATAGCCAGTGACCTCTATAGCATAACTTACCCTTGTGTTGGTTGCCTCAAAGAAATGCTCATATGGGGCCTTTTGTTTCATCCACACAAACCCAGTTTCTCTAACTCTTCCACACTCCACCAAGTCTTGCAAAGGAAGAACACCCTTTGGAAAACCAAGCTCTTCTAAGAGCTCTATGGAATGCTTGTAACACTCTTCAGAACCATACACTATCTCAGCACCTTCACGCTCCTTTACCACACAGTTGCTAGCCATTTTAAGAACAGTATTCAAGTTCAACCAACGGTATGTTAATTAAGGACATAGCATATCATTATATAATAATAATGACCAACAAAAAAGTTGAACAGTTTGGCCTGTTTTGAATGCAGTAGTTCACCCATTTGCTCCTACCATTTATAGTTTGGTGGGTTTTGGCTTTGTTCACCTATGTAGAAATATATGCAGCTACCAGTGCTAGCATGGATTAGCTTGGTTAGATTAAGATTCAATTATATTCTAAACTTTGCCAAGTTATGATAATGATTTGTTTCATGAGGAATTCTTAAGTGAAATAGTACTTATAGGCAGAGTCAATTAAAAACTCACGATGTATTAAAATATTAATGAAAGAGACAATAAAGACCATACTAAAATTAATTTAATGCTAGAATTTTTTATAAGTAGTGCATATAAATATTATGCTCATGTGATTACTCTTATTTTATTTATCAAAGAAAAGGATTGAGCTTATTGATGTTAAACTATACTGAAATAGAAGTAGGTGAATTTTGTTAGAAACAGATGAACTGTGTATAATTTTCATGTCTGACTTTGTTTGGTGGAGTTAGGCATGGATTTTTTTAATGTGAACGAAGTTAGTATTCTTATATATTTTAAAGAATAAAAAAATGCGTGTTGGCAGTTGGCAGCAGCGTAGTTTTGAATGGGAACGGAGGTTGATATATTTTAATGTGAAAAAGAAAAATTATATTGTTGTCCAATAATAAATTGTCATGTTATTAACTAAATTTGACATTTTCTTACATGAATTATCAAGATTGTTAACAGATACGACAACGCGTCCTTGCATCATAAGATAACTCCTTCGTTCATATTTGCAGCGATTGAAAATTTATCTATTTGTTAATCCTTTCTCACTGGGAGGTTTGTGCGAAACCTTTGGTCTTCTAGAATCAGGAGTATAGTTAACGGAGAATTAGAAAATGAAAATCTGTTATACATATTTAATATAAAATTAGTGATAAGTCACAAAATAAAAATTTAAATTTTTAACCTGTGTCATCTTTAATTTATGATTGTATTGATTTAACAAGTTGATAGTTTTGTCAAGATATAACTCAAAATGCACTAATTTCAATTTAGCTGTCAAAACTCAACATTTTTCACCTCTAAATTATTTAACTATTTTAAAAACATTGTGATATACTCCATGATACAAAGATAATAAAAAAAGAGGAAGAAACAAAACTACGCAAGATGGTTTGTGTTTAGTATGTTGTATCCAATTAGTCGTGCATGGCACCATCAATAGATAACAAAACTTCCTATTATACAATTGTAAAGGCAAGAAATAGCAAAATATCTTCTTTTTTTTTGGGTCATGTAAAAAACAATCTTATCTTAAATTCAGATTGTGACAACCTCATCCAGTTGTATAGCTGTTGAACACCGTACATTATAGAAAATAAAGTGAAGAATATACACTAAAGAATAAAATGCTAAAATTATAGTAAAATACATACCACATGTATAAATAATAAGTTGTAAAGTTGTTAAAATCTCAATTGTTAATTTTTTAATAACTATAAATATATTTTATTCAAGTCCTCATTTTTTGAAAAGTCAAATCCAATTAGAAAAAGGTTTCAAATTTCAAACGGTAAAACTCAATGATATAAAATAACGTGGACAAAAAAGGCATGCTTTTAGATTTCCCATGCATTTAAAAGAAACTTCATTATAATAAAGTAGCAATGCTACTAAACATGTGTCGTCCCTACGACGTATATAATATATGCACTTGTATATTGCTTGCAGAACCCCGAACAAAAACAAACATAAAATATCAAATAAAAACTAAAAAACATATGATTGGCTCTTGCCACCTACATCCCTATATTTATAGCAAGCTCAGTTATTATACAAATATAATAATGCAAAAATACTATAAGCCTTCGAATATGTGATTATTGACACTAGTCACAAAAGACAAATCGTCATAGCGCTCTGCAGTCTGCAAGAAGGAATGAATGATCTTGGAATTTACATGTTCTGTGCTTCCTTTGAATGAACAGAACGAGTATTCAATAGAGGCTGTAGAGCTTTGACTATAATACTCATATTTGGCCGAAATTCAGCTTCATATTGCACACATAGAGCAGCAACAGCAGCCATCTTTAACAAAAAAAGCAAGTAAATAAGTGCATAATATGAACACTTTAACAAAGTTATTTCAAACAATTATGTAGTTGGCAAGGAGAAGAAAGGTCAAAATAGCATATATTTCTTCAAAGCTTATTAAGAAGTACAGTTTTGTATCAGTCCTTATAGATGATTTTGAGGATCTAAAAGGAGTAACTTTTACCAAAAAAGACCCTTTATTACACTTTTGCATTGTGATGTAACAAATGATTTATTTTCCAATTAAAACTTATCACTTTTACTTGTTTAAAATCAGCTTTAGGATCTGATGTTAACATTTTCCTATCAAAGAATAGAAAAAAAAGTCATCAACCAAAATGTACCAAAGTTTTTGGAATATCATTATTGAACTAAAAAGACAATATCCCCATCTCCAGAATATAACCTTATTACCTTTGCAACTGATTTTGAAGGGTACTCTCCCTTTAGTCTAACATCAACACAGTGCTTCACCTTATCTTCGCTGAGCTTTGGTGTAGCCTGATAAAGTCCAATAAGCATGAATCACACTAATGAGCAAAATCCAAAATTCAAGGAAAGGAAAAGACATGAATATAAATCAACAATGGAAAATGAAAATTGATACCCAGGTCACAAGGCTTTGCTGTCCTCGGGGTAGTGTATGATCGACAGGTTTGCGACCAGTTAAGAGTTCCAGCAGTATAACTCCAAAGCTATAAACATCACTTTTTGAAGTGAGTTGTCCAGTCATAGCATATCTGCCATCCAAAAAATCAGCCCAGTAAGAATGAGCCAAATTATAATTGAGTGTGAAGTGAACTGAAGTTCACCACATCACTGTTTACAATTATTACTACTTATTTACTAGGATTCAGTTTCATGTTTACTCAATTATAGTCTTCATATGTATTTTTTAATTCTGGTTTTTCCATCATTTTAACTCTAAATATTTGGAAAAGCATATTTTTCTGTGCGTGGAAAATCAAGCATGCACTGAAAAATAGAAAATGCCAAACAAGTAAAACACGTCCAGGAATAACTTACTCTGGAGCATGATAACCAAAGGTCCCAAGAACACGGGTAGAATGAAGACGTGCTGCAGCATCAGGGGCTTGATTTGACAAATCAAAATCAGCAATCTTTGCAACGTCATCATCAAAAAGAAGTATGTTACTAGACTTAATGTAACGATGGATAATATGAATCTCCGCCTTTTCATGGAGATATTCAAGTCCTCTGGCTGCTCCAACAGCAATTTTAACTCTCTGAGCCCATGATAGAACCGGACCAGGTTGTGCACCCTTGAAACCTTTCTTTCCTATGTCCACAATAATAATAAAGTTATGAACTACAATGGAGAGATTTTCATTGGTATAAGGAAAACACACTTCAGAGCTTTTCGTGCAATTTTCATCCAATCAATAAAATTTACAAGATTAGTGAGTGAACATGTAGTAGATGTAGATAAAGAAAAAATCTGATTGTATGGTATAAGTATAACTTCAAAGCTGTCAAGTTTCATTCACAAGAATGAATCTGTTTCCAAAATCACAATTCCTAAACTGGTTAAAAATTTCCATATATAAAATCAGCCAGCATTAACCTTAAAATTACATTAATGAAGAGTTTGAATATATTTGTATATTGGTGAATAAAATGGGGAATAATACAGTACTAGTCACAACTAACCATGTAGAATATCATGAAGGGATCCTTTAGGAGCATACTCATAGGCAAGGGCACGGAAAGGACCATCAACGCAATAACTAACAAGCTCAACAACATTTTCATGCTTTAGCCTTGATACGATGGAAACCTATATAAGTTTTTGAAAGAAAAAGAACAGAATGAAAACATAGTTCCCAAGTAGAATGTGATGCAATAAATATGATTATGTGTCACAATCTTATCATTAAAATAATTTACAACCGCAGTTAATCCAAACCTGAGAAAGAAATTCTTGCTCCGGCTGATTACTGGAATCTAACTTTTTAATTACCACTTCACGCCCATTTCTCAATGTGGCATGATATACTTTGCCATATGCACCCTCACCAATGAAAGATTTTGAGCCAAAATTATCTGTCAAGGACTTCAATTCATCTACTGTAACAGGCGGGACAGCAATTGGTTGAAAACTTATAGTTTGAGGAGTGGTTATTGCTGTGTGTCTGCCATGATAACTGGTGTTGTTCCCTGCATTGTACTAACGGAATTATAGACGCACAAAAGTTGAGCCAAAATGAAAACAAAATTATAGATATAAAGTGCTAACAGAATTATAATATGAAATTAATACGATCATTTAAAAAATACAAACTGAGTGGAGCACTAAATGAAGACTTAGGACAGGCCATATTTGGAACATCTCAATTAGAAGCTGGTCACTTGAGAATGGCACAGAGAAATATAAGAAATGCATAAAATGTTATCGACAGCGAGTTCAAATTGTATAAGAATTTGTACAGACTGCAGACACAAAACATGAACATTTCATTTCAAATCATGACAACGCATTGCATGGAATTAAATGTAAGATAGAATCTTAAAGCAGAAAACTCTAAAGAAGGGAAAAAAAGACTGGAAATAGTGGAATACCAGTAGGAGTGTTCTGCGTGTAGGGTCCTCTGTCCGCAGTTGTATAACTATCATTTCCTTTGCAAAAGCCAAAGCAACCCATGATCCTCTATTCTGGAGGTAAGTGTCAATATGAATGGTTAAATCACTGCAAGAAGAATATATAAAGACTACGCACATATTACCAATACAACCCCCCACCCCCCTTTAACTTTTCTGATAAACTGAAAACTTCTGAATTTATGATCATTTTTCTCTTTCGGACAGAAATTTAAATGACCAGACGTTGATCGTGTTATATTTTTGTCTAAGAAAGAAGCATTGTTCACATTTTCAAATGATGGAAATAATGCAAGCAATTCATAAATTATGTTCATAATTTTTCCATCTTTTTTTCCCTTCACTCAAACTAAATAGTAATCTTAATTTGCAAAAGATTCATACAACCATGAACATACATTCCAATTAATCTGCTATTGCCATGACAGAACACCAAATGACATGCAATGAGTGAAGATGCAAACATGAGCACCTATAGATGAATCAAAATTCAGAAGAAGCACAAACCATCCCCACATGTCAAATTCAACAACGGCATCTTACATGATTTCCAATAAATAAATTTCACTTTACCCAAAAAAAAAAAGAAAAAAAATGAATTTCACCAAAGTGTAACAAAATCATTTTTTTCTACCATCTATATCCCTACCTATCTACGTGTCACTGAAAAGTGTATACCCAAAAAAGGGTCACTCACCAAACATGCACGCATCCTTTAAAGACAATTAGCCCCACAAAGCGAATTAAGCATGAGAAAAACCAAACTGATCAAAGAGAATTATGGGTGGTTTTGAATAAAAAATAATAATAAATAAAATAATCATTCTTCTTAATATCACTCTTTCAAGAATCAAAAAGACACAGACTTAAACTCAATCACACAAAAAAAATCCAAGTCCTGATATTCGTACGTGTTCATGAAAACAAAAGGGTAAACAAAAACGCGGAACGGTTAACGAACTAGTCAAAGAGACGAGAACCCAGAAGCAAGAAAGAGAAAAAATTCCACCTTTTAGAATACAAAGCAAAGGGTGAGTGATTGCAGTGTTTTGGGATGAAGGGTAAGCGAAAAAGAAAGAACGGTTAGAACTTGGAACAGGGACAAGAAGAGAAGAAGGGCGTTATGTTCTGCTTGTGTCTGTTTGGAACAACCTTGACTTCACCGAGAAGAAAAGAAAAAACACGCACCGGTTTATGAATTATGAACATCACCAAACCTTATTTATTTGAATTTACAGATATTTATTGTAAAAACCATTGCCAAGTCAACACTCTAAAGCCCGTTTCCAAAATGGCCTATACTTTCTTTCTTCCTTTTTTGGTCCCCACTTTTGCTTTCCTTTTCTTTCTTCTCAAATAGTTGCGTCAATGGAAAGAACCCTTCTGTAAGAAATAAATTTAAGTACTAGATAACAGTAAAAAATTATTAAAAAATATTTATTATATTAGTTATTTAAATTCAGTTTAAATATCTAGGGTTAACAAATCCATTAAAAGTATTAACCATTGTCATGCTTTATAAAAATATGCAAATGTGTCCTTATCACAACAATTCAATAATTAAAAGTAAAATTTTTATTAAATTTTTTTATCATGATTTTTAATTAATATTAGACATTGTTTAACAAGGAAAACCATGCAATTTACTTTCTTGTTCACGTATTCTAGAGCTTTTATTATTATATTTTTTTTTTCAATTGCAGCTCTTTTTATAAAATTCCAAATCTATACTATTAACGTTAATAAATGTTACAATTTGTAATTCTAGTTACTCGCTTAAACAAAAATATAAAAGATACGTTGAGAATTCTGATCCGCTAATATTATTTCCAAGCCTAACATGTTAATAATTACTATTTACAAATAATACTTTTTTTTTATAACTTTTCTTTTTGTCGTTTTTCCATTTCTACACAGCTTTTGTTTCTAAAAATATTTATATCGTAGTTACTGCAAAAAGTAAATATATTTTGTGAGCAGTGTTTTAAAGTTATTGAATAATTAAGTTGAAGGTTCATCACTGTTTAAACTAAATTTACAAAGGCAGCGTATAATTTTAATTTTTCCAAAATACGAAAAGATAGTATTATTGTTTATCAAAATTAGTAAACAGTATAATATATAGTTTCTTGATGAGCCGACAAAACTCTAAATTTAGAATTAACAACATTAATATTTTCTGGGTAAACTAAAATCCAAATCAAACCTAAAGTAGACATACGATAGGCCCTAACGATAATGATTCTTTCGCAAATTTGGTTCGCTCGTTTTCTCTATAATCTTGACACATTCTTAGTGCGTATTTGACCAGCTGTTCATAATCTTAAAGGTGCAAAATTCATAATCAAACTTCAAATTAAGGTAAATTATGTGTTCATATAAAATGTGTTTGCATTTATCATGTGTGTTTGATCGGCTGCTAATTTTTGTGGTGTTTGCATTTATTTCATATTCAAATAATTTTTTATTTAATATGAAATTATTTACATAATTTTATTTAACAAGTGCAACTTATAGATGATTAATTAATGTAAATGAGGTGTTAAAAAGAGTTGACGTGAACTAATTGGAAAACAGCAAAAAGGATAAACATAGGAAAGTGTTTGTATTGTTGTCAACTTTTAGAATCCTTGTCTGGAATTGCATCTGTGACGCTGGATTTGGCTGGCTTCACAATTTATCTCGTTGGCACTTTTGTTAAGGATTCCATCTTCTTTTTCTCTTTTTTTTATTCGTCTAAATAAAATAATAAATATAGTATTATGTTAATTGTTATATTTGTATGCAATTTTTTTCATATTAATATAAATTTAAAAACTCTTATATTTGATATGAGTTTTTTATTTAATTTATATTTAACAAATTATAATTTATTACTTTACTGATCTTTATATTTAAATATAAGTTAAATTAAAGATTTATATTAAGTATAAAACTTTTTAAATTTTATATATTACATTCTATAAGTTCAATTTCACACTCAACAAAGAGAATCAAACATTGAGGTTGATTCAACCCAACTAGCGCGTGTTTGAATTTTTGTTCAGAAAGTTCCATATCCTATTTGGGCCTAAACAACAAAAACCAGTTTTCAATCTGTTAAAACTTTGGACTTCTATTAATTGGGCCTTCTTTGTAACTCAGGGTTAGTAGCAGTGAAAGGTTCATTGTGTATAATATGCAGACTACAAGTTAAACAGGTGAAGTTCATATGCCCACTTTTTTTAATGCATATCCAACTACATTAATAATATAATTGTAAACATGTATATAGTATTTATATAAAGTTACTAATTGGCTATCATATTATAACATTGGCACACTTCTACATAAACAATTATATACTTATATTTTAACATGGATAGAGATGTAGCCTAAAATTAATTTAAATAAATAAAAGGTTCAAATCCCACAGATATATAAAAATTTGACTATGGGGCTAATTCACGAAGGAGAGTGACTGGTACAACTTGCTTTTGCAATTTGAAAAAAAAAAAGAACCTGAAATGTAATAAAACTTAGAGTAAGGTTGAAATAGTGCTCACGGGTTGAATTTAATATGCATGTGTGCCTAGATACAACCTCCACATGCATTATCAGTGCGTACCTATGGTTGTTTAAAAAGAAATTTCCTTTTAAGTCAATGTTCATTAAGTGTTTAATTTAATTACATTTTATGTTTTCTCACTTATAAAACAATTATCAATAATTTATATTAATAGACAATAGAATTAGTAATTTATTTTTAAAAAATATAAATATTATATAATTTATAAGATATTAGAAAAATTACAATTATTAATTTTAAAAAAGTATATAATATGCTTTCAAATTTTATTAATAGGTTATCAAAATTAACTAGTAATTGAGATGAATTAAACTCTTCTCCTAATAGAAAAAAGTAACTATGTTTAATTGCTGATTATAGAATTATGAAATTAAAGAATAAAGAAGGTATTACTGTTATTTAAATATTTTAAAATGGACATTATATATATATTTTTTATATGTATACATTTTAAAAATATTTTATACAATTTAAAAAATTCTAAAACTGAATGTCTAAACTTTATATTTTAAAAAATATATATCAACACTTTATAAGTACTTTTTCTGCCACAATCGAAATGTCTTTTATGATCGTTATATATGGTACCATAATTCCATTATTTTTGTTGCATTGTTCTAAGTGTTAATTGTCCTACATGACATGGAACCCATAAATTAATGGCAGATTCAATGAACGAGCTAACCTGAGGACACTTTTTCCTTGTTTGAAGCCTTTCCGATTTGCATTATTAATTGAAGCTCTTAAGTGTCTTGGCGTGTAGCAAGTTTATAAGGGCATACAAATGGTCTTTATTTTTATCCTAAGTTTTAATATACATCACAATGTTACATCTTACAAGTGAAGTAAATAACCTAAAGTTTTTTTTGGATTGAAGAAGAACCACCTCATATCTCTTCTCTCATTGCTTCAGACTGTCATAAAATTACATCTATTTCAACCCCATCATCAGTTTGATTGAATGGTTTTCCCAAATAAAAATAAAAATACAACATTGTTTATAAAAATAATTATTTTGCCTTAATTTTAAGTTTAATTTTGATATTATGTTAATATAAAAATTTTATACATTCAACTAATCATAAAACACTGTAAATATAAGTTTTAAAATAATTATTATAAAAATTAATAATTCGTAACTAGATGATAATATAAAAAGCATTTGTATAGTCAATATATTTTAATAAAATTTGTATGACCTGTAATTTATTATTGAATAATCTGTAATATTTTGTATTTGTTAAATGTTAATTAAAAGATTATTTAGTATTAGAATAAATTTAGATGGAGTTTGAATTTTTTTTTTAAAGGTGAACAGTAAATTCGCATGAACAATAAAGCGGCGTGAATATTAATTTTGACGTGAATAGTAACTTCGGTTTGAACTACAAGGCGGCATGAACAATGCCAAATTTTTTTTTTTCAAAATTTAGTTTATGAATAAGAGTCTTTGCACCAAATTTTCATTTCTTTAGACCTAAGACTATATATTATAATTTTCTCTCCTATTAAACCTTCTTAAACTTATATTTCTTACTAGATCTAAAATTTTACATCTCTTCTTCTTCTTCTCTTTCTTATAGATAGTTAATGATATCTTAGGAGAAATTTAGTTGTAAAGCTAAATCTTCGGTAGATCTTACCTTAAAACAAGTAATATTAGGTAGATTTGGTATAAATCGTTGTTTTAAGGTAAGAGAAGCTTACTTTAACTATTAAATGATGTTTGAAATAATTTAATATGCTATTACAAGAGAAGTTTTAAAAGAACTTTGTCAGATCTCTTGAATAAAAACTATTTTCTATGCTGTAACTGTTGCTAATTGATTTAAAATGTTGAGATTTGGCTAAAATATTATGAATTGTTTTAGCTAAACTTAATTGTTGAGAATATGATTTTGTGTGTACTGCATCATATTGAGATATATGTCTTGCATCATTATAGAGTCGAGTTACACGTTTAGGTGAGTAGACATGTAACGATAGAGTATTCTAAGCTGTGTTTGCTATGCTGTCTGGATCCAGATACCGGAATGTGTCGCTTTCAGACCGACTCAGTTCCTTCTAGATTACTTAAATTGTGAAACCAGTTGGAATTGTTTTCATGTTGTGCATTAAATAGACTGAGAATGCATGAAGCTGCTGGTATGAGTAATATTTTGCTCTCTCTATATATATATATATGATTTTTCTTTTGTAAGCTCACATTTATATTTCTGTCTATGTTGTTATGTGCATGTATACTACGATGATCGTACGGTGGTATGTGAGTAGATGTAACTGGTGTTGCATTTACTTCACAGACTGGAGAGCTAGTGGAGAAGTGTTAGAAGGTTGGAGTTGAGTAATTTTTGCATTAAAGCCTTTTTCCTTATATCTTGAGACTTCATATAGAAGGAGTTATGTAGTAAATTTTTTTGTATATTTTGAGTATTATGAACTAAATGTAATATTATGTTATTCTGTTAGATATTTGTTGTAAAGAACTTTATTTTTTGAATGAAAAGTAAATTTTATACTTATATTCTCCATTATTTATCTATCTTGAATAAGTAAGTGTTATAAAAAAAAATATTTTCTGTTTCTTATAAAAAGGAGTCGTGACAAAATTTATGATACATAATATGTTTTTTTTTGTTTAATGAGAGATATTTAAAAAGTAAAACCCATTATCACAAACTTAAAATAATTTTTTTTTTTTACTTTGAGTGAAATGAAATTTACCGGTACATGTTTATTCAAATAATAAAGATTTTTTTTAAAAAAATTATCAGATTCTATTATGTGAATGAAAAACAAAAGGGTGACAATTTTATTCTAGGAAGTAAATTTAATCATCTTGACTCAGCTACTCAAATATTAGTTGAGATTACAATGAAATTTAAGAGGGTTTATTCTTTCTTTTCTTTTAATGATACATACCCACTTTGATAAAGCTAAAATATACTTAATGATTGTTTTCTAAAATAGCCATAATTTAGTGACATTTTAAATTTATAGTATATGAAGAAGCAGATAAAGATGATAATGGCATAAGCCTGAAGTGGTTGATATTAATTTGCTAGTCCCCCCACCATCACTCGGTAATCTTCAAGAAAGAGAGAAATCAAGACAACAAATGTGTTGTATTTATGTGTCTAATTGCAATTGGAAGCTCATCCATTGCATCTTTAAGTAATATTAATTTACCCGACTTTAAAATTAAAACATTTTAGAGTTAAATTTAATAGCATATTTGAATCAACATAATAATTAGGAAAAAAATATTTATTTTTAATAATTTTGTTTTAAAAAAAGCTAATTAATTAAGGGTTTTTCGTGTTTGCAAAGTTGGCAGGATCACTTTTGGAGGTTGAGATTGAAACAGATGTAATTAAATTATATTATATTCAGTACACTGTAAAGATTTGAAAAATGGTAGTCGCACAAATATGCAAAGATATTTTACAAAGTTTGGTTTATAAAGTTTAAATAAGGTTTATATAATTAATAAAAAAACAAAAAGGTTAAGATCATTGCACAAAGAATCTGTCCAAGTGTCCATGCATGCATCATTACTAGTAAGATTTACCTTTTCCCCGGTAAATAAGCAAATTTAAATGGAACATGTGCTGATTCTGCTTGAGAAATATCCAATATATATGGAAAAAAATCATCCTAATTTGGAAATGCAACCCTCTTTAATTTATCTAAGTTTGACCACATATCTAAATTGTATTCAGCAGACACGTTTGGATTTTTGGTTCTCTGAGGACAAAGTTAAAGAGAAAGGGAAATTGTAGGACAAATCTTAGGTCCACCCAAAGAGAGAGTCAAGGCCATCCATACTTAGCACATGAGTTGCCACTCATTTGGTCTCCGGGTCCCCATTAAAGTACAATTAATTTATGAAATGTTATTTTACACTCTTTAGGTAACACTTAGTTAAAAAATAAGAAAAAAGAGAGAGAATGGAATAAAAAATAAACATATTATACATATATATATCAATAACATAACATTATCATTGCTAGTTATATGCATATTCTATACTATATATATATTGGATTCTTTGCTTCGGCTTGGCTATTAGGTTCTGCTGTTTTAGGCAGCAAACCCATTTGCTATTCAATCACTATGTTGCATGAATAATTGCAAGTATTGGGTAAAAATGACAAGTTTCTTAAAATTAAAATGCAGGTACAATAATATAACAAGTAAAACATGATTATTTATACTTTATTATTTGTTAATATAATTGGTTATATATATTGATCTGACATATTATATTTAAGTTATGATAATTATTCTTTCATTATCTAAAGAAAAACAAGATAGATAAATTGTAATGTAGAGACTACAGTATTATATGTGTATTGATATTGAATATAGGTATCATAGGGATACTTGGGTTGTTGGACTTTTGGGGGGTGGGGATAAGGAACCCTAAAGGCCAAGTTCCTTCCTCATCCAGACACTGTAAAAATGTTTGATTCATATCCATTTAATTTAATGCATGTACTGTACCTACTGGCTTGCAATTAAAGGGAAGGGGCCAATACCCAGAAGCATCTTATACTATGGCATTTTGTTACAGTACTAGAGAATCAATTAAAATCATATTTTCTGGTGTATAAAATCTACATCAAATCCAGTGGTAAAGTCTAGGGTTTGGGAGGACAGATTCAGAAAGTTGTACCTTAATAATCAGATTTTGCAGTCTTGCATCAAAACCTAACTTTTTTTTAGTGTGAAAACTTTTAATTTATTAGTATTCACTAAGCAGCTTAATTTGGTTAAGCTGTTGTATTTGTTTGCAGAAAGAAGATTATGTCATCTCCATAATATATCCTATAATATTGTTTTTTATGTATAAGTAATTAATTTCATACATGTTTACAATTATATTACATGAGCATAGTAAATGGATAAAATTTGAAAAATTCTTCATGTACCATACAACAGTACATAGAGCACCACTTTTTTTGCTCAATAGGTTAAGTTTTGGTAGACCTATCACCAAAAACAAATTGCTAGATCTACATTTTTTAAAGTAATGAAAAACATCGATTTAATTATTAACTAGTGTTTGTACTTGTACAATATATGATACAAATTAATTATATTTTTAATTGTAACTTTTCTTATATATAAAAACTTTTATGACAGTCATCGCATGAGTTTTTAAATTTGTTTTTAGCTTATTCTTTCATTGAAATTTTATTTTTTATGTATTTCATGCTTAAACTTCAAGTTAGGAATTTCCTATCATCATTCACTTTAGACCATTGAGAGTACTCTCAAACATTGTCCTATAGAGAGTGCAACTCCATAAATCTCAATAAGATTTTGCAAGTGGATTTTTGAGTCATTTTGAGTATCCTTTTCAAGTTTCTTCCAATTGCTCAGACCCACGTTAACATGTGTAGCTTTCACTTTCTTTTCCAGGCTGTATACAAACTATATATTAATAATTTACGAGTTTAGTTCATGGACTAAGGTAAAACCTCATAATTCATTGCTTGGATAATCAATAATGAGTAGTTGGTATATATGTTGTTAACCTTACTCTTAAGGCCGAGAATAAATAATAATAATAATAATAATAATTTATTAAAAATTATTATATTTTTACAATTTTAATATAATAAATATATTTTTTTATTAAATTTTTTTTATTCATAGATACTTAAACTTTATTCTAAAGATCAAAGTTAATAAAATTCTTATAAGTGTATTAAAATTTTAAATGAAAATTTTCACTTCATAATTATTTTATTTAATTTGATTAAATAATTAAATTTTTAATCACATATTTAGATACTGTTGGTAAAACAATATATATTGAGAAGTAGACAAAGTATCGTATATATGCATAAATCTTATACTTATCACCGTACGAATTCATGAAATATGCTGAGACTCTGTTTTATTGAATAAATCATCGTACTCTGTTTTGTCTATATATCGTCTTTCACGCATAACGTGTTAAATAATATTAATTTATTACCTGTTTAAGATATTTTGAAACAGAGACAGTGAGATATTTATTATCTGTTTTGTATCTCCCTTTTGGGACATGTTTTCATGGGAGTAACTCGTATATAAATTAATACTTTTGCTCACATAATAATTTAATACGTCATATAATTCCATTTGTTTTTATATTTTTTTTCATATGATTAAATTAATTCGTCATAAGATTTTGTTTTCATATGTTCTGTTTTAAAAAGTAATCTCATTACTAATTTTATGTTTCAATTTTTTTAGTTATTTTATTACCATTTTTTCAACAAATAGAAATTGAAAATGTATTGTTTTTTCAAAAAAATAATTAAATCACATATACAAATCTTAAGTAAAGAAAAACAAAAATATGCTTCCTATAATATCTATTAAATACTATTTTCCAATTATTAATAAATTTATTATATTTTAATTTTTTTAATTACAAGTTTTCATAAAAAGAATGATTGATTAATATTCTTAACTTAGTTTTTTAAACCTTTATATTGAGTGGTAAATTTTAAGAACACTAAAAAGATAGATTATTTAAAAACAAAGAAGATGTATACATATAAATTAGGTAGGAAATTTTGAAATACATACAAATAATTATGAATAGAAGTTATAGATTTTGAATTATTTAATAAATATATTTTAATTAACAGAAAATTTAAGTATACCTAACAAATATGCACCTTTATACGCTTCATATATCTATCCAAATATCTATTTTCTATTTGAGAAATTGTAATAACATACTATAATTAAATTTTTAAATATTATACACAAATAGTAACAGTGCTAATAACATTAATTATAACAATTTTTTTATAAACAACAAAGTTACAATACTTTATTTAAATTACAGTATGTCATTACTACTTTCACATATAAAGTTAGAATTATAAGATTAATCCTAATTTAAATGAAAAAAATACACTCTTATACTACTTTACTTTTAATAATAAGATACCATGTATCACATAAATATAAACATACCGTATAAATACAAGCAAAAAAGGAAGAAATCCAATGTAGTGGCATTGCAGCAATTCCTCATGAAGGTAATTTTCAAGTGCCATCATTATACCTACTTTAGAATAGAACAATTTCCCTCTGCTATTATTCCCTAAACTTAAGGTTCATTAAAATGAAATTAGTACTTAGTAGTAATAAACAATGGTAATGGAGTGATAAAAAGTCAAAGAAAATGGTCAGGTTTGGTCTTAATTCACACTCCACACACGAAAGGGTCACAATCAGATAGTCCATAGTCATCTGTGATCAGATAAGGGATTGAGAACCCCCGGGGTAGTGATCCTAAATGTAGAGATTTTCTCTAGCTTTTTTGGAGCTAGATTCTCTCAATTTAAAGATTTTTTTCGTTATTTAAACAAACTGCAAAAATGTTTTTATCAATTTAACCGGTGACAAGATTAAAAATGATAAACAAGTTAATAAATATAAACTATTGTATATTCACACAGGTACAGTTTTTTTTCATAACTCCTGGTCCGTGACCATATATTAAAATTAAGTTTATAATTTAGTTGAAGAAATTCAACACTCTTTCTGGAGTTTCAATTTCAACGACAGAGAAGTAAATGGGTTTGGGACAGTGGTGGAGATTCCTTTACTTTTACCAAAACCATGAGGCATGATGATGATGACTATGTGGTCACACAGAGAATAAAAACTAACACAATAGAGTGATGAGTCAGAGCAGTCAGCACAGAAAAAAAGAGGTATTTTGATATCATGTCAGAATCTTTCATAATCTTTTCCAAATTTCCCTGTTGTCTCCTTTTAAGCCCGGCACCCTCACCTTTTCTTTTTTTCTCCCTACTTCCCAGAAAGTGAAACAAGAACTCTTCTTTACCATTCTTTCAAGTAAATTTTCATGCTTGTGTGAAAATGCTCTTGCAAGTTTCAATTTTTCTATTCTGAGTAGCCACCTTTTTGTGTTTTATTGTTAGCTGACTTGTTTTTTTAATCAGGTGGGATTGGAATTGGAGTTTGTTGTAACGTAACAAGTTGTTCAACCCAGAGGGCGTGGTTGTTTTTGTTGGATTTTGCATGGAGGCTGAGTTTGGAGGGAAGAATCAGTACTTGTATATGAAGGCTGTTGGCAATGGGAAGAGGAGTTTGGAATGGGATTTGCATGATTGGAATTGGGATGGTGATCTTTTCACTGCTCAACCACTAAATTCAGTGCCATCAGATTGTAGGAGTCGCCAGTTTTTCCCACCACATCCTGAAACTCCTGCAAAAAATACTAATACATCCAACAATTTGTCGTCTTCTATATTCAGCTCCGGAGAAGGAAAGAGAGAATTGGAGAAAAGAAGGAGGGGTGTTGTAGGTGAAGTTGCAAGGGAGGAACTGAATGATGAGGGTGGTTCTCTTAATTTGAACCTTGGGGGTCAAGTTTACCCTGTTATGGTGGAAGGGGAGGAAAAAAGTGGAAAGAAGACAAAGGTAATTGAGAGCACTGCTCCTACTACTACTACTTCTAACCGTGCTGTTTGTCAGGTGCAAGATTGTAGGGCTGATCTTAGTAATGCCAAGGATTACCACCGTCGGCACAAGGTTTGTGATGTGCATTCTAAGGCCACTAAGGCACTAGTAGGAAATGTTATGCAGCGTTTTTGTCAACAGTGTAGCAGGTCAGTTCGACTGCAAAATGAACATTTCTTTGGGCTATACCTTCCATATTTGTGATGTGATCATCAAATTAATATTTTTTGCAGACGTTGAAAAAATGGAAGATCCTCTATTTCTTGTTGTTCTGAACTAGATGGAAGTTGTTTAAAAGGACTTCTATTTTTTAAACAATAAAATTTTACTGCATCTACTACTTTGGCACTCAAGTTGGATGCAACTTGTTAAATTTATGGCAGGTTTCATGTTCTTCAAGAGTTTGATGAAGGGAAGAGAAGTTGTCGTAGGCGTCTGGCAGGCCATAATAAGAGGAGGAGGAAAACTCATCCTGATGTTACTGTTGTTGATGGAGGCTCTCTGAATGATGAAAGGGGCAGTAGCTATCTATTAATGAGTCTGCTACGGATACTGACCAATATGCATTGTGAGTATTTGTGACATCAGAAGCTTATCTGCTTGGCATTCTTCCTGATTTATTTCTTTGGCTGCTGCACTTCAAAACTGTAATGATGATGAATCTGAGCTACCTCTTGGTGGTTTGATAAGTTTTTTAGTGGTAAAATCTTAATATGGTAGCAGTAATCAGTGTTGATGTGATTTTAGGCTTTGTTTGGGAGTTAAATTTTGGAGGGCAAGAGAGGAAAGGGTAAGGTTTATTTGATGGTAACCTTGTCAGAGAGTTTTTAAATGTGAGGGGAGTTTTTATAAACCTTCCTAGACTCTCATAAACTCATGTTTTTAAATTTTTCCAAATTGAGAGATTTTTTATTAACTCTCCTTCTCCCTTACCCCTCATACCCTTCCCTTCCCTTTCCAAATTGGATTGTCTACTTCTGCAATTGATATTCTTGTCCTTTTATGGTCATTGATTTGGCGAAGTGTGTCAAAGGTGCATTTGATGTAAATAAAATAAGTTTCTTAGTAGCTTGAAGACTTCTGGAGTCTCCTTTTTGTCCTATTCACCTACGGTGAACATCGTAAATCTTCTACTCCTTTTAAAGCTTACAATCTAGGTGATTGGCTTTAACAGCATAACTTGACCTTTCTACTCTACTATAGACTTTAATCTGCCTAAATACTATAGGAATATTATGCAGCTATTGGGAGTTAGGTACTTGGTCTTTGATTTCTTATCAGGAACTGAACCAGATGAATTTGATTCTCCAAAATTGTGAATGGCACAAGTATCTGATCAAAATGTATAATAGAGATTGACTGTTTTATGGTATTTTCTGAGAGTTGATTCTCCAAGATTATGAATGGCATAAGTATTTGATCAAAATGTATAAATTAGATTCCCTGTTTTATGCTATTTTCTGAGAGTACCATCATTATCATTATTACCTCCTTCCGTTTACATGTGCTTTCTGATTACATTTTTACTCATTCCTATTGGAAAGCTAGAATGCCTGAAGGTTTGTTCTGCTGGAACGTTACTTGAAAAAGGAGAAAGTTGCTTATGTTTTGAGCCTAATATTATGCTGATGTATCTGATGTTGAAACTTTTTTGCCTGTCCCACCTTCATCCTGGATGTCATATTTGGCATATTTATTTGACTCCACAGATTATGACTTCTATGAATTGCAGCAAATGGCTCAGATCATACAAGGAACCAGGATATCCTATCTCATCTGCTGAGGAACCTGGGAAGTCTGGCTGGTACAATTAATGGAAGAAGTTTAGCCTCCTTATTGGAGGAATCTAAAGGTTTGTTAAATGCTGGGATGCCCGGAGCTTCTCATGATAAACCCAATCTTAATTCAAATGGTCCTGAAGCTTCCAGGCCTTCTGGTTCTTCCATCAAATCAGATACTGGCTTCATCGCTCAGGACCCTCCAATGTCTGTGGCACAGTGTGAAACCATGCCTGCTTATGGTGTGACACAAAAATGTATACCTTCAGGTGATGGTGGAGTTGGAAATTTAGAACTTCCTTCAGGACTACTGCCCTCAAGTGTAAGTCAATCAATGGACAACCTTCCGTCCCATTTAACCGCAGCAGAGCCAGAGACTACAGTTGGAAGGGACAGATTAAACGACATTGACCTGAATAATGCATACAGTGATATACAAAATACTGTTGAGAATCCTAAGAAGCCTTATCCTCATGTGGCTTCAGAGATGGGGTCTATTGATCATCCTTCATGGTTGCAATGCAATTCCCTCAAATATAGTCCTCCGCAAACAGGTACAAACGCAGAGTCAACCTCAACCCGATCTCCATCTAGTTCCAGTGGAGAAGCTCAGGTATATTCTTGATGTAATTTGAATTCATTCCTTATTTCTTGATAATTTAATAATGCTGCAATTTACCTCTGTATCAAAATAATTAGGTTTGTCTAAATGATAGTTTAAATATCTTTACTGATAATGATCCTATTTTTACTAAGGTATCTGAAGTCTATTTTTGAGATTCATACTTTTTCATTAGTCTGTCTGAAGATTGTATTTATTGACGTGTTATTTGTTTACTGTTTACAGAGTCGCACAGGTCGAATTGTCTTTAAACTCTTTGGAAAGGATCCAAATGATTTTCCCCTTATTCTCCGATCGCAGGTAATTTGTGCCATGAAATTGCTTTAGTCAATTTTACAGCACTGTTTCTTTGTGCAGCGTTATATTTGCAGTTTCTTGTTTCTTTTGTGTTCCAGATCCTCAACTGGTTATCCCATAGTCCCACTGAGATAGAGAGCTATATAAGGCCAGGCTGTATCATATTAACAATATATCTCCGTCTAGAAAAATCTGCATGGGAGGAGGTATTGTTTGATATAATTAATGCCACAAATGGAGGTTGTCGGATAAATCCATTTGAATGGAAAAAAGAAAAATCAAAATGTGCTTATTAGTATTTTGATATTGCAGCTCTGCTGTAATCTAGGATCCAACCTGAGAAAGCTTCTTGCTGGGTCAAATGATTCTTTTTGGAAAACAGGATGGATATATGCAAGGGTGCAACACTCTGTAGCTTTTCTTAATAATGGTTTGTTTTTGCTCACTGTGTATGTTGTGCAAGCATTCCTCTTGTGATTGTAATTTTTTAGTATTTGCAAGAACTTTTATCATTTTAATTTAGTTACTAGAAACTGTTTTTTGATTTCACATATCTCTCCTGTAGGTCAGGTAATCTTAGATGTGCCACTGCGTTTCAAAAGTCCACAAGATTGTAAGATATCATACATTAAACCACTTGCTGTTCCTAAAAGTTCTTGTGCTCAATTTATTGTGAAAGGATTCAACCTTTTTCAGTCTAGCACAAGGTAAATCTCTTTACATATGATGATATTCAAATTTTTTTACTTAAAAAGGTTCTAGCAACAATAAAGGATTGGTGCCAGAGGCTTATGCCTAACTACAAAGTAATTATTTCTGTTTGAGGTATATCACACTGCTGGATACATTTCATAAAGAGAAAAAGACAAAAATAGTAGTGTATTCTTTTTTTCTAGGACTTTAGCACCTGGGAATATTTCAGGTGGAGTTTTAAAAGAAAATTTGGCTTCATATGGTAAATACCATGCAAGGTATTTATTCAGCCTCTGAAATAATTTTGTAGAGTGATCAGAGATTTTGGGGGGAGGCAGAGGTGTGGAGGAAAATTTTACACATGTTGCAGGGTATAAATTTGGTTTATTTTCTGTGAATGATTTTTGACAAAAGATCTGCATCTTAAATTTTCTTTTTTTATTGGGATTGGCTTAGATGTTAATCTATTGCTAATTATTTTCAGGTTGTTCTGTGCACTTGAAGGAAAATATCTGGTACATCATAGTTGTCTTGATTTGATTGATGGAGCTGATTTAGCCACTCAGTATCTCAGCTTCTCTTGTCAAATACCAAATGTAACTGGGAGGGGGTTTATTGAGGTGGTTTATCACACATTCATACTGCAATTTTTTTCTATACAATTATTTTTTAGGTTTTTCTATTCAGCAAAGGAAAATGTGTTTTGAGATCATTATATAATTTTTGTTATGCATTTTGTAAACTTATTGAAACTAACAGAAGAACACAGAGCTCTAGAACTTGCGTCCGAGATGTTCTTTGTTAACGACTCCTTTGTCAATGATTCAATATTGCTGTTGTTCGTGCCTGCCTTATAGCTTTTCTAAACTTCTACCTTAGTCCCATGTAGTTTTGGTTTTCTCATAAACTCTTTAAAACCAATGTTTATGAATGAGAATGATGTAAAATATTTTTCATGCTTTATTCATTACATCAAACTACAAATTTTTAAATCTTCTAGAAAAGATTAAATGGCTCAATAGATGCAAGTTATCCCAAGAAAGAAAGCAAAAAGATAGTTTCTGCAGATAATGCAATAGATTTGGAATGACTTTTTTCTATTTTACTAGCTTCTGAAGCTAAATTTGATAATTTTTACTGTTAGGTGGAAGATCATGATCTTAGCAGTTGTTCCTTTCCATTTATAGTAGCAGAGCAAGATGTTTGTTCAGAGATCTGCAAGCTGGAAAATGTGGTTGAGGCAGCTGAGACTACTGACGACATCAAGATAAAAAACCAACAAATGGAAGAAAAGACTCGAGCTTTGGATTTCTTACAAGAAATGGGCTGGCTCCTTCATAGATCTCATGTGAAAGTTAGGCTAGGTTCCATGGTTCCTACCCATGATCCCTTCCAATTCAAGCGGTTCATGCGGCTTGTTGACTTCTCCATGGACCATAGTTGGTGTGCTGTGATGAAAAAACTCTTGGACATTATATTTGAGGGTGGTGTTGATACAGGAGAGCATGCTTCCATTGACCTTGCATTGTTAGACATGGGCCTTCTACATAGAGCTGTGAAGAGAAACTGTAGGCCTATGGTAGAACTACTATTAAGACTTACTTCATATGGTGCAGACAGTGAAGTGAATCAAGTTGACAAGGCTAATGATAAGTTCTTATTTAGACCTGATACTGTTGGCCTAGCTGGGTTGACTCCTCTTCATGTTGCAGCAAGTATGAATGGCACAGAAAATGTGTTGGATGCATTAACCGATGATCCAGGAATGGTAATTCCTTTATTATCTGTATGATTTTTTGAAATAACAAAAATCTTTTCTTTGTCACCACCTCAATTCACCATTACCATCCCACCTTATATTATTATTATATGAGAGGATCTATTGTTTAATATGACTTGTGTTTCAAGAAATAGAAGTCATAATCACCCTAAGCATTAAGAAGAGAATGATGATTCTATTCTCGTGTTGCCATTTCCATTTTTACCAAACTTAAACCACCTTTGTGAGAAAGCACATATGCAAGAATATTTGCACGATTTTCAATACATTACATTGATCCTGATTCAATTACTGATAACAATTTATTACACAATGTTTTTAACCTTATGTCTGTTGTGTTTCAGTTAGGAATTGAAGCATGGAAAAGTGCTCAGGACAACAGAGGTTTGACACCCAATGACTACGCATGCCTCCGAGGATATTACTCCTACATTCAACTTGTCCAAAAGAAGATCAACAAACAAGGTGAAAGACAACATGTGGTTCATATCCTTAGTACTGTTGTAGATAGTAACACAAAGCAGAAGTCAGATGGGCATAGGACATGTAAAGTTTCAAGTTTGCAGACTGAGAAGATTGAAACCGCAGCAACGGCGCGTCAATGTGGGCTATGCCAGCATAAGCTGGCTTATGGTGGCATGAGAACAACACTGGTTTATAGGCCAGCCATGCTCTCAATGGTGACCATAGCAGCAGTTTGTGTCTGTGTGGCTTTGCTCTTTAAAAGCTCACCTAGAGTTTATTATGTGTTCCAACCCTTCAACTGGGAATCATTGAAGTATGGAACAATCTAATGCTGTATATAAGTCCAAGTTTTGGGGTATATATGACATATTATAATAGTAGTAGTGCAGTCATCAAAATATATGGGGGAAGCCCAGGGTTGACACTTCAGCTGTTGAGCACAGAATCTTGATTATGCTGCAACCTATTAAATATTGGGTCAATGTTATGTTATGGCCATTATGGGTGTTAGGATAGGGATAACGGTTGTCGGCAATTTGAGGAAGTTACCTTGTCTTAATCATTATTGAATAATATAAAATATTTACAGTTTAGTTTAATTTTCTTTTAACCATCATGATTTATATATGTATGACATTAGTTGAATATGATTTTAATAATTGATATCATTATGGTGAGGTCACCGTAATGATGTTGAATCATTGATACATAAATATATGTACAACATGAGACAAACGAGTACTTAAATACTAAGATATCCCTGGCAGGAAGGAGACATGTTCTTTAGAGCTTGTGGTTCATAACTGTAGCAAAAGTCAATCCTTGAAATCAATAAACAGATTCACTGCAGATGTGTTTTCAATTGGTTCAGTTATCTACTTGTCTTCCAAAGTATCATGTAAATATTTAATATTTTATCAAATAATTAGTAGTTTGGTCTGAATATTTTGATTTTAGTTTCCATTAATCTATTTTTTTTATATCTTTTCCTATATTTTTAAAATTATTTATTTTAATCCATTTCTCACTGATGTAGCTTCACAAATAGGTATATATGATAACATCCAGGTTAGCTACATCATAATAATAGGCGATTCAATAGTTTAGATCATTTAAATTAAAATAGAGAACATGACGAAATGGATTATATTTTATTCATAATATATAGCTGTATAAACAATGTTATTTCTAAAACATACTATGTATTTTTTAGAAAAAAATACAAAATCATAATAATTAAATAAAAATAAGTTGAGCTTTAGTTATTTCATGAATAATTATATACTTTTATATATTTTTCATATTCTTAATTATTAATTATTAATTAATAATTATATTTATACTCTTTACAAGATGTAGGAATTCAATGTGTAAAAAATTTTACGAATAATTTCATTATTAAAATGTAAAAAATTAACATTCCATATTACATTATACGTGTGTATAGGTAAGTATTATAATTATTTTATAAATTTTAGAAAATACATATTGAAATTATTAATAATAAATTTTTATTATATAAAATAAAATAAAATAAAATGTTGAATGAATAAAGAGGCTTTTATAAGTAAGATAATTCTTAGAAATATTTTAATTTAAGAATTAAGATTCTTAAATTATATAAAGAGTGGGAAAAAAATGTATCTGGTGTTTCCTAATCAAAGAAAGGGAGAAAATGGTGATTTGGATTGGATGAGTTTTGGGGATTCTCTCTATCTTTCCACTTTCTTTGGACAGTCACAGTGTCTGTGAGTATGGCTTCCATTTCTCTCTCTTTTTCTTCGTCCGTTGTTCCCTCTCCTATTCCTCAAGACAAATCCAAGATTACTCCATACCCCACTTCTCAAGATCCTATCTTTCGTGTTACCCGCTTCACCATTTCACCTCCACCCTCTAAGAATCCTTCTTCTTCTTCACTTCCTAAAAAGAAACACTGGAAACAAGGCGAGTTTCCTGGTATTTCCGAAACATCGTTACCTACGAGGAACACCCCCATCAAGAACCTCAAGAAGAAGTTGGACAAAAAAAACAATGCTAAGGCCTGGGTCAACACTGTCACCGAAACCTTATCTGAACGCGTTGACAAGAAGCAGTGGCTTCAAGCCCTTCAGGTTTCTTTCTCTCTCTCTCTCCACTATTTTCCTTCCAAATTGAACACTTTTATACATCCAAAATAAAATAAAAATGAGGGTTTTGTTCTATTTCTACGCAGTTTGTTTATTTAGTTGTGATATCAATTTCTTGGCTTGTGTGTCTGATGAGTATTATATTTCTACTTAAATGTGCAGGTGTTTGACATGCTTAGAGAACAAACCTTTTACCAACCCAAAGAAGGGACTTACATGAAACTCATTGTGTTGCTTGGAAAATCTGGTCAACCCCACCGCGCCCACCAGCTTTTTACCACAATGATTGAAGAAGGTTTGGACCCTACTCCTGAATTGTACACCGCATTGCTGGCTGCATATTGCAGGAGCAACCTCATTGATGAGGCCTTTTCAGTTCTTGATGAGATGAAGAAACTCCCTCTGTGCCTGCCTGATGTTTTCACTTACAGTACATTAATAAAGGTTTGTGTGGATGCTTTCAAATTTGAATTGGTTGAGTTTCTGTATGAAGAAATGGCCGAAAGAGGTATCACGCCAAACACTGTCACTCAGAACATTGTGTTGAGTGGGTATGGCAAGGCAGGGAAGTTTGATAGGATGGAGAATGTGTTGTCTAGTATGCTGGAGAGCACTGCCTGCAAGCCAGATGTTTGGACAATGAACACAATTATCAGTGTGTTTGGCAACATGGGTCAGATTGATATGATGGAGAAGTGGTACGAGAAATTTCGTAATTTTGGTATAGAACCAGAAACGCGTACTTTTAACATTTTGATTGGTGCCTATGGAAAGAAGAGAATGTATGACAAGATGTCGTCTGTTATGGAGTATATGCGCAGGTTGCAGTTTCCATGGACGACCTCTACTTACAACAATGTGATTGAAGCATTTGCTGATGTAGGTGATGCAAAGCACATGGAGTGTACGTTTGATCAGATGCGTGCTGAGGGTATGAAAGCAGATACCAAAACTTTCTGCTGTCTTATCAATGGTTATGCAAATGCTGGTCTCTTCCATAAGGTAATTAGCAGTGTTCGCTTGGCCGGGAAACTTGAGATAGCTGAGAATACCACCTTTTATAACGCGGTCTTATCTGCATGTGCAAAAGCAGAAGATTTGATGGAAATGGAGAGAGTTTTCAAGCGTATGAAAGATAACCAATGTCAACCAGACATGACAACGTACTCAATCATGGTCGAGGCATATAGAAAAGAGGGTATGAATGACAAAGTATACTATTTGGAGCAGGAAAGGCAGACAATGACGACCGATGATATAAAAGTGAGCCAGCTCGAGGATGAAGAAATCTTTAGTTGATTTGTGGTTTATAGTTAAGATTGCTAATACATCTGTATTGTTTACGACCTCCATTTTTCTGGAGCAGCTGTTTATTTTTGTTTTGGCATGGATGGAGTGACCAGCTGCCAAGTTACGTAATCAAGCTCTGCCTAACTTGTGTTTGTTGTAGAGTTATATTTCATTTTTGGGTATCCATTTTATTAACAGAAGAGAGTCTGCATTTTTTGGTGTACAGGGTTAATGAACTGATAGTAGAGTGTATTAGTTTCCTAAGTCAAATTTGAGTTCATGTTATTTTGAAGTGCTGGCGTTCTCACTCCTGCTGTTTACCATGGCTTCTTGTCTTGAAGAAGGCTATGTTGACATTTGACAGGCTAAAAGAATTGCTACTGCTAATTGATCCTCCTAATGTTTCATGTTATAATGGTAGTCCCTGCAAAAATATATGTTCATAACAAATGGTTCTCTACATTCATGATTTTTCATGCCTTAATTCTCATACTATTGTTTAAGCGACAATCACAGCATAAATGAATTTAAATAAGATTTGAGACGTTTCATTTTTCATGGCTACAGGGTCTAAATAACATAGTTTATCTTCCTAATAAATTTCACTCGCCGAAGGATCCGAGAAAAACCAAGCCCATAGTAAAAAAAGGCCCAATCCAAAGCTTACACAATCATTCGACTGAAATGTAGGGCGCGCCTGGCCCATGCAGTAGTGCAAGACATAGGCGACGCTTAAGAGCCCCAGCAGCAAGCTGCTGTGTTGGGCCCTCCCCATCAAAATATTAATTTAATATCATGTGGGCCAATGACCCACGTATCAGATATTAAACTGATAAGAACAGATACTACACTTGATCTTAGCCAAAAGGCCGAGAAAGGTATGAGTTCTCCTACAATGAATTGTGCATTTTATAGTAAAAACCAAGTATTTGATATCTCCTTTCAGCGATATGGGACTAAGTCGTGAGAACTTCAAGCGACACACCATCGGTGTCAGGAACATAACCAACTAACCTAACTGAGTCCAACATCACTATGCATAACGTTTATGTTTGATAGTTACTCCCAGTGGAACAAAATAAAGAAGATATGTAACCAAGTGAAAGTCCAAATAGATACCGAGTTTGATTCGAATTCTCTTTAAATAAGAAATCTCGTGCCTCACATTGCACTTTTTTATATATTTTTGGTCCAGTGCCTCACTTTACATAGCATTCAATTACAATCTCCATATTTGTTGTTTTTCCTTTTTACAACTGACTAGTCGTAGTATCTAACGTAGAGAATGTGTTATAGTGACTGTTAGTTTATGTTCATATTATCACCATGAATCACGGGCTCCATGTCCTTTGACACACCATATATATAAATATTCTTGCTTTGAACGTCTCAACAGTACACTGGAATTTTATAATTAAACACCATGATATTCCATAAAATGGCCCAAATTCACATTGGTGACAAGAAAGCCCTTCTGGGTCATTAGGAGATATAGAATTTAGAGCCCAACAGGCCAGAAGCTTCTTGTTTTGCAAAAAGATCAAGTAGAAAAGTAATGGACCCTGCCGTTTTGATACACATCCTTGCGTGCTGTCATCGAATTCTGACCATGTATACGTTCCTATTCATAGTAAAATATGTTCAATCATTCCTCAGCCATTGGACTTTGCAGATTAATTAATGTATCTGTGATAGCTCATTAACAACGCTAATATTAATAAAATGAGGTTTATAATTATATTCATTTTCATTTGATACTATAAAAGCTTCAATTACCATTAACATGCCAAGATAATACATGACATAATGCATTGCATCATCAACTGCCACTTTCAAGCTTAAGCATGACATTTTCTATAAAATGTCTTGAAATGCATCATGCATTCCACATATGTTTAAGCTCCTTAATGTGGTGTTGATATGGCTCAGCTGGCAGGTGCTGATGAGATAGAATCCCTGAGAGTTGAGTTGGCTGAGATAGGAAGGAGTATGAGGTCCTCATTTAGAAGCCATGCCTCCAGTTTTCGGAGCATTTCAAGCGTCAATCCAACACAAGTTGAAAATGAGGAGGAAGAAGCACTGCAATGGGCTGAAATTCAGAGGCTACCCACCTTTGAGAGGATTACTTCAGCTTTGTTTGATGTGCATGATGATGAGGGCATGGAAACTGGTGGCAATATTAAAGGAAAACAAGTTGTTGATGTCAGCAAGCTTGGAGCTCAAGAAAGGCATATGTTCATCGAGAAGCTTATCAAGCACATTGAAAATGATAACCTTCGATTGTTGCAGAAACTCAGAAAAAGAATTGACAAGTAATCATTTTTGTCTTTATATAGCCCACGTTGCTTGGAAATATTTCACGAAATTTTATTAAATTATTAATCATGCCTATAGTCAACTATATTACTATTTATTCCACTTCATATAATGGCTAAAGTTACAAAAGGTCTGCTCAAATGTGTCATGCCAGAAGGATAAAAAAAGATGGGTTAAAATATATATTTAGTTCTTATAATTGACACTCGTTTATGGATTTGTTCTTATGCTTAAAAAACTTATATTTTAGTTTTTGTAGGAATGTTTTGTTAGATTTGTCCCCACCATCATAGCACCATTAATAAAAATTACTGTTCATTCTTAATTCTTAATACATTTTTGTTTTTTTCTTAATCCATATATGGCCGAGTGGTGTCCACAAAAACTTAAATTACCCACATAGCATGATGAATTATCATGTAAACGTGAATACGGTTAATACATGTTTTCTTTGTTCTTTTGCTTGGTAGGGTTGGCATTAAGTTGCCCACGGTGGAAGTGAGGTATCAAAATCTATGTGTAGAAGCTGAGTGTAAGGTAGTTCAGGGCAAGCCTATACCTACTCTGTGGAACACCCTAAAAGAGTGGATCTTTGTAAGTAACTTTCGTTGTTTTTGGTTAAATTAATCAGTAAGTCATTGAACTATTTGGAAATTTTCAAATAGGTCTTTATACATTGAAAAATTGTAACCATGCCCCTAAATTTATAAATTATTTGTAATAGGGTTCTTGGAGTAAGATTCTGTCAAAGTTAGACAGAATATTCTTAATTCCAATTGTGAATTTTAAGTCTATAAGGATCTATTTGACAATTCTCAAATAATTCAAGGATATGGTGATTAATTTAAGTAGAAACAGGGTCCATGAACTATTTGAGAATTTTCTAATAAATCCTTATACTTTTAAAATTTATAATTGAGAGAAAAATTACGTCTAACTTCATGGTTTATTGACGAAAACTTTCTGGAGAGATCCAATTACAAATGATTTATAAGTTAAATGATCTAATTATAATTTTTTTAAGAAAAGGATCAATTTAAAAAAATTTATATAATTAAGAGACTTAGATCATGTTTGATTTTTCTTTTAAAAAGAGTTTTTTATTTTTAAAATTAAAATACTATATAAATTTATACTGTATTTTATTTTTAAAAATAGAAAAGTCTTTTTAAAAGGGAAATCAAACATACTCTTATTGTTTATTCTTTTTTCTTTTAATGAATTGTAAGTAACTCCTAAAAACATCAATATTTGGATGTAGCACCTTTTCTTTTTCAGTTTATTATCTTGCTCACTGTCTAAGACAACTTGCCCCCTCTTTTGCACCTCTTATTTTCTCAAAAGGACACGACTAAATTGTCAGCTTTGAAAGCTCAAAATTCCAAGCTTAGCATCATAAAAAATGCCAATGGCATTATTAAGCCAGGAAGGTATGTTTTGCAAAGTTCAGTTGTGTTATTGTACTTGATTATTTATTGTCAGTTTTTATTATTGCCTTATTTGGAAGTTGGAACATTTACTGATTGTATTTGATTTTACTTTATGCTTCATATACTGTAATCCATTCCTTTGCTATGCCTTGATTCTGTTGCAGGATGACATTATTGCTTGGCCCTCCAGCAAGTGGTAAAACAACACTACTGTTGGCATTGGCAGGAAAACTTAGCCATTCTCTCAAGGTTCTTAATCTCAGGGCTTTTTCTAGTACTTTATATAAACCCTTTAAATATGTGCTAGGTGCAACTGTAATTTCTATTAATATGGCATCAACAATTGATTAACTTTCTCTCAGTACTTGGTTTTCAAAAGTGGCATCTAAGTTAGTAGTTAACTTAATGTCAAAAAACATAGATCCTTGCCTACACTTTATTCATTTAATCATTTGGGCATTCCTACATGCAATAGACTAAAGATGAAACCAACCGAACAAGCTCTGGGCATTCCTTACATTCATGATGAAATCATTTATGCATGAGGAAGAATGAACTCAACATTTGTATTTAATTCATTTGTCATCTCAAAATTTGATAACTCTTTTAAGTTAAAATGGATCTTTTCCATGATTGTTGTGGTGCATGCTTCTCAATAGGTTCAAGGGGACATTTCTCACAATGGACACACGCTAGAAGAATTCATTCCTCAGAAATCCTCGGCATATGTAAGCCAATATGATTTGCATATTCCAGAGATGACTGTAAGGGAAACACTTGATTTCTCAGCACGTTGTCAGGGTGTAGGAAGCCGAGCTGGTAGGTATACATAAAGTTACAAAAATAAATAATTTCATAAATTTTCCCTACTGATGATTGATGACTTTTGTTCCATATATGGAAGAACTCCTGGTGGAAGTCAGTAGAAGGGAGAAAGAGGCAGGGATAGTCCCAGACCCGGATTTAGATGCATATATGAAGGTTTATTCAGTTTTCTCTATGATTTAACAAAAATACGTTATTCAGATTCCGAAAATGAAATGGGAAACGCAGATTTCTTTTCTTTAATTACCTGTTTCTTGTATATTATAAATTCATTGCATCTACTATACTACTTCCATAGTGTTTTTAGAGCTTCCTTGGTATGGTGCTCATATATTGTCTTCTACGATTCTAGGAAAACTTGAACTTATTTCTTTATGTTAACTTTCTATCTATATCCTACAATGGGTTTTGCATCATCCAATAGACATCGTTGATTAAGTGTCTACCCTTTTCAGGTGAAGATTCAGAAAAACTTGCAATAATTATTTTTTGTTTATACTGCCAATAGGATAACTGGTGCATGACTTAGTAATCATTATAGTCCTTTCAAAGCCTTTATAAAAATTTACTGTCCCGAGTCTTGATGACTATTATAACAGAAGAAATGCTTCTGGTACAGGCAACATCAATTGAAGGACTGAAAAGTACCCTCCAGACAGACTATATTTTAAAGGTAGTCTACTCATTTTCTCCATGAAGCTAGAGCCTCACTTGCATATCCATTATTTTCTCCACTAAATATAATCCAGTTATTGTTTACTATTACAATGGCATACAGATTCTTGGTCTTGATATATGTGCTGATACATTGGTTGGAGATCCCATAAGAAGAGGTATATCTGGTGGTCAAAAGAAAAGGTTAACTACAGGTATTATTGGTACCATGA